CAATAATAGAGCTTCTAAAGATTTCTTCAGATCCACAATTCACAAAGGGGTTGATGCCCTCAAACAACTGTTTCTGAAGAAAAACAGGATTCAGTTCCTGGAGGCAGCAGGTTATGAAAGGGTTTAAGAACACCTACAACGATGAGCTTGTACTCAATGATTGGACTTCTTTGTCCCAGCCAATACTTAATAGTTCCTGGAATTACATAGGCAAAATCTTCAGCTACATTTAAAATTCTTTCAACCCACTTCAGCCCCAGATATGAATCAAGCACCCTATTTGACTCCGATTGGTAAACCATATTCCCTCGTTGAAGAACGCCGGGCAAAACACTCCCAACACCTTCCATGAAAACATCTTGGTCAACATTAAGGTCTATGTTTATATCAGGGTCCTCTCGCCGTCCAGACCAAAGCTTTTTCTTTATTTCACGAGCAAGTTGGCCATGGAACGATTCTTTTCTATCCTCTAGAGAGTTTTCCGAGGGAATGAACAGCTTTTCGCTGCGAACAAACGGAAAATATCCAGATCCTCTATCGGCCCTGAAGGGTGTCCATTCATCGAAGCATGTGCTATAGCCAACGTAATGAATTTTCAACCTCTCTTGTTGATTTTGTCAACCTCCCTGATCTCAATATCATACAGTTTTGTATCTTTCTATTGTGGATTCGCCTTTCTAACGGGGGTTTATGTCAAGTATTTGCTGCAAAATCGCTTTCCTTTTTTTATTTCCCTCTTTAACCTGTCCGCCATTTTGAAAATTCGCAACAGAGAGCATGTTTGTGCATCACGAAGGCTTAGTGGTCGCGTACACCTGGAACCTAGAAAAACAAATGTTCGTCGCGCTGGGGAAAGAGTTTGATATGTTAACTTAGGTTTACTGTCAACAAAATCTCGTCAAAATTTTCAAAAATGTCGTTTATTTGCTCTTGAATCAGAGAAATCATTAAGTTTAATTGGTGGAAAGAAAAAATGTAGAATAGAATAGAATAGAATGCGAGATTCAGCTAAAAGAGTTTTTATAGGGTAGCTAATACCAAGGAATGAAAGGTGTAATAATTGCACAAAAGAAGGGAATCTGTCACATTCCCCAAAACGTTGAGAAGGAAGAGTCTCCATGAAACGGTCATAAAGAGAAGTCACTTTGCGCCAAATCCAATAGAAAGCCTGGCCCAAAGAAATCGAAGACAGATGATTTTGATGAAGCAAAAATGTCTGACCTTTCTCTTTGCTTCTCTTGGAGAGTTTTTGGACTTCGTTTAACCCATTTGACCCATTCGTTTCCGTCGCAAGGTGACCTTTCCCTTGAATTTTCACGGACCTCTTTGCCACGAGTTTGGCCAAGGAGCTTGATATTGCCTCTAATTGGTTGGTGCCATTACCGCATCGACACACAGTTAAATGAGGTGCGAAAACTGAATTTTTTTTAGAGGTTGAAAACTCTGGGTTTGTTTTTACCCAGGTTTGCCCCTATTTAAGCAAATTAATAATGTAGGTAGTTTTTTCGGATTTTGATGAAACTTGGCCAGAATATTCTTCAAATATTAATGCACAAGATGGTGCGATGCTTTAATGAAATTTGAAATATTTTCCTGTGTCATTCCCCGAACTTGATGACAACAACTTAGTTATTTCCTAGGGAGCTGAGGGAAAGCTTGGTGTCAAGGTACCGTGAGGGATGACGGGAATAAGACGAGAAAAAAGAAATCGAGGGTCACTCGGTAAAAATGGTGCACCTGGAATGATGGGAATGAAAGAAGATAAAGATCATGAAGGGTCACGTGGCAGCAGTGGACCGCCAGGAATCAAGGGTGTGAAAAGAGAGTAGGGATCTAAATGAGAGAAAGGAGAAATCGTGAATAGTGCAGTGTCACAGACCAACTGGAAACAGTGTGTGTGGAAAAGGATGATAGTAGAGATAATGGAAAGATCAAAGAAAGGGAATATCAACAAAATCTCCAATTTATTTCCTATATTACCATTATACGAAATTTCTCTGCTTTTATGGACAGGTTTTTTCTTGTTGTTTTCTTGTGGTTGTTGTTCCAACCAATCTGTATTTATTTTTTCTCTCCAGAAATCCACTTTTGCTCACGGATTTTCTAGGATTCCTGGATTGAATGGCATACCAGGAATGCCGGGAATTCCTGGCGCCCCAGGGCCGCAAGGACATTAAGGAAAAGATAGAGCTAAGGGGGAGCCCGGTGTCAAGGGACCGTGGTGACTGTGGTGCGCCTGCAATGATAGGATTAAAAGGAGATAAATTATATGTAGGTTGTTCACGTGGCAGATGCTTTTGAAACTCTTTACGCTGGCCAATTTACGTTATCAGTTCAGCTGATAAAACCAGATAATCCTGTAATACCCCTCACCGACGCAGTACCACAGTTACAGAATTACCCGCTTTGAACATCTAAGGGCTTAGCTACCTTTTACTGCTGCATTTTCTGATAAAAAATTTTTATCTGTGATATTTGAGAAAGGGGTCAAGCTAACGAATTTTATCACCTACGTCCTAAATCAAACACGTTATTAGGCCAGTTTAATAAGACGCTCAGTTAGAAAAGTATTTGAACATTTATGAAATAGCTTGAGGAAACTGCGTATTCCAAAATCTTCTTATCTTATGTAACATGTCTTGCTGTTACAACTCTAACCCTAACTAACCCTCACTAGCTACTATCAAAAAGATATGTAAAGATATTCTCACTTGGTTGTGTTTTCTTAACCTTAGAAGTTGACACCACACTTGTGCACCATGCGAGATAGCGGCACATAAGACTGTGTAATAATCTGAAGCATTCAAGGCGGCTCACATTCTAGAGATAAGCTACGTTATCCGAAAAAACAGATGTGACCCTTAGGCTGATACGAAACCTTTCAGTCTTGTGGAAAAATAAAACCTAAAATAATGGTAATTATAGAAACATCACCTCCGAGAACATACCAAAAAGAAACACAAAAATATCGTTCTCAATTTCACTTCACAACATAAGTCTGCAATTTGTACCATCAATACACAAAAACAGATTTTGGAGATGAAAATATATCTCACCGCCCCAATATAAATATGAATACCGTAATCGACCATAGAACAAATGAGCTTCAGAGTCCGCAGAAACGCTCTCCTGAACATCTAAGGGTTTGCACGCTTTTATCCTGCCGCAGTTTGTTAATTACAACACTGTTATCTGTGATATTTGAAAGCGTGAGTGGTACACTGTCACAGATCAACGGAAAGGAGTGTATATGGAAATATCTGAGTGACGGCAGAGATTGCGGAAAGATTAAGGTACAGAAATATCTAGAAAATGCAATGAAAAATAAATTAAGTGTTGGAGCCAATTTGTCATGGCCATCTCTGAAAGAGACTTTTGAGTAATGTCGCCAAACTAAAAATATCAATTAACAATTCTGTGCATTCCAGCAGGCAGGAAAAGTACAAGGTCATCATCAGATTATTTTCTGTAACACTCTTATAAAACATTTTTTGCACTAAGACTGTCTTCTTGGCATTTTTTATAGAATAGCTAATTCAACAAGCTGCAGTCTGATACAGCTATTTAAGTCTCATTCCAGCGAGTTAGCGGCACATAAGACTGTATGAAAAATAATCTGAAACATTTAAGGCTTACATTCTAGAAATAAATTCCGTTATCCGAAAACAGTAACAAATGTGAACCTTACGCTGATGAGAAACCTTTACGTCTTGTAGAACAATGAAACACCTAAAACAGCGGTAATTATAGAACCATCACTTTCGAGAACATACTAACATGCGACACAAAAATATCGTTCTTAATTTCAACTTCACAACACTATTCTCCAATTTGTACCATTAAAGTTCGGACAGCACCTTGTTGATGGACGGATAATTAGTGTTCACACGGTGGTGTAATTCCAGTGTCAGCCGCGTTTGTCTTGCACGTGATCACCTACAAAGGTGATCACCTACAAAGTCTTGAAGGCTGCGCAATGGCGTTTGTCTGAGTGCCCTACCTCCTCGTAATTCAAACTGAGAATTAGTTAACCACCTCCTAATTTTCAAACCCATTGCTGACACTATCTGCCATATGCTGTTGGAACTTTCTTCACTACGACACTGGCGTAGCGTTTGAATGGTCATGTCGGTATTTCTACGAGTGCAGATGACGTCTACCGTCTTCCCGAAAAATATCGGCACAGGCTATAAGTGTTGCTCAGAATTACTCTCAACACTCAGTCCGCAGATGAATTTAACTGGCTTTACCACACCGACTTAAGCTCAAAATAAAAAATAACTCTTTCAAAGAAAAAAAAGACGAAACAAAACATGGAAAGTTTTGTAAAAATTGGCTTCACCCAAATTTCTCTTGCTGCTTTGCCTAGGGGGGTTTGTTGTAGCCCCCCAGCCCCAATGGCACGTATGCCTATGGATGCTATCACCTATTTTTTCTTTAAACACATTATAGTTTCAGTTCAATTTCATGTTAGTGAGACGGGTCTGCAATTTGTGCCATCATTAAAAATAATCAACAGATTTTTAGCACGAAAATCTAACCCACCACGTCATAATAAGTCTAGATCAAACACGCGGCGTTTGAAAAAGTTTATACAATTTTGGAGTGGTTCTAATAACATGAATACTGAAATAGAGCTAAAGACAAATGAACATCATATTACAGACCATATCAAACTTTTTTTGCATCTCAATATGTCACGTTTGATTAGAAAGGGAAGATTTTGTGGCCCTGATTGTACTGCGTAGTTTCTCTGAATCTGAGTGAAACATTGGTCTGTTGGTCAGTACGTGCTTCATTAGTGAACTGATAAGGATATCACAGTAAAGTTGTTTACCCGGTGTGTGAGTTCGAGTCGCTTTAGACATCCTTATCATTTAGCTCCAAGTTTCTTTATTAAAATTGTTATTTTAACATGAGAACTGACAGTTTGCATTTAATGAAATTCAGAAGGATATAAATAGGCGCGTACATAAGGAGATATATATTTCAGTCAACACGAACTATTCGCGCAAAGTAACCATCGGAGTATGGCGAAGCTTCTGATCTTCGCTGCTTTGTTATTTTTCTCATCCAAAACAGGAGTAAGTTCCGTGGGAACAACCACCAGTCCTCAACAACAAAATCCACATACTGTCGCTGACAAAGACCCATGTGAGGTACTCTTAAGCACGCTTTATCCACGATTATTTACGACAAAATTAGCATGTACTTCATGACGCGTTCATTTGTCATACCTCAGTTTATCACTGATGTCTGCCGAGCTAAGCACAAAAAAATCCCTCATCAATCATAAGTTTTCAAAGACAAAGTAGAACATTGCTGAATAAAATTTCTTTTAAGGGGTATCTCTACGTATACAACGTTACGAGATCATTCGATGTTCCGAGCTGTTTCTCTTAAAATGAAGCTAAATTCTCATCAAGATTAGTTTCTGAAGAAACTGCTGTGCTACTTCGGCTAACATGTAAATATCAATGAACATCAAGTACGTCCATCAAATTACAATACGTTCTTTTTTCTTCATCAGAAATCCACTTTTGCTACCGGATTTTCTGGGATTCCAGGATCGAATGGCATACCAGGAATGCCGGGAATTCCTGGCGCCCCAGGGCCACAAGGACAACAAAGAAAAGATGGAGCTAGGGGGGAGCCTGGTGTCAAGGGACCGAGAGGTATGCCGGGAACAAGAGGATTAAAAGGAAATCCAGGGTCACTGGGTAAAAATGGTGCACCTGGAATGATGGGAATAAAAGGAGATAAAGGTAATGAAGGGTCACGTGGCAACAATGGACCGCCAGGAATCAAGGGTGTGAAAGGAGAGCAAGGATCTAAAGGGGAGAAAGGAGAAATCGTGAATAGTGCAGTGTCACAGACCAACTGGAAACAGTGTGCGTGGAAAAATGAAGATGGTAGAGATAGTGGAAAGATTAAGGTACAGAAATATCTAGAAAATGCAATGAAAAATGAGTTAAGCATTAGAGCTAATTTGTCATGGCCATCTTTGAAAGAGACTTTTGAGAAACGCAGCCGAACTAAAAATATCAATTAACAATTCTGTGCATTCTAGCAGGCAGGAAAAGTACAAGGTCATCATCAATTTTTTTTTCTTTACCACTCTTTGACTGTATTCATGACATTTTTTATAGGATTGCTCATTTAACAAGCTGCAGTCTGATACAGCTATTAGAGTCTCGTTCCAGGGAAATACGAGAGTGAGAGGCACTTTAAATAAATGCAATCGGTGGTTCTTCAAGTTTAATGGAAATGAATGCAGTGGACCAATGACAATTGATGCTGCTGTGTACAACAATTGGCCATCTGGGAATCCTCAGCTGCTTCATCACAGATCATTTGAGGGATACTGTGAAAACATTCTACAGGGTAGGGTTACTGTTGAATTATGGGTAGGACATTGTCCCAGTGCTTCTCCATTAGGCGATGCTTCCGCTGGATGGGCATCAGTATCCCGGATAATGATAGAAGAAGTGTCTAGAGCCCAGTCCTAATCAGCCCTGTCATCTTCACCTGAGGATTGGGGTAGAACATTCTCTCTTCATTCATCCATTATTTTTGATTATCATTTTCTCACATTTTCCATACTGCCCAAACACTGAAGTCAGCATTTATAACAAGTACTATTTTGCCCTGATAATGTTGGATGTTATGAGGATTGCTTTATTCCAATTTAAACCTTCTGCTTCTTTTAATCACATGTACTTTTCTTTGTATTGTTTAGTTTATGCTATGTACTGTAGATACCTTTGTCCCCTCCTGAAATGTTTTTCCTGAATTATTTTAAGTCTGTCTCTGCATTACAATAAAACTGTTTGACATGTGTTAGTTGAAAAATGATCATTTCTTTAATCATTAGTGATACAACTGTATGTGCTTCTTTGCATTTTTGGTTACATTACAAACCAGATATGATCTTTCATAATTTGCCATTATTTCTATCATCTTTATCTCAGTATGTTGTAAAATAGTCTTAAAACCTTTAAAAACATTAAATGAAGACAAAAGATTCATAACGTAATTACAAATTGAAGGGAAAATGTTTATCATGAAATTTCACAACCGATTCAATATTTTACAATTAGATGGTATACACTAGTCTCTTTTTATGGAAATATATTTTCTCCATCCTGTTTGTTCTGGAAAGTCCTTTGGATTTGGGGGTACATCTGGAATTTCCTTAAAATAAAAAGTAGATACAAAATATCAAAGGGTCAGTGAGCACAGACAGCCCAAGCCTATAACAAGAGTATCTATCATTTTTCTTTTTAATCAAAAGATGAGATGTAAAGTGGCAGTTTCATTAAGCAAAACATTGCTCTTGTCTTGGTGAAGAAGTCTGTTGTATCACAGATTTTGAAATATTTTGAAATTTGAAAGAAAGTAAAAAGTTTTAGTTACAAAAGCAAGGTTTTATATTTGTATTGTATTTAGACGTTAAGAATTCATGATTATAAAATAAACTTCCTTTGCTTAATCACTTTGTATTGTCCTTTACTTGATCTCACTGAATGTAATTAGGTAAGTTAATAAAACATATTATTCTCATTTTCCTGTTTAATCCTTACTCATTCCCAGTCCTTAGTCACTTTTTGTAACATAGGGCAGAGGAGAATTCAGTTGGAAGCTGATTGTGTACTTCATATACAACTTGCAAAAGGTCTGCTTTAGAGAGAATCAAAACTTTTCATAACAATTTTGCCCAGAGTTTCCATGCCTGAAAGTGGAAAATTACCACCAACAAAGAGCTTCACCTAAAAATGGCAGCTCCAGTTAATTATAGAAATAAGTGAAACCTACAATCAATTCCAAAAAGTGATTAATGGGAAATTTCTCTCCATAATTCCACTGTATCATTCAGTATGCAAGTGGTAAGAATAATTTAACTTATCAGATACAAGATACAACTCTTAATTCCCTGAGCTTTATAACAATTGTTATATATAGCAGCTAAGGAGAATAAAAAATTACAAATATGAAAAGAAAGAGTCAAGTTTCTGGACTGTAAAAAAAAAAATATGATTCAGCTGCTCTTTCCAACAAGTTTTGTTTTAGAAGTGCAAAAAGGGAAACCTTGCTGAAATGTAGGTAAATCAAAGGGTAGTTTTTCCAGCCAGGATCTTCTATCTCCTGTGCTCATGAACCATAAAATAAAAACAACAAAACAACCTCACCAGATTTGGTCTGTAGTACAAGTGCACCACTTGATTTCCTGCCAGGCAAGTTGCTAAACTGACTGCAAAGAAAGTTAAATATCGAGGCCAAGATACCCCAGCAGGCATCCTCAAAAGTTATATTTCTACACTCTGCTGTTTATTTGTGTTTTCTTGTTCTTGTTTTCTTCTTTCTAGACGTCTTTCTGATTCTTTTCTGACATAAACTTCATCTGTAAGACATACAAGTCAGAGGTTTGATCTTCATTTGTCTACTTTTTGGTTAATGTTTTCACTCTCAAGATCTCATTAGTAATTCTCCTTACTGTCTGGTACACAATTCTTGTGATGTGAGTTTGGAGAACTTGGTATTAGATCTGTTAAAAATAGCTACTTAATATTTTGATATATCCCCATCACTTTTCTAGTAAATATTGTATTGATATTGTAAGGAGAAACTCTGTTTTGGTCACTCATGGGAGTTAAAAGGTTAGCAAAGTATTTTTAACAGAACTAATGGTTTCCATCTATTATTTTGCTTCAGCTGAATCATTTTATACCAAATCTCTCTCTAAGATAATTTAAAATAAAAGGAAACAGTTAAAGGTGAAAGATTTTTGTAACATTTTGTGACATTTTGTGACTACGAAAGGAAAAATCTGCAAGCGATCCGCACACGGGAAACAAAGTCTCACCATTCAAAGTGGACGTGAATAGTTCATATGGAAACTTATGCGACAAAAATGACCCACTCAAAGTAAAATTTGTTCGTACTGTTGATAAGGCTTTAATTAATAAAAAGAAAACAGTACTTTTACCAGATCAACGTACACGATTAATAGTTAAGCTCACTTACAAAAAGTTTCCTTTCCAATGCGAACCTTTATCATAAATAGCTCAATTCCAGCTCCAGCAATGAAAAACAGCGGCAAGAATCTATAGACACCGAGGCGCCGTTTAATTGTTCTTATCTTTTCTTGAAACATGGAATTCTCAAAGGTGAAAAAGCCTGCTACAGTTCCATACAGGCAACCACGTTGAAAGTCACCATATTTAAATTGCCAAATACCTTTGACTTTTTACCGCTGGTCTCTTTACTACGGGCGCATAACTTTCTTGTAAACAGAAAGAACGATAAGCTTTTGGGTTTGGTGAGTGTGCACGTTTTCCCTGGTTCAGGACTAAAACTTAACGCGATCACGGATAACAGGATGCAGAATCAAGAGGAATCTCTTCGTTACAGCCCATACTTGTGAGTAGTATTCATATTTCTGCCCTAACCCTGCACCAAAAAAAAGCTTTCAGAAAAGAAAATTCAGCTGTTATTATATGCTTTAATGGATTAAGCATTTTAACCAATTATAATTTTTTTGTTTTGCAGCACAAAAAAATCAGGAGCTTGTGATGAAGCTAAAGAAACAAATAATTTGAAATACGAAGGCAAAAGCACCGGGAAAAGTCCTAAAAAGCCAAGACGTCCACTGAAAAGATTTGGAGAAATGTCTGAAGAAGATGTGTTGAAACTAAAGCTTCCAGAACATTTAGACTACAACCTAGATATTCTGTTTGTAAGCATATTGATGTATCTTATATGGCAGTCTGGAGCTTCAGAAAAAAAAGTGGATTAGAAACATTTTCATTTAACCACGAGAGGGTCTCTGACATTAATTTTCCTGGACTAGTGTTAGAGTTAGAGAATTAATGGGACGTTTTATTTCAGATAGTGGTTGCTAGATTGATAAAACTCAATAAGTAATATGTGCATCTCTTTTGGACAAATTTATCGCTCCTTTCTCTTACAGGTTGGAATAAATCCAGGCTTGATGGCAGCCTACAAGGGACACCACTATGCGGGAGCAAATAATCACTTCTGTGGGTAAATTATTTATTTGCTCACATTTAATGTATCCGTTTTCAGAAATTCATCACTAGTTAATTTAAATAAATATAAAAGTTACACTGAGGCTCAATTCTAAGATTCCCATAAATGGTTCATATTTCTAGGAGATGAATTAGCCCCAGTCCTTTATGCTGCTCCTGGTTAGCTCTTGGCTGACATTTGGTTGTCAGATGATCATTTCGTCTTGTTGATTCGATCATTCGGGTTGCTTCTTTACTTTGCTTCTGACTCCCTGTCCTGGGACTCTCCATAAGTGCCAAGGGAAAATTAATTTTAACCTCCCTGTACCATACCAACCCTTGAAGTACACTAAACTCTCTTTAAAATTTAGGAAAGTGTTTTTCCCTTAATAAAATACATGTAGATGAAATAAAGGAGCATCAAGAGATGATGTTAAGAAAATGAAAAGCAGTACCATGAAGTAAAAATGTTTATGTTGTAGGGCCTTGTTTATATGAATCAGGACTGGTTCCTGAGAGGCTGACATACCTGGATGATGTAAGATGTCCATCATATGGAATAGGATTAACAAACATGGTGGAGCGAACAACAAGAGGAAGTGCTGACCTTTCCAGGTTAACAAAGCTTGATTGATAAGTGAATGGTTAATAGGTCTTGTTCACAGTATATTGATTGTAATAGACAGTCCTTTTTCATTTAGCAGTACTTGTTTCACCCTAACATCTGTATGCATATTCTCCATACTGTTCTCTATATTTTTCATAAGGTGTTGACAAGGAGAATTTGTTTGACAATCAAGAGTTTCTTTAGTTGGTGATCATTTCCTTTATTGTGGTAACTTAAATATTTGATTTAGGGATTCAGTGTGGAATTACACACTAGTCACTTTAGGGGTCTTAGAGTTGAGAAATATTTTGGGCAAAGTTAAATCCTGAAACTTTCCTTAAAAAGTGATAAAATGTTAGAATTACACAGCTCTAAAACAAATTCATTCCCATTCATATAATTCCTTCACCTGCAGAGAAATTAGTTTTGCTTCAGACCTTTCATCAAAATATTAAAAAAATATATAATTGTTTTCACACCAAGAAATTATTTACATCATTTTTTCGTGTGGATTTCCACGTTAACCTCTTTTATGGTCACATAAGATCATCCACAGAAATACTCGTTGCTGTCAAATATTCAATGAATTGCATTGTTTCACAGAAAGGAAATGAGAGATGGTAAAGATGGGCTCATACGGAAAGTGGAGCTGTACAAACCATTGATAGTCTGTTTTAATGGAAAAGGTTGGTACATGAATGGCAGTAAAGAAGGCAATCTCTGCATAGAACTCCTTCATCTGTTCAAGAGTCTTGGTGTAAACTTTTAGAAATTATCTGCGTTAAAAAGTTAGTTCTGGACCCAGTTGTTTGAAGGCCAATTGGCACTAACCCAAGGTTTAATTTTCATCTTCATTTCTTTATTTCTTTGTTCTAAAGCCTTTTTTTGGAATAATTTTCTCCATTATTTTTAGAGCATCCAGTCTTCAAATTGTATGCAAAAAGAGTTACTGGTATACTGAATTTCTCTTAAAGCTTTCTTATCTGAAATTATGATTCACACTAACCCTAGGTTATCTTAACCCAGCTTTGAACAAACCTGCCTTGTAGAAAATGGATAGGCAGTGTTTCAAAACTGAGGAAAAAGTGGGCTGTCTTTAGTGGATAGGTAGGCAATTCCAAGAACTTTACTTAATTTAATTTATTTTTCTACATTCCTTCAGTTATATACGAGTTATTTTCTGGATCCAAGTGTACAGTTGGTCGACAAAAAGATCCTATACCAGGAACCAATACAGTGAGTTTGTTTCTGATTTTGTCTCATCTTCATATTAACCCCAAAGGCCTTCCTTTGAGTTTTGTAAATTGACTGGTCTGCATGCAACAAGGAAGTGTCGGGGGTGACCTTTAACATATTTTAAATAAATGTTGTCTTCTACCTTATGGAGTACTTCAGATTATTAATTTGTCTTAGATCCAGTGTGGTTGTGATTAGCTCAAAAATAGATGTGGTCTTGCTGAAGTTTTGAAAATTCTTGGGCAAACTTTGGGATCACTGTCAGTATCTGAGTAACTGTACACCTACCTCTTCCCTACAACAGTCCACTGGGTTAGGGGAGGGGTAGGTGAGCAGTTGCTCAGATACTGACATCAATCCGAACTTTGTACCTGGTTTGTGAAAATGATAACAAAAATAATCAGTAGCTAATTGGTATCTGATGATGGCAACTTCATTGACCAAAGACTATAAACATAGTTGACAAGGTTTCAAGCTGCTAAAAGGGAAACATCACTGAAAAGGTCCTTGTTTCCTTTGTCTTCATAACTCCCCATGGCATTTCACATGAATTGTGTGGGTAACTCATGTTATACAAGGGCCATCCTGAGTAGTGCCACAGAACAACTTTTCAACTTTACTTATTGTCTTGTTTTAATTCTTGTCATCTGAAGGTCGTGTATGTGATGCCTTCCACATCTGGTAGAACACAAACATATCCTCGGGCCAGTGACAAAGTTCCCTTTTTCTTGGAGCTCAAAGCTCTTCGTGAAGAAGTGAAACAGAAGTCTGGGGATACATCTTGTTCAGATGGACAGCAAAAATATTAAGGAAAATTTTATATTACATTTATTTTTTCCGGGCGGGGGAATGGGGCATTTAGGTAATTTTATTTTGAACAAATGTCTGAGAACATTAGTCATTCGAGTAACCGGTCGAGTCGTCCAAAATTTATCTCACCAGAAGTCGTGTCCCCGAAACTAGATTCATGTAACTTAAAATTTTTAGTCATGTCGCCCGAAATCTGAAGTCATGTAGCCCGAAGAAACAATTACTTTTAAGATCAGACTTATAGACTGTAAATAGGCAATACAGTCGAAAAACCTTTATCACTCAAGCAGAACTCGTTTCCTACAACACCATGAAGACTTTGACTACACAGAAAACGATTAGATGGTCAGTATTGAAATATGTGTGAGTAACGACTCTAAAAAGTGAAGCACTGTTCGTTTGGTATGCAGTCGTTTCGTACCCACGAACGTGATTAACAAAAATCGGGCGACATGACTTAATATCTCGACTTTCGGGCGGCTTGACTGTAAACTGCTATTAGACGTTACCTGTTCAGTGTAGTAATAATCTCAAAATCACCGATCGCTGTTTTCTTTTGTCTCATTACGTATTCAAAATCACTCCGGTTATCACAATTTATCTGTTGTTAACAAATAAGTGTAAAAGTCATTTTAGTTTCAAGGTTTGTTACAAGTTTCAGTCGTTTCAAATTTTCCGATTTATCTTTATTAAAATTATCTCCTTACATTTTTAAACATAAAAAGCGATGCCAGCATAAAAATTCTATTTATAGTCGAAACTATTTATTGTAAATTTTCTTATTTCAAATTTATGATAACACATGTAAGGTCTTGTGACACCAAATAACCAAAAATCTGCAGTGTATAACATCAGGAGTTTCAATAAAACCCGGTTACCGGCGGTCTACCGCTGGCCGTAATACCTCTTACCGCCGTCTGTTTAAGCCCTGAACAGGCTCTCGCGTTTGGATTTCACCTCGTGATCACGGCCCTCTTCCGAGCACAGTAACCTACAGTATTACGCCATCGGCCCCCGCTTACGGAAAAAGTTATTGGAAGCCTTGTCTAAGATAACGAATTCGCTCTGACGAAGGGCTAACGCCCGAAATGTTAGCTTTAGAAACTCTTTGCGGTGGCTAATTTACATTATCAAATCAGTTGATAAAACAAATTTCTCTTGTTATACTCCTTCACCGAACTTATTGCCTTTACACTGAATTTGTGTCGACCACTCATTTGTTTCGATAGAAACACTTCTTCTTTCAAGTAAACTCTTCAGATTAAGTCGCCCAGGAGGTTTTTATAAAACAGTCAAATGGCGCACCTATGTGTTCAGCGAGATGCTAGCCGTCCACTAAGCACGTCGTAAATAAAAGAATGTAACAGTGACGTGCATATCCGACCTAAGCAGATTGGAACAAATTTGTGATAAATAATTTTATTACCAAGGAACGAAAAGGGTTCCTATATTCTAATTTGCTACCCCGCTCAAACGAATATAAAGCATTTACATGTAATAGGCAACCGTATTTGGGGTGTGTCAACACGAGCCGTATGCGACCCTTTTTGTTATGTCTTGCAAGCAAAATTACAGAAACTCTGAAAGGCTCAAAATATAACATGCAAACAACTAATAATACAAAAAACGCACTAACTCACGCAAATTCTTTGTAAATATGTATATGAAAAACTGACAGCAAAATTACAGAAACTCTGAGAGGTTCAAAATACAGCAAGCAAACGACTGTAGTACAGTAAACGCGCTGAGTCTTACCCATGCTCTTTTTAAATATGTATATGAAAAACTGACAGCCCTCACTCATTGGTTATTTAATTTTGAGGGCGCAGAGACGTTCGTATGACGTGAATGAATACGAACGAAAGCATCGCAGTATATATACCAGCTCTCTGCAGATCTGCTATTGAAGCAATTGTAACGACATACGGTGCAACACTCCACATAATAGATAACGTGACCCATGATAACTTCATTTGCAATCGTTTTATCGGTACAATCAAGATTACGAGCAGGCACCATATTGCACGAATTTATTGCGCGACCAGTTGTGCGAAATGCTTAAAAATACAGGCGAATTATTTCTTAGTTTAAACATCAACACACAAAACAGCAAAAAAAAAATTCACAAGTAATGACGCTATTTTCCAAACTTGAAACATGCTCGCGCTGCAGTCCATGCGCATGCAGTATTGTGAGGCAAGTCCTCAGTGACATCATATACGCAAATCTTCATTTCCAAAGCTGTGAAGACGCGGAAGACTGTGCGGAATCTTGACAACAAATTTGTGAAAGTTCTCGCATCAGGTAAACATTTGATTTTATATAGTTATGATGGTTGTTATTTGTAAACAAATGACCTTTCTCTCTGGTTAAAATTCAAAATCCGTCGCTCTTAGTGATGGCGCGTTTCGCTTTTGTTTTCCATTTGACGACTCCAACGTTTTCCGGAAAAAAGTTAATGTCACGTTTACTCTTTATTAAAGGTATAAGGCTTTTTCTTCCTTTTTTCCTACTTGTTAGATACAAGTGTATATCTAGTTTTTATGAAAATGTGGTCCAAACCAGTTGGTCAGGATGATATGACCATGTTGAGAGATGTTTCAGATGAAGCTGTCGCTGAAAACCTAAAACATCGCTTAAATGCTGGAATTATTTACGTAAGTATTCAATTCAACATTTTACTTACGAGGTGCTTTTCTTGATTCGCGTTTCTCTTTACTGGGAAAAAAGGTGTTTCAACGTACTATTCTTTTCAAAACATTCAAAACCTTAAACATACCAGTCGATTAAAAATGAATTTGTATTTTTCTTGAGGATTTCGCGAATGCGGCTAGAGGCAAGAAAATGTTGATGACATTCTCTTGCCAGAGGTGTGTTTACCATCTATAACGGCGCCAAACCGGCGTTAAGTTCCAGACCACGCAAGTTTTTATGTTCTCGCGTTGTTGCTTTGCAGAGGACGGCTGGAAAATGTACAAAGTTATAGCGACGCTTTCGTTGTCTTTGCTGTATTGGATAGCTTAATGTCACTGTTAAAACTTTAACACATTATAGGGGGAATTTGTTTTTCAGACATACATTGGTCGAGTGTTGATTGCCGTCAATCCATACAAAGCCCTGGATATTTATGGCGCAGACACTCTTGAAGTTTATTGTAAAGATGGAAGTAAAGTTGATGAGCTTGAGTGTGAAATGAGAGGAATCACTGTACCTCTTCATAGAGATCGAGTATCACGCTGCTCCACAGCTAAGCTGCCAGCTTTTGAGCCTCACACAAAATATTTAGAAAATCTTAATACACACAAGGTAAAAAGGCATCCATGTATTGAAACTTTAATCGATACAAATTAAGGATTTCACTATTTTTAGCTTCTAATTAAATCAAGAATCACGATCATATTACCTAAATTCTTTCCATTGGCTTGCAATAAATTACTGTATTATCTTTAAAATTTTACCCAAAACTTACGAGGCTCTTAAAAGTTTGGCACCTTCGTATATACGCGATACTCTTACACCTTCCACCTTTTGCTTAAAAAAACGTACGGTGCAAGATCCTTTTCCGAGGCAGCCCCAACACCGTGGAATGCTTTGCCATATAACGTCAGAAACAGTTCGTCACTGTGTACTTTTAAAAGTGGACTTAAAACGCTTCTTTTCAAAAAAGCATTTTAAAACGTTTTTTTCAGTTTTTACATCATTTTAATATTGAAAAGCACTTTGAACATTCGGATACCGGCGCTAAATATATATCTTTACCATCGTCATGATAATTTATAGATTATTTTAGTTTATTTTTGACTAAGCAGGAAGATAGCTAATTGTTATCGCTCTTTTTTTTTGTTTACAGGGACCTAAGCCTCCTCATATTTACGGACTGACAACTGATATGTATCACAATATGATGATAGAGAAAGAAAACCAATGTGTCATAATAAGGTGTGAGGGTTGATAAATGAATAACTATAGCTCAGTTTTAGGAATTATTCCTGGAGAATTCGCTTGTTATAAAAATGGGACAGAGTTAGTATGATCCTGATAAGGATACGAAGCACAGACCTACTACAGACTGTCAACACGGGTCTGGCCAATCAGCCTGCATATTGTGAGAGAATGAAATAATTTCAGTTTAAATTTTCGTTTTTTCAGTTTAAAGACTAATGTAAGTTGTGCCAGATGATAAAGTTTGAACCAGCTAACCATGATCAAGCTCAGAGCGGTACAATCTTTTTTCATGTGATAGGATTTTGAGTTTGACCAACAGGCTCAGTTGGTCAAAGGGCGGATAAATCTATCCAACGAATAAATCCATCGGATAGTGATTTATCCAATGGATAGCGTTATCCACTCTTTGAACAACCGTGGTCAGTACAGACACTACATCTGATTACTGCGTTCATATCGTGTCGCCGACCACTTTATCACTTATTTGTCGTTTGGGAAGAGGAGGCTCATTCTCCTTTAACTTCAACATGGTTTGTTGATTTCTCAAATTGCAGTGGTGAAAGTGGAGCTGGTAAGACTACATCTGCACGGCACATACTCAGTTGTATTAACAAAGTTTCTGGCCGAGAATCCGACAGAATACAGGTAAATATGCCTCGCTCTGTGAGTACTGATTATTTTCTTTTTCCCCTCTAAGTAATCACAGATACTAAAGAACTTGTTTTATTTGTTTCCTGTTCAGCATATTAAGGACATCATAGCTCAGTCTCAAGTTGTACTGGAAGCGTTTGGGAATGCAAAAACCATAAGGAACAGTAACTCAAGTAGATTTGTAAGTTAATTTTGTACTCTCAAAAAAAGACAGAGACAGGAATGACGCAAAAAAATTAGATTGTTTCCTCAATTGACAGGGAAAATACCTTGAGATACAGTTCAACCAGAACGGGCAACCAAATGGAGGAAAAATCTACAAATTTTTGCTAGAAAAGGTCAGCTATCCACTAATCACTAGTTCTGTTTACCATTATGTGTGTGTTACTCTTAAAAGTTATCAGACTTATTTTTTTCTTTGTTGCAATTACTTTTACATTAATTTTCAGTATCGTGTAACTCACTTGACACAAGGCGAACGTAACTTCCACGTGTTTTACCAGCTGTTGTCCGGCTGTACGAGCAAGGAAAAAGGTAACTAAACCTTCGTTTTTATAGACATTTTAAATGCTGCTTTACACCGATGCATTTCCGTAAGTATGGGAAAATAGCTAGAAATCTTCTCGATTGAGTGTCGTAAAAAACAAAATTAAAGAAACCACAAAGGCCGATCAGAAGAATGGAGAATACATGTACCTTGAAGAGCTAATGAGAACATAAAGTAGAAACAACCAAACTGCCTGAAACGCGGGAAAATGCGAGCGATCAAGTCATATTTGGTTCTAGTTTTGCATCTGATTGGTTGAGAGAGTAGCTGGAGTTTTTCTGACCAATCACAGAGCGAAGTTAAGCAAGAGTACAATGATGTTAAGTTAATTTTTGTTTTTCAGGTCAGTATGGCCTTCAAGGAAACGCGGAGAATTTTTTCTATCTAAATCAAAGTGAAGTGTACACTACTGACAATAAAGATGACAAGAACGACTTTTTAGCAACAAGGGTGCGTTGATAAGAAAGTTCTACATACTTTGTGAAGGATAGCGCAACTGTTTTTAGATTTTCTATGTGGTAAAAACAGGCTAGAACACGGCTTACGCCCGAACGGACTTTTTTTGATTAAATAATGTTTACGATAAGATGAAGCCAAATTGATATGGGAGACTCAATTGAAATGATAGAGGAACACTACACTGAATACGTGACTCACTATTTTATTTCAGACTGCACTGGACGTGATCGGCGTAGACACTGCGAAGCAACAGATAATCTTGAAAGTGTTGTCCGCTATCCTAACTCTTGGTAACATTGAGTTTAAAGAAACTGAAAATGTGGCCTGTCCAACTAAACAGAACTGTAAGAATTTTATTTTAATCTCGTGAAACCAATCTCTTGCGTAAAATTTATCTCATCTAAGACATAACTCTTGTCAATCATCGCAGAGCGTCGTTAAGGTTACAAATTACAGTTAAGTTCAAGTGTTACTTAATTTCCCCTTTGTCTTCCGTAGCTATCACTGTGAGTGACCCGCGCATAACAGTCATTAAACAAGTGCTTCTGTCTTTGCGTTAGCCACAGAAGGTCTTAAGATCGTGATACTCAACGTAAAATGTTGATTAGCACCATAAAAGCAAGAACTTCGATTTTACATTTCCGTTAACAATCCTGTATATCAAAATGGTAGTTTGGATTTCTGTTGTTCTTCGTGACTTTTAGAGACACAAATTTTACCTTCAGACTCTGTTGATTTAACTTTTCCATAGTTTGCTATAAAACTGACATGTTCTGCTTCTATTTCGTTGTATACATCAGTGCTTGAAAGCCTCTCTCAAATGCTCGGAATTAATAGAGAGAGCTTAGAGGAGAAACTAGTGAGGTAAGAAAATAAGAAAAAGCTAAGAAAAGTAAGGTTGTACCCATATTATGTTAAGAAGTTGGCACTTGAGGTTGAAATGACCCGAAGAGATTATTTTTTTGAGAATTTTTTTTTTTGTTATTAAAAATAGTGTCTTCGTGGAAACTCGCCGCGGCGGAAGAGTTGAAATAACAAAGAAAACCAACAACAAATGTCAGGTGGGTATCATTGAATCCCATTATTTTGTTTCTGTCCTGTTTTTTTTTTTAATATGTTTCATATCTTTGTACATCCACAGGCAGTGGCTGCCCGCGATACCCTGTCTAAAGCCTTATACTCACATTTGTTTGATTACCTCGTCAAGGTTCGTAACACTTATTTACTCTAGCTATTCGTTCCGTCCGTCCGTTCGTTCGCACTTCCTTACTTTTTTGTTTCAATCGTTCCGCTTAATTAATCATACTTACTTCGAGAACAGGTTATCAATGGTGCCCTAAAGAAAGATAACGACTATTTATCCATCGGAATACTGGACATTTATGGATTTGAATCTTTCAAAGTGAGTATACCTCTTCTTTCCGTCTGTTGCTCTGCCATGCCCAGTCGAAGTAACTTTTTCGTGTTCGTACATTTTTTGTGCAAAAAGTAAGTAAGGTCTGTACTCAAGCCAAGTAGCCCACCTACCCCCCGCCCCCCTCTCCAAAAGCCGGAGTTTATCTCAGCTTCCCTAGCATGAAGGGACTTGGATTATCACTTCTCCTTTTGGATGAGATGGTAGTCCATCCTAAGGTGTTACCCCGCAGCATGTCATCAGACTCCCTGGCAAATTGCCAGCACCCATTTATACTCCTGTGTTGAAATAGGCCCTGTGAGAGTGAAGTGTTTTGATCAAGAACCTATCACAATTACCCAGCCAGATCTCGAACCCGGACCTCTCGACCCGAGAGGTCTTGCACACCAACTATAAGACCACTGGGCTTCCCACGTTACTTTTGTGTAAAATGCGTTTTTGACTCATTACCAGGAAAATAGCTTTGAACAGTTCGCCATCAACTACGTGGACGAGAAACTTCAACAAGTTTTTGTGGAACTTACATTTACAATTGAACAGGTAATGAAGAAATTCTTTCTAAATTGGAATTTGCTTTACAAATCAAGTGTCACCAGTTTAACATGGTTGTCATTTGAAGGAATGAAAACAGTTCAGTTGTACAGTGTCACTTATGAATAGCTAACCTTTATCTTATCAGGAAGAATATATCAGAGAAGGTATTGCCTGGAAAACCGTAAATTACTTCAATAATAAGATAGTCTGCGACCTCATCGAAAGCAAGGTATGCTACATTTGTTTTGTAACGTATTGTCTTTCTCAAGATCTGCCTCTCAATGTTGAGCATCGGTCATCAGATAATGTTTCGTGTCCAAGTTGCATGTATAAGACGTTTTCTTCTCCCATAGCGCCCTTCGGGAATCATGTCAGCCTTGGATGAAGCATGTTGCCCAGTGAAAAGCAAAAAAGAAGGATCTGAGAGGACTTTTGAACAGGTTAAACAGAAATTAACTAATTTTGATTTATATCAATTACTACTTGAAATCTATATTTGTTGCTCGAGTTGGTTCTATTATTCCTTACTATTATATATATTTATATATTTATATATTTATTATTACTTACTCTTCTGCCTTGCATTTGTATTTTTTTGAATAACTTTTCTCGTCAGAAAATGAGGGAGATCGTTGGTTCCAATAAAGCGCATCAGGAATTACTTCAAGTTCACCATGACTACTTTACAGTGAAACACTTTGCAGGGAGTGTAAGTTTGTAAAGCACTTGTAATTCATGATCACCTCACGAAATTGTGTCGTTAAAAAAAAGTAGTCAATCTCTGTATGAGTGCTGAGTCATGGAATGTTTTCTCATTTGAAATAGGTTGATTACGAATTCGGCGGCTTTCGCGAGAGAAACAAAGACGAGCTGTCAAATGATCTAATATCTTTGATGCAGTCAAGTGAAAAGTATGAATACTAGTAATCGTTACGCTATTTGTTATTTGACTGTTAACTTAACAGCGACCGACCTCTACCTTTAATTTTTAAACAATGTTATTCACACCAATGAATCATAAAAGAAAGCTATCGAACGTTGCAAGCACAATGAATTCATTCTGAAATTATGGACTGCAGGCTTCATGATACTTAAAATTTTTTCTTTAATTCACGGCATCTGAAATTAAACTTACATTGTGAGTTCGCGGGCTCAAGATTAGTTCACTTAAAGGTGAGTGCCTATCGAATTACCAAAAAAAAAAAGATTAATAAAAAGGATGGAACCTTCAAAATTATGACTCATGATTGATTTCATTAATGCATTCTGTATTATACTTACGGAAATGGAAATGTCGGAAATGTACCTTGTTTTTTCAGTTTGTTTGTTTGTTTTTCTTTTTGCAGTTCATTTGTCAGAGACTTGTTTCCTGAAACAGTTTATGGCGTAGGGCAAGGAGAACATAAAACAAACACTGGCTCTGCTAAGATAAAGGTCAGCAAGCAAAACCAATCTAGACCTATATATAAACCATTATTTTTTCCTGTCGGTCAATTTCTTTCTAGTTATTCTTCCACAATTTCAGCTGTGAGATACCATCGTCTGAGATATTACTCTTTCAACGTTACCGAACATTAATTTTGCCCACAAAATTGTTGATCCTATAATTTGCCAGGTAGCTTAATTACAATTTCTGCAGCATTGATATGTTTCTAGTTTCCATTTCTTACTCTCTATCCGAAACTTGTCTCCGATCCCAAAATAGAAAATCATTTTTTGTTTCATTTACAGTTTCAGACAAACGGTGTGATTGGCAAGATCATGGCATGTAGTCCACATTACGTCAGATGCATCAAAACATCGGAACAGAAAACTCCACTGGCCTGGAACCAACAAAGGTACACGACATACATATATCTTAATGAACGTTTTGGTATGTAGTATCCCTGGGTATTTTCATGAGTTGTGCCGTATTTTGACGAGCCCGTAGGGCGAGTTAAAATACAACAACGAATAAAAATACTCAGCGATACTACACACCAAAACGTCCAATAAGTTCTTTATTATCCAATTGTTTTTTTTTTCTGCTGAGTCTTTCAGTTCATTTCTCATTAGGCGGTAAAAGCAAAGCGGATAGAGAAACGTAGTGTGTGCAGCTGACTGGTTAAACAGGTTTTTTTGCAGTACAAAATAACCAACTGTCCAAATAACCGTAAAATATCGCAGGATATTTTTACTTTATTCACACGTTGTTTGTACTCTTCTTTGTGCAGTTTGATAACAATCACCTTTATTCTACTGCTAAACTAAAATGCTAAACTTGCCAGAGAAACAGCTTAAGAAAAAGTGCTTAGACCGCACTCATTTCATTCAACGAGCGGTTTTTATGCTTATCAAGCGCGTAATAGAAAGACTTCGGTAAATTGGGCGCTCACGAGAAAATTTAACGTTAGAAAGTTATTGTCCTCAAATTCGATTGCTTAACTGTTACAGTCAGTTAGTCTTTCTAAACCAGTCAACAATATTTCTCTTCTAGGGTTATTAATCAGATACGTTATCTTGGACTCAAAGAGAGCATTGTCATCAGAAAAACAGGATTTGCAATCCGCAGAAATTTTGAATGTATCTTAAGAAGGTAACCAAAAAGGGAAATAAAATTCCACCACGTTTCATTTAAGCATAAATATGTCAGTGGTTCAAAGGGAGGATAACGACATCCTATTGACAAATTGCTATCCAGCGGATAAGTGTTGATAAAACGTATTGCACTATACGCCGCATGGAGATTTATCCTCTGGATAGTGTTATATACCCTTCGAACAACCGGGCCAGGTTGTTAAGATTCAATAGTATTACGGGCACCCGACTCGAAAAAGATATTATCATCTTTTTAAGTGCAATCAAAGTTGTACAAATGGAGAAATATTCTCTCAATAAACATCCACACGATGTTGTCACCATTGTAAAACTTGATCTAAGTCAGTTCTTTCTTTAACTGTGCAAACATAACAGGTTTGGAATAATTGCTCCAGAAACCAAACATGGCTGGTCAGGTGACCGTGCTGAAGCTTGTCGCTTTATACTTAAAGCCGCTGGATTTGATTCTGGAAAATGGATAATTGGAAAAACAAAGTTATTTCTTAAAGAACCTGATGCGGTAAGAACACGGCTGGTGCGCCTTAAAGAGATTTTCAATTGAGTTTCGAAAGTGATCCGAGGTTGCTTTGGTTTGGGCTTGTACTTCGCTCTCTGATTGGTCCCTAAAACTCGTGCCACTTTCTCAACCAATCAAATGCAAAACTAAAACCAGCCAGGACTTGGTCGCCCGCGTTTTCCCGCGCTTTAGGCTTACTTTGAGTTAAAGGTATTTTCCTTTCTCCTGATTGGCCGTTGTGATAACCTTGGTTTTGGTTTTCGAATCTTAATCTAAAAGCGCTCTATTCTCATCAAGTAAATTACTTTTATTTTCTTAATTTCAATTGTTTTGGATACGTATTGCAGTGGTATCGACATAACCGACTGATTGATGTAAATAGGTGGTTATTGATCCTTATGGGTAGAACATTAATACAAATCTTGAGCTCCACTATAGAGTTAATTGTTGATCTTTGATGATTAGCTTCATGATCTTGAGAACATAAAGAATAAACGCATCAACGAAGCTTGTGTCGCGATCCAAAGTAATTACCGACGTCACAGTCTGGAGAAACAGTACAACGAAAAGAAACAAGGTACGGCTTTCAATAGAATTTCGGTTGTTACTTTGACTTATGCCGTCTCATGAAGAATACTCGTGAAATACGAAGGCCTTCGTTATTGATTGTGACATTCTAAACATAATCCATTATATTTAGTTGATACCCTCGTAATTTGTCGAAAACATTGAACACAAGAGGTGGATGTCTAAAATATCGTATAGTTTTCACATACCATACTTTTGGTCTATAAGCTTGCGCCCGAATTTGTTATTTCTTATGTTATTAATTTTCTACAGATTTTAAAATATTTCGTCATACAGTCTTTCGACTATAAAGACATAATTATGTGTTTGCCAACTAAGGCGAGCCGTGGTTACCCTTTAACTTTTAAAAGAGATGAACATGCAACGTCTCCCTATGGTGTCCTTGAATTATCCAGCAAACAGGCAATGAGAATACTCAAACTTATCAAGTAGAAGTTGTTATTCTGATCTAAGACCAAATTCTCGTAACTCATGTTTAAAAAGGGAATGTGTAGCAGCTATTGGGGAGAATTTACAATCAGATCTTGGGATTCAAAGAGTTTCAACTCTTTAAAAGTACTGAACGAAAGATCGGTTATTTGAACGTTCATTAGAATGCATATATAAGCACAGGGAAAGCAGGTATGTGATGATACCTTTTACCTTACGTTGCTCAAATAATTGTGCAAATGAACTGATGTCTACAAGTGAATAAAGGGGGTAAGTTTCTAAAGAAACTATGGTGCTACGTCGGTGGTGGAGTATAACAAGTAATTTAGTGTTAACAACTGAGTTTAAACGTAAATTGGCCACCGTAAAGAGTTAAAAAGCTGACGTTTCGAACGTTACCCTTCGATTCAATCGCTCTGAGAAGGGCTAACTCTCGAAACGTCAGCCTTTTAAGACTTTATGATGGCCAATTTACGTTTTCAACTCAGTTGTTAACAATACATTACCTGATGTCTACAAGTCAGTACACGTATTCACAGTATGTCACTTACTCTTGGTTCATTCCTTTTCCAGCCGCTGTTTTAATTCAAAGACGTTATCGCGCTTATCGACTCAAAGTAGGTAGGTTGCTTGCAGCTAAGCTGAGGGAGCCTTTCTTTTTTCAAATTCACACCTCACCTCATTATTAACCACTTGTCTCCGAACCACCGACAAGGAACCGATTCTTGGCTAAATGAATTTCCCACATGCTGAGATTGTAAAATTTTAATTTAGTTTAAGCGTTTAGAAACGCATCTCAAGTGAACGACAGAGTGCATTGCACGTATCAAAAGATAAATTTTAAATACACATCATCTATTTTTTGATCGCACGGTCATTTAAAATTATTGGCACAAGCTTAGCGATATAATGACAACGTTGATACTTAAATTCGACTTTTTCATTTTTAATTGCAGCCTCAGAATTCCGAAGAAACTCATTTGCCTCAGGAATGGAGTGGAAACCTCAGAATTGGGATATACTAGCAGAAATGTTTCAATCCACAAATGAATTAAAAGATGAAAGAAAATCAAATTCTGGATCTTTTACAATATTGATGAAAACGATATTTGGACCATCAGGAGGCGGGGTACACTGCAAAGGAATATGGCTTGAACTTTCGGAGCGATCATTAACAACAGCCACAAAAGAAGTTTGCCTCCATATCTGCAATTGCAAAGAAGAATTTGCACCCCTGAAAACTGGAGAACACTTCATAAGTGAGCTTGTGGCCTTAGGACCAAACAAAGATCCATTGAGAGCTCCCGCAAAATTGTGCCTTCCTCTTTATGATGATATGTGTGCAGATCAGGAATTGCTTCTACGATGGTCACCAACTCAAGTCGGTGAAGGGGCGCAATGGAAGGACGTGTTTCCAGGAACTTTAAAAGGAAAATTTGCCGGACCTACCGTAATACTACAGATTGTTAATACTAAACAAGTCAAAGTAACTACGAATACGTTTGGTTTATTTTGTATTATTTCTCGAGAACCGTCAAAAATAGATAGTCATCAGAATCATGATGAAGGTGAAGCAAGGAGGGGAAGTCTTCTTTCTCAAGGAATATCTGGTTTTATCAAACTAGTGGGTCAAAAGTTTAAGAATGAAAAGGAAGAATGGTTTGAACAAGATCAAGAAAGATCTGAACAAATTGCTTTGATAAGGTAGCGTAAGCACAATAAACGAATGGTATGTCCGCATTGTGTGAAATCATGTTTCTAGATTTCAAGTTATCTAAGGATAAAATACTTAAATTTTTAACTCCGAATATTGCATTTCCAGTGTTCTGATTGGTTCATCCAACTCCGGTTAACAGGTCATATTCCGAGTCAACTTAAATGGGAATGCATTGCACCAATTGTTGCGGAGCTAAAAAAAAGCTGCAAACGTTCAGGATTTAATGAAGTTTGATAAAACAATTAATTTATTCGCACTTGTTGGATACGAAACTAGTTACAGCCAACGAGTTGGCTATTTACCATCTCATATCCAACGCGCGCTCATGGAATAACTGTTAACTAACAATCCTTTGAACACGTCATCGAACTTTTGACAAAGGCCAGAGGTCAAATTATTTTAAATCAGCATCAACGTGGATTGGATTGGTTCGAATGTTTTGCAAAAGTCGTTCCATATTTCGCGTTACGTTTGACGCGCGTTCATTCAGTTTTACCTTAAAAGGCATTAGTCCTTTATAAATCCATATAGACGCTGCTACCCTCTCGTTTGGCCTTATTTCCTTTCTGCCCCCCGAAATTCTATTCTTTTGCGAAAACATGTCCCTCATGAACGCGTTTCAGAAGCATTTGTTTATGGACAGGAAACTGCTCTCTACCTGGAAAGTGTCTACTTTGCCAAACATGAATAGTTTTTAAACCAGTTCTCGGTCAAAATTTCCTCCCTCGCGCCTCTTCGCTGGAAAGATCACCCAGTTGCGCTGGTAAAGAGTTCCCCTTTATGAAATAGTTTCCCTACACAGTTTGAAAATTATTTTCGTTATTCGAGTTAAAAATATATAACTTTTTAGAAATAAGGTTGTGAGAAGGAAAGATTTTATTCATCTTTGATACGAAGAGCAGATTATTCCAGATGAGATTTTGAAACTTGATTTCCGGTGAAAAGGAATACATTTTTCAACTCCTGTTCAAATCTTTACATAAAAGTTTTGCCTTACATTGTCAACAATCCATCTTTTTCTTGCGTGCTGCCAACTGAGTAGCCAGTGATTTATCTCCCTTTGAAGTTTTAGAAGATGGAGCCGAGACTGAAGAAGGTTTAGGAGGGGGAGGGGGAGGAGGAGGTGGCGATGAGCCAGTGGAGGGAGGGTCCGGATTGGGCGGAGCAGGGGCGGAAGGGCCTGGGTTTGGAGGTGGGATAGAGGATACAGGGGACACAGGAGACGGGGTCACAGCTGGATCAGCTGATGGGGATGTTGCACAGCTATCCTCAGTGTCAGAAATATGTGTTTGCGTGTCGCCTCTCTTAAACATGTTTCCTATTCGTTGAAGCAATGTAGGTGTATCATGTGCTTTGGGTTCCTCGGTAGCAATTATGCCAAATATTCCAAAATGTTTAGTGAACACCCTTGCCTTGCCCTCGCTAAATTCAAGAGCGATTTGACTCTCATCAGAGCGGTGTTTCTTGTCACAAACAAAGACGTCACTCCAGTTAGCTTTCTCTCCTGATTGTGTTGGGGTCCAACGAAGAAACTGTGCATGGCTCGCCTCAACGTTCTCTTCAATAGGTAGACAAAGCTCAGCAAACATACACAATGGCTTTCCAAGAGGGCTGAGTTCCACCACATGGCTGACAATCTTTTCCGCGTCGCTAAGTGGGGCAACTTGCTTTTTGTCTCTGCACAGCTGAATACAAACTTCTTTAGTTTCTGATGTCAAGGAGCCTTCTGGAAGGTCTACAAGTACTTCTTTGCATTTCACGCTTCCCCCTGACGGACCGAATATTGCTTTAACCACAGCTGAGAAAGCGCTGGGATCTGGAGCATTGACACCATATGTGGAACTCAGTTTCCGCTCGACTTTGTCAACGGACATAGTAATGCTTGGAATTTTCTCAGTTTGCACTCCAGGAATTTCGACATCTTCAACTAAAGAACCTGTTGAATTTGATTCGGAAACTCAGTTCACACTAAAGGGGTAACATGACTGAAATGAATTATAATTGACTATCTGTGTTTTCAAACGAAATGTTTGAATTGTTGAATGCATGGAATGTACCATACGTGGTCAAGCTATGCTAGTCAAATAACTTCAGGTTATTGGGAGTGATGTCAACTGGGCAACCTATTTGTTTTTAGCGTTGGCGTTGACGAATAGATAACATTTTGCTATAATAATCAAAATGGTTTATGGCTAAATAGTAACGAGAAAGATTTAGCTTTCGTGCATTTTCTAAGCAAGTGTTAGATAGTGAGATAGTATGCATCTTATATAACAGGCTTTTCGAGGATAGAATGCGATGAATGATCTTATACTGGAACATTGAATTTTAGTTTCTTTCGAACTTATTTGAAGGTTATAAATGAAAAATCCACGATTTCATTCATACCTACATCAGCAGCAACAGTAAACGTATTTTTAGACGGTGACGTTTTTAATTTCGATTCGCCTTTTTCTAAGAAACAAACATGGCGGACATCTCCTCCTTTTATGTGAAAATCAACCCTGCAAAACAAGTAGTACTGTTTCGTCAATGCTATGAACTATTAGTTTAATTTTCTTCGATTGTTTTGATCGGCGCTTAGATGTATATATAAATATATATATATATATATATATATTGAGCTCGGATAACGTAGATTCGAAGATATTCTCACAGAGAACACACGTATTTTTGTTGACTTGTTTCGTTGACTCCTTTTTAATCCTCTGTTACATGTTTTTTTTCTGAATTGCTGGGCTGAAGCAATCCAATTGAATGTAATCAAAGAAGTTGATCGTTATCATGCGTCCAGATCAACTATTTGAGAATAATTAACCCTTTAACTCCCAGATCAACTGTTTCATTCTCCTTACTGTCAAACATGTAATTGCTATAATGTTAGTTCAGAGAATTTAGTATTGGATCAACTAATTGTCCCCGAATTGATATTTTTCTTTATTCTCATCACTTATCTGGTTAATGTTGTATTGATATTGTAAGGAGAAATTCTGTCTTGGTCACTCATGGGAGTTAAAGGGTAAACATAATACATGTTATTAAGCAGAATACTGCGTCATTCCCACAGATAAAGAGGTGTTTGGTATGCCTCGTAATAAACAATAGGGACCTTCGCAGTTAGGACGAAAATACTGAGGATACCGAGTGGAGTCCAATTCGGTCTGTAATGATACGAGAGATTGACAAAATCGGACGACCGCATAACTTTAGCATAACGTGTGTGAGTGGCGTTGAGTCCCGCATGGAACCTTAGATAATTTGCCGTCGAGGTTTCTGCTCTCAGACTATGCAAAGTTTGGTGATTTCACGAAGTTGTTTTGCAGAGGACAACTAAGAAATGCACAAGGTTTTAAAATGCACGTGCTGAGGTATTATTCTGCACATTAGATCTCTTGTTTTACCGTGTCCTCGTTGCCGTCGTCGTTGGGGTTTTCCTAAGGTCCCTATAGTCCATTTTACAGTTGCGTGCTTGGTTGCCAAGCCTTTGAACAGGAGTGCGGCTAAGGATGGCCTTCTTCTAATACAAATCTTGCTGCTTTTCAAATGCAAATGACTTTGTTATCATGCCAACTAAGCTTAACCAGATACTGGTTTTTATCACAACGTGGACAACTTCAGCCTCACTCCAAATCAAAGGCTTGGGAACTAAGTGCACAACTGTAAAATGACCTATTGAGGAATATCAAGTAAACTTGTAAGAGATTGAACAGACTAGTCTTACTTGTCAGACACATTAAGTTGCAGCTCAGAGTTTCTCTCCAGTTGATACACAACAGCTAATCTGTTTAGAGCTTCAGGAAGCATGCCACATTCAAATATGTTATCATATTCCTTGGCATGAAGTACAAAGAAAGAGTCGTCATTGGGGCTGAAACAACAACACAAGAGCTCAATGATTCATATTTGAGTGCAACGTAGGAGAATGCATTCTATTCATGTCGTTTTTCGGTCTCACCGGTTTTATGATATCGCGCGGGTATCACTTTTCAACTTTTCGACACCATTTTGGACTTACAAACACACATGTCCTTGATCTCATGCGGGTATCTAACTTCCTTCGGCCTGGATGCTGTGATTAGATATGTTGTTAAATTGCAGCCATTTTATTGAATGAAATGAGTTACTCTAAATAAATCAGAGTGCGCATCAATCAAAACTGAGAGTCAAGCCACCAATGGATGTTTGTAGGTTTTGTTTTAGGGTGGATTTTATTACAAAAATATCAATGCTCCATGGAGCGCACTTTTCTTATCCAGGATTATTACTGGTCTACAGTTATAGCTTTTAATGTCACACCCGTTATGGTTTAATTAATTAATCAACGCAATTGTGCAAAACATGTTCGAGCTTGCGGCAAAAACAGCCTCTTCACTGCACTGCTTATTCAGTAAAATAACATACCTCACTGTTACATGATTTATGTTAGTCATGGGTAGCTTCCGTCTAACTGTGAAAGAGGAATTCGTCTGTGAAAGTAATTGTAAACTTAAATAAGTGCACCGCTCGAAGGTGTAGAGATGGCTTGCAGTTTCCAGTGTGAAATGTAGACTGATTTTTCATTTACAATTCATCAATAGGCACGTCCTTCAACTAATATCTTTCATTTCATGTAGGATATGGTTAAACCAGTCAAGTATTGGTCCTCTGTGCCAAACTCATTAAAGAAGAAGACTGAGGTTGGTTAGTTCATGTTGTTAGCGCTGGAGTACCAAGCGGGAAGTCGAGGGTTTCAAGCCTCAGACCGAATCAACACTCAGGGTCTTAAACAATTGAGGAGAATGTGCCATCTTTATTATGATATCCTCGAATATCCACAAATGGTTAGACATTGTATAATCTTCTCAGATATAGACAATAAACTGTATACCCCGTCTCTTGCATTTTTTTCTGCACTGGTTAGCAGGGGACGTTAAAGGACTCACGCAATGCAGAGAGTAGAGAAGGCAGCTCCCGGTGCTGTGGTCCGCTGACCTTTTGTTATAAGAGACCTTAAGCAAACCACGACGGCGACGACAACGCGGACATGGAAAAACGAAAGATCTAATTGGCAGAACAATAGCTCAGCACTTGCGTTTTAAAACTTTATACATTTCTTAGCCGTCCCGTGCAAAACAACAACGTGAAATCACCACAATTTGCGTCGTCTGCGAACCGAAACCGCGACGGCAAATTATCTTAATTTCCATTTGGAACTCAACGCTTCTTTTATACGCTATGCTGAAGTTGAGACGGTAAACACATGCGGCCATTTTTGAAATTCTAATTAAAGGCAGAAATTCATTTTTTTAATCGAAGTCTTCATTGGCGTTGCCGTCCTTTCTGCTTAAGGTCCCTAATGTTCATACAATCCCCCTCTTTCAGTTTTAAAGCTGAACTGAGCCAGCCTGTCTAAATATCCCACTCTTACTTGAGTAATGACGTATAAGCAACTCGTTGTCAAAATAAGGAGGCGATCTTGTTCCTGTGACAAAAGAAAATGAATGTCTTGAGAAACAAACTTTTAACGACAGAAATGAAAGCGAGCGACCAAGCCTTACCTTCCCATCACGGCTGTATTTATTGACTTCAGCCGCAAACTCAACCCTGGTATCCGCTAAACACAAAAGCATCACAGTTTTTATTTAGAAAAGGAATTCAAAACACAGTTAAGGTTAGCTAGGTCTCGTTTGGATTGTGTAGGTCTAAGATAGTTTCAGAAATCGAGTTTGGAATTACGTTGATACATTGACAAAAGTCCAAACATGGGACCCGGCCTAAGTCTGAGATATCCGGGATAAAGTTACAGTGATCATTATACTATCTGAAGTCCATACCCGAGGACCTCGCCCATATTTGAGATATCCAGGGTTTAATTGAAGTGATATACGAACAAGTCTACACCAGGGGGCATTTACAGTGATGTACTGACATATCAGGTTTGAGAAATCTGGGTAAAATTACAGTGCTGTACTAAAACTAGTCTCTCGGGTTCCCCGCCTAACTTTGAGATATCTCGAATTAAATTGCGGTGATAAAAGGCACAAGCCTACATCCGGAGATATTACATTGATACACTGAAACAGGTTGGAATATTCGAGGTTTGAGTTAACAGAGCTTTAATGTAAAAAGTAACTTACCTATGATTTTCTGCAGAGGTTTTTGGTTCTGAAAACCGATGTAGTCTCCTTTGAAGCCCATATCCCATGAATCTCTTCTCTTCTTCTTATCACCAAGCACATCGACCTCTATAAAGGCAATACTTAGGGATCGGTCATAATTTATTGCCGGTGTGGGGTGGGTGGAAGAGGGGGGGTAAAAGAAAGCTAAAAAAAAAGTAGAACTCGCTATTTTTTCTTCTGAAATACATCATAAACCGCCTTTTATTGCACATAAATATTGTTTAAACGGTATATCGTACAACAGCACCTTAGTTTTCTCACCAAAAAAGTTTTCAAACTTTTCCAATTTCCAACCAAAAGGCCCCCTTAGATGTAGCGTCTTTGTTCACAGTATGATTATTACACTGTTGTTTCTTCTGCCTTGTGTTACGTTACCTTTCAACAATTTCTTAATGGCAATCATCCTGCCGAGAATATGACGGTCCCTGTATCGACGATAACACTTCTGAATCACAACAACACCTTGAAGATAAAATTACAGGAAAAAAAATTAAATGAAAAAAGGGATCTTGTAGCTGACGTTTCGAGCGTTAGCCCTTCCTTAGAGCCAAAAGAGTATCTGTGGGTTGTGTGTTGTTTACCCAGAGAAGATGGAGCTGCGCTATTGGTGGCAAATGGTGTCGCGAAAAACACAAAAGTAAATAAGTCGAATGAAAAGCGTTCGTTGATATTGAAGGGAATGACATTGACGATTTGAAAAATAAATTTTTGATTTACAGTTTTGTGGTCTCTAGACTTTTGAGAAATGCCGCCAAACTAAAAATATCAATTAACAATTCTGTGCATTCAAGGTCATCATCAAATTATTCCTTATAAGAGTAGGGAAAGGCTGCAGAATGACACACTTTACTTAGGATAATACGTCCGAAGCTTTATTGAGAATACACGTTCAGGATAAGTTCGCATATAGTTCGAATTTCTACACACTTGTCGTAGCATGTCGTAGCATTTGACATAACTCCATCATTGGTCAATAAGTCAATGGCCTCACACTACCGTGCAAAGTCCCATTCAGGGAATAAATACAAAAATAATGTGCACGAACCTTTCCGTATCCTTAGAAACCTTTTGCGCAGTCTGTAGGTCCGATAAACACCTTGAATTTTGACACAGTACTTCTCCAGGATTTTATTTTTTATATCCTCCAGTTCATTAAGCTGAAAAAAATGACAACTTATTTAATCAATGCATTTTTATCTCATTCCTTTCCTAAATCCGACAATATGTTTGCAACGAGTCAAACCGTCGGAGAATTGACATGAAGCGAAATTTATATTGATTAAATTTTAGTAATAGGTTTAGTTTTAGCGAGAGATGAACAAAAATTGGCCTTCGGTAAAATTCGAATCCATATTTCCATTACAAATCCAACGCTTGAAATAGCCAGGTTCAAATAATTATACTCGCGATAAGTGTGATATCAGAAAAAATTGATGAGACAATAAGTTACGATGCCTTTGTTTCTTAGCTTCGCTTCGACATGTTATTGAGCTACGGTAGTCTTCTCTTCGGAGAAAAGCGCGCGTGATCTCCGACCAATGGTAGCCTTCCTGTTTACGCTTCGCCGCTAATATTACAAGGCCCAGTTGTATAAAGGTTATAACGTTATCCAACGGATAAATCGCTATCTGGCGGATAAGTAACTGCAAAACGTACAGCATTGTTCACCGTATAACGATTCATCCGGTGGATAGCGCTATCCAACCTTCGAACAACTGGGGCCAGATCTGTAACATTTTCGCCGCTGCATGTAATTGTCGCGAGAACAATAGGGATTCTGCCAATGCGTTCGTCAAATAGCTTGATATGGTGACCTAACAAGAGTCTTTAACTATACTAGAAAACAAAAAAAACCTCCTAATTTACTTACTGTATTTGGTTCTTTGAGAAACAACTTTGTTTTGCCAATTTTCCATCGAGAGGGATCGATGCCAGAATCTCTCATGACCATTTCACAACCTTCGGCTGGGTCACCAGTCCAGCTGTTGTTCACTTCAGGGGAAACAATACCGTATCTAAAGAGACACACATCCAACTTATCATGGTCATCATAAAACAAATCAGTTTCTATGCATATGGGAGAAAATTCATTATGACCAGACAAAACAAGCCATACTGTAAAGATACATTGACAACAGTGGAACAAAATGATAAATCAAGCGTCAAAAATTAGAACAGACAGTTTCATGTACAAATAATCGCTGACTGTTTTCGAGTAATGTGTTTCCAGTTTCGCTCTTTTGCGCGGTGTGCGAGAACAACCACAAGTGTCGAGTTGAGAATAATCAGTCTAAATTTTAAATAAGCAGCCATAGTGTGCCAAAAAATGGGCCAGTTTTTAACTGAGAATCGAAAGTGATCGTGGATTTTTGTTTGATTTTTCTTTACTTCGCTCTGTGACTGGTCTAGAAATCTGGCGCTACCATTAGCACCAATCGTATGCAAAACTAAAACCATTCCAAACTTGGTACGTCGCTCACTTTTTCCCGCACTTCAAGCAGGTTGCCTATGTTGACTTTGAGTTGTCATCGGTCCATCATGATGTTGATCTTTGCTCTGATTGGTAAGTTGTGATGCCATTGGTTTTGGTTTTTCGACACATTTTTCGAAAACTGCTCTTATGAAGCAATAAATAATATGTTCTAGTCCTCGTAATATCAAACTCTCATAGTTAATAAGAAATTAAAACTTACCTGCGCACGATCTGTTCAAAGTGACGACGAAATGCAAATCCGGCTCGTCTGACGCGAATATTTTCTTTTAAACCGAGGTATTGAATCTGATGAAGAACTCTAAAAAAAAACAACAACAAAAGCAATTTAGGAATTAGTCTTGATCGTCTTTATGTACGCATATGAACGAACCAACAAAGACTAGCACACAAAAAGAGATATATGTAACTCCTCGCTATTGTCACAAGTATGGGAGTGTCCCGCGATACTTCGAATCTCAGAACTTCCCATCTCCGGGTCGGAAACTCTACAAAACAAGGGTTACTCTTAAAAACATCGACGGGAGACGCGATGGATTAATGGTTAGTGCGCTGGACTCCGGCTCGAGAGGTCTGGATTCGAGACCTTGCTGGGTCATAAGTGCCTCTCTCCACCCATGAGTGCAAATGAGTACAGGCGAATTGTCAGGGAAGCCCAATGAAATGATGCTGGGTAACGTTGTGATAGACTAGAATCTCATCCAGGATGGGGAATTAACACTCCTAGTCGCTTCATGCTTCAGGCACTTGGCTCGGGTACAGACCTTATTATTAAAACAAATCATCCAATCTGATATCGTGTTTATAAGGAACTTAGTATAAACGCCTTGTATATCAACAGAAAATGTTGAACACGGAGTTTGTTAAGAGGCTTTAGAACAAGGCTGGTCTTTCTTATAGAGTATTGTAACTTTTCAAATTTAACCAATCGAAATTCAAGAATCAACCTTGCACATAAGGTTTTTATATATACCTCTGGTCGTCCCAGTCCAGCGGTTTCTTGGACTCAGTGGGTTTGATACAACGAACGTAATGAGGAGTACATGACATAATCTTGGTGATCAGAGCTGCCGCCTGGGACTGGTGAACAAGTCAAAATAATAACAAGAATAGGTTTAGTGTTCTTACAATTCAATGTTATTATATCCTCATTGTCAAGGTCAATACAGTTACTGACACCATTCTCCTGAAACTCTTTTTCAAGATTTCCGGCCCTGAGAAAAGCTGCAACTGCACAAGTGTAAATTTACAATAATTTTTTTGTGTTTGATATCGCCAATAAGTTGCTAACACGTCACTCGTCTTTTGCTCCACTCTGTCAGGTTGGCGAATGAATGGCAAGGCATTCACCACTCTCAATCCGAGGTCGTTTGTCGCAATTTTTGTTTTATGATATTACACAGAGAATACATGGTTGCTTGTAGAAAAATAATTTCTCTTCTCGTGTTCAACTTGATATCTCACGAGTGAGCGCAGTGGAATTCCATTTTTACATGTACGCGCTTTCATGTATTATCCTCCATGTGATATTATACGACAAAAATTGCGACAAAATTACATTGTGACGTTACCACTGATGTAATCTTCCTTAGTTAAGCGTTTTATCGATAGTGACAGGCAAACAGACCCTTGGCGCAGTACCTTAATCTTTGCTCCAGCAGTATTTGATTTCGCACCACCACGACGCCCACCTCCGCTATCAGGGTTCGCAACTACAGGGAACAGGTCCTTAACAAATGTACTGAAACACCAATGTATGAAATATTGTTTTTGAGAAGCCGTTTATTGTTTGTAGAAATAACTAAATGTCAAACAGTTTTATCGTATGCTCAATTTGAGTCCAGCAAAGAGATGACTTAACACACTGATTAACTTATAATTTTTTACTTTCTTTAGAGATTAATATGAGTTATGACTCACTCCTCACTAGACTGCATTAATACAACCATATCGTTTGAGAGTATATCTTTGTTTTTCTCACAAAATCCTTTGGCTTCATAATCCACCTGAAAGATAGAGCAAAATTGATCCGCTTAGAGCTACATGTATATCACTGGTTGATTCAATTGCTTTGTTGTAAACTCACATTTCCAGCGTAGTGGGTGATCGTAAAATAGTTTGACTGCGCTCTGAAATAACGACTGAAGTCTTTATTTGAAGCCACAACTGCTCGAAGTTTCTGTTAAAAAAAAAAATGAAACGGAAACGAGAAATGGAACAAAGTCCAGAATCATGAGCAACCCATCATCCGCTAACCCTTTACAGTTTAACACCACTATCTGTCTTCTACATATTGTTTTCTATAATTTTTTTTTTTGTACTGACAAGGAGAATTCGTTAAACAGCCAAACCTTCTTCAGTTGGCGATCAATTCTATTATTCTCGTGATCCTAGTGAATGATACAACAGTATTACTGTAACGAGAAATTAGATGCTGATCACTCTCAGGACTTAAAAGGGTTAAAGAATACCTAAGCTATGATTTATACCAGGATGTTACATGGTTTACACGGGAAACTAAAAGAACAACTACTTCCGCGTACATGAAGATGGCACTTCAGCCCTTTTTTGAGAAAGAAAAGAATGGTCTAGTGACAGTCGTGTGATTGCCCCGTGTTACACTGCTCATTCATTCTCAACACAGCTTAAACACAGACTACTACCAAAAAAACTACCATCGCAAAGACTTATTATCATAATTACGGCTGGGTTTATCTCTTTGGATATGTGTTACAAAGATTCCTTTGCCCAATTTATTTCAGTGTGACACACCTTTCTGACCACCAAATCAATCAAATGGAAAACATGAATGTCAACAAGCCCAAGTACTGTACTAAAGTACCTCCATTAGAGTTTTCTCCGAGCCTTCGGTCTTTGCGTGCATTGTACTGCAGACGTCATCAAGAGTGCTCATAACACCTGGGGGACGCTATAAACATTCAACCAATCAAAACGACGAGCTTCCATAGTCATTATCACGTGGTGAACAGGTAATCGATTAAAAGCCAAGAGATTATCAACAGTTTATATTCCCTTGATTAGAGCACAATGTCTTGAAAACTTTTAATTAAAAAACTTCTGCTTTCATTCATTGTGGACCTTGATATTCTCGTGTATAGGCATTATTTAAAGATGAGTTTCCTTTAGCTTAAAAAGACGTTTCCGATGTCGCAAAATAAAGAATTGAGTTAAAACTCAGCTGAACTACAGATGTTCCATTCTGGTGACCTCCGTATTAGGGATATGCAATACCTTGCTCTCAATAAGTTCGCAGACTGTTTTGTTGTTAAAGTACTTGACTTCCTGCCATGGGATTCCTTCTTGTACATATTCCTCCTTCGAAACAATTTACAGACACAATTCAAAACTTGAGTCACAGATGGAGAGAAATAACAATACCAAGAAAGTCTGTTTTAATCGCTGCAAACACAATAAGGGGATTGAAAACGAAGCACATTTCGCTAGGGGAAAAGGCTAAGGGTCAAGACATCATACTAATGTGGAGATTTCAATTTTTTTTTCCATCGTAAGAAGCAGAAGTACGAAAATAAACCAAGCCTACCTGTTCCGTTTTAAGTGTAAGCTCAATAAATATTTGCTGCAGCTTTTCATTGACAAAGTTGATGGCAAACTGCTCAAATTGATTGTTCTAAAAAAAGAAAATGGTGCATGTGTCAATAATAGCTAAAGTATCCAACCGAGCGTGAGGGCCGCACTGGAGAATATGGTCCCGAGGTAGTGCGGACTGAACGCAGCGAGAGCCGCACAAAAACGACTGAGGGCCAACATTCCTCAGTCGGGCTCAAGCAAGCGAGGTTAGTCAGTATTTTGTTAAATGACACCCAGACCTAGGTTGTTTATTTTGAATTTCCCGGCTTTCGCAAACAAAAATACGGGGCTTATGACCGTTTTGGTGGAAACGGTCCGTATGGCAAAGAAAGGACCAACTAAAAACCAATCAGAATTCTCGGACTTACCTCAGGACTACCTTGCCATATAATATAGGTTTTTATTCAGTAGTGGCAGTAAAATTAAGCGATGGTGTGGCCATACCTCAAAAATCTCAAAGCCATAGATATCAAGTACACCAATAGACATTTCGTCTTTCTCTTTTGACATTGCCTCGTTTATACTCTGAAAAATATAAGCAGTTGTAAAATTACTGTATTTGTTTCCCGTTGAATTGAACTTCTCCCAGTCTCTGAATGATTTTACAGGGTATCACCTTGTGTTTTATTTATTATAATTAATTGCTTATAATAAATCACAAGATAAATTCCCAGTTAAAGGAAATACTTACATTTTCAAAACAAAACTATATAATCAATGCTTCTATCGCACTGTCTTTTTTATTATGTTACTATACTATGAATATCGTTTTTGAAATAACTTTTCTGGTGACCCTGAAACATGATAACTCATTGTCTGACCAGGTTCTTACCTGAACAAGATAATCAAAAACCTGTGAATACAGTGCTTTCGCCAAAGCATCACGAGCAAACTGAGCCTGGAACAAAAATTAAATTGATTGGAAAAAAATGTACAATTAATTAACAAGACGTACACTTCACTTTCCATGATTGAAAGTGTTTATATCGTACTAGAGCTGGAATGGTAAAAAGCCTTAAAGAAAAACAATGTGATAAGTATGGGGCTTCGTGGCGCGCGCGTCACTCGCTGAGAGCTCCGCGACAAATTTTACGAACAAAACAGGAATACGCGACTTTGCTTCAAAGGGCTTGTTGTTCGCGCGGTCTCGATCTTTGTTGTCGTTGAGTCTCGAAAAGTTTTGTAAAATCTTTTAAAAAGTATGTTCGCAAACCTTCTTTCGCTCCATAATGGCCGCTGAAAACATTATACACTTAACCGAAGATATCCCAGTAGTTTCATAAATTTGATGAAAACCTTAAACCGGTATTCGCATTTTGCGGTAAAACTTTTTGTTTGTGATATTCCAGTTTTTTTTTTCAGAGGGCACGGTAACGAATCCTGTAATCTGATTGGTTCTTTACGCGGTCCGCATTTTCCTATCTCTGCCCGCAAGCAACGGTAACGCTTTCGTGAGTCGCCGTTTACATCCCTACTTTCTTTGCCATTTTTCATAAATATATCTCGTTTTTCCGGCTGGGCAGTATTTTTAAGCAAAGACGTCGGCCACTACCTTAGGCCGATAAATAACTTATAAATCCGCTCTTTTCCTTTTTTTTTTTTTTTTTTTTAACAGCTTTATTGGCAATTACACATGTAATTCGTTGCCATTATTCACTTTGGTTGACAGAAACATCAATGGTGTCATTCGTTTTTGACCGGCCTGAAAACTGGCAATTAATTTTAATCGTTCAAAAAAAAAGTACCAAAGACGTCGGACTAATCAATGGAACTTTTATCCATTTAATATCTCAAACAATTTGGCCGATGAAAAGCGAAGTTTTAATTTCAGCTCTTCAACAAATAAACGCTCTCAGTGAGTCTCTCCAAGTCCGTTCAATTCTCTCAAATCAACTTTGGAATTCAATGACATTAAAATCAATGGTGTTGGAGTTTATCATTCAAATTTAGTTTTTTGAAGGTTAACCAGATTTACACACGGCCCATCAAACAAACGAGAAAACCGTCAAAACAAAAAATTTAATTTTTAATCGTTCGTACATGAAAAATGAGTGAATGATACTTTCCGTTAGAAACTGTTTTTGAAGAAAAACTGTGGTGACAGTCCTTGCCAAACTAGTTTCGTTGTTTTTCAAAAAAGGTATTTATTTTTACAGTTGAACTGAATCGATTGAACTCTACAAATAATGTTTTCATCCTTTTTTTTACCTTTATCTACGCAAATGAAAATTTTCTCAAACAATTTGTTCAGAGTACCATTTAGCTCAAAAAAAGTTTAAGAAGGCGACAGCCCTAAATCAAGGTTTTTAATTTCAGAATTCATGGTGAAATACGGACCGAGGTCCCAGTTTTTCACCCGGCTAATAACGGCAAATGATTCATGATTCTTTCGCAGTCGTATCAGGGTTTTCTTAATGAGCAGTCCCGTTCGTTTTCCTCTTTTTGTCCGATTTTTATTAGGAAAAAAATTAGATAGTGATATCCCAAGGGTTTTCCTCAGAAATCGCATCACATGCTCAAGGATAATATGCAAATTTGCCAGGGTTATCAGATAATCGCATCAAAGCTAACACAAAAATGCAAGGAAAAATGATCATGAAATGTCTCTATATTTAAAAGAGTACTAATACTGACCGCTCAGAAACAAAAACCGAACGAATTTCTTTTATTTACGAGACCCGGGTGATGGATTCACCATGCTTCACAGTCAGAAAATTGCGTAGCGTTGTGTTGAAAAGCCCCTTGAGAGACCTGATACAGGGTTGGCCAGTCAAAGTATTCATTTGAACGCAGTCTTAATGAGCAAAGTTGCATACTATGTTGACGTCTACTCCCTAAAACTGCAGTTACTGATAGGCTCAAATGGCTTTTAAACCATTCCTTTCTTTACTTTAGAATATTCAACTGAGCACAAACAAGGCAGCATACTAATCTCTTTCTCTTGCCAGTATATTTAGTTATCAGAGAACTGAAAAAGTATCGGAATATTCACTAAACCTGTTCAGCGTTGTTTGTCTTCTTGGTGATTTCAACTTTGCCTCCCCATCTGGCTTCCATTACGGTGCTGAAACAGAAAATTTCAAAATTTCAAAATAAATAATAGATAAACAAAATGATAAACAAAAAACAAATATGCAATGAGAAACTTACAAAAATAAGGCATCGCTCTTTTTACATTAGGGCTGTGCGCAAATATTAAATTACTTATCCTATTAAATTACAACGAAATTGATATTTCTTAAGAGGAGAATCGATTGATAAGCAATCATCAAAGTTGTGAGTTTCTAATCACTCCCGGAAGTACTAATCTAACCTGTTTCTCCGGAAGTACAGGTTTTTTCCGGAAGTACTAGCCTGACCAGTTTCTCCAGAAGTACAAGTTTTTACCGGAAGTACTAACCTAACCAGTTTCTCCGGAAATACAAGTTTTTCCGGAAGTACTGACCCAACCAGTTTCCCCGGAAGTACAAGTTTTTTCCGGAAGTACTGACCCAACCAGTTTCCCCGGAAGTACAAGTTTTTTTCCGGAATCACTAACCTAACCAGTTTCTCCTTGAGTAAATCCTTGTTGACACTGAGCAGTTTCGCGGGCATGGTTAACACTTTGAAGAAACAAACATGAAGCCGAGTGAGACATACAATTATGTTAGAGGACCTCGTGAAAGCATGGGTCAAAAATCAATATCTATCAACAAGGGTAATTATTATGAGATTTTTAAAAAGATGATATCAGTAAACAGAAAGTTATGAATACTCACGGTCGTCATTGATAGGTACAGCCACGTTACTTTCTTCTTTAAACTGCACATTACCGAGATGCAAGATGGCCGACACCAGTTTGAGAATGGTCACTTGAGTCTGCGGGTCAAATCCTACCACAGTCATGGCTTTCTGTGAAAAAAATAGAACAAAACAGTCCACCTTTTGATCATTTGTCTGTTACCGTTGTCGCAATTTTGTGGGTGAAAGAAAATTAGGAATTTCAATCGTGTATTAACTGTTAACCATCGAGAGATCGGAGCCATCTAAAGAGTCATTCACTTCAGACATGAAAAAGCAAGAATCCGTGGAAAGTATTTTGCAATGTCTGAACTTGACGCAGATGTTTAAAAAAAGTAGTAACTCTTTCTAAATCATTTTCTTCAAATTATCCTCACGATCGTCTTGAAATGAAGTGGGTTGAATAGATTATGCCTAAATTGACAGGCTTAGGCACAAATAGGTAGATCAGAATCCAATCAATAACTTTACTAAGCAGACGGAGACATTTGTATGATAAGCTGAATTATACGCGCTTCTTGATTGGTTCTTACAAATGATATTTTGGAAGTCATAAATATATGACGTAAAATTTATCACTAAAAACAAACACATTCCATGCTACCGTGGGTTTACACAGCAATAGGGACCTTTAGCAAACCGCGACGGCGACGGCGACGGCGACGGCAACAAGGACGAGGCAAAACAAAAGATCTAATGAGCGGAACAATAGCTCAGCACTTGCGTTTTAAAACTGTGAACATTTTTAAGCCCTCCTCTGCGAAATAACAACGTGAAGTCATCAAAATTTGCGTGGTCCAAGAAAGGAAACCCCGACGGAAAATTATTTAAATTTCCATTTGGAACTCAACGCTGCTCTCGTACGTTATGCTGAGGTTAAATTGCGGCGCCGTAAGAGACGGTGAACAAATCCATTCAGTTGAGAAATTCCATCTGAATATATATATATTCATTTTTAAATCGACGTCTTCCTTGGCGTTTAGTCTTAACCGCTAAAAGTCCCTGCTAGATCACAAAAGACGTCAAAATGTGGTATGTATATCAGTGACACACTTGATTGGACATTATGCGCAATTTTATGTTCCACAGACTCACGGTAACATGAAATCTATTTTTTTGAAGAGATCTGCTTATAAAAAATCAACAGAAGAGTTACTATTAAATCATGGTAATCATCAGTGTCGTTAGTGCCGTCCACTGTGTAAACACCAGTCTGGTTCAGATAGTAATAAGTCTCTGGTTTGGTGACCTCTATTCCGACATCAGCTAGAAAAAAAAAAAGATAAACCATAAAAATTAAAAAAACAATTATGAATGCAGACAGATCACAAACCAGGTTAAGAATACGATCTTGTTTACATAGTAGGACAACGCATTAGCAAAAGAAACTGCACTCACTTCGATTTTCTTTTGCGCAGCCAGCAAGTAACTGATAGAAGACATGATAGTTCCTCTCATTCTGGTTCAAAGTCACTACACGGGACTGAAATGCAGATTCTACATCAATTAAGGATCATTGAAAACTAAACGGGAAGACTTAGAAGAAATTGTGCTTCATTAACAACAAAGAAAAAAAAACGATTTCAGAAATTTCAAATTGATTAAAAGAACCACTTCACCTTTTCTAGTAGAAAGTTTGAAACCTTTCCTCCATCGGGATGGCCGGAATAGTTAAACTGGATTTCCATAAATTTACCCTGATGAGAGACAATGGTTAGAATAATAACAGTATAATAATAGTGTAATAATGGTGTAATAATAGTATAATAATAGTATAATAATAGTGTAATAGCAAGCGGTATTTATTGAGTGATAACTAGCTGCTTTTACTCTAGAAGAAGAAACCTCGCGTTCAAGCATAGAGTTTTGGTAAGGTGTTTAGGGACGTCTACTTTTCTTTTACATTTAGAGCAATTTCAATTGAGTGTTGGAAGAAATCCCAGATTGCATTGGTTTTGCTTCACTTCGCTCTGTAAATGGTCCAGAAAACTCATACTTCTCTCTCCACCAATCACATATGAAAACTTAATCCAGTCGCTACTTGATCGCCTGCTTCTTCCTGCACTTTAGCCAGTTTATTTGTCTTTACTTGAGTTCTCGTTGGCTCTAAGAGGTATTTACCTTTTTCTTGATAGACTGTTGTGTTTCATTTGATTTTGGTTTTACGACGCTCAAGCGAAAAGCGCTCTAACGATGATTTGCTTTTTTGGAAATTTTATCGCTTCAACTGTTTTTGTTTTCTTTTAGGTAGCTTTAATTTCAATAAAACTTACAAATCTGCTTGAGTTGTTGTTCCTCGTGGTCTTGGCATTACCAAAGGCTTCCAGTAAGGGATTGGATTGAATGATGATGTCCTTGATATTCTGTTGTCACATATTTACACAAAATGACACGAAAATATATTCAACATACTTGTTTGCTGTTTGCCTACTCGGGTAAAACATTTTAAAATAATCAAAATGTTCTCAAAAGCCTTTTTAGAAATTGATCCAAAACAAGTGATATCTCTAGTCCAATCACTCTTTTGTCTTAGAATCTCTCTAGTTCGAGCATTAAACTTCCGATTAGGTGTTCGAAGATCCTTTTGTTCTATTCCTGTTTTGTTTGTTGCTTTTGCTTCTTTGTTTTGTTTTGGTTTTTTTTTAGTATTTTAGAGCTCGTTCGAAAGGGTAGAAGTTTTCTCATACTATTAATAGCTTCATATTCACATATAGTAAGTGTACAGTAACATTACCTCAACTTTTGCTGATCCTTTACCAGAAGCTTTAGAAATGAAGTTCATGATGTGTTTTGCAGAAACTGTCTTACCCGCCCCGCTCTCTCCACTGAAAATAAAACCACATGAGTAGCATAACATTCTAATAGCTAATATCAAAGCAAATAAAAGGAAAAATATTGACATGTACCTGATGATAACACACTGATTTTCACGTTCCATCATCATATTCTGATACATGGTGTTTGTCAAGGCATACAAATGAGGAGGCTTGGGACCCTTAAAAGGAAAATCTTAGCGTTACATTCTTCGAGCTGGTTGCTTCCTGCTTTACAGGTACAATAAACACTATTCAAAGAGAACAAGTCCGAATTTCTGTGAAAAATATAACAATCTAAACGTGGTAAACTTCAAATGATGTCAGGAGTCAAACGATTTAACAATTTTCAATTGAGCGTTGAAAGTAATCCGGGATTGCGTAGGTTTTTCTTAACTTCGCCTTGCGATTGGTCCAGAAAACTCGCACCACTTTTTCTCAACCAATCAGATGAAAAAGTAAAGCCGATCACGACTTAGTCGCCTGCGTTTTCCCGCGCTTTGGACAATTTAGTTGTGACCATTGGTTTTTAAGGGTGTTTTCCTTTATTCTAATTGGCTGTCGTGGTCACTATAATTTTGGATTCATGACACTCAATCGAAAAGCGCCCTAATGTACCTTTATATCCTTGAACATTCCAGTCTCACTTGAAGTTTCTTTTTGTATACTTCTCCTTCTGCCATCCAAGATGTCTGCAGGCATCTGTGCAGTTGTACAGCGGGTTGCTCGGTCGTCAATTTTTGGTGTACCCATGTCGTCTGCTTCTTCACCCCCGCGGTAGAAATCCACGGCCTCTGAGCCATAGATTTTCAGAACTTTGAAAGGATTCACTGCTATCAACACGCGGCCAATGTATGTCTGACGGAGAAAAGGAATATGGCCATTTGGACAATTTAAACTTGTTTCTTTAGTAGGAGTTGAGGTAAACTTGCATTTTCAAATCAATTTTTCACAAAACACCGACTTACATAAATCACTTCTTTCTTGAGGCGAACGCGAAGGTTTTCCCCGATGTCTTTTTCAGTGATTTGCGGCAACTCAACCATATCATCAAAACCATTTGACTTGGACGCCATTCTAAAAGATTAACTACAAACAAGCAAGAAATAATGCATAACCAATTTGTTCTTTTTCAAGAAGTTTGTTAAGATTTTATTCCTATGCATAGCAAAAAGTCCTCTTTTGGCCGCGTAGTCTTTTCCAACCCCTTCGATTTCTGGGCAATAAAGAAATGGTTTTCTTGGAGGTTTAGTCGTTAAAAGTCTAATGATACAAACTCAGTGAGATAATTTCATTAAATTAAAAAGTGGCCTTACTGCATAACAAACTCGCTAGAGTAGTTTTTAATTGAGTATTAAAAGTAATCCGGGATTTCTTTGGTTGTGCTTTACTTCGTTATGTGATTGGTCCAAAAAACTCGTGCCACTTCTTTAATCAATCAGATGCAAAACTAAAACCAATCGCTTCTTTTTAACTCGCGCTTTCCCGCACTAAAGACACTCTGCTCGTTTAAACTTCGAACTCTCATTTGCCTCTCGTTGTACTTTCCTTGCTCTGACTGGCTGTTGAAATTAATTTGGTTTTGTTTGTAAGGTTTGTAATATTTTTCTCCTTGTTTGCGTGTATAAAAAATACCAAATTTTCCTAACCTTTCAGTGGTTTTTTACGTTCACTTAAAAACTTTCTGTTTGCTCCCAAGGTTTTCCAGCAGTGGAAAAGCCACGTCCTTCTTGTTGCAAGTGTTTACATTGTGCGTATCTTTCACATTAAATTGAAAAGCTGAAAGATGAAAGTCCTCAGATTGAAGTCATTGCAACAATGACTTTCACAATAAATTAACGCAAACACGCGCGCCCAATAATTGATTACGTTTGAAACGTCATCATAATCATGAAGTTACTAAACGTAATGTCAATTTCGAGCCCAGAGTCATTTTGGCTACTTGTCAGCGGTATGATCACCAAATAATGACCTCTGGGAGAATGAAATTTTTATCCCAGGAATCGTGGGATTCCGGTTTTAACTGCGCATGTCTGCATTGTTTAGTTATTGCTTCCGGTTGACTTCTGCACGTGTTCAAAATAGTACACACGGTCCGCTACACCAGCGGAAGAAGAAAAGAACGTAAATTACCTTTGTGTAGGTGAACTTAGGACTCATCATAACTAATATAATGTAATTTATCATGTAATTTATAAACCAGTAGAAGAAACCGGTGAAACCAGTGCACCTTCCGGTGCTCCTGGAAGTTTGGAAGTGAAAGAAAAAGGGATAAGTGACGGCCTTTTATGCAGTTTTTACGCTGTTTTCAGCTTCTCGCGCGAGGTGAATCGATCGCAAGCTAGTTAGTTGTAAAAATAGACTTTGAGCAAGCATGGATGCAGCAGTTTCATCTACTTTGAGAGAATTGGGCTCAGAGGAAATGAAAAAAGAACAACGCAAAACTCTAGAAGCGCTTGGTTTAGATTCCAGAGAAGTCCTCCTGCTTCTTATCCTGATGCAAAAGCTGATGATTATACAGGTGACTGCACATGAACCGGGATGACTACAAAACAGAGAAAAACAGCAATGTTTTGAAACTCTTATAAAACCGCCCGTTTATTCGCCCCTAACATACGGCATACCTTAGACAACTTTTCCAACTTTTCCTTGATCTACTTAACAATAAAAACACGCTAAACAAGTTTCTTTTGACACTGCTTTAGTATGTTCCTTTCACATCATCAAGTGAGAATAAAATTATTTAACAATTATTGTACCATTTACTTGTTCCAAAATAACTTTAGGGAGTAAAAATAAAAGTTGTTACTTGATCTGTCATATTTTGAAAAATTTTGAGACTATTACTTGACCTTGAGTTTACTTAAAAAACATGTTTATGAATTATTTCTTTCAGTCTGTTACGACTTTTAGCTCAAGTCTCATTTTTCAAATATTACTTGCAGTTACTAAAATGATAGTTATATTATGATTAGAGTGTTCAATATCAAGGATGATAGAAATGAGTTTTTGGACAAGGTTTAGCTCCCAGCATTGGGTATTCATCACATAACTATCTATCACACACACTGGAAGTACTTGACTAACATCTCCTTGTGCAACAGTACACTCACAGTGGCCATGAAATCAAGCAAGTCAACCTATCACTTCTTTAATAAGCTGCTCAAAATATTTTCTTCCCTTGAAATATCCAACGGAAGACTTGGTTACCATTCCTTGTTACATGTAAGACGTAAAAGCAAGCAGATCCAGGTTTCTGCACACATAGGCTTCTGCGCTATTCATCAATCTCGTCTAGAAACTAGCATTTGGCACGTGCTTTGACGCTACAAGTATGTAGCAACATAAAAAGTTTAATTTTGCTTTTGCAGTTGCAAGGCTTGTCTGTGATGCAACCCATAGCATATAAACTTGATCCCTGAATTCAGTATTTGCATGTTCTGTCAACTAAATATAAACAGAAGGTAACGCTCCATATATTGGTAAATATTTTCATTTTGAATTAATTAAACTCTGTTGAACATTTCTGATCATAGTAAATTGGACAAAAATATATTGACATGGAATTTTGAATGACATACATGTATATTGTAATTGTGAAAAAAATGCTTATCACAATGCAAACCAGCTGTAAAGGTAGCATCATATGAAACCTTCATACTTAAGGACCTCAGCATTTCTATGGCCAGCCTTCTCGAGTATTTCAATCCCTGTTGATTGCTTGTTTAACTTAGTGTTAAAGTATTGGTGTAAGAAAAAGAGACTTAATTTGTTGCAAGATTCATAGATAAATACGAAACGATTACCTCGTGGTTTCCATCTGAAGTGTCATCCTGGAGTACACGAGACGTGGGTATAATGGATCTTTTGAGTGGTTTACTTACAGTGAAGCAGATAGTGAAACTGGGGCCTGAGAAGGGCTTTGGATGGCGACAGACCTCATTTCTGTTTTTTTAAGAACGGAACCCTTTTCTCTGCGATTTCCTTTCGTATTTAGGGTTCTCGAATTCTTCCCTGATACTGAATACTATGCCATTCTGATGCCAAACTATTTTACACTAGCACATTTCCGTACGCTCGCACGACTTCTACGATTCCTTCCTTTCTGCTCGTCACTCAAGTTAACAATTGGTTCATGGTTTTTTTTTGCGCGAAAGTTTTCACTTATAAACTGCCTTTTGATGTGTGAGGGAACATCTAGCTAAAGCCGCGGCGTGTTGCAATGACGGGAAGCTGTTCTTCATGGAACGGTGGATTGCTGTCGTTTTCAGAGATGTATAAGTAGAAATGAATCATTATATAAATTTGTTTATAACATAGCTAGTAAATTTGTCTAATCAAATTCAATTGCGTGAGCGAGCTTCATATTCCTACTGAGTACGCTCATGACGTCAGCAAACAAATCCTCCGCGAAAAAAAATTTTCCATCGGGTTGAAAATGTTACAAAACAATTGGTTCATACGTCAGCTGTGCGTTCTTCGAGATATGAAGCACGCTGGAAGTTTGGAGAGCACGAAAGATGCATAAGAGTTGCTTGAGGCTAGCTTCTTGAGTGCTCTCCAAAATTCCCAAGTAATCAATCGTTCCTTGAAGAACAGCTTCCCGTCATTGCAACACGCCGCGGCTTTAGCTAGATGTTCCCTCACACATCAAAAGGCAGTTTATAAGTAAAAATTTTCACGCAAAAAAAAAAATAACAACAACAATAACGACAATAAAAACAATTCAAAATTATCGTTGCTAATGCTCTACTTCCGGCCCGATCGATCCCTTCCGTAAATCACACTTCCTGTGTGGAGTCTATTGTTTTCCTATCAACCAATCAAAAAAATTGAATTAATCTGTTCTGCTAGAGATCATTATTTGACGACTATACCGCTGGCAAGGAGACAAATGACCCTGGGCTCGAGATTGTGATAACGTAAGCTCGTGTAGACAGCGGTCAAACGTTGGGCATGCCCTAAGGGATTAATTTTGACCGGCTGCAAGCCAATTTCCTGAGCATAATTTCAGAGGAAAACATAAGAAACAACCGCTGTTTCGCAAAATAAGCGAAGGCAAATAGAAACGTTTATAGAAATCTGTCAAAGGAAACAAAAGTGGGAAAAAGGAAAACTCGAAACTTCTCCAAAATAAAGCTTATTCTTTTGATCTTTCATTCCTTTTTTTCGCTTTACCAAAAAAGGTTATGCGCTTTTAAAACATCATGACTTACTGGCTTGTGTGGTTGTTTGTAACTCGTGTAAGACAATTTGCCTCAGAGCCACCCAGTCAAACACAGCGGCAAAATGAGTGCGCATACTTGTCATTTACCACTACCACCGTTGTTATGAAATTTCTCAGTTTAACTACGCTATTTGACCGAGAAAACACTTTATTTTAAGCTTAAGATTTAAGACTTATGGATGACACCGGCAAATCTAAGATTTACTATTATCAAAGTGTCAAACAGAGGAAAAATCTTGATAAAATTTCACCTGGTGGTGTATTGAATTTTTCCTTCCTTTCACCAAATAAGTTTTTTGCTAAATTTCTTGCTCAACCAATGCCGAACCCGAAACACAATGAATAAAACAAGTTGGGTCAGCGGATGACCAACAAAGAAAAACCCAAGGATGGTCCCAATACTCTGCGTTGGATTTCCGCTGTAGTCTAATTTTGAATAAATATAAGGTTGACCTAAGATGTTTGTACCCCCATTCGCCCAGTAAACTACAGTAACCATGATGTAGACAGTAGTAAAAAGCATTGGATGAATTACGTGAAATAAACGAAGTGGAACTGTTCCCAGTAAAGTCTCGATCAAAATAAAAACAGTATTGAGGATTTGAGTGGTAACTATCAATCCATCCATTTGAAAATCAGAGTAGTCCCAGTTTGTTGCAGTAATGAGTAAGGCCGTATTTGCAGCAATGTTGTATATTACCCATAATGCTTCATGATAACGAGACATAGGAAGCTCTTGCATAACTTCCAGCGGATTTACCGAAGCTTTAACCTCCTCTCGACTTCTAGCTTTCTCTCGCGTGGAATCTCGAGATTCTGACTTCGCGCGTGTCTCTTCACGCGACTTATCGCGTGTATCTATGTCTGATGAACGCGAAATTCCTGAACGAGATCGCCTCAAGGGAATTGGTTCTGGACTTCTGATTTCATATTCGCCCTGTCTGCATTCGCCTCTGTAGTACACCGCTGTTATTACAGTGGATAATACGAAGTATAATGTCACAAACAAGAAACTCCAGTTGGTGAGGTAAATAAACCACTTGTGATTTTTGTTAGCTGGATGAAAACCGCTGTAAATAATCCAGGCGAGGCAGTAAACAGCAACTATAAGGCGGTATGTGAATATCACGGAAACATTAAACCACTGAAACAGAGAGGAAAATTTCCTTCAATTTTGAAGGGTTTTTTGGAAATAATAACTGTGATATACATAGTTCTTGTTAACTGAGTTTGAGGTCCGTACTGTAACTTAAGGACTGGGTTTTTTAGCCCAGATTTATGGCCCAAGTGCGAAACGAGTGGGCCATAAATCTGAGCGCAAAAAAAACAACGTTCCTTACAGCAAGTACCGAGAATACGAAGTTAGTAACATATTTATTATATTTCTGGTCTTAAATAGAGGGAGAAGATTTTAATTCAAACAAACTAGCTTTTGAATTTACTGGGCTATACAGTGAAAGCATGCGAGCTTCTAACCTTTACAGGTTGGCTGTTGCTAATCAAATCAGTGAGTTGTGAATAACTGTTAGCAAATTCGGTTAAGTCGGGTACGGTAACCAACATTTGGTACTTTCTGAAATTTTGCAATTGCATAAGAATTATATCAGTCAAGAAAAGGCTCTTACTTCTTGAAAGGATATTAAATTTCAGGTCACGCATATCCAAATAACTAATTTATTCATAATTATAGCTGGAGAAGGAATGGTAATCAGCTGAAAACTCAATCGATCGCGTGACACATCATCAAAGTTGCGTACTAATTGTTAATGGAGTTTTCATGATAATTTTCGAGTGAAGCCCGTTCTCAGAAATAATTTGGGTGAAAAATTGGGCGCTAACAAACACGATTGAAGTACATCACGACATTAAAAAAAAATCAAACGATGTGTTTTCGTCAAAATTATGTGGATTTGTCACCTTCTGTGAGCTTCTGGTACCAGTAGATCTTTCACTCTTCCAAGCCACGATTATTTAAGACGGCGCTTTGTTGTCTTTTGGTTTAAGCTAGGTTTATGAATGTGCTCTAGACCTTGGACTATGTACATTTTTTTTTATCTGGATACTGTTAGTAAAGTTCGAAAAAAAAATTTGGACGCTCGTCCTCGAAACGAAATTGAAATGAGTGATGATACTTAAAAACTTCTGGATAAACTGAGTTGAAGCCGTAAATCCAGCGAAGCGTCGAAAAATATACACATAAGTACTTTTTATAGTTTAATTATATAGTGAAGAGTTCCGGGTCGAGTATGTCGTTTTCTTAAGTATAATCAAAGAGGAAAGTAATGGAAGTGTCGACAAATGAAAACAGTTAAACCTCTATATGTACCTCACTGATCGATCTCTTTAAACGATAGCCGATAATTTAATGAGAACTATTCTATATGCTAAATTTAAAATCAACAAATTAGAATAGTGACTATCCGAGAAAATAATCTAATGCTATCTCAAGTAAAAAATTCGAAATCCTAGCGATGTTTGGACACAATATTGTAATTAATACATGTGTATGGGCCTTAAAGTTGATTTTCGAAATACTAAGATCTACTGTTTTCAAAAATCTCTCCCGAAAAATGAATGAAGTCATACGAGCGAAATTATTTGCTGTCTTGATTCAGACGATTGAAGATCGATGAATCTGTTCGAAGACTTAACAGGAAACCGCTACTAGCTTTAGTGTCGACATTACACACAGTTTAAGTGAAAGTATTCAGAGATTCTTTAACTGACTATCTGAGTTCAGACTGAGAAGTATGTACTCATCTAAAAAAAGATACAGAGTAACAAGAAAAAGCCGATGGCTGCTCATGCAAATACACGAACAATGGCGACATTTGCTGATACTCGAAATCGATGACACTCTTACCGGAGACTCGGCAAAATCGCCAGAGTTTGAGTAGATTAAACGGAATTGTATAAGTTGAAATTCTTCCTTGAAGTCTTGAAGCTCCGTTCTCCACATTTCATCAGGTATATGAGACTAGCAAAGCAAGAGAAGCGACCTTGTTTAAAGCCAACTGACACATGTCTTAATTCAATGGCGTTACACTGGACACAAACAATTCCGCAATGTTATGTTGATTTGCCTAACAATGATAATGGCATCTCCCGGGTGACTCATCAAGTCTGTGACCACATGCTTGAAACAGCGGCACGCCATGGAATGGCTTTACGTCATTCCCGTGTTGTCCCTCTCAACATCGGCTTCTTGCATAGTTTACAGACTTCTTCCGATCTGTTGTTTGTCAGTAAAAATTCAGAATATAGGTGAAACAGAGGATAGCTCGTTAAAGATCGTCAGAAAACAAAAAAAGACTCGAAAATGAAATTGCAGCTTCAAAAGACCACTTATGAAAAAAAAAGCCGAAAAATTGACAGGAAGTTTAAAAATATTGGGCCATCCTAGGAGTACAAACTCTCTAGTGTGGGCCGCACTAAGAGCACGTTTCAGGCTTAGTAAAAAGATAATCTCTGACTGAACTGATAAAAGGGAACAAATATAGACGCAAGTTTACATATTTCATTCTTTATTAATTACCTACTTTTTCTTCGCATAAAATATTCAACGACATTGAAGGACAAGAAAACAGTTAGGTGATTTACCCCTTCACACCCTAACATCAGTATGCATATTCTCCATACTTTTCTTCATACATTTTCTAATAAGCCGGCAAGGAGAATTTGTTTAACAATCATAAGGTTCTTTAGTTAATTATCACTTCCTTTATTCTCATGACGTTAAAGTTTGAATCATGGGTGATATATTGAAAGGAGAAATTAGATGCTGGTCGCTCTCAGGGATTAAAGGGTTAAGAGAACCGTTTTGGTCCTATAACCATATGAAATTAAAATCTATTCATAAAATTTCTGATAAAATTAAACTTAGTCATTTACTACGGACAAATGTTAACCCTTTGACACCTAAGAGTGACTAGCATCTAATTTCTCCTTACAATATCGCCCCTGAATTGAACATGAGGGTCACAAGAATAAAGGAAATGATCACCAACTTAAGAAGCTCTTGATTGTTAAACAAATTCTCCTTGTCAGCTGCAAAGGAAATGTATAGAGAACAGTATATGCATCCTGATGTTTGGATGTAAAAGGTTAACGCCGATTACTTAAAAAGTTGTGCTTTTATCTGTGCATATATGTTTGTATTTATTTACTTCACATTCTTCAAGAAACGCGGTATGGTTATACAAAATCAAGATAATTTGGTTTTTTTTCAACTGGGTTGATGATAAGCAATTGTTGGATGAGGTTGAGCGCGATATCATGAATTATTAATGCAGAGCGCTGAGATAACATGTTAAAACCGAGTCAAATATTTTTTTTATTACCAAGTTTTTAAACACTTCTCTCTAAAATTGCAAAAGTTCAAGAAAACTACACGGACATGCGGCTTGGAAACTAGGTAGACGGTGAACTCGAGATGATAAATTGTATATCGATTGAATGCTCTCAATCAATCAGATTTTTCATGGTAAGTGTGATGCATAATGATTAGTGGCGGCCTACGAAATGAGTTTCAAAGGCTGACGATTTGAGCATTAGTCCTTTCCCCTTTCGTTCTGGCGAGGGGCGAACACTTTAAAGGTCAGCTTTTGAAACTCTTCACGATGGACAATTTACGTTTATCAACTCAGATGAGGAAACCTTGTGTCTTGTAATACCCCACCGTTTAATAGAGACTCGCCACCTTTATTTATTTATACAAAATCAGTATGTCGAATAAAGAGAGACTAAGCGCATCTCAGAGTTATCTGTTACAAGTTTTCACCATCACGACCTAGAAGATATAATGTATCTCAAACAATACTTGGAAATAAATATTTGTCTCGTCACAGTTTTTAATCACTAAATTGTACTACAATCTTGATGAAAAGCGATTGGGTATAACTATTGTAATGAAGTCCTATTCATATAAAGCTTTCGGTTACGATTTATTGCCACATTTCAGGCCCAGAAAACAGCGTAGTTTGTACAAACCGAAAAGGAGACTTTGAACCACAGGCTGCCCAACTAGAATAAAGCCGCACACAAGACCGATTGAAAAACCCGGGCTGTTGTTGTAATCTATGTAGGAATAGATGTATGGCTCACCACGAGCGTTAGTCGCATCAACTGCCCAAAAGATAACAGTTGTCAACAGATAACAAATACCCAAGACCAGTGGATAGACAACATGGAGAATTCTGACAGGAACGCAGCTCAGCATTATGTCTGCAACAATCATAACACTGTTTATCAGATGGGTACTCACATCCAGACCACTGGTTGTGCCGCCAAAAATTAGTGTCCAGTACAAAAGGGTCACCATAATGGCGGTATTGGCAGCAATGTTAAAAACGACCCATAATCCCTTGTGATACCACGACATCTTCACTGCGGATTTATGGACACTATCGCCCAGGCCTTCTCCTCCCTCTGCGTCACTGTCATGATTGCCAATAGCCTTCATTTGCATGTCCACCTGGTTGTTTGTGATTCCAAAGTGATGCAGAACGCTGACAACAGAAGCCCACAAGAAATACATCGTCACAAAGGTAAAAGCCCAGTTTGTCAAATAGATGAACCATTTTTCTGCGCCATTAGCGGGATGGAAACCGCTATATATGATCCAACCCAAGCAATACGCGCTAAAAACACAGCGATATGCCGTCACCAGGGCAGCTGGGAGCCACTAAGGAAAAGAACAGGGGAATGTGTGAATTATTGATATCAATACCCAACGAGAACAAATATTTTTGCCCTCTCACGTGACGTGCAAAACAAAGAGCTCAAATAAGGCTTCTCTCTCGACTGAATAAATAAATTAAATAAAGTGAAATTCATATAAAGCCGAAGGTAAACCTCTAAGCGCTTCACATTACGAAAGAGAGAGAAACAAACAGTTCGAATAAACATTAAGTGCTTGAAAAAAAAAATACAGCTTTGAGTGACAAATAATTACTCGTCAACAGCGAGTTTTATGACGACACACTTGAACATCTCTCACACCCACTCATGTATCACTAAACAGTGGTTAATATTGCCACAGGTTGACAAACATTTTTTAGATAGTACAAGTTCTTAATGAAGAAAATTCTCACGAATAACAACTACTAATCTACAGTGAACAGCTCACCAGCAAATTGATAGATCACCTAATATGTTTAAAATGCTCTTTGCCGTAATCAAATTTAGGAAGTGAGGTAGAGCCGACGTGCAGATAGGACACAGCGGCACGCTGGGTTCCATCCGCTCCTAGATTTTCACCCATAACTCCAATAGAACAGAAACAACCTCACTCGGCCAAGCGATTTAATGAAACAATAGAATTAGACAATTTCTGCGAAAATTATTTGCTTTAAATATTAGCGTCAAAATTATGCGAAATCGATCGAACAATAACACGCTTGAAAACAAACAACTGGTACGAATATCAACAGGATGTAGGAACACGAACATTGAGTGCAAGGGGCTGACATCAACACATAAATCCCCCTGATGGAAAATTTATAACGTGGCAAATGTGAGAGCTAAAGGTCAGCGATCATCCACTGAACCCTTCGGTCAACTTTTTGACTTAATAACGCTAGTTATTTATTCGCATTCTTACAACATCCTTGAAATAACTTAGATATACACTCACCAGTGATCGGATGAAATCTTTGGCGTCAGAATGATACAATTTGACTTGAGACAAACGAAACTCGTCGCGGCACATGATGGACACTTGGTCAGTAACTACTAAATAGGATTCAAGTATACACCAACTCACTGGTTTTGATGTGCGTAAACAAACTTCAATTGTCTCAATGGTAATACACAAACGGTTCTTTGACGTCATGCGCCAAATGCGCATTTCCGGTTCCAACCCAGTCTCGTCATCCACAGGCATCTCTGATCTCCAGCCCATCCGAGTCATTTTGGCTCTTTATCAACGGTATGGTCGCCATAGAGCTGTATATGAACGGAATTCGTGGGATTCCGGTTTTAACTACGCATGTTTGCATTGTTTAGTTATTGCTTCCGGTTGACTTCTGCGCGTGTTCAAAATAAAGCACACGGTCTGCTACGCTAGCGGAAGATAAGAACTCAAGATGATAAGACTCATTGTAACTAGTTGAAAGAGTAATTTTTAAACCAGAAGAAAATAACGAGATTTTTTCCAGTATGCCCTCCGGTGCTCCTGGAAGTTTGGAAGTGAAAGAAAAGGGGCTAGGGGACAGGTGATGGCCTTTTACGCAGCTTTTACGCTGTTTAAGAAATTTGACAAAAAAAAGTCCGGCAGTGCTGACTTGAGTGGAACAGTCGAACTGCCAGACGTTTCAGTTATTGGCAGACCGTGTCCGGCAGTGTTCGAAGAAAATTTTCTAAGTGTCACGCTTGTATCTCTTCGTACATTGTGTACAAGGTCGGTGACAAAGACAACGTTCGAACTTTTCCACTTTCTTGAAGCGCTTGAGGATTCTAAATAAAGGTAGAAAATTATTCAGGGAAAATTGGGGTATTTCAAATAGAAATACGGAGTTATTTAAGGACCGTGTCCGGCCGTTCCATTGAAAGTGTCAAGCACTTAGATGGCTTCGCTCGCTGTATACAGGGTTAGCGAAAAACATCAAGTTCGAAATTTTTGGCTGCCTGGAAGCGCTTGAAGATTTTAAATGAAAGTTGAACATTGTCGTTTAAATATTTTTTGGATTTCGAAGAGAAATATGGGAAAATATCGGACTGACGGACGTTTGGTTATTTTAAGACCGTGTCCGGCCGCAGGACGCTTAGTCACTTCGTATTTGGCATGATCCGTGATCCAGTCCGTTTGTTTTGAGTATTACCAAAACAGCTTTACGCTTCCAAAACACCGTGACTTACTAGCTTGTGTGCTAGTTTATAACTAGCGCGAAACAACTTGGTTTTGGCAGCCCGAAAACACGCTACTGTTTAGGACATGGGCAAACGCACATGCGCAGACATTTGACCCCTGTGTGCAGAATCCCTCACCTTTTAACCCTGTAGGTGTGCAGAGCTTTGGACGAGATACAAAACAAGAATACTAAATAAGATACTAAACAAGAAAATATTTCTGTCAACGTCGCGATTTAATCAAAGATGCAAACTTTGGATACCAGTCTACCTTAATGCAGGAACATAAAAACCTATAATTTATTTGTTCTGGATGGAAATACAGAGTTTCTACTGTTCGATTATTGACGACTTCTCATCCTGTTAAAATGACACCGCAGTGTAAACATTCCGAAATTCCACAACTGAGCCAAAGGAAGCCCAACTAGTGCAATGACAGTGATTGCTAGAGCAGTAATATATGGTTTATGCCCATAATCTAGGAGTGGATAAATGTGGTCTTCGCCATTGGTGTCCGTGCCACCACTCTGCCAATACACCACTGTAAATATAACGTATATCATTCCATACAGCTCAGCGTAAACCACATGGAAAAGACATACGGGAATTGAACTAAGACAAGTTTCTATCAACATAAAAACCGAGTTCATTGCATGAAAAGCTATATCTATTTCATGAACAGCGCCTCCTGAATATAAAAAACTCCAGAACACTACTGTTACAACAGGCGCAATGTTTGCAGCGATGATGTAAAACAGCCAGGTGAATTTGTGATACCATGTTTGGCAATAATCTACGGTTACAACAACCAATGGAATCTCACTTTCATCAATATCTTGAGCTTGTGCCGATGCTTCGATTTGTTCAGTATCCTCATAAGAGTCATAATACTGTTCTTGCTGCGAACCATCCCCTGAGTCACTTGATTCAGGAGTCACACGTGTGGTATTTGAATAAGGATCCCTCTGTGAAGACGTTTGTTCCTCTGGAGTGCACGCATGCCCTGATTCATTATCCATACGTTTACCATGATGATGTGCCCAATATATAAGAGAAGTAAGAGTGCTGCACACAAAGTAAGTAGTCACGCACAGAAAAGACCAGTCTGTTAGGTAAATGAGCCATTTCCAAGTGTTGTCTCTGATAACACTGTAGATTATCCAGCTAGCGCAGTACAGGGTAACCAAGAGTCGATATCCTACAACACATGATACAGGGAGCCACTGTGGAAACAGGAAACAACTCAGGTTTATTTTTCAATTTTCCAACCGCGAGTCAAGTGGCCGTCGCTCTAATGCAAATTCGCTTGACGGGAGACAAGTGCGACGGCGGTATACAATACGTGACCTGTCACGCTCGTGCCTTTCCATGCGTCAGGGCCTGTTCAACAGACTATAAAAAGAATACGTGACGGGCATTTGGTTCGGTGCTAAGCCTGAACGATAAGAGTGAAAAAGCCGTTCTTCCGCAATAATTTCTGCCTTAACTGCCTCTTAATTTAGCTGTAACATCAAAAAATGCTTGGGCTTGTTTAAGACTCTTAAGTTTTATGATTTTAAGATTCACAAAGCAATTGCAACCCCAAAGTAATATGCTTTAACACGTTCCCTTTGTCAGCGACAAGTACGAACACTAATTATAACCGGCATATTTACCTCTGCCCTTTTCTTTCGGCATAGTTTAACGGAGTAAATTTTATCAGGTACAACGAGCATATATTATTGATAATATTTTCCGCTTTACAATGACTCGCAAAAGGAAAATCTATGAATATACGAACGTAAACAGTTCACCCAAACATCCTCACCGGCGATTCAGCGAAGACTCTGCCATTGGGGTAACTCAACCTGAAATTCCGTAGACGAAACTCTCTTGTGAACACATCCATTTTCGACGACCGCATGCTGTTATACTGATCGTTCCATGAGAGTCACGAGTTTTTGTCACAAGCATTCAATCATCAACGGTTCAGTCATTTTCTGTCACGCAATAGGGACGGCTACCAGAGGTAAATTTGCATTAGCAAGCATGCACACGAGAGCTCCTCTCTCGCGTGTTTGCCGTCGTGGTCTCGTCGAGGACGCCATTTAGTGAGTTTCGCCGTCGTGTCGAGAACGTGAGTATTTTGCATCTTGTTTTGACATGAAAAACGTTGTAGTTGATTCCATTTCCAGATATACTGATGGGGATCTTTATAAACATCATATTTTTGGTGTTTTTGTTGTAAATGACCTCAAAAGGAAAAGATATTTATAAATGTATTCATTGTGTATTTGTTTGTTGTTTCAGTCGCCATCCATAGATGCTCCCGCGCAAACGTTAACTACTGCGAAGAAAAGTAAATCAGTGTAAGTAATAAAAGTTGAAGAATTCTTATACTAATCAAGTGTTCAAATCGATTAGAGTTAAAAAATAGAAGGATAAATTGATGTTAAATAAAATTTTAACAACTCGATAATAGTCCATTTTACAGTTGTGTGCTTGGTTGCTAAGCCTTTGAACAGGAATGAGGCTAAGGGTGACCTTGTTATGATACAAACCTTGCTGTTTTTCAATTGCAAATTACTTTGTTATCATGCTAACTAGATACTGGTCTCTATCACAACAAGGTCACCTTCAGCCTCACTCCAAATAAAAGGCTTGGCAACTAAGTACACAACTGTAAAATGGCCTATTGTTGTTTACCTCTTGTTGAGTTATACTGTAATTAAACATTTCAGTCCGGATTCACATATTCCGTTTTATTCAAGAATTGATTTTGATTATAATCTTCAGGAAGCCAATAGTGTGGAGTACTGTACACGACGAGATGTTATGCAGAGAAATATTGGTTGTAGATCCCTTTACTGGGACGAAAAAGGGTACAGTGGCAAGAGGAACTAAGTGGAAAGAGGTCGCCGAAAACCTAAAAAAAAATTCAGCAAGGTTACTTTAAAGTTGACAAGCGGGCAGTCCGAGATCGTTACAACCTCCTTTCAAAGGAACAAAAAAACTGAAAAAACTGAAAAAACAAACTGAAACGAGAAGAAAAAGAAATTGGAATCGAAACTGATATGAAAGAATTTGAAATGGCACTGCAAGAATTAATTGACAAAGAAGATGCAGCTGAGACCGAGCAGAGGATTGTTGATGACCAGAAGAAAATGAAGGACAGTGAAGACAGGAAAAATGCTGAGAGCGGTCGAAAGAAGGCCATGGAAAGACTTGGACAAACACAGAAAAGGAAAGCAGACGAGTGAAAGCGATGGGAGAAAAAGGAAGAAATGATCAAGCGGCAGCGACACAGTGAGCTTTCTGAGAGAGAAAAATGAACAGGCACAAGAAACAGCAGCTCGAGGTTGAGTCAAAGAAGCAAGATAACTTCATGCAGATGATGCTAAATCAGCAGCAACAGCAACAAAGACAGATGCAGGATTTTCAGGCTCTGATGAGTATCCAGACAAAACAGCAAAACGATTTGATGCTAGCCCTTGTTTCTAAGTTAGTAGAGAAGAAACAAAATGTAACCATCATGTTGTAATCGAAAAGGGCAGTGGTGGTAGCACCGACAAAATTTGGGTTTACAAACTTTATTTTTAGCTGTTTTGCTGTTGTTATTTGTTTATATATCAGATAAGCTTTTTTGTTACTGGCTACGTTGACAGTAGTAAAGAATTTAATAGTCTACCTTGAATTTACGCAATTTACAATTGCTGCCACTCAGTGAAGGTATATAGTTTATTTGTACATCATCACTTCAAAATGGTACTGTTGTTGTTGCACTGTAGTGGTTGCACTTTTAAATATTTTCAGAGAAAATGTTGTGTTGTTCATCACACATATCTAGATAAACATTTGAAACATCTGTCTGGAGTAATCCTGTGAAAGAAAGACAGATGTTGTATTAAAATGATATGGATTTAACATTTCCATCTCTCTTTTAAACTTTGAAGTCATGTGATATAAAACAATTTTTGATTTTAGTCAATAAAAATTTGCACTGATCAATAAAAAGTATGGTCATCAAGTGAAATCCTATACAAAATACTCTTCAAGGGTTGGGGGATCTAGATAAAAAAATTCTGAAGTTTGAATTCCATTGAAGAAATTAAGGGCATTGAGAAGTAGAGCACTGAAATGTATGTTTTCCCCACGGAGCTTAGACCAATTTTTAAATTCTTATGAAATCCATAAATTTAAAATAGTTCACAATGTCGCCAAAGAGCCATTCTACCGATTCACGCACAGCACTCATGTAGGAATTGAAGGCTTGCATGGCAGGAGTTAGAACTGCGTTCCTGAAGGGAACTTGCAGGTGGATGCGAAGATGGTAGGCAGGGTCACCGTAAAGGCACATGGGTTGACCAGTGGAAGAAAATGCAAAGCGCTGTAGATCATTGAGTGGTCCGGAATCTGCCAACATACCGGCATCGTGTTTTCTTCCTTCTGCAATAAAATTGAAAACCAAAACGGCAAATTCATAGTCAGAACCCAAATTACAAACATGAAGGGTTTTGAACACTTAGCAACAATTTTATTTGAGGTATATTCTGAACCACAGACTTACCTACAGGCCCGTACATATTTGCAATCATACCATTAGGCAAGGTAAATGATTGCAATTTTAGTGCGTGAACCCGCTTGTGACCATTGTAGACGACTCTTTGTAATTCCCCGGGACGACAGATGGGTCTCACAGTTCCATCTATGAACCCTATACAGTTATCCAGTGCTGCACCTTTGTTATGGATAGCTTCAGCATACCTCTCTAGACTCACAGGATCTAGAATTGTATTGTTCCACTGACTTATTCTATGACCATGTGTGTTGTAAATGTGATACAAAACAATGTTGTAAATCATGCTCAGCTCTGGTATTGGTCGCCCGAAACGAGGTATCAAGTCAGAGTAGCGACAAGGGTAAGTCAGTCGCCTTAACAGCAAACAAAGTCCTTCTATTCCAGGAGCTGTTGTGCCTTGGCAAAAAAATGTTTCAGGAATATCCAATGATTCTGCTAATCGGGGAATTTCATTTTTCTGAAGCGAAATTCAGATTTGCATTCCGTATCATCCATCGCATCCAAGTCGAACATTTCGTACTCTTCGTATGGAAATTCTGGATTCTTCGAAAAGTTTCCTCCATACAACAAAACAAATTCATCATCATCGATCATACCATCGTTATGGCTTTCCAAGAGAAGATTCCTAGCGTCTTTAAAGGATGATATTGCTGTTATAAAGCGAAAATATCGGGATCGCCGTCGTACACGAAAACAATACCCGCTTAAGTATTTTGTTGTTGGCGGGCACGACGAGAGTCGTCCCAGTCTTACTCTTCCAGTACCGTCGCCGTCCTGGCTTCCCGTCCTGGTATCTTAAGGTCCCTAATGTTTACATCGTGTCAGGGCCATTGTGTGTCGGACTATTGGGGTTTATACTGAAGATCATTGGGTTTGTATTGTTTCCTTATTCGGAACTGGTTAGCTCAAATGACCACCACAAACCGCATAATATCAAGCCAAACTTTAATAATTATTCGATCTAAAAGAAATACATTTATTATTTGCAATCAGATCAAACGCAAATCAGGTCTTTATCTCGTAGCTAAATTAAAAAACTTCAATGTGAAATTACTTCTGTGACGGGTCGTTACAACAGTCTCATTTTACAAGTTAGCAGATTCTCCAGGTAAGCGGATTTAGACAGAGAAATAATAACAAAAATTAACTTCTTTCTCATTTCGATTCTGCTGAAAAACTGATTTTAAACATAATAACCTAACGCTTTTAAATTAATGTGTAGAATTAAAGTCAATCACGATTCTCGTCATCGAATGAATCTATCAATAAGAGGCAACGCCTACTTGATAAACGGAACATGTAGTGGGGATCATCCAACCCTCCCCCTCACAGCGAGATAAATAAAATCTCATACAGAGTGGTACTAATGCTAACAGACATTAATTAGTTCTTTATAATAAAAAAACTGATTACAGTGTAAGATAGAACAAAACAATACATAGCCTGCGAGCAAGACCTCATTAATAGTACTGCAGGACGTGCGTTTCTCCGCCCGTGAGAAGATGAGACGAGTCGCCGGAGTCGGGGAGACTCCGAAATCTCTAAGATCTCTCATATCTCAGAAAGCAGTTTTAGTAGTACTTTTAAGCGAGTTTTTGTAAATTTACCAGTCAATTAAGGCATAAGATGGCGATTTTTATCCTTATTTTAAAATACCCCTATTCAGTGGAACTTGTATCAGGCGGTCGCTCTGTATCAAGCGGTCACCCTGCCACTCCCCGCATGTGACCGCTCAATACAGGTTCAAATACACCAAAAAGACATAATGCTTGCGTTGAAAGAAAAAAAAGCACGTAAGTTGAATCTATTGGCATTCGAAGGCATTCCGAAATTTGGCAAAAAAAATACAAGCCTAAAACCATTAAGGAGAAATGTCCAGTTCCAATTCAGGTTCTTTTTCCCGGTTAACTGTTCAAATTAGTCGATTCCAAGAGCGGTTCAACTTCAAGCGCAGCTCGTAAAGTCCAAACAGAAGCAACTGCGACATTGCATTACCAACAAAAAGAAACAAGCAAATAATTATAGCAGCCCTCTTTGGATGTCCACTGTAGTCAAGAGCAGGGTAGATGTACGGCTCGCCATATGGATTTGTTCCCCCACAGGCCCAGTAAATAATGGAAAATATCATATAAACAGTGATGAATATGATTGGGTAAATAACGTGCAATAACTTGATCGGAATAGAGCTTACCATGATGTCGATAACAATAAGCACAGAGTTCAGAGCGTGCGAATTCAACGTTACGAAATCAAAATCTCCAGGTTTGTAGACTAGGCTCCAAAACATCACGGTCACTGGAAAGGCAATGTTTGAAGCGATGTCACAAATGATCCATGATACCTTGCAAGCTAATGGAAGTTGTGGTTCGACACTGAATATGAATTGTTCGTCATCAGAGTTATCATCGCTTTCACTTTCTTCCTCGTATTCTTTGTTACTTCCTTTAATGTTCATTCCTTTACTGTTACTTCCTTTACTGTTACTTCCGTTACTGTCACTTCCGTTACTGTCACTTCCGTTACTGTTGGGCTGTACCGTTTGGTAATAATACACAAGAAACGCTTGAGTGACAAAATGTAGATTAATGAACGTGTAGCTCCAATTCGTGAGGAAGATCAACCATTTTAGACCCTGGTATTGCCTCTCAATTACAGCAAGTACTGTCATTGCTGTAGCGTATAGTGCCAGGACCACTCGGTATACAATAAAAGCGCGGCCGGTTAGCCACTAAGACAGGAAAAATTATAACAAAAAAATAAATGAAGCGCCTCGTAAAAACTTACACAAGTGTAAGTGTGTTACAAAGTTCATGAAAGGAAACAGGGGACTACTTAAACAACATAGAGCGGACTAGCTTAACATGAGGAGACTATCAAATGGCTGCCATGTTATTAATTGAAAGCGAAGTTACTTATTTCCAACTTAAGCTGGAGCGTGTCACTTGAGGCATGATACAGAATTGTTGCAAGCCACTTCATAGTAGGTATATTTTCCATTGTCTAATTGAAATTTTAAACCACCGAAGGTGGTACAGAAAATCTGCAAACTTGTTGAATCAACAATGGAAATCTGCCAATTACTTTAAGTTAGTCACGAGGTCTCAGAAGTGAATCAGCTGCAGATCAGAACAAGAGGTCATTCTGCATCAGATGTCAATTAACTAGACGTACAGCACCGGCTATTGATGATGAACTTACCATTGACGAAGAAAAATCAGCGATATCTGCATCACATGGCCATAGATTTCTACGACGAAACTGGTCTTTCAAAGACAGGCACATGATTTGCTTTATTCCTAAAAGCTCATGAACCTGAAACCCGAAACTGAAATGAATGGTAATGAGCCTTTTTGGACGAGTCTTTGACGTCATCAAAGTAACACAACATAACGTCACTCGGTACGAGTCGGCGGATTATTTTTGGGCTTTTGTCAACTCAATGTCATCGTGCTGAAAATGTCAGGAAAGTTCAGTGATGCACAATGAAATGCTTTTAGTGACAGACGTGTGAACAACGAGAATAACCACAATTACTGATGTTGCTCTCTGTTCCTGCCTGAGCGGAGTTCATAAATGTTTCCACACTGTTTACAATGCATGAACCTTAGCTGATAGGACTCTATGGAAGCAAAAACTGCATTAAAATACTGTTCAAAATACAAAATCATTCAATCTAACATCGCGTTTTCTATTAAGATAGCGTGACAGTTTCAAACGACTCCTTAAAATTGTGAAATTGTGAATATTTAGCTCTTCTTTTGGTGGCTGGACCGCTATATAAATGGCGTTTTAAACCATCCTTGTCTTTGAGTATTTTCTGCTTGGCAAAATCAGAATGGAACAAACCTTGCTTAATATATTTTGGCTTAGACGAAGTAACTTATAGATTTATAAATTGCAGATGGATACGATATGAATTATCTGTTTTGTAAGATTAGGATTGATAGGCTTAATCATAAAACCCACGCTTGCGAACATAGCACATCTAAGAACCGGAATCTAGTCATGACAGGTTAATTCTCCTGCTGGATGGCATAAAACAACGAAAAGCTTTTCGCGGAAGGCAAAAATTGCAATTGTATCCCAAGTTTTAGGCCAAGTGTTCCTTCTTTTTTTCCTCCATAATATAATACGTTAGATTTGAAGTGACGGTCACTGTTTCAAAAAAATGCTAATCAGGTGACGTTGATGACGTCAGAAATAAGCGATGAACACCTGTTTGTCTGTTCTTGTTATCATCATTTATTTTTCGTTCGCATTATTTCAATATCACAACACTCCGCTCCTCTGTATAGCGCTACTATGGCCCCTTGATCCGTTCCAAATCAGTTTGTCGCTTTGTTTTCGAGTGTCAAGTTATACTGCACAGTTAGCACCTAACTGTTCCAACTGACACTGCATGGCGCAGCGAACAAATTGATGCTCACTGAAAATTGACAACAAATCCGATACCTGAGCCGAAGAAGCACTTCACTTCATGAATCCGGAGTTTACCGAAGACTGAGTATCCATAAGGAGATAATTTTTTATCTTTTTTCTGATGACTTATACCGTGTAACTTTTTTATTCGTACGAGAAAATAAGAAATTTATGGCGGCTACAGCAAGACGAATCGGACTATCGACCCGCTTCGGAAGAAAATCATCGAGAGAAGATGACAGTAGCAATTGTAAGTCAAGAAAAATCAGCTCTGGGAGGCAAATATCACGGGAAGAAAATATTAATACTTTCTCTGTCAGAAAATCATCTCGAGGACTTCAAGAAGGTGAAATTCACTACCAAGCGGCTTTGGAGGCAGCGTATTCTATTTCACGACCAGAGGCACATAGTTCATTTGATACAAAAGGAACAAGAATCAGACGGAAGATATCAGTGTATGCGCGTCCAGAGTCACTCGAAAGAGAAGTTAACCCGAAAGGGACAAGATGGCAAGAATTTTTGATGAGATATGAACCGATAATATTATCCTCTTTGGTTTTATTGATTGTGTCTGTTTCTATATATATCGTGTTCGTTGAAAGACAAAGTTTGTTTTCAAAATAAGAGACTTACTCGGTGATTAAAACCCCTGAGTTGCAATAATTTTAATTACACGTTCTTCCAAAGAAGACTTCAAATGTTTATTGCCGGATTACAAATCATGTGATCTGTTCTACCGAACAAATTACTCAAAATAAAAATTTTTAGAAGGAAAAAAAAAGTTCATCAGTGCTAAATAAAAAATCGCTGTAGACGCGATGATTAATTTCCCTGTAAAATCAACACAGTCTGGTCGCGAAACACAAAAACCGAACGCAAATAGATATTTCTTTTTATTTAGCTCATCAACTGAGCTGACATTTAGGAAAGGTTTGTTATTAGCAGACCAAATGTTCAGACCCTCAGACCGTTTCCTGGCAAATTGCTCTGTTCGTGTACGTTTTTTTTGGGGGGAGACTCTTTGAATAATTATCGGATATTTCCATTTTGCGAAAAATTCGGGCAGCTGAACATCATTGAACTTGAAGACGCTTTTAGACGTAAGACAAGTTGTTGATCTTGTCCTTTTCAGCTACATCTCATTACGATCTCTGCCAACAGCGATGCCGCAGACAAAACAATCAAGTAATCCGCATAACAATAAAACAATGACCGATGAAAGGCAAGGAAAGAACAAAGGTATTGCTATAAGCTCGTTCGATGCTGATGCAGAGAAGCAATCAAGGCAAGCTATCGACAGAAAAGTATTGAATAGCCAAAAAATAATATCCTGAGGTATGAATTTCAATTATTTATTGCCTGGGGGAGGGAAGGGGTCGAGGATTTTTGGAGGGGATCACATGGTTTTCAGGGGTACGAGGGGGGGGCAGTCGTCGCTAACAGAGTATGAAGGGGGGACTTTTAGGAAATTAAAAGCCAATGGGGGGATCATAAGAAAACTACAGAGCGTATGGGGGGGGGGCAGGTAAATTTTTTGGCTCAAAAAAAAATACTCAAACCCCTGTCCCACTCCCTTACGCAATTAATCATGCTCGGTCCCTCAAAATTGTAGAAATTTTCAACACGTAGTTGAGACATTTGTTAGATCAGATAAGGGCAGGTGCGAACTGAATGGTGTATGCTGTATTTCCCTCGATCATCAAGCACCATGCAAAGTTCTGCGGTTTTCTTCACACAAACTGAGCTTGTAAAATTTCTGTAAGAATACATTTTACCTCTGTTAGACTCGATTTACGTTCGCTTTGACACACTGCATCCGTTAACGGCATGTGACGTCAAAAGTTTCTCATCAAACTTGATTCCAGTGTCTTCCAATAAAACAATGACCGATGAAAGGCAAGGAAAGAACAAAGGTATTGCTTTAAGCTCGTTCGATGCTGATGCAGAGAAGCAATCAAGGCAAGCTATCGACAGAAAAGTTTTGAATAGCCAAAAAATAATATCCTGAGGTATGAATTTCAATTATTCATTGCCTGGGGGAGGGAAGGGGTCAAGGATTTTTGGAGGGGATCACATGGTTTTCATGGGTACGAGGGGGGGGGGCAGTTGTCGCTAACAGAGTATGAAGGGGGGACTTTTAGGAAATTAAAAGCCAATGGGGGGATCATAAGAAAACTACAGAGCGTATTTTTGACTCAAAAAATTTCCCATAAGATCATAAGAACACTATATAGCGTATTTTTGACTCAAAAAATTTCCCTCGATCATCGAGCACCATGCAAAGTTCTGTTGTTTCCTTCACACATTGAGCTTGTAAAATTTCTGCAAGAATACATTTCACCCTTGTAAGACTCGATTTCCGTTCGCTTTCACACACTGCATCCGTTAACGGCATGTGTCGTCAAAAGTTTCTCATCAAACTTGATTCCAGTGTCATGCCAAGCGTTATATAAAAGTTTTTCATCAAACATCTATTGTAATACAGCAGTCTTTGAAAGTAATCCATGCAGTATAGCTTCAATTCACCCTGTGCCCATCTCATAGCCGATCAGAAGCAACTCTAAAAAAAATCACGCCTTGGTCGCCCACGTTTTCCCGCACTTTAGTTAGTCTAGTTGTTTTTAATTTGACTCAGTTCTCATTGGCTCTTAAGGTGACTCCTCAGAAAAAAAAAATATCCAACAATTTTTTTTCAATTTTCTTTAAATGTTCCCTTCCAATGCTTGTTTAGAAAAACAAAATAAAAAGATAGGTTATCGTGCTTGTTTAAGAGATATAATGGGCCAAACCTATCCAATTTATGCCTGTATTGGCACTAATCACGCGCGTCATTTCATAGCTTCAAAGTAAATTTTGCGCCAACTAGAAGCAAGGCTTTTTACAGTAACACTTGATAGGTACAAGTTCTCAAACGAACGTAAAAATTTTATATACATTTTGAGGACAAATCGCCCAATATTAAACGACTTCGACATAAAGAATCGTGCATCGAGTCGTCGCTTAAAAGGACATAATTTGCATCCGCGAGTAACGGGTAAGATATATCTTATTTTTCCTTCGATTACTTCCTCATTTAATTTCTCCAATTTAAAGGGAATAATTTGAACACCGAAATTATTCGATAAAAAAATATACGTAATCGTGCTCATTTAAGAGCAAAAGAGCATCGTACCTCTTTACCTGGTCCACTGATTGAAAACTAATACAATGTTCTCGGAATGCGCGCCCGCTTATCAGCCTGATTTCGTGATTTTTATGCCCAGTACAGCGGATTTTCCTCTCCTCTGATTGGCCATTGCGATCACTATGGTTTTGAATTTGGTTTTACGACACCCATCGGAAGACGCTCTATACATTTGTGGCTTTGATTCTGGTACGAAAGTATGTGTGAATTTTTAATGAAACTGCATTTCGTGAAATTTTTTTGCGGGAGTCAAAACAAAAATTGCTTTCCAGAAAGAACAGATTTGCAGTATATCAGACTAATCCATTTTCTTTCAAAAACAATAGACTATGTTGTTCAAAAGACGTCTGGTCACTTGGATAAACATTCCTCTTTTGTTTTTAAGATACCTAAAGTAAGTTTCATTTAATGCTGAGACAAAAGAAAGTTTGAAGAGTGGTGACTCCGGAATTTAATTTACAAACATTATAAACCAAATAACCGACTCCCTGAGAAACAAACGACCTTGATTGATTGAAGTTATACAAAATGTGGAGAACAGTTTCATGTGAAAAGTTGTTTTCACTGAAAATCTTATTTCAGTTAATCTGAAATCGCCAAAAAAGCATCAAAATACAAACACGAAAAGCCTTGCTATTCTTGGTTACGTAGGCGACCTTAATCCGTTACCAGGCAACTGGTGACAAACGAATAATTGAAAGATCAAGAGTCTACAAGTGACCGTGAACTCATGCAAACCAAACTATTTCTTTCGAAGCACTGCAGTTGAACTGCAGAAACTTCCCTTTTAAAGACAATTTAGCCGCGAAGAATACTGAAAAAGAACGGTGGAAGATTGAAAATAAGACGAATTTTGTTTGACGTGTCAGGGAATTGAGCAAATTCCAGTGTCGTAGAAAGGCACGATCCGCACTGTTCAGCAGCGTGCAGATGTCATTCACGCCATTAAGTTCCATCACCGTTGATCGTTGATTCGATTTTAAAAACGGTTGTTTAAAGCAACTGGTCACTGAAACGAAACTCAAAATGGCAGAAGAAGTTCAAGAAGGGCAACAGTTGAGCGACAGCGACAAAGCAGCCGAAAAACCAGCTCAAGACAATCCTGATCAAGAGACGGAACAAAAAAACGTGCAGCTGACTTCGTCAGGTAATAACTTGTTTATGAATCCTACTCGAGTGCTTTTCATTATTGTATTTATTTTTGACAGACTTATAAACACCATATCAAAAGACCGATGTTCGGCGTTTTAGTCTGGTTACGCAAGATCCATCGCGAATATTCTTAACTTCCTATTTCCTCGTAAACGATGCATGAAATTTATCAAATATCGACAGCTCTTTCGTAACGTTCGATTTGTTTTAAGAGACCGTGATTGTGGTTTTATCCACGAGTAAACCCAAAACCCAAGTAGCCGGTGAAAAGCTTTAAAAACCACCTCGAATGTTTCGATTACAAGGTTGCTTCCAATATAAACGATTGTGCAAGCGAACGAACTACCTCAACAAGGCAGTTTCCCTTAAATAATTCAATAAATTAGACTTCATTGAAGTACATAAAAAATCACGAAATGAAAATCAAGAATTTCAGCTTTACTTATCAGCATGAGCAAATTGTTGTTATGAATTGTATAGCTTTTATATCAAGATGGAAACAGGCAAAACTCTATCCTTTTAAATGCCTACGTTATAGTAACTACCTCACAGTAGAAGTACATATTATTCACTACTTTTATTTTCTCGGTCAATGGCTTTGTTGTTCCTGTCTAATATTTAGTTGTAATTGGGATTCTTTACAGAGCCACCACAAGGTAGTGATCCTGTGGCACAAGAGGAGTCCGAACCAGAAACAGGAGATAGCTCAGCTCCACAGGAGCCCGTCTCCAATGAAGGCGGTACAGAATCATCTGAGAGTGCAGAGCCTGTGAAAGATGCAGGTGAAGGACTTGCTGTAAGTGAGGAACAAGGAAATCAGAGGGAATTAGAGGAAAACACACCTGAGGAAAATGAGAATAACAATGTTAAGAGTGAGGAAAATTCAGAAGTACCCAAGGAAGAGACAGAAGTTAACAATGATGGTGAGAAAAAGGCAGAGTTACAGGAAGGTGATAGTGTGCCACAAGAGGAAAGTATTGCTCAAAAACCTGGTGATGAACAACAAGCTGAGGTGAAACCAGAAGAGAAGAGGGAGGAACCTACAGAGGAAGAAAACAAAGAGGAACAAGGTGCAGTCAGCCAGGAGGAAAACAAGCCAGCTGATGGAGAAAGTAATGTTCAAAAACCCAGTGAGGAGCAACAAGCTGAAGGAACAGCAGCAGAATCTGAAAATAAGGATATAGCAGAGAAGCAAGAAAATGAATCAAATGGAGAAAAAGGAGATGCTCCTGACATAACCAATACCAACCAAGAAGAAGCTACAGAGGGCACTATAACTACAGAAGATTCTTCTCAAAAACCCAGTGATAAGGATGAAGCTGATGGAGCAACTAAACCAGACATAACACCTGTAGAGACAGACAACAACAAAGATAATCAGATAGTACAAGCAACTCCAGAGAATGAACCCACAGATGTGAAGCAGGAAGAGGTTTCAGAGGAAGCTGACAAGCCTGTGGAGAACCAGGAACACATCCAGTCAGATGCTGCACCTACAGAACAACAGCCTGCTGTGACAACAACACAGATTGCTACCGTACCTACAAATGAAGCACCACAAACCAAACAAGATGAACTTCAAGAAGAGAACAAAAAATTAAAACAAGATATGTTTATGATGAAACAACAAGAGGATGCCTACAGAATCAAAGTCCTTAGCTTGGAACAAGAAGTTGGAAAGTTAAGAGCAAGAAAAATTGACAATAGAAGTACAGGTGTGTATCTCTTTTTCATGCAGGAAAGTAGGACAGCTGTGGGCCTAAATTCATCATAGACTCTTTACAGTTCTACTGGGTAGTATTGAACAAACCTTCACTCCCAAGGTCTCATTAGTAAATTTCCTTGCTGTCTGCCCTACAATTCTTATGATGTTAGGTCAGAGAATTTGGTATTGGATCAAGAAATAATTCTGTAATTGGTATTTTTTTCTATTCACTTGCCTGTCTGATGTTGTATTGATATGCTATGGATAAATTCTGTCCTAATCACACATTGGAATTAAAGGGTTAACGAAAAAATCTGCTGTTACTCACATTCTTTATGTTGGAAAAAAAATTACCAGATACTCATAAAGGAAAGCCTGGGATTAAATCTTATTAACATAGTCTAACACCCAATCAATAACCTAGGAAAAAGTAAATGAAAAAATCTAATGTGATGTCTTTTTTTTCTTTTGTTGTCAGATTCACTTGCCTCAGACTCAGACAGTTACTTAAAACAGAAATTGGCAGAAACTGAGAGGGAACTAGATACAGCAGAGAGGAAAGTGAAGGACTTGCAGCTGAGACTGAAACGATTTGCTAAAGATGATCAGATTAAGGATGAAAAAATCTTCCAAATGGAAAAGGAGGTCAAAGAATTATCAGAACATATAAAGAAATTAGAGCGCTCAGTGGAGGATTCCAAAACAGAGAACAATAATAATGCAACCCTACAGGCAAACCCAGACAAAAATGATTCAAAAGTTTGTATAATTCTCTGATATTGAAAATTGTTTTTATACTCATTTTTATTTATTTTTTGAATTGTTATGGTTGACTGTAAAGGATGTTGAATATTTAAATTTGCACAAATGAACTTTTTTTATCGACAAAGGCATTTCAATACGATATTCATATGTGTATTCCATAATTACTAATATATTGACATGTTATTTTCATCAGTTATTTGAGGTTTGTTAAAAGCATTATACTCTAATTTATGTTGAGGAAAAAGAAGAATTCTAAGTTGAATTCCCCAAGCTCAACAACTTTAATTTGTACATTAATAGTAGGCAACCACATTTCTTTTGAGGCAATATACAGATCACAAGCATTTTCTTATACAAGTAGACAGTAAGCAGGATTTTGTCATTCTTGTTTCACAGACATGTAAGCCTAAAGATTATTTTTTGTGAATACACTATTTTTGATACATGTAAATACTTTTTTCAGATAGCTTACTTTGTACAATTGTCACAATCTGCATACCTGACAACTAAGTTGATCTGACATCTGGAATGTTTTACAGGATTCCTATAGTAGACTTGACTCTTTCTGAAACCCAAACATCTCATTTCTCATTGACTTGAAAAAGGAACAAAAAATAACGATGAAAATTAAAAGCTTTTGTATATAATTCCTCAAAAAAAATCTACATTAACTTATTTCTTTCTAAGGCCCTAATGGTATTTCAGTATGTATACCATTTTATATTTTAATGTCAGAGTTACACAGGATGCCAAAAATAGTTGAATGTGTTTGATACTTATTGTTTGATGTTCTGTTTTAAGAACACAGTTTTCCATTATTACCTAGTAAACTCCACTAATCACAGAACCACAAAGACTGACAAAGTATCCATAGAATGGATGACTGCACAAGTAACAACCACATCAAGTTTCACTAAATCAATTGTTTTTTCACTCAAAAATTGCCATGTTGTTTCATGAGATTTAATTAAATCAATAAATGAAGAGCCATGTCTGGTTTAGTGTCAGATTCTAAAAACATAAATGTTGACTCAATTAATGTTTTAACTCCTAAGAGTGACGAAGACAAAATTTTCCTTACAATAGCAATATGATATCAAGCAGACAAGAGATGAGAATTAAGAAAACTATCAATTAGAGGATTATTAGTTGATCCAATACCAATTTCTGCAAACCAATACGACACGAGGTGTGTTGCAGACAGTAAGGAGAATTAATGATGAGATCTTGGCAGTGAAAGGGTGAAGTCACTCTCAAGTACGGCATCATGCATCACTCTGCTCCCTCCTTCCCCCCCCCCCCCCCTTTTTCTTCCCCAAGCATAAATCTTGGGACCCTCTGATGTAGTCATGGCGGCGTTTTTCTGTTCGCGTTAAGGAAAACACAAAAATAAACTTACATTTTCGGAGCACCAAGACAGTGTTTTAACCCGGTAAACACCCACGAAAAAAGCAGAGTATTTTATTTACTGTAAGCTGCACCTCACAATTTCGTACAACGCTATGTTTTATTGCGCATATTTAAATCGCCTCAGGTCACTAAAAACTCACCCCATGTTAAGAGTAGGGATTACCTGCCCGGTTTTTCTTACAACCATAGCTTTGGTGGGGAGATTTCTGCAATGCCCTATTACTTCATTAGCGGGCAAACAGTTCTTGGATAAACGAAAACTATCGATTACCTTTGGGACTTCGGCCTTCTTTTAGAATATCATGGGTCACACTGAAATTTCCTATTATACTTACAGATTACAATACTCACATCAAATACAGCTGAGGTCATTCAATTTGACCAAACCTCTGTCCGTTAGGTAAACTATATCGCAACAGTTCGCAATCTTCTCCGTCCCTCGCGCGGACAGTTCGCGCGCTCTTGTACAGCTTGGTTACTAAGATTGCGGGCTCATTGTTTTTGTTGGATTCCTCACAAATTACTCGTAGAATGGAACGTGAAGGACACAGTTAGATTTTGCTTTTCATTTGTTCTGGTTTAACTGCAAAAGAAAAAATTCAGCATTTCAAGTGTTAAATATGGGTTGTACCGTAAGTGGCGTCAACAGGAACAATTTTGAAAGAGCTCTTGTCAGAGGTGTTGCGAACAACAAAAGAGGACAGTTACTCATATGCGGTAGAGAAAAGAAAACTAACCTACAGACGGAAAAAAGGAAATATTCGGGCAAAATCGAATTATTCAGAACTACAGATTTACCAAAGACCTTAACAACGAAGAAAATTATAGAATCCTCCCAGATGACGGCACTGTCCGATTCAATTTCGAACAAGAGAAATACACGTGTTTATTTGAGCTCAGGTTCGAACAAAGAAGCCTTTCACAGACTAGATGGAAAATGGGAAGGCACCAAAACGGAGCAAATTATCCAAGGTACTGATATTATGTTTCTCAGCAGAATTTAAGATGTGGAGAAAGAAGAAGAGACAAGTCGTCCATCAGTTGCTGCTTTCCTTATTTTAAAATCCTTTACACTCTAGCATCAGTATCTGTATTCTCAGTTCTTTTGGACTAACAAGGAGAATACATTTAACAATCAAAGTTTCTTAGGTTGGCAATCATTTTGTTTATTCTCATGATTTTAATGAATGATTCAGAAGTATCGTAAAAAGGATTAATTAGATGCTGGTCACTCTTAGAGTTTAAAGGATGAAAAATATAACTTCTGTTACTGTTTGGTTATGAAGCTAACATGGTATGTTGAAAGGAGACTCTCTTTCCACTTGGTGACTGCATCTTGTGATAAAGATACAACTCCTCCCACCCAGAGTGAGAAGGGGGGGAGGAAGGGACATTAGAGGTAGACTGTCACCAAGGAGAATATCTGAGGGTTAAAGAAAGAGCAATAAAATTCATGTTCCTATGTACTAACTTCCTACCTCCCCACAGAAAAGTGAAGGTCAAATACATGCCCCCCCCCCTCCATCCATGCTAAACTTTTTCCCAGACAATGCAGATTTGAGCTTTTCATATCATTCATCTTTTCAGAAGTTAACAGCAGCCATCAATGCCACAGTTACAGCCTTGAGATTTCATGGCCAGATAGAATTAGTGAAAACCAGAGTGGAAAGACCAGTGAAGCTGGACTGGACCGGAAACTTAAACAAGACAGTTCCAATAGCCCTTGTTTTAAATTTTATGTCTCTATTTCAAACTCCAGCGATGGTTCAACACATCACAATGGAGCCACGCAATCCATCTTGGAGTTCCACAGTTGCATGCGAGATGATTTTCCTAGAGTGAAAAGTGGTCAAGTTGCTGTAGCTGTCCACGAAAGCTTCTTCAATTGTAAGTAACTATGAGATGTAGCATACATGGGGTGAGGTGAGGTGCAGTGGAAACTCTTTGTCCGCTTACAAAAGTCAGAATTAAGACCTTAAAATAAGGGGTGAACTCATTACTCATTACAGAAGCCCCTTAGCCCATTAGTAATGGGCTTCTGCTTAATATCCTTCTCCATCACAAGACTACAGGAGTCACTTTGATATTAAACCAAAGCACTACACCAAAGTGTGCAGCCATATCTTTATTTCTGTACCCAGTGTCACAGGAGTAGTGATATCAAAAGGAGTAACAAAGAAAACTTTGCTCTTGGGCTACACAAGTCCAAAATACTTTACAAAGAGTCTACTGCTTAATAACTTATTTAGCTGAATTATGTCATCTTCAGCTTACAATCAACAAGCATTATATATTTTTAAAATATTGTAAAACAAATTATAAGTAAAAATCGGATGAGTTCATGGAACAGCAAATATGAACAATTTGGTAAATGACAAATCTGTCCAAATTCTCATGCACGTTTATCATTGATGAGCATGATCATGCATGTTTATCATTGATGAGCATGATCCATAGTCTTGTGTAGCAGCTCGAATCTAAAAAAAAAGGTAATTCATGAATGTATCTCAATTTTATCTTTGTAGCATTTGGAGATGACTGTGATGATGATGAATTTACCAGCTCAAGCCAGGGGTTTCTACATTGGATCAACTAAATATATAAAAAAGAAATAGCAACCTAAAAAAAATAATCCTTAGCTCTACCCATGTACCTATAGTGTACAATCCTCCAGGACTGTCTACATCTGTAGCTTGCCACTTGCAGTAGGCACAGCATTATTACACTGATAAGAAACAAGAGTTGTACATCTCACAACGCCTGAGTCAACTTTATTTCAACTCCACAGCTTCTTCAGCACTACAAACATTTAGAAATACAATTTGAAAAATAATTACATTTCTCTATTGTTTACTAATAAATAGACACTTTCGCTTTTGGTTTTGAACATTCTTAAAATCCCTCATTTTGTAAGGATGTAAAGAGGATTTTAAGTTCCAGGATTAAAACTGCTCATTTCACTAAAACAATGTATTCCAAAAGACTTCCACAGGAAAAATGAGAATTCCACAACCTCTTTGAATTTTGTTTGTCTGATTCTTGGTAGTCTGAAGTTGGTTGCACTCAATGTGGGTTAAAACTCTTTGGGTCAAAGTCAACATCTAAGCAACTGCACATCTACCCCTCCCGTAACCCAACAATAACCCTTATTTGATATCAGTCAACTGCTGTTAGGTTAGGGGAGGTGTAGGTGTGCAGTTACTCAGATTCTGACATTGATCTAACTTTTCTATGTGTAATAAGTTATGACTGACCCTCTCTTCAACATTATAATGTACACAAAGAACAAATCAATACCACAATCAGGAAGTATTTTTCTTAATTTGCACCACTTCTTGGGCTACTAAATAGCACACAAATTAATTACTGGCTTAACACAGATTTCCCATGAAACTACATGTACTACAACACAGCAGTCCCACGTCTGCGCATGTACAAACATTGTTATGACTAAGTGGCTTGTTTTAAGGTAGTCAGAACCAAGATGTCTCACTCAGGTGACAAAAACACACAAACCAGTAAGTCAGGGTGTTTTAAAAACATTTCGCTGGTAAAGCAAAGGTATATCAACAGGATACTCACATTAAAGCAAGCCTTTTGTTTAAATAATTATTGATTTTCCTTTGTCCTACTTTTGTTGCCTTTGATAGACTTCTGTGAACATTTCTGCTTTCTTTTGCTTATTTTGGGAGCCAGTTGTTGTTTTCTATATATGTTTCCTTTTGATATTTTGCATGGGAAATTGGTGCACAGCCAGTCAGAATTACTCCTCTAGTGCAAGCCTGGTGTTTGACTGATGTGTCATGCAATACAAGGTATAAATTGCCAGCAAATACACGGTCTTGGAAAAAACCATGTCTACTATTACCAGTATGGAAAATCTAAATATGTAAGTTGTTATTTTTGTTTCACTAGTAGTTCCCATAATCTGGAGTGCTCCAGTGCTTTGCCTTAACTCTTTAACTCCCAAGATCTCATTAGTAATTCTCCTTACTGTCTGTCATACAGTTGTAGTGATGTTGATTTGGAGAATTTGGTATTGGATCAACATATAATCTCCTAATTAATACTTATCTTTATTCTCATCACTTGTCTGCTTGATATTGTATTGATATTGTAAGGAGAAATTATGTTTTGATCACTCATGGGAGTTGAAGGGTTAATACAGGCAAAGTGAAAATAAAAATGATAAGTGCATCAGTAACAAATGGTGCACTTGAATCTGACCAATGTTTCATTTGAATGACTGTAAAATGAAAAATTACAAATACTACATCCAAAATACACTCTCACTTAAAAAGCTGTTAACCCTTCACACCCTAACATCAGTATGCATATTCTCCATACTGTTCTTCATACATTTCCTAAGGTGCTGACGAGAAGAATTTGACAGTAAAGAGCTTCTTTAGTTGGTGATCATTTCCTAAGTTTTCTGACTTTTGTGTGTGATTAAGGGGTGATGTAAAACTACACAGACAATAAGTTAAGGTAGATAAGAAATGAAGGTTTGCTAAAAAAGAGGAACCTACCTACTTTCAAGCTTTCAGCTATTGCATTATTCCTCAAGTGTCACTGATCACTTTCATGTGTTGTACAGAGTGGAACACAAAGCACTCAAATGGAGAAAAAAAGCCTCTAAAATGGCAATGAAACTGATCATCATTACCAATAACCATATACACATTAACCTTTAGAGAACTAATTTTAACAGATTCTTGACCCAAACTAAGTTTAAACTTGAGTAATTAGGGTTTTACTAGCATCAAATAACTAAGTGGTGAGAGTTCAGTTCAGAATTAACACTTTTGGTCCTGTTCTGTTACTCAGTTGAGCAATCCCGTGCATAGTGTCCAGTCTCATTACAACGGTAACATTTCACATCATTTTGAACTTTCTGTGTGCAGTCCCGCTTCAAGTGGCCTTGTTGGCCACAGTTGTAACAGGACTGGCTTTCAGATGTACAATCACGAGCAAAATGGCCTGGTTTATTACACTTGTAGCAAACCGTTGTTGCATCCAAGGAACAGTCGCGTGCAAAATGGCCTGTCTTTCCACAACGGTAGCATTTTGTACCACAGTCCCGTGCAAAATGGCCCTCCCTACCACACTTGTAGCAGCCAGTTTCAGAATCTATCCCTTTATCTTCAGACGTTGGACAATCTCTGACAAAGTGACCTATTTTTCCACAATTGTAGCACTCTCTCTTGCCATCTGTATTCTCTGGACAGTCTCTCTGCATATGACCCTTTTGACCACATGAATAGCATTCATCTGAGGATTTAAGAACATATATAAGTACATCATTACTATTTTCTAGTTTGCTCAATGCCTTTAACTTTTAACACCTCTGGAACACACTTAGAAGGCATGTGAGAAATCCAACATATCAATTTAAGTCTTTAACCAGGTTTCAAGGGTGGTTAAGTGTTTAGATATTTTTGTTTTTACTTAGTTGTACTACAGATGGAGGTCATTCTTATACCGCTTCCCAAAAAAGAATATGCTTTGCCAGGTGTAGCACTGAACCATTGATCTGATCCTTTTAACTGCTTTATGGTTATCACTGAAAAGACCTCACCTTCTCTTAAGGAATTGAAACCAAATTTATTCAACACTTTTTCGAAGGCCTGGTTGTAAAAGCCCAGTGGAATCTTAGAGCCATTAAATCCAGCAGCATTATCTATTTTAGAATGACGCACTTAAATCAATGTAAAGCTGTAGTGAGAAAACTAAGAAAAACTGAAGTCACTTGTGCATGCAAAGTATAGATTTTCTTGAATTAAGTGTTATAGACGTGAATTTTCATGTGATCTAGAAGAGCTAAAGAGCGACTTGATTTGAGCTCAAGCCCTGTTTAGAAGGAAAAGATTTGCATAAATGTGAGCAGCCTGTCATGAAGCCACATGTCAAGCTTTTTATCTTTGGCTATTGTTTGGCTTGCTAGATTTAAATCATTTCCACAAAACTGCAGTCATGATCCTCAAAAAGTTCTTCAAGCATGTTGAGCCTTGATTCTCAGTAATTTCAGGCACTGAAATTCGAGTCGAGACTGTCAACTCACTTTTGAGCTGTAATGTGGCATACTGATGTAAGAGTGTAAAAAATTTATAAGGCTGCCCAGTTCAACTTTGAATAGTGTCACAATGAGTCCATCTTGAAGTTTGCTTGCATTACAATCTGTCCTAATGTGGTTGATCTACTTTCTGGATCTATTCCTCTTAAACACATCACTGTCCCCAATTCTATAAAAAGAGTAAGATACCTGTACAACTTCAGTTCACCCTTTGCCCCCTTACATCAGTATTTATATTCTCCTCACTGTTCCTGTTACAATTCCTATGATACTGACAAGGAGAATTTGTTTGACAGTCAGGGGTTTCTTAAATTATTGGTCATTGCCTCTATTCTTGTGAGTTAAACTTTTGATTCAAGGGTCACACTTAAAGGAGAAATTACCAGCCAGACACTCTAAGAAGTTGAAAAGTTAGTGGTCATTGCCTCTATTGTCATGACCTTAACTTTTGATTCAAGGGTGAAACTTAAAAGAGAAATTACAAGCCAGACACTCTAAGCAGTTGAAGAGTTAACGAAGTTGGGTCATTGACAACCATTTCAATTTAAGAATTTTCCCTCTAACCTGACAAGCCACAAGACAATTTAAGTTGCCTGCCACTGCTGACGAGTTTCAATGATCTCTCAAATTTTCAATGAAGGGATAATGCCAGCTACTAGTAACTTGTTCACAACTGGTGTTTAATTAAACATACCACTCTTTTTGCTGCAGCTTTTGGATATATGTCCAGTTTCTCCACAAATGTAACAGCTTCTGTCTACAAATTAGCAAAAGGCAATTTTATGAATATTTGGAAAAATTAAATATAGGCTTTCAATTTATACACATTTTCCTCTTGATAGCATACATTTTTTATTAAACGCATTTGCATGCTATGACACGCAGCATGCACAGTTCACATGTGTAGTGCATCAGAATTACATATGCATATAGGATGTCTAATGCTACAAAAGAAAAATGCAGTACTGTTTATGATACCCACTTAAATTATTTATCATAAAATCACTCTGATTGATGTTTCAAAATCATTCAGTCCACACAATTATTGCAGAACACCTGAACCATGGTTGTCACAGCCATGGGTTTTTGAAATTACCTGAATTTTACCTAACTCTTTTCTTTCAAAAATGTAAAAATTTCCTTGACCAACTAGATTGCAATTTCACAAATAAAACCTGAAGATGGCCGCCAATATCGCCTCCCAGCCACCCTCTCCATCCATCTACTATATTTAACCACGGAGAGGGATGCAGCTTAAATATCGTTACAAGTATTTTTCAATCATTAGGAGGGCCAAGACAAGAGGAGTGAATGCAATTTTTCTGTTGATTTATATTTTCACAGACTTGTTATAAAGATTTAAATTATCTCTAAGTCATTGTAGAATTCACTGACTTTTCTCTAACTTTGAAGAGATACTTTTTCCCCAGACTTTTTCCTGATTGGTGACAACCATGTAAATATGGGATGAAGTTCCAAGTTTACCTTTAATCTACAAATGGAATTGGTCAATTTGCATTACCTTAAGCCTAATTGATACACAAACCTTACCTTCCTTATTCAAATTTATTTACCAATGGTTCAAATGTCCAGTATTTCATGTCAAATGTTACTTAACCCTTTAACTCCCAGATCAAATTTGTAATTCTCCTTACTGTCGACCATACAATTCTTATAATGTTAGTTCAGAGAATTTAGTATTGAATCGACTAATTATCTCCAAATTAATGTTTTCCTTTGTTCTCATCACTTATCTAGTTGATATTGTATTGATACTGTAAGGAGAAATTCTGTCTCAGTCACTCATGGGAGTTAAAGGGTTAATCAGTAACACAACCTAGATACGAGATGGTCATTACTACGCACAACTCATGAAAATTCAACCATGCCCTACTCAAATTTATCCACCCAAATATTTTGCCATTTCAAAATGAAATCCAGGAAACACTATATTATGTCCCCTGTTCATCATGGACAGACAGCATCTGAACACAGATGAAACATTTTAATATTAAATTCAGAAATCCTCAAAATTAACTGTATTTACAAAATTATGCATTTTCAAATAAAAGAGCTTGAGTAAATGCTGCAAATTTCTTTGTGAATGGGTGAAAACGAAATAAATTCAAATTGCGTTAGTTTTTATTTACAAGGTTTACAGGAACCTTGGGAATATAACACTTTACCCTGAGATGCTGTAAAATGTACTATAAAGCTCTTCGAGAAAAATAGCAGAGTAGGTTTGAGTCAGGACCATTTGCTTAATATATTAAATTTCAATACTCAGAAGATTTTACTGTCAATACCTTGACACCTGAAATACGAAAGCTATTTAAATATTTACGCTAACTTCCTAGAGTACACGTTTACCATCTCAAGGCAAGCACCATCCACATACGCCAACGCACACTCAAAGTATTTCAAAACCTGGCTCATTTTCGTGAGAGATCTTCAGAAGAAATCGCAAATACGGCAGTAGTGCACACACAAAAAAAAAAACAAGAAAATCCGAACAACGGGTTAATTTCAAGTCTTGATGTAACGTAAGTGTATGTAGAAATTAAAAATAAAAGTAAAGATCCATGAGGCATAACAAAGTCTAATAGGGTTCGGTTTTTATTGCCATGTGCCTTATTCAAAACTATCCCTCTACCTTAAATACACATCATTTTTATTCATTATCCGAGTGATTTTCAGTTATACTACATAAAATAAAAAGGATCTTCGCTCACCTCCAAAACTCGCCCCACTGCCACTTCTGTTCTCTGAGGCAGACCTACATTCCTTCGCAAAATGTCCTGGTTTGCTACACTTGTAGCATTTTGACTTCGATCCCATCGCTGGTAATACAAGTCAAACCATACGTACATCAAGAACATGAAAGACCAAATGCGACTTAACAGTTTTTCGCGAGTAACGTATGAATCCAGTCAAGTGCAACGTATGTTTAACCTATCTGAAATATCGGTGAGCAACACACACCTTTTTTAACTCACGTAAAGAAACCCATGGTCATTAAAGTGTGAATATATTTACTCGCTAATGAACAGAGGTCATAGCAAATTTAAAGAGGAACATTAATGAGAAAGCCAAACATACCAAAACTTGAGGAAAATGAACCGTTCCTACTTCCACTTGCTATAAAACTTTCCACGTGTGTTCAAGTTGTAGCTCGAAAACATCGCTGGGTAATAGACAAGCGCATGACTTTTTTTCTGGCAGCTTGATAGAGAGAGATGCTGCAGGCTCAATCTTATAACATCCATTCCAAGTTATTAGTTTGACAATCATGGCTGAGTATCGGAAATGGACAATCCACCACTTGATAGTGTTTTTACTCACATTTTTCAGGTACCAGAACTTCTTGTATTCTTAACTATCCAACGCATAGATATGAAGAAACAGTGATAGACTCGAAGTATTCTATTTTCTGAACAGAGTTAACAAATGATCACTGTTCAGCTCAGTTTTGAACTCACGTGATGTTCTCAAACCTCTAAATGTACCAACCTTGTTTTAGTATGCCTTAGCGTTGCCTTATAAATTCGAATACTCAATTCAATCAATTCTAAACGGTACACTGACCATGGTGATTACTGTTAGTTTGTCTATCGTATTATGTGCATAATAATCGTGGCAGTTGTAAACAACACTCCTTTTCGTAACTACTTACCCACTTTCAAGTGTTGCATTGCTAGCTTTGTTTTCACAACCAATGTGATATTATTTATAAACTATAGTTATTTTTACTCAATCTTTTTCGGAGGGTAGCTAGATATTATTACTTAAAATTACATTTCATAAATTCGAACTTTGATAATTAATCAACTTAATGGCTTTGTGATTCAAGCCGACGGTAAAATTTCTGCTCAGCCCCGTACGATATTATGCATTCAGTTATTGGATAGAGAAAACAATGACAAAAACAATACATTGCCATTGGGAAAACAGATTTATTTTACAATAGTATGGGGCTGTGCGGAAATTTTACCAAAAGCAAATTCATGTACTTTCACTTTTGCTGGGCACTAGCTAGTGAAATTAGAATCACGACTTGAAAGGGAAAGACTTCCATGCAACAGTCAAACACAGTCTTATTCCCAAAGGCAATTCATCATTGTTGTGATTGTTTTCTTTTTCAAAGAACTGTATGCACAATTAAGTAAAAGGTTTCAGAGAAAATCTTGCCTGTTCAACTTTAACAAGCTGTATCACATGAGCATGATGATGTGAATTGTTATCTTTACAGCTATTCCTGTTTCCATGCTACAAGGAAAGCTTTCAGTAATATAAAAGATTCAATGCAAAAAGAATGGACAAACAACTCTGTGACATTGGATCCCCCTAAGGTTGGTAACAATGGTGTCTTTTGTTGTGATTACAAGACAATTATTGTAACACTTAAATCAGTTTTAAGCCTGAGTACATCCTTGCTTCATTGGGCAATAAATTACCTGAACTTGTTGCCAGAATGTTGTTAGTGTCTGATCAACAGGTAATTTGGTGTTAAAAACTGAGTTGAAAACCTAAATTGGCTACCCTAAAGAGTTTAAAGAGTTAACTCTTTACAGTGGCCAATTTATGTTTTTAACTCAGTTGTTAACATCAAATTACCTGTTATACTCTCTCACTGACACAGCACCAAAGTTTCTTTAGAAACTTACCCCTTTTGTTCTAGTGTCTGATTAAGTTTGTCAATCAGTTGTGCAGAGATAAGGTGATTTCAGCTCACGAAGTAAATTGTAGATATCCAGGCATTCTATATATATATATATATATATATATATATATATATATATATATATATATATATATATATATATATATATATATATATATATATATATATATATATATATATATTATGAGAGGAAAAAAGGACGCAACTACATTTCCCGACAAGCCTGTTTCGTGTCGTTCCGTGTGACGGTGGCTTGATAAACGACTGAGGATTGAAGGCAGTTACCATTGAGCGGGCAATTGTTCTTTTGTCGGCAGTTGCATGTTTTGTTGGTTCCCGTGCCGTCTTTGTTGTCTTTCGTGTAAGATGAGTGAGACAAGTGTAAGATGCGCTTGTTGTGGTTGTCGATGACCTGTTTGGTGTTGTTCATACAGCTGTAACTGATTTTGATGGTGTTGCAGTTAAATATCTTGCGGAGGCTGTGATCCTTAGGGAAATGTTTGTCGATTTCGACGACAACAACACCTCTGAAACATACATCGGACTCACAGAAACCGACTTCAAAACAAGACACAGAAAACAGTCTCATTCATCTAACTCTCCATTGCTATTGAACTTAGCAAACACATCTGACCTCAAAAAGACAAAATTGACTATTAATTTCATGACCCGTCTTATCATCTAATCTCCTAAATAAGCTCCAGTAAAAGATGCAACCTCTGCCTAAAAGTGATAATTTCATGCCGTCTCATCACTAAATAACGTAACGAACTCATATCTTCAACAGAAACAAAGCGTTGCTACGCAACAGCTGAACTTTAAAGTTTTTAAGTTTACCACGTATTATGTAAATTTTCCTAGTATATAAACGATAGTCACATGAATATTCTTTCATTAAACCCCTGAAGAGTGAAGCGATTCACCTAAACAGGCTTGTCGGGAAATGTAGTTGCGTCCTTTTTCCTCTCATAATATTTATTACTTCTATATATATATATATATATATATATATATATATATATATATATATATATATATGCATATATATTTCATTTTCAATTATATTTACAAAGTCCATAATAGATTTGTTTTACTATGAATTTCATTGTCTTAGTTATTATCAGTTTAGAGATCCTGCTTAACCATCTTTAAAGTCCATTTATTTTGTGAGCAGTTCTATTTTCTGCATTTTTTGGTTGACTTTATTTTTGTGTCACTGCTTAATTGTGATATTTTGCTTCAGCAAATCTCTCACATCGCTTGATTAAATCATAATTATACCCACTGGTTTAAAAAATTGAACCTATTACAGTTAAGTTGAGGTAGTTTCTCATTGATAGTAAAATATCACTTCTTGATTTTCTGTCTTAGTTATGGGAAGACAGAGACTTTTTCAAAGATGAGGTTAGTAAAATTGTAGATACATGCATGTTTTGATTGATCTAAATACCCAACTTTACTCTTTGACCCATAGTGACAAGCATCAAATTTCTAGGAAATCATTTCATCTATGGAAATGATCACCTAGTAAAGAGTCACTGGACTGTTAAAAAATCATTCTCCTAGTCAGGACCTTAGGAAATGTGTAAGGAGAGCAGTATGGAGAATATACATACTGATGTTAGGAAATAAAGTGTTTTGGAAGTATTAAATTTTTCATACAAGAGTACCATACTCTTAGTTACAATTTGAGTTTTTTAGATTGATAATAGAATATTGGTGGACTTACATTCCTGTGATATGGTTGATAAATAGTTGAAGCTGTCAGTCCCAACTGTATCATGAAGACAATTTATCCTTTAACTCTGGGAAGTGATTAAAATGTAACTTCTCCTTAGGCTATCCATACATTATCTAGTAAACAGGTAATGAGAATACTCAAATTGATCTATCACCAAATTCTGGTGACTAGTTTACAAGGAAATGTGCAACAGGTTAGAGGGGAAAATGACCAATGAACAATCAGATCTTGGGAGCTAAGAGTTATTTACTGACTTGTGCATTGTTTACACAGCATTCTGCTGAACTCTTCCTTGGTGCAATGGATACAACATTCCTGCTGGCATATGCTGTGGTAAGGAACTGGCATTAATTTGTTTTCAAAGGGAAACTTGATTTGAGTATTCGTAATTACAGTCAATGAATTTAACCCTTTAACCCCAAAGAGTGGTTAGCGTCTTATTTCACCTTACATTATCCTTCATGAATAAAAATTAAGGTCACTAAATTAAAGGAAATGATCACTGACTGAAGAAACTCTTCTTTGTGAAACACATTTCCTTGTCAGAATATTAGGGTATGTTTTGAGAACAGTATGAAGATTAAGCATACAGATGTTAGGGTGTAAAGGCCTAGGGATAAAAGAGTTTAGCTGTATGCTCTGTGTAGGGTATAGAGGTATTTATTAGAAAATTTATTGTAATATAGCTAAAGAGGTTGTGTGAAAGTGAGAAAGTAATCTCATGGTATGTTATACAAACTTCATGTATTTAACAAAGGCTTTTCAAAACTCATGGATTTTGTTTATTGAGATATTGTATTTAGTCTGTTAAGTGCAATTTTGTAGCATCTCTTTTTAATTTTGTCACTGTCCTAAGATTGAGTGTTTTGAAAAATTATCTATGGTTTGGATTCTAATCTTTCATCAACTTTTTCAAGTGTGATTATTATATATCTCAGTTAAAATGTGGGCTATGATTGGTCAATTTAGGGGACTGTATTTCACAGTACAATCTACTCAATTAAAAAGGTTTTTTTAATTGAAATCTTTCCCCCTCCATTTGAACCCAGAGATATGATAAATATCTTACTAACCTCATTTTCTCAGTCTGCACTGTAAGCACTGTTTTTGTTTTATTGTGATTTATGGTCTGCAGGCTTCTCACATTGGCCATAAATCTGAGTGGAAACAATTTGGTTTGTAACTTACAGTACAGACCTCGAACTAAGTTAGTGAGAAATATTCATTACATCCCCCTTTGCCAGGTTTCCTAACCTAATTCTCCTTCTACTTTTGTTCTGTAGGGTTTATACATCAGTGGTATTTTGGGTGACAGGTTTGTCACATTTCTTTTAATCATCAATTTAGACAGTCCGTGGTGTAGAAGCATGAAATATTTGAGGACAATCAGAAATTAAACTTGCAAGTACCCAACACTCAATAACTATTTGTAGGACATGACCTTATCGCTTGATGAAGACTAGCAATGTACAAGTGAAATGTTGCAATCCAAATCCTAAGTGATCACATCATGAGACAAACAATTATATTTCTCTTTTAAAGGCACATTGTCAAGTAGATTTATCAACCGTCTTTGTAAGGAAATTAGTAAAACCATCAGTGTCAGATTACTGATGTGTTTGTACCAGAGGCAACTTGTCAGGCATTCTAATTGTATTCATTTCCATACATGGGTAATTACAGTTTTAAAGCTTATTGAAACATTGCAGTTGTTTCCAACGAAGGAACATTACCAGAGATATTCATCGACTGTCGTTGTAAGGGAATTTCAATAAAAAGCTTGTCAGGAATGACACTGTAGATTTAGTAGAAACCTTGGAATTATGTTTTTCTTTACATGAACAGGTTCAACCTGAGAAAAGTATTGGCATTAGGAATGTGTTCATCTGCAATTATGGTTGGTAACTTGTTGAAACAAGAGTGCATTATTAATTTGAATATGTGCATTTTGCAACCCACGGTGAACAAATTTCCTTAATGTGATGCAGTTCCTCTAGATCTTGGTGAAAGGACTTGCACAATTCTTAGCCCTTTAAACCCAAAGAGTGATTAGCATTGAATTTCTCCCTACAATATCACCCCTGTATCACACATTAAGGTCAAGAGAATAAAGGAAATGATCAACAACAAAAGAGGCTTTTGATTGGTAAACAAATTCTCCTTGTCAGCACCTTAGGATATGTATAAAGAGCAGTATGGAGAATATGCATACTGATCTTAGGGTTTAAAGGGTTAAGCCATTGACCCTTAACCCTTTAACTCCCAGATCAAATTTGTAATTTTCCTTACTGTCAACCATACAATTCTTGTAATGTTAGTTCAGAGAATTTAATATTGGATCAACTAATTATCCCCAAATTGATATTTTTCTTTATTCTCATCACTTGTCTGGTTAATATTGTATTGATATTGTAGGGAGAAATTCTGTCTTGGTCACTCGTGGGAGGTAAAGGGTTAATAGTGACTGCCATCTAATTTCACCTTATGTTATTGCCCCTGAATTAAACAGTAAGGTCATGAGAATTAAGAAAATGATCACCAACCAAAGAGGTTCTTCATTGTTAAACAAATTCTCTTTGTCAGCAACTTAGAAAATGCATAGAGAACAGTATGGAGAATATTTATACTGATATTAGAGTGATAAAGAACCTGTAGGTGTAAATGTTGGTGATAATTTGATATGTAATAGTAATCACTATGATATCATCAGTCACACAATTCATTTGAGAGACTGGTACACAACTAAAAAAATTGTTTGCTTGTTTTTATATGTAACCTCCCTTGCAGCATTATAATTTTTTGCAGAATGTAGCATTAGTCTCCAGATAGCATAATTGTTTACCTATTGCTTTTATCAGAAACTAATTTTGTAGCCTACATGTAGACACTCTGCTAAATAAAGAAAAAAAAGAAATGTTTACATCCTAAGTAAAATATAAATCAATCTTTTTTTCAGGTGTTCATGTTTGGAACTGTAAGCAAGTGGATTGGTGTTTACAACATTTGGTATTATGGGGTATTCATGGCCCTCAATGGTAGGCATTCATCATCCAAGCTTTTTAATCCAGAACTATTTCTTGATTTCTTGTTTGTGGTTCATCTGATGTTTTTCTTTAAACAGTTCATTGATACCATAAGGAGAAATTCTGTCTTGATCACTCATGGGAGTGAAAGGGTTAATCCTGTACTATTTCTTGATTTCTTGTTTGTGGTTCAACTACAAACAATTCATTGTACTGAAAGGTTGAAATTTTCATTGTTATGTTGTGCAGTCATGCACATGACCACAATAATGGTCATGTAGATACAGTGTAAGTAAAGTATCAATGTATCACCTTTTTTTGGACTATTTATCTCTCATAGTTGCAGGCAATTAATAATTATATAATTTTGCAGGTTTGTTCCAATCCACTGGTTGGCCATGTGTGGTGGCAGTCATGGGAAATTGGTTTGGAAAGTCAAGGTAATCAACAGAACAATAAATCATCTTAAAGAATTTTGTTAGTTCAAATTAAAGAAAAAGTAAGGAATTCAACACACAATTGTGTTAATTTTTATACAAACAAAAGCCATTTAGCACAAAAATTTGCTTGGATATTTGTCCTTGGACATTGTTTGTTCCAAGAATCAAACAGTTGTCCAGGAGCAAAGCTCAAGGAAAACTTTGAGCATCAAAGAACAGATAACCTCTAGGACAAAGTTGAAGCATATTTTCACGCCTAATGGAGGCTCAAGTGTTAATTATCCTTCAAATTTTATTGGAACATGTGAGAAAAAATTTTTACATTACAACTTACCATTAACTGCACACCTGTCTGGTACAACTTAATGAACAAATAGATGCATCAGTTCTTCTGTAACAACAGCTAAAAACTCTCTCCTCTTTACATATTTGACACAAGGTTTGAAAGTTGGGGAGTATCATTTAGGACATATAAATGGATGCACACAGTCACATGATGCATTTAGACCAAATGCATGCAAGCAAAACTATTTGATGGATTATAAGTGCTGTTATCTCTAATTGATATTTGGAAGGTAACTTATGATTTTGTTCTGTAGCCGTGGAATTGTCTTTGGAATATGGAGTGCTAATGCCTCTTTAGGAAACATAATTGGAGCTCTTCAAGTGAGTATTTGAGTTCTCATTGACATCTTTTTTTTATAATATTAAACATTTATGGTTGCTCTGGTTTTGGATTTTAGAACCCAAACCAAGGAGCACTCTCAATTTCGCAATTGTCAATAGAGAAAGTCAATAATTAATACAATTCTCAATATGAACTTTACAAACTAATTTATGTTTAAAAATTATTTTTTCATCAGGTGGCAGCTGTACTGGATTATGGATATGAGGTCAGTAACATATGGATCTTGTACAATTTGTTTGATGTTCTGTTAGACTTTGAAAAATACTTATTGACTGAGTGGGAGGGCTGCACAGGAAAATATTTGCCCACAGGAAAAGGCATACAAAATGAGGGCTGCATGGTCTGTAAATCATGACAAGAGCCAAATATTTTCCTGTCCAGTTTGATCAAACTCAGCCAATGAGCATTTTTTATATGAACATTGAGTGTTGAAAATGTTGACAATTTTTTTTCAACTTGAATAGGTTGCCAAAGAAGGGCACATGGGGGACAACTATAAAGGAGATTCTACCTTAAAAACATTTCCCTTTTTTCCATGTCAAAACAAGAATCAAATTCATCGAAAAAATTAGCCTTTTTTCCTCATTTCTATTTGCCCTTAAGTTTGATCAACTGAAAAGTATCAACATATGAAAATAAAAACTGAAAAATTCAGGAAAAATCATTCTGTATAAACCTTGCTATAATTGTAAAATATGTAATCCTGTTAATGTATATGAATTGTTTTTTTCATTGCAGTATGCTATGCTTGTACCAGCTGTTGTATTATTTGCATTTGGCATTTTGATATATTTCTGCTTAATACCATCCCCAGATGAAATCGGTGAGTACAAACACCTATACAAGGTTGTGAGTCATATAGGAGTCACTTTCATTTTCTGAAGTGATAAGATCGTCAGTTCTAAATATAGTTAATTATTGTTCTATTTATTTGTTGTTATATATGAAGTAAGCAGACACAAAGAACTTGTCTCTTCATGTGTTGTTTCTGTGCTTTTTACTTAACATACAAACTATGGAGATTTGAATGCATCATTAAAAATGCTGTTGGTCATTATAAAGACTAACTAGAAACAATGTGCAGTGTTTCCTAGGGTTCAAGAGGTCATTTTTTTTAGTTATGACCATTTTTTGGATGGCAGTTAAAGAAATATTTGATAATGATATGACTAAGCTTACAGGTTTAGATCTGCGCCTTAGTGATTGCATGTTATACAATGTGCAGTAATATATCACATTTTGCTGAACTTATTACCAGCCAGGGTAGCATAGAGGATATTGTTTATTTATTTTATATTTTTAAACAGGATTGCCATTACCAGATGATGACCAAACCATAAGAGCAAGAAATGGTTTGTAAAAACTGATAGTGATGTTACATTGTGTGTAATAATTTTAATTGATCTGAATTAAAACAATCCAATCTTGTAATATGCCAATACAAGGACAGTAAGCTTTGAACCCTTAAACTCCCAAGATCTGATTCTTAACTCTCCCTGCTAGCTTCTACACATTTCCTTGTATTTTAGTTATAAGAATATGGTGTAAGATCAAGATAACAACTTCTACCTGATAAGTTTGAGTATTCTCATAACCTGTTAGCTAGATATTGTATGGATATTTTAGGGAGAAGTTATATGTTTATCACTTGTTGGAGTCAAAGGGTTAATTGTGTACCATCAGTTTAGAACCTAACAATATGATTTACTATTTCTAGTTTTTAATGAACAAATTGTTGAGCAAGAAGCATTTGCCAGACATCCTGGTGAAGGTCTCTCTCAAGTGAGTAGCAAAACTTTGCAAAAAAAAAATAAGATCTACTGTAGCAGCTCATGTCCACATAATTAAACATAGGATTAAACTTTGGTTGTTCTCCTTTGAAATTGCCCTTTTTAATGTAATGTTATTGCTTATTGTTGTGGCAATGTCTTGTTATTTTGCAAATACTATGGCAGCATTGCGCTAATACAGTGGAAAAGCTCTGGCAGCATTGGCCCAATACAGTCCAACCTTGACTATCCAGATTCTTGGGGACTGGACTGAGTGGTCCAGATAATCATTAAATATTAATATTAATATTTATAAGCCAAACATAAAACTGGATACATGTCATGTAAAAAATTTTAAGGAGTAATTATGGCACATTCATATATCACTGTGTATCATTACAGTGTATGTGCACATTGCTATTTCTATCGTCGTTTGAAATTGTATGAAAGGAATAATGTCAACGATGTTTTTCTTCCATCTATGTTAATCACTCCCTAAAATGTTCATCAGCTTCAGAAAGCAGAGCATATTTAGTTCCAATGGGAGTTTCAATACATGTGCTTTGTTTGATTGAGGAATTTGCTACGGATCTCAATTATGAGTTATTAATATTAATTATTAAAAAAATGGGACCAGAGAATTTAGTTTGGACAATTGAAAAATCTGGATAAACAAGGTCTAGATAGTTGCGGTTTGAATGTATTGAGGTACAGATTTAATCTTTGGTTGAATAATACTCTTAATAGATGGGGGAAGGAACTGCATGGTGCTGACTCTGAGCTCCTTCATGCTCAGCTTTATTCTGCAACACCCATTATGTCTCAACTTTTTAAAAAAAAAATTAATGAATCATTGCAACTAAATAAACTACATTTACTGATTCATTATTGCTTGCTTCATTTTTGTAGTCATTATCAGCAAGCCAACAACAACAACAACAACAACCACCAAGGAAGGCTGTGAGCTTTTTCCAGGCTGTTTTATTGCCAGGAGTTATACCTGTAAGTTCAATTATTGCAATTCTGTCTCTTAATCTAAGATTTCATTCATTCATTTCCTTACTGTCTGCCATACAACTCTTGTACAAGGTTAGTTAGGAGAATTCAGTATGGGTTCAACTAATACTCTCCTAGAGTAGTTTTTTCTTTTCCTCATCACTGGTCCACTTTATATTGTATTGATATTTTAAGGGGACATTCTGTTTTGGTCACCCATGGAACAGAAAACAACCTCTATGAAAAGAACAGTAACAGGCAATTTCATGTGAATTGATCAACTCCATACTGTTGATGTTACATAGAGGGACAGAGAAGACCATAAAGTTCTAAGTGAATAGAGCTTTCAAGAAATTGAAAAAAATTCTCGAACAAGAGTTGGGAAAGCTTGTGTGTCTTTGTTATAAAAACTATATGTATGTCATCTTCCCATTAAAAAAACTATTGCTCTTTCCTGAATTTCATCATATTTTCTTTGATTTTAAGTGAGGGCAGCAATTTTTAATCATGTTATATTAGATAATAAATTGTTATGGAAAAGGGTGTGGGTGCTTATGCAAAAGGTATAGGTGCATAAATTTACAATGTATGTACTAGATAATATTTTCACTGCAACTAAATAACAATCTTTTTTTTTTCCATCAGTACTCATTGTCTTATGCTTGTTTGAAATTGGTGAATTATTCATTCTTCTTTTGGCTGCCTTATTACTTGTCAAACAGTAAGTTCTGTATTTTGTCATTTCTTGTAAAATCTGTGGGCAAACAATCTGTGGTAAACATATTGTCATTACTTATTATACAAGGATTATCTCAGTAATAGATAGCACATTAAATTGGTTTTATTAACAGTGTAATAACCCATGCAGGGTGTTTAGAAAACATGAGAAAAGTTTGTAAACTGGGAAGGAGAGGCAAATCAGTTACTAACTTTGTGTTCTCCTGATATCCCATGTGGATTATTATGCAGCTTAAACCAATATAAAGTGCAGTCTATTGCTCTTATGAAACTAATTCTCAACAAAACACTTTTTTTTTCTTTTTTCTTTGTCCCATACTAATGACAAGACAAAAAGTATCTCTCTTTATTTCTTTACCAAGCATAAAACTTCCCATTTCTCTTATTCTGTTTACAAACATGATGCTATTGACATTGCTGATACTAGCAGTATGCAGGACACTTGTCATATGAACTTTGTAATAGACCTTGTTACAGTAAAGTCTCTATGGCTCAGTAAGTAGAGCATTGGATCATAGAATCTGAAGGTCTGAGGTTGGATTCCTCATGGTTTCTCAGAATTTTTTCTTTGTCCCATGCTTGTGACAAGACGAAAAACATCTTTCTCTAAAACATACTTTGTTCCAATTATCAATGGGTTTACCAGTGCAATATACAATATTTTTTTGACCAATCAGGGTGCTCATAGTTTATCAGTGATTTTACCAACATTTTTGCAGTACTCACCATGAGTGATGCTGTGAAGGGCTGAACTTAATCCTTCCTATTTTTTTTTCTAGAATTTCATTGGAAGGACACAGTGGCAGACAAAATTTCAACATTTTATGATGTTGGAGGAATTGTTGGTAATTAAGTGTATTTTTGAATGCTGATTTTACCTTTAAAATATCAGCCAACATTTTGTTCGAGAAGTAAATATTTCCTAATAGTGTGGTAAAGTTGCATACATGTAAATTTAGGGCTTCATTACGCATATTTTCTAAGGGTGGAGGTTGGAGTTATTTTTTTTCACCCAGTCAAAAACAAATCAACTTGAGCAAAATCTGTATGAAACCTTGGCATGCTAAAGACTTCTGAATCAACAATCCCCTTTTTTTTTTTTTTTTTTTTTTAATGTCATTATCATGGTGCACATAGCTTAAACAGGTTAACCATTTGCACCTTTATATCAGTTAACATATTCTCCATACTGTTCTAAACACATTTCCTAAGGTGTTGACAAGGAGAATATGTTTAATATTCAAGAGCTTGTTAGGTTAGTGATCATTTCCTTTATCCTCATGAGCTTAAGCTTTGATGCAGGGGTGATATTGTAGAGAGAGTTTGGATGTTGGTGACACTCTTAGGAGTTAAAGGGTGTAGATGAACTGGTAGTCCTAATAAAAAAAAGTGTCATGGTCAACAAAGGTTTTGGCAAGCCATATGAATATAGGAGGCTTCAATTCTCTATATTATGAATTTTAAATTGTTATATTTCAACACTTTCAGGTGGCGTAATTGGAGGATTAATCAGTGTAAGTTTTATCAATTTCTGTGTTGAAATATTATTTCAAAATCATATCATCAGTAAAATATATCAATCAAATGCCAATCCCTTGCCTTACCCTTATTTGTGCTGTAACTGATCATTTTAAATAGATATATGAACCCTTAACACCCTATCATCAGTATGCATATATTCTCCATGCTGTTCTCTACAAATTTCTTGTGGTTCTGACGAGGAGAATTTGTTTGACAATCAAGAGCCTTTGGAACTGGTGATCATTTGTTTTATTCTCTTGACCTTTACATTTGATTGAAGAGTAATACTGTGAGGAGAAAGTAGAAGCCGGTCACTTTTAGGAGTTTAAAGGGTAAAAACTAAAAAATGTGTAAAAATCTAAAGTCGTAAGTTAAATACTTAAATCTAAAATCTGAAATTTAAAATCCAGGAATGATTTAGTTATAATACAACTATTTATAAGGAAAATAAACTAGATATTTGCAAGATAATTTAGTGTTATCAACTGAGATGAAAACGTAAATTGGCCTCTGTAAAGTGTTTAAAGGCTTGTAGAGCATGTACATTGCCAGTCATAATATGTGACTAATACTTTAAGGGTACCCTGATTTTTGTGTCAACAAGTATTAGGCATGCATTGTTATTTTTTGTTTCTTGTTTAACTAATTTCTTAGGATCTGATGTCAAGTCGGTCCCCATTGGTCATTGCAATGCTTGTGTTGTCCATACCAATGCTTTTCATTTATGGAAGTTAGTTGGAATTTTTTTTTTTTCACTGTTATTATTATATCATTCATTCATTCAGTTCATTGAAAAGCCATCAAGGCATTAAGTTTTACAATTGGTCAGCCATTTCTTGACTGAAGTCAAATATAAATTTATAAGATAAAATATTTGACAAGAGGAATGTTTGTGGCAAGTGCAATAAGTTTTCTTCATGTGGGATATGCCTTTCAAAGTTACTAGGGGCTGTTATCATTTTATTATGATTGGTTCCAATCTTAAACCATTCATCTAACAATGTGTCTGTATATAATGGCAGATACTGGAGGCAGTTACACACTGAATGCAAGTTTGATGACTTTACTAGGTTTGTGTGATATATTTTGTCCTTTTTTGCAATGGTGATAAATGGTGTCTTAAGTGTACGTGCTTACTTCAGATCACCCGTGCACTCTTAACACTTATTGCTTGAAACATAGGAGAACACATGCTATTTATGTTGTTTTTCAGTCCCACTGATTTTATGACATCTCTCAGGTATCAATTTGAGGCCAGACCATGTCAGCTTTTCAACACCATTTTGGACAGACCAGATAACATGTATCCAGACTCACTTCAGTCTGGATGCCATGGTTAGATTTGCAGTTAAATTGCAACCTTTGAGTTACTATAAATCAGAACTGCAATCCAAGCCTCCATTCAATGTTTATATGGATTTTATTGCGTAGAGACAAAAATATTCATTCCTAGGCGATATTGCAAACACAGGTTTCTAATTCATGGTTACTTCTAGTTTATTTTTCACCAACTCTTATATTATGCAGGTTTTATGGTTGGCGGTCCTGCAAACTTGATAAGTTCTGCAATATCAGCTGACCTGGGAAGACAGGTAAGAAGAGTTAGATGACCTCATCCATTAAGATTGAAACATGTTTTGGGCTGTGCTAGTATCTACTTTCATGAAAAAGATTTGTTGTACAGAAAATATTAGAACGTGGGGCTTTGTGAGAATAGTGTCTGCTCAATAAGTGTGTGGGCCTTGTGTGACTTGCACATCACCAAATGCACTTATTGCAAAATTGTGTGTATTTCTGACTTCACTGCAGGATCACTGACTGCAGGATCATTTTGATACATAGACAATTATTTTTTGGCAGCTCATTCCTATCACAAAGGTCTAAAAGACATAATAATGATAATAAGATAATCAATGCAAGGAGTGACACTGTTTCTTTAAGATGCATATTTTGTGTTGTTTCATTGCACAGAGTGCCCTTAGTGCCAACAGTGAAGCATTAGCTACTGTGACAGGGATTGTGGATGGCACTGGAAGTGTAGGGGCAGCTATTGGACAGGTGAGAATGACTCTTGGCTGCTGGTTGAACTGTAGGTTCAGATCAAAAAGGGTGTGAAGTAATTCTGAATTGACAGTCATACAAAACTTACTTCAAATTATTGGTACCTGTCTATTAATTGGTATATGACATTCTGTCCTCAGTTTGTCTATGGCTCATCAAATTGCATCAGAAGCTGATGGGAAATAGCAGTTTATGCATTATCTTCTCTTTCCAGAATAATGTGCATACCAATAGTCAAAAGATCGCAAAACTTTGTATCTTTAATACAAGAATCCACACTTTGCATTGACCCTTTAAATCCCAAGTTCTATTGTTTATTTTCCCTGCTAGCTGCAAATTATTTCCTTGTAAATTAATTACAGGAATTTGGTATTAGATCAAGACCATAACATCTACATGATAACTTTGAGTTTTCTCATTACCTGTTTACTGGATGGTACATATTGATGCGACAGGGCAAAGTTACATGTTGATAACTAATGGTAAATAAAGGGTAGAGACAGTTTTGAGCAAGAATGATTTTAAATAAGCCATACAGATGATGACAGGATATAGAAAGCCATACAAAGCCATGATATTAATTTGCGGACATAATTTTTGCATTATCCAATCTTTCAGTTCCTTGTTCCTGTAATAAACACACACGCAGGTTGGAAGCCAGTGTTCTACTTTTTAATGGTGATGGTAAGCAACTTGGCTTGTTTCTTTGACAGAATCATTGATCAAGTGTGCTATGCTAAAAGATTCTTGCTACATGCACAAACTTAAACAAGTTGCCTGTTATCAAAGAATATTTTTGGAGTTGCTTTGGAGAGGTTGAGTAAATTAATTCAGAACCTAAGTACAGCTACAATTTTTTGAGCTTTTGTTTTTTTGGTTAGTTTTTTTTTTTTTTTTTTTGCCATAAAAAGTGCGGCTAGTAATTTTTGCTCCAATTCATAAAACAAGTTGGAGGAGTATTGAATGAGTTTATATTAACATTTTAACATGCAAACACAATGATCCTGTCTCAAGTTGAAAGGAAACACCTCACTCACATTCCTTGAGGTTGCACACCCCTAATCCCTTTCAGGCAGGACACAAGGACCTCGAAGTTCTTGTTTCTTGCCAGCAATATTAGATTGTGTCTTTTAACAAAGGATAGTGTTCGGAATTTTTCTTTATATCTGTTTTTCTCTTGGGAAACAAAGCTAGGCTAATTTAGGCAACAAACCACACTTTCAATCAGTTTACTGGCTAGTAAACTGCACAGGGTGTTGGGAGAACACAAGAAAAGTTCATAAACCACAAGGTGTGGCTGAGTGGTTTACAGTCTCTGCAAGTGTTCTGATCAGTTCATAGGATTTTCAGTAAATGTCTGAATGAAAATCCAGTTCAACTGTGGTTGCAATTTTCTTGAAGCAAAAGTATGCCAACTTTTCCTTGTTGGCAAGCAGTTTGGGAAATTGCAGAAGAGAAGTTCTGAAGTTCTCTCACTACAACTATGCAGGAAAAGTAAAGGCTTAAAATGGAGCAACCAGGTTGTTAAGCTGAATTTTAAATAGAAAATTTGATCTTGTGTGAAAAATAAAATCTTTGTTGTTGGTTTTGATGCTCAAAGTGTCCTCTTAGTTTTCTCCAAACCAAAGGCCTTTACCAAATTAAAATCTGGGAATTTCCACTGTGTGGCACCATTTCATGGGATGGGAAGATGTATCAGTTTTTTATCGTTATACAGGCAAATATTTAATATATTTTTGACCAATCAGAGTGCATGTTGTGTATAAGGTATGTCATAAAATGTTTTGTCATTGTTTAGTTGATTGGTTGAGCACATAGCCCTATCCTATCCTCACCTTTGTTAATATTATTGTGATAATTTTTCATTGCTTGTCTTCATTTGCAGACTTTTATGAGTTTTGTTTGCCTCATTATTCCAATTTTGCTCAAATACATAAGGTGAGAAACATGTACCCTCTCTGTTGACCCTTTGACCCCTCAGAGTGACGAACATCTCCCATAAATTCTCCTTACAGTATCACCCCTGAATCACACATAAAGGTTTTGAGAATAGAGGAAATGATCACAAACTAGACAAACTTTTTGATTGATAAACAAATTCTCCTCATCAGCACCTTAGGAAACATACAGAGAACACTACAGGGAATATGCACGCTGATGTCAGGATATAAATAGTTGATCAAATTTTTTTTTAATGTATAATTCTTAGAGTTTCAGAAGGTGAACTTGTATTACACCAAGCTGAAGTATGAGACTCAGTTGACGATCATGTCACAAACTACTTTATTTTCTTTACTTTGCTTTATGATGATAATATCCCATTTTTCTTTAATTCATAGGGGAAGACGAGCAAGATATAGTTATTACCAAGTTTCAGTGGGCAATGACACTATGGAGTACCCCCCTAGCAGGCACATCAACACTACCCTAGCAAGTAAGTAGTGTCTAATAACTTATTTTGGATTTCTCTCTGATAAAGCAATTTTCAATTGAGCTTTCAAAGCTCCTGGATTGCTTTGGGCGGTTTTACTCTGTTATGTGATTGTTCCAGAAAATTCACATCACTTTCTGAACCAATCAGATGCAAAACTTAAACCAATCACAACTTGGTCACTCTCCTTCCCCTGCGCTTTCAGCAGTTTGATATTTTCCTTGCTATGATTGGCTGTTTTGATTGTTTTGGTTTTGGTCTTTCAAAATTTAATCAAAAAGTGCTCTAATTGGGAACAAAAGAACAGATGCAAAGTACAATAAAACCTTGTCTGGTACACAGTAACTTGAAACATTCAAATGAGAAACATTTGTTTTAGCACTCGGAACCAAATATTGTACAGATTTGTAGCAACTCTCAACTTCTGGTTGCCAATTCGTGTTTACAAAAATCTTCTTCTGAACCTCCTTATTTCATCATGTCTCGCCAATCTCTGCCAAGTGTATTGGTAAGCAATTAGTTACCCTTTAACTCCCAATACCTGATTGTTAAGTTTCCCTTCCAGCTGATGCACATTTCCTTTTAAATAAGTTCTAAGAATTTTGTGTTAGATCTAGATAACTTCAACCTGATAAGTTTTAGCTCTCTCATTGCCGGTTTACAGGATGATGTATCAATATTTCAGGGAGAAGATATGTGTTAATCACTTCTGGAAGTGAAAGGGCTAAATATCAATAATGATTGTACAGGGGGTTGGATCCATCCATACACAGTTCATATCCTGAGCTGTTCATTTCTGTCAGAAGCATGATTTTAGGTTGTGGGCACAATTTCCTCCTACATGACAAAATTACAACCTGAGTTTTCTGTTTTTGCAGATTCCTGAATGATGGCAAGCGTTATGTCACTGGTTCTTCAATAATATTGTTTTTTTCATTCCTTTTTTGCCGTTTTCACCTTTTAATGTATTTTTACCAGCGGAAATAATTCTAAGATTGAACTTTTGAGTAATTCCTGTACCTATCACACACTAGGTCACCAGCGAAAATTAAACAGAGCAAGACTTTTTCAAATAAATTATTAATATTATTATTTCTCTCTTGAGAGTTTTGCCGAATGGTTCCTTTTCTTACACATAATTGTTGTTGTTAGTTCGTTTTACTCTTAAAGAATTAAACTATAGCTTTAAAGTCATTTCACATTTTTAGAATTTTTATCATTTCTGACAAGCAAGGCTCTGGTGTAAGGCTCTTTGGGAGCTTGTAACCTTATCTAGATAAGGTAAGACAAGTTATTTAGCCAGTAGGAAGCTGTCGATTCAACATGATTAATTATGTCATCATAAACATAACATGGCATAACATACAGCAAGCATAAAATTTAATTTCTTGTCAGATTGTATGGTTTGAACCATTTCCGTATGAGCAATTTACCGTAGATAATTATGCCAAATGCTGTGATTATTTCCAATCAGCGTGACATCACACTGATGTTTTTAAGATGTCTGGTTCACTGGAATTTTTTGGGCTCTTTGGGAATAGAGAACGTTGAATTTCTTAAGCACATTGTACCAAGGTGACCAGGACACTAGCCTATGGGTGATTGGGACGTTAGCCCAAGGGTAACTAAGGCATTAGCCCAAGGGTAACCAAGGCATTAGCCCAAGGGTAATCGGGGCACTAGCCTAAAGATAACCAGGGCGTTGGCCCAAGGGTAAGCAAGGCATTAGCCTAAGGGTAACCAGGGCACTACCGTAAGGTTGAGCGGGACATCTGTACTCAGTATTTGCAATTGTAATTTATAGTACATTTCTATTTAAATATGTTGATTAAAAGTGGCGTTAAATTAAAGTAATTGTTGGCTGACAGTTTGTTTTATTCTCGCAACTAATTTGTTGGGTAAAGCACGAGGGCAAAGTAAAAGTAGCACACGTGCGTTGTCAAAATTTCGTCCGGCTTGACTTTCTGTGATGCTTTTTTCATGTAAACTATAAACAAGTAACTATAATTTCTCGGGCAATTTAGTGTTAATAAGCACGAGTACGTTTTTCTAAGACAACAAAATTGACGGAAGTGTTCACTGCTCTCTGATAAAAGTCACAGCGAATCATATTCTACCAATGGATCAATTGTTAAAACCACAACGAATGTGAGATTCTTTTCAGGAGAATATGCATACGGATGTTTAAATGTAAAGTTAATCATATTATTTCCATTCACTAAGTAAGTTCACATGTATAGAAAAGACCACCATTTTTATTTGTGAACAAAGACAAGTAAATCAAACTACGATATTCTTGTTTGTGATCACATCTGAGCGTGTCTGTTGATAAATCTTTCACTGACGGGGAATAGGCTTGGTTCCCCACTGTGCCATCTTGTTGCTAATTGGTCGATTACGGAAGTACTCAGACTCCAAGAACTCTTTAATAGCAGGAATGCGCTGGTAAATTAAAAGACAGTGATATGATTTGTGAAAGACAAAAATCTAAAAGAAGAATAAACGGTTTTGTGTTTGACTGTGTAATTAGCAAATAGATATTCATGTTGCCGTGCGAATCGATTTGTTTCGTATGATAAAAAAAGCAAAATCGTGATAAATGGTGAACTAATTGATGCGTCAGTATTCCAATGCGTGTGTAGTCAGTTCAGTTTATCAAATTATACTACACAGTTTACCTAGTATCAACAGTGTTTCATGTTCGTACAGCATCTGCACAATTTCAACTTGTTCGTACTTCTAGAGCAATATTTAATGAGGGTCAAAAGTAGTTAGAAATTTTATGGGTTTTGCTTTACTTTGCCATGCGATTGGTCCAGTAAACTGGCGCCATCTGCTTCGCCAATCAGATGCAAAACGAAAACCAATCGGAACTTAGTTGTTTGCGTTTTCCTGCGCTTGATGCACTTTGCTTTTTTGTTACCTTAATTTTCCATTGGCTCCTTGTGAGATTTCCCTTCGCCCTGATTGGTCTTAGTGATTACCTTGGTTCCGTTCTACGTCACTCTATGATTTTTGCTTTCCGAGATCGGTTCGTTCATCGATCAGAAAATAGGCATCATTGCATCTTTGTATCTTACCTCGATTCTGGCCATGAAGTCCTTGATGTTTTGAAATGGATTAAGAGCTAATGGCTCAAAGGTTCGTAGTTGATCCAAGATTTCATACATCATGAAATCGGCAAAACTTAACTAAATAAGAGGCGGAAGAAATGGAATATGCGTCGATCAGTTCGAAGCTTCAATATCCCCTCCGGGAAACCCCTCGGGCATTTGAACATTTGAAGATTAGTTGCCCTACCTTAAATGCTGGATTTGACACGGACGACAGCAGAGACGACAGTCAAACTCCCGTGGGTTGCCCCAGAGAAGGATGTTAAAGCTTCAAATTAATTGGCACATAAATTCCACATGTTTTCACATGTCAATTACAAAGGTTGTTGGATCTGCCAGTTGGATCAATTATCAAGCTACGCGTGTCGAGTTTATATAGAATGAGCGACATCTTGAATGAGTTCTATCTTACTGTCCTAGCCTGTATTACCAGTAATTTTCAAGATTCGTGTTTTTTTCGTATTATACAATTGTGGGATACGATATGCAATATACCGTTGCCTGGTAATTTTATCTCCCGGGTTCTTTCAAAAAATACGTATGGGTCCGTTTTAATGTCAGCTTTTTATGTGGACCTAGTTTTTTCGTGGTCGATCACGCAGGATTGTCCTTGTTACCATCGTTAATTTCTGACACCAGTTTCTTTGTTTACATCCGTTAATTTGTAGAATTTTTGAACTTTCATTCCGTTGGATAGGCGCCTCGCATGAGTCTTCGTGTCCCATTGGCGCCTTTTCCTTTTATTCTTTTATTCCCTTTTGTGGCCTTCCTATCCTTCTTATCTACTAATACTCTCTCTTCATTTATTACTCAACAAGGATTTAAGGAGTAAGGGATGATTAGGAAAATGTACCATAGAATACTCACATGATCGCCGGTGAAGTAAGGATACGTGCTGAGGAAGTCTGAGTGACGCTGAAGAAACACTTTGCAAGAATTCAAATACGCTTCTCTTCCCCCTTCCTGTAAAATAAATGGAGTGTTGATACCAAGTTGGTTTTACCAGAAATAAATACAACTATAACTAACAAAACTGTATTACAATCCTTAAAGGTATATTAATTCATGTCACCACTCAGCTGGATTAGTTTACGTTTTTTTTTTGCTAATTTCTGATAACTCGTGTTAGTATATACTAAACCAATGGAAAGCGTTGAATGCACGCTCTGATTGGTTGCTCAAACCCCGGATAACAAAATCGTCAAAGAACAACATCAGAGACTTCGGAAGGCGAAAAATTCAGTTTTGTGCGCGAAAAAATTGAATGAAACCCTTAAAACGTCTTATTACTTGATTTGACTCAGTTATAAACACGCTCTTACCATGTCTGGACTGAAATAAGTGAATTTTATGAATCCATTGATGAAGTCCACTGCCTGTAATGATGATAATAACAATAATGATAATAATTATGATAAAACACAGACGGTTGCCAGTCATTTCGTACCCTTGGTCGTTTCGTACCCAGTTGTTTCTTACCCAACTGGGTCGTTTCGTACCCAGTCAGCTCATTCATTTCGTACCCAGCTCGGTCGTTTCGTACCCAAACTAATAAAGTATGTTTTCCAAGTTAGCAATTGGAGAAAAAATATCACACTAACACGAGCTGTTATTGTTAAAAAAGTGACAAGTAAAAACGATAAACTTTTCAACTAAAAATATCACACTTACCTTGCGTCAAGCAATAATTATATTGTTTTTGTCGAGAAGGTCACAAGTATACAGATTTCTCTTTGTGTCTTACTCGCTTGACTCTACTTATTTGTTGTACGCAACGATTGATATCTGTATGAATCGATCAGCGGATTGGGTAGGCAACGACTCAAACTTGGGTACGAAACTACTCAAACTTGGGTACGGAACGACTCAAACTTGGGTACGAAACGACTGTACCTGAATACGAAATGACCGGATACCAAAAAGACGGACAGTCAATTGAAGTGGCCATTTTTTCTGGTCATCTAATTTTTCTCATCGGGCTTAGCAGCGAAAACAAAACATTTTTCTCTTGAAATTAAGTGTACCAAGGACTATTTCCAGCGAACTCTTTTTCCATGTCCGAAGAACACTGACTAACAAAGACAAGATGTAACTTGTTGAGTTCATTTACTGACAGTAACCGCTCGAAACCAACTGCCATTAGAACAAAATACAAAGACAGTTTTTGTTAAATGTTCACTTATAAGAAGTGAGCAAAACTTCCTTGAGCTCGGGACTCCTGATTCACAGTTCAGCTGGCACGAACACACATCAGTCTTTCGATCTTTAATGATTAGTGATCAACTTGTAGCCGGGTGAGATGTTTCCACATCTTATACTTTTCAACAACTTTTCAGAAGGTTTTTTTCTTTCTCAGATTTAATTTAGTTCAAAATCCATTTTAATCATGATAAATTTGATACTCGATCCAATAAGCGAATAACGGGGTTAAACATCTAAAGAAACTGTGAAGCTGTGTCGATAGGGGAGTACACCAGATAATTTGGTTTTAAAAACCGATTTGATAATGCAAAATGGCCACCGTAAAGAAATTCTAAAGCTAACGTTTCGAGCGTTAGCCCTTCACCCTTCCCTTAACCGAGGAGCTAATTCCCAAAACCAAACGATCTTATTAGACCTACTAAGCGTTAGAAATTGCATCCCTTGATCGACAAAACAAAGTACGTCAAAAGTCGTACGTTCAGAAATGTTAGGTGCTCCCATGTAACAAAAACCATAATACTATTAGAGTAAGTGATGATATTCGTTTGCACCTCGGCAGCAATTACATCGGTTCTCATCATCTCTTCTTCGCTGGTTCCACCTTCAAACACAAATTTAAAGTTAAGATAATTGCCAAAAAGACGTCTGAGAGGACCACTTCAGCTTGAAATACTAACGATTCCCTAAGAGTGACTAGCATCTAACATCACCCCTGGATCCCACATTAAGGTGACAAGAATAAAGGAAATAATCACCAACTAAAGAAACTCTTGACTGTTAAACAAGTTCTCCTTGTCAGTACTTAGGAAATGTGTATAAAGAACCGTAAGGAGAACATCCTCGAAGGATCGCCACCTTGTCGTGGTCGGCGGGCTTGAGTGCCTCGGAGACCCCTAGAGCTATGCCGGCGGGAGCTTCGTCTCCTGGTAGGGCCACCCAAGCCGGACAGGTCGAAAGGTAGGGGTCCGACGAGGCGCGATCCACCGGTCTTCCAAGTTAGGGGGTTGGGCACAGGGCTAACAACCCTTTCCCGTAAAACACCCATGTTACGGAGACAGCACAAAAAGCCGCCCTACGTGCCACACGGCATAATGGGCATGATTGAGTGAGTAAGTGTATGGAGAAAATGCATACTGATGTTAATATGTATAGGGTAAAGTACCGACTCACTTTTAGGAGGATAGGAATTAAACAATAAGTGTAACACTACATTTAGGTAAGTGGATGTCTCTTAATGTTTCCTGATTTTTACGATCCCTCTTACATTAGGACGTTTCCCCTTCATACTCTAGGATCGCAGCTAAAAGGTAACTTCTCGATTCATTGTTCTGTTGCTATAATTTGTTTTGTCCAATAAGAGTTTTGTTACACACTTTAAATTCAACTTTGTACTTTATAATATTCAGAACTGAAGATGACAATAGAACTGTCGAAACATGTTTTTAAGAAGTGTCGTTCGTTTCCTTAAATTCGTTACATATCTGCTTCTATCCAGACCTTTTGGAAACTAATCGACAGTAGAGACCTGATAGAGATTAACGAGGCATGGATGGGAGACCGTATACACAATTTAGTACTTAGGCGTAAAAACTGAACATTTTAACCGTTACTCGTCAGAAAAGTTCACCGTACTAACAACGTTTCTTTCAAACGTATCGGAAAGAAGTTCACTGTTGGCTGTAAAAATGGTCAAATTTTAACCGTTAGCTGTAAAAGCCATCATCCCATTGAGATACTTAAAGTTTCACAATCAAGTATTTATTTCCAGATTCTCAGAAATTGCTCCGATGGAATTCAGCTTTCGAAACCACGAATTCGCGGAGAGAGGTATATATAGGGGTTAAGGCTTGCCACCGACGAAATCAACCGATGTTTACAAGTCTCTTAAGTTCAATCGCTCAGGCCATTTGCATTTGAAATGTTTCTTAAACAATTTCAGCAAATGATCCATATGTTAAGAGAAGGCAAATACGATAAATATCATGTCAAGAGAAGTGGCACAAAGATATCGGTTCCACGACCAATAGAAACGTTGATTGGAGGAAAGTCTATCAAACATCTGCCGTGTGCATAGGGAAGTCTAAATAATAGATTTCAATTTCAGGTTTTACAAAGACGGCTTACGACTAATAGATATTTACTGAAAAATGAGAATTAGACAGAACGGAAAATGCACCTTTTGTCATAACGAAAAAGAAGATCTGATGCACTTATTCTGGCGATGCTAAAAAACAAAAATATTCTAGTAGAATCTTGCGACATGGCTTCAGTCGTGTCAGATTCTCCCAACAGACAACCAACTACGCATAGAAACCGCTTCGAGTCTTATGCCTGACAGCTCCAATTCAAACTTCAAATAACTCTTTGCTGCCTATTGGCTAAACACTATATTTGGATATGTCGATCGAAAGAACTTTATCCCACTCGAAACAACTTCTTGATTCATCCAAAACATATATATCACTTAGAACTAGGACACTAAGCAACACAAAAAAATGGAAGCCTTTTCTATCCTTGCTTGATCAGGTCTCCTGAGCCCTTGACTCCCTAACCAATACTTCTCTTACATGTAAAACATATATTAAAATAGTATACTTTGTGTAGAATATGTTTTCTCCCCAAAGAAAGAAAAAAGAAAAGAATTTATAAAATGAAAATAACGGAGTAGAAGAAATACCAAAATGCAATTAGCCTCTGTAATTTAGGTTTTAGAGTATAAGCTGTGTAACTTGTGATACCATTGTATATAGTGTTAGTATTGTGATGTAAATAGCGTTAGTGTTTTTAATGTAAGTAACAGAAATGCAAGTAAAGTATCATTGTAATTAGCGCAACTATTGTAACGTAAGTAGTGTCTCTTCAGTAACTCTGTTAGTAATTAATTTTCTGTTTTGTTTTTGTTTTGTTTTGTATTTTCTTTCGTAATTAAAATAAATTTAAAAAGAAAAAACTTACGATAAATAAGTTTAATATTCAGTTAACTGTCAAGAAAAAAAGAACACTCACACAGATTGTGCTTTCGGGCGATGTGCCGAATAATCTGGGAAGACAAAATACATTCGTTAAAATAAATAAGTTATCCCTCTCTCTCTCTCCTTGTCCTGTTCCAATGCTACGCGGATCTTTTTGTTCAGCACTATAAATCGAGGACTCTGATTTAGTTTGATCAGAAACAGGCTCCATATTGTAATTCTCCGTCTGGACCAGTTGTTCACAGTGACATAATACTGTGGGAAAAAGCTTGGCTTTTGCTGTAAACCGTAGAATACCGTTTGTGGTATGAGGTGGTTTGATCCACATGAATAAATTAATTGATATTATTTGATTAACTGAATAATGAACAACTATTCACTGAAGTAGATATTTAATGAACCGCAAAGAAGCGAGGTAAATATTCGCTGCTAGCCACTGACACTAACATGAATAGCTGTTAAACTATGTACTTAAAGAGTGAGATAGAGAAAGATGCTTTTCGTCTTGTCACGAGCGTGGGACAAAGAAAAAACTCTGAGTCCCCCTGAGGAATCGAACCTCAGACCTGCGGATTCCGCGCTCCGATGCTCTACCACTGAGCCACAGACTCCACGGTGAGCGAGGGCTATTACGAAGTTCATATGACACGCGTCCTGCATACTGCTAGGATCAGCAATGTCGATAGCGTCATGTTTGTAGATAGAAATAAGAGAGATGGTAAGTTTTGAGCTCGGTAAAGAAATAGAGAAAGATGTTTTTCGTCTTGTCAAGAGAGAGGTCAAAGGAAAAAAGATTGAGATAATATAGCACAAAAAGATGATTTTTATTGCGCATCCTGCAGCGCGCATAAAAATAACGTGATGAAGTGAATAAGCGAGCGCGCACTCCGAGAACACGGTATTTTTTTCAATCAATGGATCAGGCAAAGAGATACGATGGTTTTTAGCTCTTGAACGAGCACGTTGATCTATATTTTTTATTGCATAATTTTGGCGTTCAAATCATCCCCTTTAAAATGGAGAAATTAAAAAATTAATCGAAGGAAAAAAAGATATAGCTAAAAGCGTGCACAAAGCCCGTTACTAGAGGATGCAAATTAAGACCTTAAAAGCAACGACTCGAGGAACGTTTTGAGTCGATGTCGTTTGAAATTGCGTGATTTTTCCACAAATTATACAGTCCTTAATTCCTGCAACAATTAAAATGTCATCGGGCGCAAGTTCCGCGCGAGTTTCTCGGAGGTAAATAGTGAAGGATATTTGAAGTTTAAGTAGCCAATCAGAGGGCACCTTCAACGTTATCCACTGTTATAGTACACACTAAATTGTAATATTTTTCATGAGTCAGTTTATGTGATCTTAAAACACATGCAACATTGCCTACCGCTGTCGTCTGTGTTAACTTCACATCCCCGTCGATGTAATAGGGTAACTGAAAGATAAACAGTACCAAAAAATCTGATTCTCTCCCGAAATTCGTACACTTCATCAATAATGAAGAGGAAAAAAAGAAATATTTTGGACATGTAGACAAGCAGAAAATCTAGTTTATTTAGCGTCTAATTTCTCTTGACATTATCACCTATCAATCAAACATTTAAGGCATGAAAATTAAGGAAAGGAATCCTAACTAAAGAAGCTCTTGATTAATTGACAAATTCTCCTTGTCAACATCATAACAAACGTGTAGAGAAAACTATGGAGAATATGCAGACTGATGTAGGGGTGTAAAGGGTTTAAGGGTCGGCCATCACTTACGTTCGGAAAGGGCAGTCCTAACGTCTCTTTCACAGACAACCAACCGCTTTTGTCATAATCAGGTGCTGCAAATATCAACAGACGGCGATCACTGTCAGTTAGCATAGCACGGGTAAACAGCAGAGTCTAATGAGGTAAATCCTACACGCATTTTGATCGGTTGTTAGTTTTTTGTCTATCGGAAGACAGACGCATGAATGACCTCACCATTACTAACAATTTTGCCTTTTTATCATTTAAAACAAATTGATTTTATGTTACCGTGCTCTTTTCAGTAACAGATCACAGAAAACGACAGAATGTGATAAGAACATCGGTTGCACAGCCGGCTGCGCCTCGTGTCCGCAACTTTTTTGTTCTAACCACATTTTGCCAACTTCAGCTGTGATCTGTTACTGAACAGAAGCACGGTAACATGGAATCTATCCGTAACTTACACAACGGATTGCTGTCAAGTTACATTCATTTTATCATTTCTTTCTTATTCAGCCTCTGTTGAAACCGCCTCACTCCCAAGCGTAACACGAGTTTGATTACATGTAACACGAGTTTTCGAGTAGAGTTTTATATGAGTTGAGTTTCACCGATTAAAGTTAATATTCTAACAAGCAAAAGTTCGAGTGATCACTACAGCCTCCAAGAATGTACTTACCGTCCCCAGTCACGTAGTCACAGTACTCGCACTTTGTTCCAGTATAAGCCATCAGATAGCGAATTGGTTCAGCAATCTGTCAATAATAGTGACAAATATGTATCCTTGGAATAAGAGTTATTCTCGTTTTTTATGCACTCATTTATTTTTATAAATAAAGGCCTAACCGAAAAGTTTTAAGCACTGGATATTTATCCTAATGATTCTATTTCCGACAATGATCCTATTTAACCGATAAACTGGTTTATATTCTAGGTTGTTCAGATTTGAACTCCATGATTGTGCCTCTTAAAATCCACCATTGGATTTGCCTTCTGGTAGATGGAATTTATACATGAGTTAAATAATTTATCTATTTCTGAAAAAGAAAACATAGTCTTTAAAAACCTTTGCCTTGGTAGTACAACTCCCTGACTTTCTCAACCCGTTAGACTCAATGGTTAAGTTGAACCAAGAGTCAAACTTAATTTATTTCTACAGAGACTGCAGGTGTCCGTCTGAACTTTACGACGATCCCAAGGTGTTTAATATTTAGGCTTTATTTAGAAGGCATGTTTTTACACGTAAAAGGAAATTGCTAGTTCACCGTTGATCCAGTGATCTCCACAGAAACCTTTGACACAATTGATCCTTTGGCGCAACTTCAATTCTCAAGTATATCTCAGCAATATCACAGATAAGTGCAACAGGGTATCTTCTGAACCGGAGTAAGACATCGTTCAAATCTCTCTGAAACTTTGGTCTTTAATAAATGACGTCATTTAAGGAGACTTCTTCGTATCTAACTGTAGCATCGAAGACTATGCGAGTTTTAGTTGGGGCTCTGTCCGGTCGTACTACAGGAAAATGAGGTAGGTACCACTCGGGGCTTTTTAATAGGCGCCTCTCTGTGTTTATCAGTCTTCTTAGGGCCATTTCATAATTGTCTGGTAAAATTGGATTGTCTTCCTTCCATGGAATTCCCACTTGATATCTACCATCCACGTTCTTAAGAGACTTCTCGACTTTCTCTAGTGCACATTGGTCTTCAGGACTCATGAAGTAATCTTCTGATTTCGTTTGTGTCGGCACTCTTTCCCCTAGCTACCACGTTTCAAGCCACTAACAGGTCCGGTGCAGCTCCATCCTGAGTGGGTTAGTCTAGCCACCGGCTCGCCGGGATTTCCTCGAATGTCCTTAAATGGGAAGTGTAGCTCGGCGTAGTCGACTCCAATCAGCAAATCCATTATGGAGCGAATACCAAGATTTGAAAACTGTATCAATTTCAGGTGACTCCACTTCACTGCATGTTTCTTCCAACTCATCACTTCAACGTCTCCTGTGACTCTCTCTGAAGTAAACGCACTTAGCTTCGTCTTCACGTTTCCATCTAAGCTTTCAAGTTCTACTTCTACTGGCGTAATCTCGAACGTCTCTGTTTGACCATTGAGAATGTTTACAGTTACTTTCTAGGGCTGCCCTTGGAGACCTTATTCAGCTGCTACGTCGGCATATATATAAGTCTTTGTAGATGCCTCGTCTAGTAATGCATTCACTTTAATTCTCCGATTACCATACTTCAGAATCACTGGTACTGTGCGCAATGCTACGATTATTACGCGATCGGCGGGTGCAGAAACTGTTGTGGTAGTGCGTTTCCTTTCCAATATTTACTCTTCCGTGACCTAGGGAGAAGAATTAACCAGTGGACTTCTTTCTTGGCCAATAGTATCAGCTTCTCTTTCATTTTGACCCCCATCTTCTTCACCACGATCCATCGACTGGCGATTATCTGTTTGCTCAATGTGATTGGTTGGCCGCATATCGTTGTGTAACAGTCTGTTGTGATTGCTCTTTCCACCCTTCATACTGTCGTTTATCTCCACCTAAGACAGGAATGGAATTTGTCCTCTACAAATTTCTCCACACTCTTATGCGCCGCTCTTTCTTCGATTCGACGAAGGCGAGTCTCTTCTGAAGCATCAGTTGCCAAACTTAAGAGTTCGTCCTTACAACTTTCCAAATATTCATTAGCCTTTTCTCTCGCTCCCGAAAATTCCATTTCCAGTTCTTCCATTTCTTCTCCAAGTTTCCTGCGTTTGTCCTTTTCATCAAGGTGTAAATACTCGTCCGACGACAGTTGCATTGTCTTCTTAGCGCGTTCCTGCGCGACATTAAGTTTTCAACAAACTTCTCTAACTTCCCGCCGACGTGGATAATCTTCCTCGTCTATAAGGTGCAGCAGCTTTTTTCTCTATCCTGATAAATGCCGATTTAGTCCTTGCTTTGTTCTGCTTTATGCTCTTGATAAGTTCCTTATCCTCGCCCGTAGTTTCATCCGCAACTCTACCCAAATTTCCGCCCGTATTTACATCCATTGATTTAACGCTAACCTCGAAGATCCGTGATAATAACCACGCTGAACTGTGATGAAAAACCTCGCCCTGCTACTAAAAAATGTTCACTTGTTGAACATTTTATTATTAACTCGAACTAAGTATGAATAACAAAGTTAAACTTAGCACAAAATTACCGATCTCGAACGAACTAATCTTGAACGACCTCGAATAAATTCGAACACGACTTCGAATAAACTTGAACGAATTACACAAAACATGTTTTTTTTACAATTATAGAACAAACGAAACATAAAAAACCTACAAATTATCTTGCAAAACAAAAGACGTTACATGACAAAAACCTACAATACGACGAAATAAATTTAAAAAATACGTAAGGTTAAATAAGCACAATCCATAAATTAAATGTTCTTTAGTCCATTAACCTTGTTTTTTATTTCGATCTTAAGTTTGTTTGCCTTGAGATCGAAGTTTGTTAACTAGTTACGCAAAACTTTAATTCAAAGGTTCATGTATTGTTCAAACATAGACTGTGTCTGTGCGAAGATTTGAACATGCATGACTAACATCACCCCCTATGATTGTTTTCATTGCCTCGAAGGGGAAAATCTTTCATTTTTTTTTCGCTTTTGTGAAGCTTTGGAATTGTTACACTGTTCGTTTGCAAAACTAGAGTGATATGCCACGAAACTTTTGGTGTGCGTGACCCAGGTGCTGAAATCTTTAGTCAAGTAACCTATTAAACGAGTTTCTACCTCACAGTCTTTGCAGCTAACATCCTTACACAACATCGTTGGACAATAGGATCGCCATCGCTGACACAATCTGCCTAGCGATGCAGGTATTTACTTAGCCACACTGTTTAGCACGTAAAAATAGCAAAATTTTCCATTTTAATTCAAATTTGATTAACAGAGAAGGTAAACAATAAAAAAAACTAAATATAGACCCAGGCGTAAGATGAGTTACTGCCCACTACCTAACTTTTGCCTCTGAAGCTTACGAGAAACCTGAGGACGTTTACCCAACTGGGCAGAAGAGCGGTTCCCCTGAAGTGACAAAATTCATCCCAGAGGCAGACTTAGACATGTCTCGGTAAGTCCGCTTAACTCGCATTTCAACTGCGTCGCCCTCTATGGCTGTTCGGTCGTTGCCCTTTGAATAATTTTCTTGTCAGCAATGCAAAACGGATAGTTAATAAAATGAAGACAAAATTAAACAAGTTTGAAATTATTCTTACCCCTCGTACGTTCCAGTAGCCGAGAATCGGAGCCATTATTGTCACCTTAAGATTTTAACACGGACAATTTATCAACCTAGAAGTGTCGTCTAGACGCTAGCCACTGGCGACAGCGCGTCACCCAAGCCGAAAATGCACTGGACACTAATCAAAATACTCTAAAGGGGTTGGTACCTACTACTAGTAACGCCTGCTAATTCTTTAAGCTAATTCTTGCCTCTTGTTAGTAGGTATACCGAAATGAATCCCTGAATTACGCCGAAGAAAAACGCCTGACGTATAAAGGAACTGGTCGGCTGGTTCGCGAGAGGATTTCACCGACCCAAAACAAGGCTTGAAATTTCTACATTTTCTTATCGATTCATATGTCTCCCACGGTCAAAAGACACCGCGAATTTGTAGTGAAATAGTAGCGCCTGTTTATTTCGACAGTTAATTTTGTTGTTTACCTGTATTTTCCTTCAAGTGAGGCAAAGTGGAAAGGATTTACGGTAAAATTTCCGCACAGTCCTATACTATTGTAAAACAAATCTGTTTTCCCAATGGCAATGTATTGTTTTTGTCATTGTTTTCTCTATCCAAGAACTAAATGCATAATGTACGATGGGTCTGTGCGAAAATTTTACCGTATTTGCCACGAAGGGTCTACAAGAAAGGTTTAAGCTACCAAGACAGTAATGTTTGTGTAACAAAGTATGTTGGCTAAAGTACACCAGTTGTGCTATTGAATATCATTGAATATTAATAGCCAAGTGGATCATCAAATGTACTACCTAGATGAATCCAGCCTGCAACACAAGGGTAACTTTCCTGAAATGTACTCATTTGACGTTAAGTTCTTTATCAACAATACGTTCAGACTTAATGTTGATAACAATAAACTTAATAAACAGACTTATTGTTGATAAACAATGATTGTTTCATAACAGTCATATTACAACTTAGTATTTTAACCTGTGTTTATTGTCAAGCCCAAAACGATTGAAACGCTCAATCCCTCTAAAAATAACATACTCCGAAAATTAGCTTACCCGAAAATAAGTGTATCAAAAAAACCTTAGAACAAATATAAACCATGGGCTTATTATAGGAATTTTACGGTATCTCTGTTTTTTAAAGTTTAACTCAAAATGTATTGTAAATTGATGATATCTGTGAATCGAATCAAAAGGAAATTTCACAAGAATCTGCTTTCAGAGACAATTGATTGGAAGTCAAGATCAAAGTGATTGAGGAAATCATTTATCGATTTCTGTTTCATGGTGGCTTTGGTGGCTTTGGTGGCTTTGGACACATGATAGACAGAGAAGATAGTCAATGTCATGTGCTTGCTGGGTGGTGTAATGCTACATTCCCTTAAACTTTCTGCTCGGTCTCATTTATGTTGAAGCATAATCATACAACATACGACTGCTTGTATTTTGAAATGCTTGCTTATTTATTTCTATATCATCTGGGTAATAAACTATTCTAAATATATGTTCAAGTTTCGTAATCGATCAGAATGTTCAAATGACATAATCTTTTTTCTTTTTACAACAAAATCCACTGTACAGTAACTGGATAAGAAAAACTAAAAAAAAAAGTATTTAAAAAAATAGCGTAAGATCCGACGTGAATTTAACGGAACGTGGAAAATTCACCTGGGAAATAATACAGTAAACTGTTTAAACTATACCTAATCTGCAATTCATTTGATTTTCAAACTTAGCGGCAAAGAACTTTACAATATACTTAACAAAAAAAAATTGTATAAACGATGATCGAGACTACTTTTATACAATTCACAGTATATACCCATTTCCTATTTATTGCATAGCTAATTTTCTATGAATTATCACATTTACAATTTAAAACAAAAATTTCAAAGTTCTTTTTCAGGCTAGCACACGTGTAATTAACTTTTTCTTGGAAAATATCTACTCTAGCTGAAGGCTTGGTAATCCATTACCACTGTCGAGAAGCTTAAACGAAATCCTGTAACTAACAGCTTTCGGGGCATGACATCTGGCACACTTACATTAGGAAACGACGTTACAAGTTGGAAACAGATGCGCACTTTCGCTTTGTTAACCTCATTAACTTTGTCAGTTCAGTCCTTTATAATCTTCTCCATACTAGCCAATCCTCGTTTCTTTCTACTTCATTAGTGGTAGCTCTGGTTTTTTTTCCAGCAACCTTACTAAACTAAAATACTAAAGATCCCGATTTCCAAAATCAAAATCGACATGATCCATTATTTTCCGCCTCAGCCATTTATTTCTTTTTCTTTACACGACTTTAACCCAAAAGTTGAAGTCACACAAGATGTAAGGAACAGTCTGCTTCAATATACTCCACCAGTGTATCATAACAGAACTCGTACTGCCCCTGTAAACAACACATGTGCCTTTATTATAAATATTGTTCAAGACATGTTTGAAACAATTATTTTGTAACGTGCTTTGGTAGCTTTAGTATTAAAGAAAAATGTGTTTCACTTTGAGCACGACGAACGCTTCATTGAAAGCGAATGTCTATCTAGAAATTAATTTTCTATGAAGTTGCGTTTTCCTTTGATACATTAATTGGAACACTTCGTAACATCAAAGAAGAGGCGTTAAAATCATGAACCGTCTAACAGTATTTTAGTGTTGAACTGCTGATGCAAACGGACAATATTAGCATTTTTTAGACGGTTGCAAATCAGGGTCAATAGCAGCGACAGACTCGCGATTTCAGCCAGAAAATGGGATGAGCCTCTGTCACTGAGATACTCACGAGGCCCACGAGCCAACAACCTTTTGAAAACGTTCGCAATCGCACTTTCTCAAAGGACATCCGGCTTCCATCCCAGCATAGAATAACTTGAAAAGTAACCAACCTTCTCAGGCGCTTTGGTAAAAAAAAAAAAAAAAAGATCTATTCTATGTTCTTACCAGAGTTGATACACAGCGAGGTCTCTGATGATTGTATAAGCGAGCTAGTTGATAGATGGAGACACTCTTCTCGCGTTCAATCTGATGGTACATTGTATGCAGTAGACAGTAAGCACCTGTCCGTCCTACTCCATAGCTGAGAAGGAACAACAAAGCATTGATTATTGTACTCCTATCAACTTACTGTTACGACATATAACATCATCTTAAGTAGTCATTCTGTAACGAACTCATTTCCTCCTAAGGAGCACATTTTTATCACTCTATCGGTACTTTCCTTCATTCTCAACACATTTTCAAAAATGCTTGCTAGGACATTCTAAGTGAATTTGACATGAACAATCTTTCGTAAAAGTCAAAGAGTAAACCAAACACCATCTGACAAATTTCTTACTTGCAGTGCACCACAACTGGTCCGATCACTTCAAATGGTTTGGCATTAAGTCGCACTTCCCTCTCCCAGCTGTCCACTTTACAGATCAGTTGAAGAATAGTCTGACCAGACCATGGATTGCCATCTTCAGGCCAGTGAAGAAAGTGAAAATGTTGGATATTTCTGTACTCACTAGGGTCCTACAAGCCCGAAAAAATAGAGTTGATTAGAGTTTGCTAATCCTCTCCTCTCCTCCACCCACCCCTCCCTTCACGTGAAAAAAATGACATGGAGTTTAATTTAGAAATACCGCATAAGCATGATGTGAGTGGAAACGAAAGAACTTTTATATGGTGTACCTTGATGGAGACCATTCTTAGTTCTGTGATCAAAATGTCACCACGTGTAGCCTCGGAGTCAGCGGTCACCTCATAGTCACCGAACCTGGTTGTTTCATTTAAAGGCGGTAGATACCTATGGTAAAAACCCTGAAACAGAAAAAAAAAGTTAGTACAAACCTACAGTTATATCATGGCGTTATCGCTTAGTGTTCACAGAGACAACATCTAGAACAAAAAAAATTATGAATAAATTAATTTGAAATAATATCAACAGTGTCGATCATAAACAATACAGACAAAAGAAGAATAACTCCCTGTAAAACTCAACACCCTGGATTGTGAGGGAAATACCAATGGGCTTACGCAGACTGTAAGCAAGAAGCACAAATCCAATTTGCAAAGCACTGTATAACACGCTACCTTAAATTCTACAAATCAGGTAAGCACGCAGTTGTTACGCCCCTTGGTTTATAACGATTAACATTGCTGAAAATTACTTCATAATAAAACCAAAGTAACAAAATTTATTTACTCATATGGATCAAAAGGTCTCTAAAAACAAAAAGGAAAACAAAAGTACGCTTAGCGACACTCCACTATGCCCTGAGGCGAATTCTTTATGTAATTGGCTGCTTTCTTCATGTTACCCACCTTTGTCCTTCTTTTTTTTTTAAGAAGTGTCGATTCAAAAGTTGGTTAAAATGAGTAGGCTAAGAAAATGCAAGAGTTGGATGAAAAAGAAAACAACATTGCTGGATTCCACATTGAACAGGAAACTGACGCAGTGTAGAAGTATAAAAGGTATCACCAAACCGTTGAATGTTCTGTTTAGGTATAGTACCTCTTCCATCTCTGCTTTGCTGAGCAGCATGACAAGTGAGCGACAGTTTTCCTGCCAAACCATCCTCCAAAAGTCGTCCGTAGTCTCCGCCAGAGGATACTGAGTTGCTATGTAAGCTTCGGACTTCCAGAAACCCTGCAAGACATAATAGCACACATGTGCATTAAAAGCAATAAAGCAATTTTGAAGAAATTTTAGAATCCTTGCGAGGCTACAGGTATGTTACGCTTTATTAACTGAACAAAGACCGAAAACAAAAGTGAACAAAACAAAAGAAAACAAAGAATCCTATATGTAATCACTTGCAATCCAGCATAACACTTGAAACCCTACGAGTGACCAGCATATAGTTTCTCCTTAGAGAAATACTCGGCTGAATCACTCATTAAGATCATGAGAATAAAGGTAATGATCACCAATCTAACAAGCTCTGATCAATAAACGAACTTCCTTGTCGGTATCAAAGGAAATTTATAAAGAAAATTATGGAGAGCATGGGTACTGATGTTAGGATGTTAAGGGCTCACCTCTGCCTCCCTGCATCCTGGCTCATTTTTTTCATTTTGGTTTTTGTCTTCCCCAACTAGTCATCATTTTAATGCTTTTTACATAATTTAGGTCCTGAGGAAGTTTATCTACTTTTGTTCTTTTCAGATAAATGTATCCAAATCCTTCCTCTACGAAAGAGTTGCTAGATACGTGTTCTTGCACTTTACATCCAGCTCATTTCTAATCTATAATCTTCACAAATAAAATGGACTGATTCTTACCGCAAGGTAAGTTGCATTGATGTAATCTGAACCCTCCTCTCTCGGGCGAGGATACAACTCAACTCTGGAACTGTCAGCTAAGATGGTAAGAACCAGTAATATGTTATCATTACCATTGGAGATAATTAACAAAACTCGTCACTTAACTGATTGATAGGTGCAGAGTAAGCTCACTGATTAATCTTTATAAAATACCAAAGATACTATGAGTGCCCTGATTGGTCAAAAACCTGTGGTTTCTGTAGCGGTAAACCTATAGGAAAAAGTACTCGAAAACTATGAAAATCTCTTGCCTCCGGCTCGTGATTTACATAGTTTTCTCTTGTTCGCTTAACATCCTGCGCTGGTTAATTCGTCGGTTAAACGAAAGAAAGTGCAGTTTATTGATTAAAATAAATCATATAGCCTTAAGACTCAAATGTTACCTGGAATATAATCTACTGATCTATTCTTTGCTAAATTGCACCCACGCTTAGCTTGCTTCAAATTGTAGTATCTCACTTGAATTGCACTCAAGTCCTAAAGTAAACAAAATGAACACAGTGATCAGGGAAAAGGTTTCTGAGCTTTCTTCAATAGAAACATCAATCAGTCTAAACAACTAAATCTTAGATTACAAAATATGGTAAATTTTGAATTCGATCCTGGAATATGCGTCTTGTCACGAGCGCGAGACAAAAATAAAGTCTAAGTTCCCATGACACATCGAGCCCCAAACCATCAGATTCCAATCTCTGTTGCTCTACTTCTGAAGTACAGAAAATTCGTCAGTCAGTTAGGTCATTGCTTGCGCACTAGATACCGCAACAGTCAGAAATATCAAAAGCTTCGTGAGCGTAAATGTATTGAGAAAGATGTTTTTTTAGCTGTAGAGTTGATGACATGATTCCAATCGCTGTACTTGTCATTCCGCAGTTCAGTCGACCAAAACTCTACACTAAGAAATTAGAATCACGATAATCATTTGTAAAATCATAAGAAAACAAACAAACAAGACTGGACCGTTCTATTACCCATGCAATTCTCTCACACTTAAGAGACGTTTCAACAAGTTTGCGACAAGTCTCAGCCACAAAACCAACTTGACATCAAGAGAATTTAAAGCACTGCCACGTATCTTCCCAAAACAAATAACAATAGAAATGGACAAACTAATACCAGCTTAGTACGGCTGCAATAAATAATAAAGTATTTTTCGACGGAAAGTATATACACTAACACGAAAAAGTCTGTTAACACATCAAAAAATATTAATAACAATTTCAAGTAGTCCAATTACTGTGAACATAATGTAATAACATGTTCAACATATACGAAAACATTTAGTGATTCTTAATAACTAAAGACTTGGGAGGAAATTAATACAAAGAAAAACCTCCTTGCAGCAAATTGGTTTATGCACCACCCCCTCCCCTCCCCTCCTGCCTCTGAATGATGAACGCTAACCTCAAATTCCACTTCAAGTCCGCTTGTACTCGAGCAGTTCTTCCTCAACTTCTGTACATGATCTTTCAGTTCATCTATGGGGATTGACAGCTGAAACCCACTTTCAATGAAATGTAGCAAGGCATCATGTACAAAAATGTATTGACACTGAAACAAGAACAAAAGATGTGTTCATGTCTAACTTCAACAGCTTCCAACATAAACTCATGAGGGCACGAAAACAGATGACTCAGACAATACAGGGTAGTAATACTGAGAGCGCTTTTGGATTGGGTGTCGTAACAGTAAAACCAAATTAATGACAACGGCCAATCGGAGGGAGGGACAAAACCCTCAACAGCCAATGAAAACTCAAAGTAAAAACATGTAAACCGCTTAAAACGCGGGAAAATGCGGGCGACCAAGTTGTGATTATATTAAGTTTTTCCACGTGATTGGTTTAAAGAGTGGCGCGAGTTTTTTGGACCAATCACAGAGCTAAGTAAAGCAAACCCAATGCTACACCGGATGATTTTCGACACTCTAAGATCCTCTAAGACATAACTCAGGTAATGTACTCAGACAAAGGGAAGAAATAACTTTCACAAGGTCAGGTTTTAAGGGTTATGAAATTTTGGGGTAAAAAAGGTGGAAGAGACTTTTGTGGAATTACATGTTTGCGGCAACAATTGCGGTTAAAAAAACTATCGATAGTAATGTAGAGCGAAATGCCAAAAGTACATATGTAAATATACAGGTATGAGCCGACAGCCGGCATACATAAAGTTCACTGTAATGTATTATTGCATTGCGTTTTATTTCGGACTGTTGCCATAGACCAGTCTTGTGAAGATTGTGAATTGAAGCTGCACATGACTCAAGTTTCTATACCTCAAGATAAAACACGACAAATGAATAGCGGGGATAAAGATCCTCGCAATACGAATAATTCAAATCAGTTGATTTGGTTTTTAACTTATTCATTTTTCCATTTCCTTTGGAATCCGGAGTAATCCACAAAGGAATGCAAGTCGACTGGTTTTAACTACCATGAGCATTTTTTAAATTGCCATCCTGTAATGGTGGCTTCACCAACCTCCTCTTGTACAAGATGATTTCTCTGTTGACGTATCTGAGCAACAAAGTCGAAGATGTTAACATCCCTCATCTCTATCATTCTTTTCATCATGCTGTGGATAACAATATATGCCCCACTTCGACCAACACCCGCACTGAAACAGAAATAGAATCCACATCTCAGAACAAGAAGTGTTTTTAATCTTTTCACTCCTAGGATCTCATTAGTAATTCTCCTTACTGTCTGCCATACAATTCTCATTCTGTTACTTTGGATACTTTTAAATTGGATCGACTAATTATACCCTAAGTGATATTTTTCTTTATTCTCATGACTTGTCTGTGTGACACTGTATTGATATTGCAAGGAGAAATTCTGCTTTGGTCAGTAATGGAAGTTACAGGGTTGAATCAATTTTGATATTTTTTTTTCTGGTCAAAAAAATTAAATGGTACTTAAATTAGCCAAATATCAGATGCCATTCAAAGTTGTAAAACAGATTAATTAAAAAGACTGTTTCATATGGGCAATGACCACTGCCTGAAAGTCTTATTCAACCTGAAACAAAAACACATTTCTAATTCAAAACAGAGCACTTACTCAAATATGAGAAAGCTGGATTGCAGATTCATGCAAAATAAATTCCTCATTCATTTTTAAATGTCATGGAATGTCAGGTACATTCTAAAGCCACAAAGTAAATTCATTTGCCGTTTAATTAATGTCATCAGTCTATGGCCAATGTTTAACATCAGAAGTTTCAATAAAAGCTGGTTACTGGCCATCTATCATCACCTATAACACCTTGTACCACCATCTGTTTGGGTTTCAAGTTACTGCCCCTTTTTGGGCACAGTCACTTCCCACACCATCAGCAGCTGCTTTTGAAAAAAGTTATTGAAACCCCTAAAATTTTAGCACTGATAATTTTTCAGTATTTGAGAAAAGTTATTGAAACCTCTGAAACTTTAGCACTGATAGTTTTTCAGTAGCAATTATCACCTGCAGTGAACAATGATGGGACCTGCCCCTTCTTGACTAGCAGCACTTGACTTGAATATAAAGTCCAGAGCTGGGTACTCACAGCCATGATCTGGAGCACCATGGTCTGGCCAACCAGTGAAATGGTACTGACACACAATCATTGGTTTGACTTCGTCTTCTGTTGCATCCTGCCCAGAAAAAAAGAGAGAAAAATCAAGAATTTAATATACAGCCATGAGGAACTAGTTGATAATAGTATGTAATTCTTATAATAGGTTTTTTTTACATCTCAGAAAACGGTACATGGAATACATCTTTAGTAAATTAGTAAATTGTTATAATCATGAAAATATTACATGTCTTGTTATTACAATTTAAGGCATAATTTTAACACATCATCATAACACAATTAATCATGGTACAATTTTGAGCAGGGCCACCCAATTAAAAGAAAGGTTATATGTAAAAAAAATCACAGTTTGTTATATATAAGATCAATCACGGCCACAGCACTTGATTCCATACTTCATACGTATGAACAAGTAGCTAGTTTTAAATTGCCAGGCATATACCAGTATTTATGTTTTGTCCACTTTTATGTATTGCAGAAAACTGTTAAAAAACATGGCCTTAAGTTTTGTTCATATTTTAATGAAAACAAAAAAGCCAATTTGTGTCAACCTTGAAGGTAAAATGGCAATAAAGCACTTATTTCCTTTTTTTTTTTTTCTGGGTGAATAATTATTTAATAAAAAGAGACTTTCACATAAACTTGACACTTGCTGCCATAGTTGAGTTTGAATCAAACTCAGATTCTCAAAAATTTAAGGTGGCTCATCATGAACTTGTTGCACTTGTTGCAATTAACCTTGTTTCAAAATAAGATTTTAAATTCAGTTTGCCTGCAATCAATGGATTTATCAAAAGTGTTATTAATTATTCTAAATCAAGTGCCTGAGTAAACAAGTTTGTTGAATTAAATTCATCAAGTAGTAAACTAACAATTTTCAACAAATATACACGTCAAAAATTTAAGATATTTGATGAAAGTTCACCTTGTAAATTTTAAATTTTTTCAATTTTGCTTTGATGTACTATTTTACCATTTTTCAGTTTTACTTTGGGGTTCTTTATCATAAAAGCAACTTTGAAAAATAATTACTTAATGAATCATCAATAGCTTATCAAAGGCTAATAGGGAGGTATTTCATTTTAAAACTGTAACATTTCATTTTCTTTTGTGCCCTCTCTGTTTACATGGCTCAAGATTCCTCTTGGCAAATGTTTGTTCATTTATTTTATTATTATTGTTCATTGTTTTATTGTTTTAATTTTATTTACTTCCTTGTTTGGCTGAGATGAACAAGAATATTACTGCAAAGGAGTCTTACCCAGTTTATGCCGATGGTAACCATCCTAGATGAATATTTATACTTTGCATGCAAGATAAACAACAGTATAAAAAAGTTAATTTTAAAACAACTGTTGTTCTAATTTATTAGACATAAGTTGAAGTGGACATAAAGGTGATATGTTGTACAATATACTGTGAGCTTACTGAGCTTCATGAATACTTATAATAGTGATAATTTTTAAAATGACATTTGATGTTATAGTGAGTGACATCCATGTCATTGTACTGCAAGCTTAAGCATCCAAAGAAATGTTTCAAGCCTTAGTATTCGAAAGCCACCATTTGGTGATCATTTCAATAAGAAAAGCTTTGATTGCCAGAAAAAAAAGAGACAATAAGTGGCATATTGCACATGAACTTGTCACTGACCATATCACAGGTCTTTGGAATGAACGATATGACTGGCAATTGTTTTTTAACTTTCCTTCCACAAATAAAGGCTTACAGCTCAAACAACCAAGGAGAAAGGAGCAAATCATAATTAACAAAAACAAAATAGCATAAGAATGATATTTCAAGCCAAAATTCATCACACTTCAGCCCAAGACCATGAACACTTCCTAATGAAAACACTGCACCTCGCTGTGTGACTGTCAAACACAAGTTGCAGAATTGGTGACTTTCACACCAAAATTTTTAAGACTTACCATGCATGGGTATAGGTACTGCCTTGTTGAATATAAAGTCAATTTTACTCTAATCGTACATGTTTATCTCATATCTGCTCAAAAATGTAAACTTCAAACATACCTGACTATAGTGTGTGCTGTGTTCAACTGGTTTTACTTCAAATCGACGCAAAGTGTAATGAGCAAAAGCCTCCTCATCTAAGTAGGTTACTCTTAGGGGACCATGAGCTTCACTCTTAGCTTGTTTAGAAGGCCAGTACATTGCACATTTATGCTGAGAGGAAATGTAAGGAATCTCAATCTCAATTCAAATGATTCATCATAGTATATTTGATTTACAACTTACGAATAGTAGTCAAATTTTAAATTCCATAATATCACAAGCAGAAATGTGTGCACCAAGTCAACACTGACCAAAGGCACCATTTGGCTTTAAGAGAATTTCACATCCCTATGGTACATTTTGTGATAAAAATAAACAAAAAAATAATTTTGACAAGCATGACTTACCCTTCCTTTTTCTATGATATTCGTGATCATGACCACAACTGTACAGTTTTGTTCCCAGACCATCCTCCAAAAATCTTTGATTGTGTTGGCCATGGGTCCTTCAAAAGACCAAAAATAAATGGGACTTAAGATGTTGTATTCTTGTTAACTACAAGGTTTCCAGCAAAAGATCAATGCCTTTATTACTTGGAAGAAACATGAATATCTCCTTAAATAATTAAAGTAGGTCTTGAAACTTTAGCATATTTTTAGATGATAGTAATAGCATCAGAAAAGCATAAGGTAAAGTACCATTAATCAATTAACAATTTTTCAATAAAAAGAAACATGTGCAAACAAACACTGATTGAGGGAGATGAATTTTAAACTGCAGCAAATTCCTAGCTGGTATAAAAAAATTAAAATTAATTACCAGAGGATGTTGCCAAAGAGCCCTTCCCTGCACAATGCCTCCTTTACAATCTCATAAATTAACCTTACAAATGTTACACTTTCCATACTTTACTTTCAAAAATTGTCACCTGATTTAAATTTAACAATTGGTTCATATCTCAGCATGCATTCATCGAGATATGAAGCACATGGGAAATTTGGAGAGCACAAAAGATGTGTAAGAGTTGCTCGAGGCGTAGCCAAGAGCAACTCTAGCTTCTTGAGTGCTCTCCAAACTTCCCAAGTGCTTCATATCTTGATGAACACACAGCTGACGTATGAACCAATTGTTTTATAACATTTTCAACCCAATGGAAAAATTTTTTTTCGAGGGATTTGTTTGCTGACATCACGAGCGTGCACAATAGGAATATGAAGCAAGTTTGCGCGATTGAATTTGATTAGATAAATTTACTCACTATGTTATGATGAAAGGTAGTAATTATGATAATTTTGTGTAACATCAAAAAACAATGTGAACGGATAAAACATAAAGTGATGATGGCATATATCATTATGAGTATTATAGTGACCTTGAAAATTATTTTAATTGTAATAGTCATAATCATTGTACATCAAAATGTCAGCCTTACCTTGAGTTGCAATGTAAGCGTTTACTTTCTTGAAGCTCTAGAAATTAAATAAAAAAAATAGTTATCAATAAAATGGTAATAATAATAATACTTTTGTTCTGCTGATTAGAGAGACGTGTGCACTCTGATTGGTCAGGGATTGTAGCATATCTAGCTATAATCACCTCATGCAAGGTGATTATATGTTTGGTCAATGTTTCTGAGAAAGTAGTACACTCAATAGAGTAAAACTTGATTCATTTGCAAAGAGCACAAAAGATATTAAAAATTAAAGAACACTTTTCGAAAGAAAGATATGAAATTTTAGCTACCAACAGCTTACTACTAAATCACACTTACATCAACATAGTTTCCATTGATATAGTGTGAATCTGGTTCATTTTCTGTCAAAGACAGAATCACCCTTGAATGATCATCTGTTCAAAGAGAAAAAAATTATGTTTATGCACACATGCATAAACATGCTTTACTGATTCCAAGTGAGCAGTGGAATAAAAATTAAAAATGATGATAACAGTCAACAAAAAAGATGATAACAGAAATGTGTTACATATTATGGTCATGTCACTTAAAGAAAAATTGTTCTTCTCACTTGATCTAGTATTGTTCAAGGCCAAAATAAAACATGTAAGCTGTTACCTCAATGTCAAAAACAATTTTTTTAAAAGGATTTTTAATTAAAAAAATCCATCCTTTAAAGATCATGTTCCAATCAAGAAAGCTGGATCTCATGGCAACAGTGACAACTGCCCACACCAAGACAGACATCAGCAAAATGTACTTCTATCACTTATGTAACAAATGTTCATGAAAATATGCTACTATAATTGCCAACATGGCAGTGTTGTTAAATAGCAACATGGCTACTCCATTTAGAAGCTCCAAAATACTTAATAGCAGACTCTCCAGTATCATGTTCGACATTATCATTCAAGACCCATGACTGTGCAACAAGTGTAGGACAAAAAATTGTTACTTACAAGCTACAATATTATTGTATCTATTTTTGGATTGGTTCTCTGGTTTTTCACTGTTTATCCATGTCTTGCTCTTGACATGAACACTTTGCAATGACTAGAAAGAGAAAAACAATACTTAAATTATTGACTTCATCCAATTCAAATTGCAAGTATTTATTTTGCCCTCCAGACTTCACAAAATACAAAAAGCCAATTCATCATTCCTCTACTACCCTGTTTTACCATAATAGGGCAATAAAAGGTGTGAAATATGCCATGATATTACAGTATATGGACAAAAAACTAAAAGCTGGGCAGACAGAAGGATCCTAACTTTCCATTATTTAAGCTTCACTTTTCACTAAGAAAGAGCTTTTATTAAGTGCATCAAATTTTTTGTCTGTCAAACTGGTTTTTGTTTGTGTGTGTATTTGTTAACCCATGTCTAATATAGTTTTTATATACTTCTGCACTTCAAATCTCATCTTGTCTATAATATAATTCAAAATTAATTCTTATCAGAAGCATTAAATCCAGATGTATTTCTTAGTGTGAATTTGCTCTCCCCGACAAAATCTCTCACCAGCACTATTCCCTAATCTGGGACAAAACTTTTTCATTGCAAACTTTGTAGCATTGCCATTACCAGAGATCATTGTTTCTGTCATCAACTGAAAAAAACTCTCATTCAAATTTTATAAACCAAGTTATTCTGAATCAAGATTAAAACCTAATTGTAATTATCTCAAACATTGTTCCCTTTTACCTTCCAGTTGAAATCTTTCTGTACAGAGACCTACACTTTTTTCAAAATAAAAAATTGCATTCCCAATTTATAGCTACCTTCTGTCCATGTGTTTTCTTAACTTGCTGAATCATTGAAAGGAGGATAAGCAAGCTTAAACAAATAGAGAAAACAGATAATATGAAAATGATCAACTTTACCTCAAATTCCTGATTGAATCTGTAGTCGCCATCTGTATGCATGAGTTTCACATGAGCGGCAAAATTTTCCACAGGAATAGCTCCATGTTTATATTCTGAAACAGAGCAATGAATTAGCTTTTATCCTGGATGAAAAGTTAAAAGAAAAGAAAGAAATGCTGCTGAAAATACCCATAATAATTGTTCACAGTGTTAAGAGTCTTAAATATTTAATAGCAACAGCCATAAGTTCAGCTAATAAGTTCTAAGCCCTTTTTCCTTATGAAATACACCCTTGTCAAATGAATCACCAACACCATCACCCACACACACCTTGATGCATCTTTTCTCATCCCAATTGTGAAGAGAAAATTTTAAAACTAAAACTTATCTTAAAGTTAAACTGATGAATATGCTATATGTGGCAAGTATGTCTATATTATCTGATTAGCATTTCCACATCACCAAAAAAAATTAATATTAAGCTAAAGAAAATAAGTCATTGTGCTTCCTTCTAAAATACAACAGATTGATCAAATCAGTTCATGTAAAAAAAAACCAAGTATTTTTTACAGAATGGCAAATGGAGTAAAACTGCTTAGATTTAAAAATCCTTGAAGAAATGAGAATTCAACCATCCAAAACAATAAGAATAATTTGCATACAGAATGTATCTATAGACCACAAAAAGTACAACAAATGATATAATCTGAGACAAAATATACAGCAACTTTGATTCTTGGGATTTCTTAAGAAAAATATATAATCTAAAGCTGTACAGTGCTGCAAAATCTAGAAAGTAACAGACAGTTCATAAGCTTTATATGGACCTGATGTTTGTGCCGCTGAAACTCTCCCCTCCATCTCTAGCTGAATTCAAAATTCATACAGATATCAAGATTTGTGCATAGAAACTACCACACAGGTAGAAAATGAAAAATGCTGGTAGACTTCAAGGAAATAAAAATTTCATTTTCCATCAAATTACTAGTGAGGCTGTTTATTTTTAAAAGTGATCCATCCTCCTAATTTTCTGGGTGTCATTTAGAGCTGAGAAATATGCCTTATGAACTTCTAATATTATGAACAGGTATTTCTCAATAAGAAATGATTGCCTTGGATTGTTAATAATTTATTTCAACCAATTACTAGATAAGATGAAAAGAGGAAACCATAATTAGCCCTTTTGGTGGCATTTGTGGCAAATACAGGTTTGAACAGATTTATGAAATAACTTATAGTGTGGGGGAGATGATTTCAACCATGTATAACCCAAGGTAAAAAAAAAGACATTTTTTGAGTATCATCATCTACAGTTTCAAATACAATTACTTCACAGCACATGGAACCAAATGGAGTTGCACAAATACACATGCAAGAAACCAATTAGCCTCTTACGTAGGCAGAACATGACAATAGTCTTCATCCATAATTTGGGATATTACAACTTGAAACAGAATAAAGATAACCCAACTGATATGATAAAACTGCCAAATGATAACAACATTCACTTGTCAGACAATGTACTGTTCAAGAAACCACAATGGCAGATAATTCGCTAAATATCACAGAGCCACAAGTCAAATATTAAGTAAGTATATTGTCTGTGAAAAGTCAAGAAAATGAACTGTGAAATTATTATCAAAAAGTCTCAATCAATATTTAAACAATTCAAACATTTTGTTTATTATAATACATTTTGTCAATCTGCTAAAACAAACTAAAGATCTACTGTAAAGTAAGAGAGATCTAAGAACAAAACACCTATGACATGAGATAGCTTTACTCTAACTTGTTCTCATAGAAAACCTACAACACTAGTAAACCTTGTGAACTAGAAAGTATGGTCAGGCTTACCCAGGGTGAATGACTGTGATATACTGTATTGTAAGTTACATAATACACATTGTTAACATTACACAGCTAATAAGATTAAAAAGCAACCTTACCATAACAAAAAGCATTCATTATGTTCAAAGTGCTCAAAGTCTAAAACACTGCTTTTTGTGGTTAAAACCCATGTACACTTTATACAAAATCAAAATACTATAATATGACTTAACCCTTTAATTCCTATGAGTGACCAATACAGAATTTCTCCTTACAATATCAATACAATATCAACCAGATAAGTGATGAGAATAAAGAAAAATATCAATTTGGGGATAATTAGTTGATCCAATACTAAATTCTCTGATTTAACATTATAAGAATTGTATTGTTGACAGTAAGGAGAATTGCAAATTTGATCTGGGAGGTAAAGGGTTAACAAAACTAAGTTAACATTTTCAAGCTAAGATCTTACTTGAATACCCAACAAGGCTTGGTCTTCGTGGCTTAGTTGGTGTGTCAGGAGGTATAGGGTCACTTGGAAAGAATACATTACAGTACTTCTTACAACAGCATTGGCATCTCCTGTACCTGATAAGAGAGAGAAAGAATGATTGAATTAGTTCAGCCAGAAGCTTTAAGTTCAGCTTATTTATAATTAAAAAAAGGAAACTTCTACATGCTGCTATTGTGTTTGGGATGCTTCTTTGCCAATGCAAGTGCCTTAAAAAACTAATTTTGGCAAAAAACACTGCTTGGTCAAGCACAATGGATTCAAATAGTTTTCTTTGCTAGTATATAGCTCCAATTTGCCATTTTAAGTTAGCTGGCCCACTTCAAACAGCCAAGTGATTTGCATTGCAAAGTTTCCACATTAAAATAGCGACAGACAAGATGACACAGCTTACAATGAGCCTTTTAATGGCAAACAGGGGTAAGCGTTCACTCTGAGGAAGGGCTAATGATTGAAAGGTCAGCTTAAGGTCAATTTAGAATAAAAACCACTTGATAAAACCAAATTTGTTGATTGTTTTTAGTTGCAGTTTACCTGTCAGGGTCAATCCTCTCCTCATCACCCACAGATCAAGATATTATTTATTTTATTCTTTAATTATTTAACTTATCTAATTTAACTTTGGCTGAAAAATTCTCTATGGGGAGCAAAGAGCCCAGTGAGATCTGCCCAGCTGCTAACCCTTTACATCCTAACATCAGTATGCATATTCTCCATACTGTTCTCTATACATGTCCTAAGGTGGTGACAAAGAGAATTAGTTTAACAATCAAGAGCACCTTCTGTAGGGGATCATTTCCTTTACTCTCATGACCTTAATGCCTGAATCAGGGGTGATATTGTAAGGAGAAATTAGATTTCGGTCACTCTTAGGGGTCAAAGGATTAACATAATTATATATAACTCTATGGCTCATAAGCTGGACATATGCCAAATTAACCTTTAACTCGACAATTTGAATAAGATTGAGTGACATTATTTCAACTGATTTCAAATAAAGTTACTAGGATATCATATCACTAACAATTCAGGTCATATTAAGCCTGTTTCAAAGGGTCATTGACTCTCCTCTCCTACACTGTCAGTGCTTAATTGTATATGAGGTTACAAATTGTCAAATGATGGCAGCCACTTGGCTTGGGTTGTGCAAACTGAGATTTATACTTAGTGAACCATGCTAAAGAGCAGGAACCAGGCAAGCACACTGTAAGTATAATGAAATCAATGGGCTCATTTTCTCTTTACTTTGCGCCACTAAATTCCTTTTTTTGTGTGTCTTTTTTTTTTTTTTTAATGTACATTACAGCATAACTGGAAATAGTTGCTTCAACAACCTCTCTCCTTTAGCCCTTTAACTCCCACAATCTGATTGTTAATTCTCCCATCGAGCTGCTAGACATTTTCTTGTAAAGTAGCTGGGAGAATTTGGTGTTAGATCAAGATAACAACTTTTACCTAACAAGTTTGAGTATTCTCATTATCTGCTTGCTGGATAATGTATGAATATTATAGGGAGAAGTAACATGTTAATCACTTCTGGGAGTTAAAGGGTTAAGTCCAATATGGTTTTTAGGATTATTAAAAGATATACTTAATGAAATAGAAAAGCAGGTGAACCTCACCTCAGCTGCAAAAATGCTCCCACAGCAGCAGCAACAACAAGTACCCCAACAAAAACTCCAAGAGCAATACCTAGTGTTGAATGTGTGGGTGTGGGCGTGGTGCTGTCACTTGCTGAAACAGTAGTACTGCTAACTTGACAACCTACAATAATAATAATTTCAAGTAATCAAAGGTTATTATTAAATAAATATGAAGGCCTTCTAGTATCACCTACTGATTTTCAAAACTGGCATAAAATCTTGTTCGATCATATAATTAACAAAAATCGAATATTTGCTAAAAAGTTGTTCAAGTTCATATAGAACAATGAACCAGGCCTAACTATGATCACAAGGTTTCCCATGTACTTTTGAAAATTTGTTTATAACAAAAAACAGCCAAACAACATATTTGCCAAATTTGTTTTCAGTTGTTGGTGATCATGAAGCAGCCACAGTCAACAACAACAACCTCTTTATTTGTAACCTAAATTAATTAACATGACACAAAAAACATATATTACATGAAAAATGAAGACAGTTCAGGCTGCCTATAATAACCGTGGAAGGCTAAAAGATAGGGCAGCCTTACTTAAGTTATTAACCCTTTACACCCTAACATCAGTATGTAAACTCTCTGTACTGTTCTCTAAGCATTTCCTAAGGTGCTGATAAGGAGAATTTGTCTAACAATCAAGAGCTTTTATTGTAGGTGATCACTACCTTCATTCCCCTAACCTTAATGTTTAATTCAGGGGTGATATGGTAAGGAGAAATTAGATGCCATTCATTCTTAGGGGTTAAAAGGTTAATAAATTATTATATTAAAGGGTCGAGTAACACACACACACACACACACACTACACAAAACACAAAAAGAAAAAGTAAAAAAAAGCTGGTAGGAAAAGAAAGACAACAAAACAAAGCAAAGTATGCCAGTATTTAATATTATGGAAAACCAGAAAAAATATAATAGTTTGGGTAAATGTGCTATTAATATTTAGCAATAAGAATTGACTTTTCCTTAAAACATTTGAGAGAGAGAAGCATAATTATACCATCACTTGTATCATTCCAAACTTTAGCATCCTGGAACCTTATGTTGAAATTCCATAATTTGTTCTGGCTTTTGGGATGTCAGAAATAATGTAACCAAATGATCACATGTGAGTTCTGTCCCAGCCATTTTGGTAATTGAAAAGGCAAGCAGTGTGGTCAGAGGAATAACCATTGGGTGAGACCTTCCAATGAGGTTTTTGATGTCATTTTGGTGCTCAATATCAGTATCTGGGCAACTGCCCACCTACCCCTCCACTAACTCAACAACAGTCAATTGACAACAAGGTAAGGTTAATGTTGGGTTAGGGAAGGGGTATAGGTGGGCAGTTGCCCAGATATTGATCCCACCCCTGGTGCTTATTTGGTTTGGGACAGATGTCTCTGTTACTTTTTCACTAGAATAGGATGTCCCTGTTGTACTAAATTAGTAAAATAGTAATGTCTGACTTGTGCTAGTGCCTGTAAGTGTTGTCTTTTTAATGTAAGATTAACCACACATTAATTTCTATTGGCTTGAAAAGAAGTTCAGTTGAACCCTAGAGACTTGAACTGCCAACCAAAGTTAAAATTACCTTGAATTATCAGGGTTTTGAACAAAAAGACCAGAAACACTTGATTTAAGAGGTTTTATGCTTATAAATGTTTTAATGTAACATTTCTAGCAATGTAAGGGTATAAAAACAAAAAAACAAAACAAAACAAAACCATGAAAACTACAAGTAAATGACATTAAAATGCAATCTTCTGGGGCAAAATGTTATGGCTCATTAGTTTGCAAAAGTAAAAATCAACTTCAAGTTATCAAGGGTAAAATTACAAAGAAAGTAAAGGTGCCCAATTACAGCCAATTGCCAGACCACATCAATACTAATTACTACTAATTCTTTTTGAACAAAAAGACCAGAAACACTTGATTTAAGAGGTTTTATGCTTATTAATGTTTTAATGTAACATTTCTAGCAATGTAAGAGTGTAAAAACAAAAAACAAATCAAAATCATGAAAACCACAAGTAAATGATATTAAAATGCAATCTTCTGGTGCAAAATATTATGGCTCATTAGTTCACAAAAGTGAAAATCAACTTCAAGTTATCAAGGGTAAAATTACAAAGAAAGTACAGGTGCCCAATTACAGCCAATTGCCAGACTACATTGTCAACAGAATAAAAAGTGAAAAATTGAGCAGCTAGTGCACCAGTCATATTTGGGTAAATTGTGATGATTATGATTAGAGTAGTTTACCCATGAACATAATATTTGACATGATAGGAAAAGCTTTCTCACCTTTAACATGCACAATTGTGGACCCATTTTGTGCAGTAAATCCAGGATTTTCCTTTAGTGTGTTCCTGGGAGAGCAAATATAATTGCCTTCAAGACCACACGTTGCATTTCTGTATTTCAGTCGTGAGATGTTTCCTTATGAAAATAAATAACAAGTTAAATGTAATTTTCAACATTACAACACAATAAGAACATTCTAGAAATTCTACCTTAACTCCAGGGCACACATCCACATATCTGGCTCAAGATACTAAATTTTTAAATTCGCTAGGAGCTTGAGATACAAAAATCCAAAGGCTAATACAAAGTTTGAGTTACTTGGATTATACACAATAAGTAGAGTGTACTGTCAGTCATTATGAGGGAGAGATGGAAAAGCCTTTGGTCACTTTAAAGTGCCAGTTCTCTCTGTAATTTCACTGTGGAAGTTTCAGTTCAGAATCTAACAAATTTGGTGACCCACTTCTGGGGAAAAAAAGAGGGCAATAATGTTTTATTCCATTGAATGGGTTAGCCTAATAAAAAGGAATAAAAATGAGATACTAAAGATACTGCCAGTATTAAAGGTATTTAATTCATAGATCTCTTAGTGTGTATATTTTACTTCCTGGAATAAGCACCCATGCTCTAATAAGGGCCCCCCCACATAAGCACCCACCCCCTCCTCCCTCACTTTCTTAAATAGTAGGGATGCAAAGAAAACCAGCTTCTATTACCATTTAATTTATAACTTTTTGAGCTTCAAACACAACAAAATCAGTACAGGTTAATAATTTCTTAATAAGTGCACTCCACAATTAAGCACCTCTCCTTTTAGAACCAACGCACTTATTCTAGTTAACACCCTAGTTATTATTCCTTTATGCTGTTAGAAAGGTGTTCAGGAGAAAAACTATTTATCAAACAGTGAATATTGTTTGATTTTAAACCCAATTCTTAAATAGCTTAAGAAACATAACCATTAATGACAGATAAAATTGAAATCTAGTCTGTGATGTCTCACCTGAAATGTTAGAGCAGCTTATGCTTATGTTCTTAAAAAACCAGACTACTTCAGAAACTGGTGGTACACCATAAATTTGGCAAGAAATTTCAATTTTCTGACCAAATGTAAAATTTGTCGTCTTTGATGAAATTTTCCCTTCAGCCCCATCTAATCAAAAGAAAAAAAAACTCTCTATATGTTAGATTCCATAATATACAACTGAATGCAGTAATATTGTAATAAAAAGGCAAAAAGAAAAAAGGAAAACAACAAATTTTGAATTACTAAGTACATTCGAACTTGATAATCCAGACCTCGATAATCCAGATTTTCAATTATTCAGACTCACTTCTCTGGTCCCATTTTTTCATAAGTATTAATAGGTCACATTGGAGTTTCCCATCAAACAAACACAGGGGAATAGGTTTTTACTACAGAAAACTAAGAGTGAGTCTTGCCACTGAAAGGTAAATTTAGCCATAGCAGACGAGAGGTAATGTAGTTTCTACAAGCTGAGCTCTTTCAGGAAAAGCCATGCATATGATAAATGTCCATAGCCAGAGGAATATCATATAACCAACTGACTAAAGATAGCTGGTAATCTAGGTTTTGTAATTAAATGGCTGGAATCTATCATAAAGAGCACAAAAAAATGATACTTTTCTCATTCTTAGAACTTACAACCCATGAAAAACCAACTAAATGTAACTTACATTGGACTGTCACATTAAAAGAATGTTCTGATGAACTAGAATTCCGACACTTGTAGATTCCACTCATCGTGCGATTGATACTTGACTTAGAGAAATTCTGACCAGTATGGAGATGTTCCCCATTGCTTCCTGTCCAATTGATGCTGGCATTTAAGGCAACCAGAGGGCACTTCAATGTCATATTATCAAACTCAATGAATGTAAGATCTAAAAATGAATCAAAAGGTTTAAAATCAATAAATTAAAAAATCAAAACTAAATCTTCTTCTAGTGTCAAGGAATTAAAAATAATTGTTCAGTTTAAGTGAGGTCTGAAAATTCAGGGTGTGAAATTAATTTTTTTTTCTGATAGCCACTTGGCTCCTAAATTTTTCAAAGTGGTAGCCAATTCAAAAAAAGTTGGTCACCATTTTTATAGACAAACAAAACCCTTTTTTTTATGCTGTCAGCAATACTAGATAGACCCTCCAAAATTAAATTCTACAAAGTTCTACAAAGTGGACACTACGATGGCTGATATACAACATTCAAGCTCACCTCAATCCTAGATGGCGTCTTGTTATCAATCAAGATGCATTTGCCACATTTTGGAAACAAACTTAACAAGGAAGTTTGCCACAGAATTATCTTTGCAAATCTATTTAATTCACTATATCTCTAGGTATGGTCATGATGAAGCATTCTAGTCACCAATTTGGCCACTACTTTTGAGGATTCGGTCGCCAAAGTGAAAAATTTAGTCACATTGGTGCCTGTATTAGGCGCAATTTCACACCCTGAAATTGTTCCAAGCAAGATGATTATTTTTTTTAAAGAATTGTGTTTATAGCTTTCAGCTTGAAAAATTGACTTAAGTCTGCCATAATACAGACAGGGGTTTCATTAACCCTTTAACTCCCAGATCAAATTTGTAATTCTCCTTACTGTCAATCATACAATTCTCACAATGTTAGTTCAGAGAATTTAGTATTGGATCAACTAATTATCCCCAAATTGATATCTGTCTTTATTCTCATCACTTATCTGGTTTATGTTGTATTGATGTTGTAGGAAAAAATTCTGTCCTGGTCACTCATGGGAGTTAAAGGTTTAAGGACCAGGCAGCAGGAGGATTGAATAGCCGTCAGAGAAAATCTGACAAAGGACTAATGCTTGAAACATCAGCTTTAGAAACTCTTTACAGTGGCCAATCTATGTTATCAATTCAGCTGATAAAACCAAATTATCTTGGAATTCATCAATTAATTATGTATCAAATCATGATTCAATTATCTTAAGAAATGGCTACTGACACATGTTAGATTCTGCTTAAAACTTTAGAAAATTTATCTCTGAAATTGAAAAAAATTCCAAATTGTGCCAGGAAGCACATCTCCAAGCCACCTGGTGGGGGGGAGAAGGGGGAAGGGGGAAGGGGGGAGGGGTAGGCTCTAAGCCTTCCATGAAATATGCGTGAAGGCCAAATCCAGTTACCTTCAGCTTGAAACCTAGTCAAACCCCTTACATTGCTATCTGATCTTAATGCTGCGGTGTAGATAAAAGTAAGTAACAGGGCTCTATTATCTTGAAGATCCCTTAACCCTTTAACTCCCAGAAGTGATTAACATAAAACTTCTCCCTACAATATCCTTACATTCTTCAACAAACAGGTAATGAGAACATTCAAACTTATCAGGTAGAAGCTGCTATCCTGATCTAGCACCAAGTTCTCATAACTAATTTACAAGGAAATGTGTAGCAGCCACAGGGGAGATTTAACAATCAGATCTTGGGAGTTAAAGGGTTAATTTGAAGTCAGCATGACATAAATGGCATATACATTTTAAAACAATTTTAAAAAAAAGATTAGCCTCTATTATCCTAGAAAAGAATGAAAATTTGGTCTTTTTAAGCACCACACAATTTAATTTATTTGAGGGTGAGTTAACATGTTGCTGAGTAGAACATTGGAATGCCACCTGTCTAACAAAAATTGAGTTAGCCACTACTGTCAAATAAAGATCAAAACAGATGGGCAGAGAAACACTGATATCACAATTTCACACTAACATAATTCAAGAATAGGTATAATTGCAATGCAATGACATCTTTATCAATTCCGTAGCATGACTTGTCAACAGAAAAGCTCTCAAGACAAAGATAAAAACAAAAGGATATGAAACTCTGTGGTTGATCTATTACCCAGTAAACCACAGAATCATAGAATATTTATCATGTGGATTTAAGGGAAAATAAGGCATAGGAAGATGGCTTAGCAAAGTCCCTATAATCTTTAAGAGTAGCGGGGCAAACAGATCTCTCACGATTTATTTCGCGACATAATCAAAAAGGAGGAACATAAAAAATTTGATCATGAATTCTAAACCAATGATGAACAGTTTCACAATATCTCATGTAGTAACACGAATCTTTCTTAGGATGCGCTTGTGTTCGTGTCCATGTTCAAAAGTTAAATAAAACGTAAATAAAGGAGGAAGAAAAAAGGAAAGAAAGACTGAAATACAAACATACTCAACTGGGGTCAATACATCAAATAAACCATTTACTTGACTACCTCTTGAACAATCACGGAAGCTTATAGCTACTTGAACAAAATTAATCGACCACAGTCAACCCCAGAGGTGGAAACGAGAAAGAAAGCAAAAAGAAAAGGTTTTGAGACAACTTACCTTCGGAAAGTGCGTTAAGACTACCCACAAACAGCCATAGCAACATAAAAACATTCACTAAGATCACTGGAATAAACTTGACAGGTTGCCTCGCGCTGAAGCCATCCGGTGGTTTCACGCGATTTGAAGCCGCAACTAGTCCATGCATCGCTCTTGCTTCGAAGATTTTATCAAAATAATACCACACAGACCATATTGATGAATGACTTAGAGAAACAACGAAAACTGACGAAAATATGCCGCACTCTTTGGAACTTCACTTCAGCGGCTTCCTTCACTTCCTCTAACGCCTGCCGCCATCTTCTTAAGGTCACGTGACACAATAATGGGAAGTGAATTAATTGTAATTCTGTTGAGGGTTGATTGTCTGAGACAAACGCAAATCTGTTCGATTCTGCTTACCTTAACTTGACCCAAAACTATTTATCCTTACATGAATCAAGAGGAATATCCCGAATCACAGTTCTGTTGCACGAGAAGATCAGCTAATTATACTGCTATTTAGAAAATTAATGACTTTGAAATAGTGATTTTGAGTTTCCCACTTGGATAACTTGTTTCATTTTGACACTGCACAATCCAAATCAAATTTCAAAATCATTAACCTTTCTATATTCTGAAGATTGCAGTGTCCAGTCCTTCCTTTTCTCGTTGTCATCTATATTGACATTCAAATAACATTGTATTTTGTCCATTATATTGCACTCAGACAAAAGAAACTTTTCTCAAATTTTGCCGACCATACAAACATATGAAGGGATGGAGGACTTAAGAAAAAAAAATGGAAACATACAATGGGTTTGTAGTGCTTTTCCCTTATATTTAACCACATCCTTGTTGGGTAACTTTCTTTTTGAAAGCTTTTCATCCACAAAACAGATGCACAAACATTTTCTTTGATCTTTTAAGAAAATATTGTTGCTGCTCTTTTCCTTTGTTTCTCTTTTGTTAAATTTTTCGTCTTGTTTGAATTTTCATCTCCTTTTTTTCCTGAGGATTACTACCAACCCCACCACCACCCCCACCCCCAGCAATTCTGGTGGACAGCATTTTAATTAAAGACAAGAGACAAAGGGAGAATGAGGAATAACAAATTTTAACATTTTCTTTATATTAACTACAAGCATGTAACTGAAAACCAACTTATTCAATTTGGCTTTTTCTACTTGATTAATATCCACAGAAACACAAAAGTCATAATACTCCGTTAGAAAATTGATGTCAAATTATCAGATTTAATAGCATTAAGTAATAGAAAAATTGAAATACAACAGATTAAGAAAAAAAGGGCAGTGAAACTGAAAAGACCAAAGCATTGCTGGCTTCAGCGAGAACAACAAAATAAATGTTAATTACGAAACAGGAAATTTTGAGTTCACTCATCCAGAAACGGGAACTTCACGTTGTAAAATTGCTTAAAAAACCCGACATTTAATATTAAAAAATATACGACTGCGATTTGCTACCTAGAGTGCAATATACAGATGCAAAGAGAATAAGTGAAGAAGACATACACAGATTTCGTTTTTTTTTACGTGTAGGGCGATATAATTTGTGCTCAAATAGCTAGAAAAATATACTTAATCTAAGGATTTCTCTTTCCGTAGCCGTCTGATAGAAATTATACTTCTACTATGTTTCTTCTCAAAAGAAAGAATTCTTCGTTCTTATTATATTGATAACAATATAAATTAATGGATCACCAAAAATTCCATAGCGACGAATTCAAGGGTTGTCCTCAATTCGCTGATAACCGGACGATCCAGGCCGAAGGCCGTACTTCTTTCTGATTTCATCTCTCTTGATTTCCCTTTCGCTTCGTTTCTGAGAATGAAGGGCCGTCATTTCTTCTCGTTTACGCTTCAATTTTGCGTCTTCCTTATCCATTCGCTTGTTCTTGCATTTGTTGCACTGGCGACAACAACAACAGTAGATACAACATCCGAGAAATAACAAGAAGGCACCGACCAAGGAAGGGACTAAAATGATGAGGACATAGCCTGATATTCGACACTGGCCATAAAACCATTTCTTGCTCGGGCAATTTCGAGGAACAATCTTCGTCCATCCAGGATACTTTATACAAGCCTCTGTTGAAGAACACCAGTAACATTGCGAATGCCCAGTGCAATCGCTGCAAGACTTGTTGAAATTCGTGCAATCTTCTCCCGCGGCTGCGGAATATGGGAAGGTGAAACAAACAACAAACGCAATCGCCCACAATAAAACGAACACACACTGGTCTACCTTCATGGTCAGAGTTGAAGCTTTCTCAGCTCAGTTTAAGACAATCGTTTAGACCTTTCTTACTATCGTTTCTACTCAACTCTATCCAATACGGCTGATCTTTTCGACGAATTACCGTGATTTTTCAACTCCAAGCGTATAATATAATCCCTTTCAAACGAATGTTTACTTAGTTCTTGAGAAATCTACGAGATTTGTCCCCGTGAAAGCCCTTACCAGCTGTAGATCGGTGGCAGCTACCAGTGATCCGTTAAACGACTCCGTTCTTGAAAAATGTGATGAATTAGCTCCTGAGTTCCAGAAATTCTGAACGAGAGGAATTTATCGCGGCGCCTCACGATAGAAATCAAAAGTGTAACTGACAGCACTGATACGTCATGATTACTTCAAAACACATGGCCAACTAACGAGTGGAGGGAGGACTAGAAGGGCAACTATTAACACAAAACTTACGGAAAGGTGATATCTTTCACATTTCTATCCTTCTTATAAAAATCAATTTTAACTTAATAACTTGGTAGAATAATGGAAATTGTGAAATTAAACAAAGAATCTGAGCAACAACAAAATCAAAATACACCCTACCCCCTCCACCCAAGTAGCTCTTCAACGCTTGAGTTGTTAAAGGAACGCGAAATTCTAGCAGGCGGCAGGAGGTTAATTGAAGTGTATTTTAAACAAATCAAAAAGGAAAAAATCTAGTTTTTCTCGAGTAAATTTGCAATTCAAATGAATATGTTTGTCATCCTGTGGTCCTGGACTGCGCGGTTAACTTTCTTATACGTTTTGACTGATTTGGTTTTTATTTGCTTTGCTTCTTCCGTTTTCGTCCCTTTTGCTTCCTGGGCGCTGTTTTCTTTCCGCTTTCCTTTTTCTTTAGTCCTTTCCTTTTGAAATATCTCAACGGAACAGGAGTTTCGAAAAACTTTTTATAAAGCAAAACCAAATGGTAGAATACTATGCAGTCACTGAATGATTCCAATGCACAATACATCCTTCAATCTTTTCGTCAAAGTTGAAAACAAGAGGCAATATATCCGAATTCTAGCAAAGGGAAGGATTTTCAATATTTGAGACTACATACTTCTGTAGCTAACCAAAATTCGGTGGAAGAGGGGGGTAGGGGAGAGGAGGGGAAGTAAGAGCTCTCGGAACTCGAGGGAAAAATGGACATCTGGATGCTCAACTTTGCTGATGTTCTTAATCAATATCGCTAATTACTCCGCGGGAGGAATAGGTCTGAAGATCTTATTAATTACGTTGTGCGGATCTATATTTTTCAAAGGGACTAGTCAAATTTAGTAAGGCGATAATTGCAATTCTATCAAGACGATCAAAAGACTAGCATCATTTTTTTTATTATTTTAGTTTATTGTCAAGGTACATTTTGCTCAATTCCTGAAATAAATATTACCTATGAACAAATGCTGCAAATGAGAAAACTTAAATAATACTTTCACATTGTAAAATCATATAACTCTGGGACTATTGTTAAACTGGTGACCATGCATAAACTTATTTTAACTACATATTGTATATAAATATATAAATATATATTGAGCAACAAAAGAGAACTTAATTATGTTTGCCGCTGTGAGTTAAATCTCATATTTTGACCAATTTACATCACTTTGTGGTAACTCTAGGGGTTAAGCTCTGCAATATATACAGATAAGAATGAAAAGCCTGAATTTATGGCTAAATCAAGATATTCCAATAACCCAAAACAGAAGTGCAAGTTTCACTGAAAAAAGAAGAGCTGACTTCACAAATCTTCCCTAAATAACACAAATACCTTATTTGACAGTTTACTTTACAGATTAGTAATTGTCAGTAGACACTGTACACCTTTCCATTCATTGAAGAAGCTTATCTTGAGAACCAACTTCTGCTTAAAGCAAAATTTCAAGGTGTAATTTCCCCACTAATTTCTACCCATTCCAACAGTTATATCTATTTTTACAATGCAAAACATACCAAAACCCACAGGCTAACATTTGTTCTTATATACAATGATCACTAAAATAACAACTTCTGCACTAATAACAAATTTACTTAATGCAAAACCTGTTTGCAGACATTTTAGGAATCAACCCAAAACAGAAAAGAAATCAATTTGTGAAATTTCAGCAATAATTAAAAATAGCTTAAATAACGCCTTAACATAGGATGACATTTCATAGAAAGTAAGATCTCCAAGGAGAAAAAGAAGATGCTTACAGCCACGAAATAACATGTATACAATAAATAGATAAATAAATAAATACTTTCTATAAATTCAAAAGCACCAACAACTTAAAGGAGACTCTAAAGAAATAGCAATAGAGCAACTTTTCTCACAACATTGGGACAATATTGTGAGACAAGTAGCAGTAAATATTCCCTCATGCCTCGCATCACCCATGTTTAACCCTTCAACTCCCAGAAGCGATTAACATGTAGCTTCTCTGTATAATATCTATACATCATCCAGCAAACAGATAATGAGAATACTCAAACTTATCAGGTAGAAGTTGATATCCTGATCTAACCCCAAATTCTTGTTACTTATGCATGAGGAAATGTGTAGCAGCTAAAAGTGAGAATCAAAAATCAGATCTTGAGAGTTTAAGGGTTAACTCCATTCCTCTGTTCTTTACAAAAGTAAAATCTCTCAATGGGGACTGCAAATTATTTCTCAAAAATTAATCAATTGTTCCCTGATGATAAATATCCAATACCCTTATCTCATCAGAGCACTTAAACAGCTGTATTCACCAGAATATTATAATAATACCCACGAATCAAGACTAAAAGTAGACTGGACTCATAAAATGACTGCATGAATGTGATTAAAAGAAAAAGAAAAAAAAATGAAAATGATCACCACAAAATATGCACTTTATGCAACTTAAAAAATTGATTTACATACAGCCCCTTGCATATTAGCAGAGTACCCCATAAGTAATTTAATTACATGCTAAAAAGGAAAAGAGCAAAAATAAAGAGCTCTGCCATGCTTTGTCTAAAGCAAGACAGGAAATTAAACAGCTACTGGAAGTACCTTGACATATAAATATGATTAATTTCATCCTTTTGTTACTGCAACATGCATGCCCTCAGTCTTTCATGTCTCTCAATTGAAGATGGCAAATCTTTATTTCCTATCTGCAAGTGCATGGTCATTGGACTACTGAAGCCTATTGGTACATGCCTAAATTGCAAAGAGATTACAATGAAGAAGTCCTCAAGTTTCCAGGTCTTAAGTTAAGAACACCAAGGTGATCAAATTTTGAAACTTCAGCCATTGGTCTTTTCACTTCAATTCTCTGACAAATTTGAGAAATTCACCACTTTTGCCATCTTGTATAGCAGTTACAGAGTAACTTGCCTTGAAGGCTAAATGTAAAAGGCATCTGTCTAGCCTTGATCTGTAACATTGCATTTTGTCTTGTGAGCAGCCTGCCATGTATGCAGCTGATGAGGTTCCTTGTGCAATAATCAGCTCATAATGACAATTAAACAGAGAAACTAGGTATCTCCTTTCCACTCCATTTGTACCTATGCCACATTCTTCTGAACTACTGACCCTGAGAACAGCTGCCAGCTGGTTGTACAAGCTTGTTCCACTAGAGTCAACTCTACTTCAGAACTAACATTCATAGTTTCCTGACTGGACGGAAAGATCAACAGTCCTGATGACACAAGAATTGTATATCCAAAAATTGGTACATAAGACAATCAGGTCCTATTAGATCCATATGATTGCTTATGTTTCTGTGCTTGTCACATTGGTATCTCCTTGACCTACACCACAACTATTTCCTTTAGCAGATGCAATATGTTTCCACTTATCAGTTGAAGTGTTCTGTAACTCAGTCATACAAGGTTGGGTGAAGCCGGGTCAGTCTGTGATCCTTTTCAATCTTGATTATCTGTACTTATAAATAGTCTCATAATCCGCTGACTTTGTAGAAAATATGTCTTCAGAATTCAACTTTTGTTTAAATATCATTGACGACTGTGCGCCCATAGCAAGAACTGTGCACTGCACATTCTGGTTTAAATGACACTTTGTTGAATTTGGTAAAAAGGTCACCAAAACTTTCCATTTGAAAAAGATGGACCAATCGTTTAAAGCTGCCACTGAATTTTGTGGCACTAAAACACCACTCTAAAAAACATTTTTAAATATCAATTTTTGCAGCTGTAGTAGACGATAATAAATTGTTTTTTTTTAAATATCCAGAAAATTTCCAACTAATATTTGTAATAATTTTGAATCTCTTTGTTAGTAAATACATTGTAAGGCCAGAAGGTGAGCAAAACTTCTCATTCATCATATGTAACAAAGCTGATCAGCAACAACTTCTTGCCAAGATTTAACTTGCACACTACCTAATTCACTTTGGAATTTCATTTTACTTCATGAGCATTGATTTAAATAACTGTATGAGACCCTTTACGATTATTGCAATTTTCATATCTGCGATTGGCACCTCCCTCATGAATATTGTTTGGAACTGCCACAGTTTCAAAATCTGGGAGGGTCACAATAGCTGATGTGGTGACATTCATTGGTTGTTTATCATTGTGTGGTTTAGAATTCACTTTGTTCTTGCTTTTTACATCATTCATTTCCAGATGATCTGGGAAAAAAGCATTTTCATGCTGATGTGCTGGTTCTGAGAAAGATCTTGTTCGCTTCATGCATTTCCCTGTGTAGCTGTTTCGGTTATAGCAGGCATTGTCACACACTGCTGCTAGTGAAACAGATGAGGAAATCGGTGAACCAGATGGAGTACAAATAGGAGATGACAACTTGGGAGTCTTCCTCACTGGTTCTCCTTTGTATGAGTACTCCATTTCAACAAATTGCCGTGCCTGAAAAACACCAGCCAAAAAAGTAAAGAACATTGTTGATTTTACAATGTGCCAATCAATTGAAAGCTTCAACATTACCCCACCTCCCCAAGCAACCCACAAGAATTTGACTGTCACAGGTGCCTGGGAAGCAGTGTTCTTGAACCTTGCCTGGCTGGGGTGGGCAATTCGAACTGCAAGTGTCAAGTCTTTACAGTGGAATATAATTGTTTTATCTTTAAAGTTGTGGTTAAGACTTCACATTTGTGAGCAAAATGCTCAGAAGAAAAGGTCTACACAGCTAGTCTAGGTTTTAAAGCTTGGTCAGTGAGTAGAAATTCAGGGTTGCCAATTTTGCCTTTTGAAAAAAATTGACTAGCACTTGTACTTGGGTAGGGCATTTGAACGCAATTTTAACCCACACCGCTGAAAATTTGAACAGAGGGATCTTCAAAAGTTCAAATGCATGGGACGTTGCACAGTAAGGGTGGGGGATGTTGAAGCTTTGAAATAATGAACATAATTTTTGTCCGAACATTCAACTACTTTAACGAATAGAGCCACACAATCAAAATAGTGAGATTATCTTGGATATAGAGATTTCTACAGAGAGTGTGGAATAACAGCAGGGACAGAAACAATTATAACAGCTGTACCTATGATTCCCTTTTCAAAACTCTCAACCCTTTCCTATCCAACAATGTTGTTTGACTGATAAAATCTTTTTTTCTTTTTTTGGCTAATGATTTAATTTTTAAAATTCTCTTTTAATCAACCAAGCGAAGAAAGAAAAATACATGTGTAGGGATGTGAATCATTATTCTTGGAGAAACTAACCAAGGGTAGCATAAAATTAGTTTGGGGGAGCGAATAAGTGTTGGAAATCTGTGAAAGTCCTTCAGAGACTATGCAACTGAAGCTCATGCGATAATTTCCTAACTTTAGACATAACTTCTTTAAATGAAGAGAAGGCTCTAGGGAACTTTTCACTGTTGAAGTTTTATGTGATACTACTACCACTATTTTGACCCTTTAAAAACTAGGAGTAACCAACATCTAATTTTTTCTTGCAGGAAAACTGCTGAACCATTCATTAAGATCATGAGTTGGTCTAAAGGAAAGATCACAAACAAAAGAGGCTTTGATCATGAAACAAATTCTGCTTGTCAGTACCAAAGGAAGTATAGATACTATATATAGAATACTGCTGCTATGGTGTAAAGGGTTCACTGGCTTATAACTACATACCGTAGCCTTTTCCAGGCACTGAAGTAGATGAGTATGCTGTTCATCAAGATAGTTTTTCTCTTTATTGCTAACTGGAATTTGTGTCAACTCTAGGCCAGCACCCTAAGCAAAATAAACAGTGAAATGATTAAATAAAATGGTTTATTATGGATTAAGAGATGGTAAAGCTTTAAGAAGAGGCTAAATTAGTTTATAATTATACTTGTAGTTTCATTGAACAGAGCTTCTAATATTTATATATTCAGGAAAAAAATATTTCCACAGCGTGTTTGCACAGTTGTGGTGCATAATTGCCAAACAGAGACTAGTAACCAAATTCAAACACCCACTCATAACTTTTTTACCAAAAACCAAAAACGAAAAAAAAGAGAAAAAAGTGCAAACCATAACAGAAAAAAAAAACCATAACACCAAAGAGTTTTGATGCAATTACCACAAAGCCAATCCATAAATGGCCAAAACTCCCAACACAGCCCTGAAAATAATGAATCCTTGAATAATTGCCCAACCCCTAAATTACACGCCGCAGATAAAGGTAAAGCTATGAACAAACACCACACCCAACCATTAGAAGCCAAAACATTTATCTGAGGATTATGAAAAAAAATGTTTGAAACAAAAAGTATGTTAAAACTAATAATATTTCTTGGAATTTCAATGGGAAGACAATGAAACTTGACGTACATCTCTAGTTTATATAATAATTACTGCTGTTATTAATTACTGCTAATTAATAATTACTACTGTTATTATCCATGATGATTTTGGTTAAAAATTTAATTTGTACATAAATGCTACCCTTAATTAAATCTTGTGGGGGTTACACATAACATTAAATAAATGTTGTGGCATTAAATGCAGTAAATAGGTAACTCAAAAAAAGACCACACATCTGATGAAAACAACATTCACTAGAAGGGTCACCTCATGAGGACATTTTTCCAAAATCAAAACAAAAAATTAACCCTTTAACTCCCAAGATCTCTGTAGTAATTCTCCTCACTGTCTGTCATACAGTTCTTGTGGTGTCAATTTTGAGAATCTGGTATTTGATCAATTTATAATCCCTTAATTGATATTTTTCTTTTTTCTCATCACTTGTCTGCCTGATATTGTATTGATATTGTGGGGAGAAATTCTGTCTTGGTCACTCATGGGAGTTAAAGGGTTAAAATATTATGAGTAAGAGTTAGAATCAACCAAAATTGTTCAAATGCTTGACTTGCCAGAGGAACATTTTCTTTATCAGGTGGGGAGACCAAAGCAGTACCAGCCATTGTCTTGGAAATGGACACACGTGCTTTCTGAAAAAAAAAAAAAAAAAAAAAAAGTTGACATCTGAATACATACTCATGCAACAAAATACCAAATGTTTTTCTCTGATTAGTCTGGTAACAAACACTTGGCATGATGTAATCCTTTCACTCTCAAAATCTCATTAGTAATTCTCCTTACTGTCTGCCATACAATTCTCATGATGTTTTGTATGGAGAATTTGGCATTGAATTCACCCCTAACTGATGTCTTTCTTTTTTCTCATTACAGGTCAGCTTAATATTGTGCACAGTTCTAAATTATAATTTTCTTTATGAAAGAGCATAACAAATCTATTTGTTACCTTGTGAGCTTTCCTTTTATCTGCTCTTTGGTTTTGCAAGTAAATTCTACTAAAATTAGACACAATCACTGGAACAGGCAGGGCAATCACAAGAACACCACTGAGTGAACACAGGCTACCCACAATCTTTCCAGGAGTAGTTTCAGGTACCATGTCACCATAACTAGAAACAGAAAATAATGTTAAAAGTATGTTATCCAGATCAAAAGCAGCATGAACAAATAGGTGTAAAAGCAAAAATCCTTAAAAAATTTATTGTATAGAAGAAAACTACTAGCTTTTAAGTGTAAAATACAGTATTGACACTTGAAAACTAAGGTTACCTCCATCCCATTTCTTTGCCTCTGAACCCCAGAGTTAATTTTTGCTGGGTTTGTGCCTCTGGCCTCTCAGAGCCCCAACCCCATTATCAGTGGCCAATTATAGACCCCATCTTAGTCACTTTTGGAAATAACACTACACCTTTTTCACTGCAAATCCCAATCTAGCAGCAAATCCCTATTAGTCTATTACCAGGAATTACCATGCATTAAGAACAAACCTACACAATTGTGTACATAAATATGTGCTGCCAAATCACATTTTATGAAAAATATTCATGAATAATGTATCCTCAAAATCAAAAACAATTCCTTTTGCCTTTCAAATCTTTGCTATCTTGTTTAATCAAGGGAAGTAGTTTGACTTTGTTTTAATATTAATTGCCTCTGTATTACTGAATGACCATCTCCCTCAGAACTTAGAGCTGGGTCACACAAGAGTATTTTTTGTTTGTTTCCATGAAAATTCTGTCCACAAGTAGCATAAAATAGGTGCAAATTTTGTGGATTGCAAAAATTTTGTAAATCTTAAAAGGAGCTGATTTCCTGCTTCTGGGGCTTCCAAATTTGGCACAACAAACAGTCACCTTTTTCAACCATTTAGCTGTCTTGTGAAGTAAGTCATGCCTGAATAAAATTCCAGTGGGAAACAATAATACTTTGGTCTGCCAGTCTTGTTTGGCACCAACAATGGCAGGATAAAAAAAAATTGTTCATGCTCATGCTGCACAGCTGGTAACCAAAATGCAAAAGATAAGTAGGAAAAAAAGATCCATTTTCGCATAGTAATTTGTGCAATATTTTTTCTTTACCTAGAGATGTGTTTGTGATCTATGTAGATGGTAATCACTAAAGTTTTGATCAAAGGATGCATGACTGTGATGTCACCAAAATTTGGACAATGCTACATTTTTGCCAATTTGTGAAAATTTGAAAACATTTGAATTCACTCTGCTGCAACCTGGCCCATAGTACTGAACAGTGAACATTAACTTAATTTGGAGAATTTGAGGGATTTTCAAAAAAACTCATCAATTTTCAGATTTGCCAAATAGCCATTACTTTCAATCCCCATGATAATAACAGATCTTTAAGACATGCAATGACAAAAACAATTTGTACTTCATCAAAGGCATCAGGTTATTATTAAAATTACATACTCAAAAATTGGTCCATGAACAGCTCATGAAAAGGAAGCACTATAATAAGTGCAAATTACACCACAAAGATAAGCACTTCTTTACTATCTAAGAGTTTGATTTAAGTGTGACATTTTCAAGTGTTCTTTTGTCTGATCCTTTCTCACTGAAAAAGCAAGACGAAAAAAGACAAGCATAACAAACAGATTTGTTGAGCAATTTAAATCATACATCGTCATATTCAATCATTAAAACCAAAGAGAGTCTATTAATAACATGGTGTTAGTGAATTATCTCAAAGATAGAAAAACCACTTAATTCTCAAATTATGACATTTCTCCATTCCTGAGACCAACAGGCTCTCAGAATGTATTTAGTTTAAAAATGATGAGATAAAGGCCAAATTAGGGAAATTCATCCCATTATGTTGTAATAAATGATAAGAAAAAAGCTGACAACACAAATCTATTATACTTATGCATGCAGTTGGTAATTGTGCAGCAAATAAAGAGAACAAATAGAACAAAGTCCCATATCAAACTATGGAGACCGCTATAAGACGTGAACAGCAAGCAAATAAAAGGAAAATACAGCATCTGACTGATGAATATAGTTCAGAATCATCCAAGGAAAGATGGTTGAATTTATTTACCAATTAGCTAGCCCGAAACACATGAATCTTTTTAGTGACTTAATGATGAGAATGTACAACATTTGCTGATCAATCTTTGTCAGTAGGTTGTGAACAAGCAGGAACTTCTATAACATGTACAAAATTTCTTAATAAATAAATTGATTGGTAAATGAGTTGAATTTACATAAATGTAATTACTTTACTGGCTATTTAACATATGTGGTTGCTGGTTCAAAAAAGAAAACAATATAACAGATGTTTTTCCAAGCAAAATTATTACAAACAACATGAATGAAACAGTTGTGAATAAACAAAGATATTATTTCTTTCAATATTTATAATCACCTGAAAAACGAAAAGAAAAAATGATAAAATGTCTTGCTCTTTCCATAATAAAGAAATATTCACAGCCAATAAAATATTCATAAAGGTGAACTGTCCAGCCTTGCATTTTAAATGAGATAAAAACAGTGACAGACTCAAGGACAGTTTGGATCAGTGAACTTTAAAAACGAAAAATTGTTACAAGTCACAAATGCAAAGTTATGATCTAATGATACACATAGTGAACAAAAAGAGCTAGATAACTTAACTACATTTCTGTTGTTTAATGGTGACTTAAAAACCATTAATTACACAAAATTCGCGTATTGTTTTCAAGGTTCAAGGAACACTCACAAGCCCTATTGACTCTTATTTCATGCAAGAATGATCTCCTGACAGCAAATGCTTCCTTTTTACTTAAAATGTTAACAAATGAATAGAACTTGTGAGAAAGATGCTTCCTAGACTAACGCTGATCTCAAACTCGTCATGTGAAAAGAAAATACACTATGTTTATAGTTGCTTTGCTTTGTATCTATCCAGCAAAAATCCGGAAAAAATTTTACTGAACTGTGCATTTTTATTACAGCGTAAACAATTTCCACCAGCTGTTAAATTTTTCCCTGTAAATTCTCGTCTATTCCTTATTAATTTACCACATACAGGGAGCCTGAATCTTCTGATTCTTAAGACCCTTTTTGCTACAAGTATTTTGTACACATATTCCGCAACAGAGGAAGACATAACTCAGTTATATTAACACGGGGGGTTATTATTGGCGTTCAAAATAACGCAACCAGGAAAGTGCATAGAGTAGAAACGTCTGTTTTCTAAGAAACAGTTGTTCAAAGACCCCACAAGTCTGGCCGTTTTATGAACGAAGAGCTTCGTCATTCCTCAAAACACAAAAAAGTGAACTTTTTGTACAGTCGTGTTTACAAGTAACTTATTTCAGGAAAGATAACAGAACCTTCTCCTAAATCGCGCGACATTGAAAATCAACAAAAACATAAATATGCAAAATTTTAGAATATCCTTACGGCAGATTTTAAAGCTGTTAAATTTTATTTTACAGATTTTAAAGAGAGACATCTCCAGCAAAAACACTGATGTAAGCTTAATTCATTTAAGAATTATCGCAACGTTATCAAGTTGAAGACCACAAATACACCGTGTGATGTCGACTCAAGTTTCTCTTCACCAGAAAAACGGAAACTGTGTAGTTATCCGAAATCGTCCACTTGAGAATTAAGTGTAAACATACACCAACAGCAGACATAGCAATATTGTTGTTGTAAAAGTATCCAGCTCAATTCATATCAGAATAAAGAAAAATCTTCTAATACAAAATTTTTAACAAAGGGAATTTTTTCCCTTTCGCCACGGAAGTAAAAACTGGCGGGAAAAACGGCTTCAAGCGTAGCTCAAGGCATTGAACAACATGTTCTTAGTTTAAGATCGCAGAGTCATCAATAAGAAATGGCCGAAAGCAGAAAGAAAGAAATATACACATATGCAACCTAAATAAATGTTTTCTATGGTGAATTGAAGATTCGTTCGAACCCAATACTAGGATGTAAACAAAAGTTTAAATGAAAGCAGATTTGAGAGGAGATCTGTGATAGCCTGCGATAAATATGCACGTTCGACCCGGCATACGACTGTGTCAGTGCACAAAACTGTTAGATACTTGATAACTGCATTCCGATTAAACTCCAAGATTACGTCCCGTGCAAAAAATATAACGAACATACAAAAGGCATCTTCGAACGAACACTGTAGCTGTTAATTCATAAAGTAATACAAAGTTCTCTCACAGAAGAGCTTTCCCTCTCAGGATAAGGCATAAAATGTTCTGAACAAACTTTTATATGTACATGGATTATCTAAGTTAACATAGCATTAGAAATAGAATTGAACTTACCCTAGTGTAGTCATTGTAACAATCGTGTACCAAAAACTCGCAGGAATACTTGTAAACTTGGTATTAGGGACTACCTTTTCTACATAGTACATAACTGTCGCAAAAATTATTACTGCCATCGACAACGAAAACAACAGGAAGCCCAACTCAGACGCGCAACTCTTCAGTGTATAACCCAAGATGCGGAGTCCTCTTGAATGCCTTGAAAATTTGAATATTCTGAAGATCCTAAATACTCTCAGGGTCACAAATGCTCCACTTATAGAATTATTTGGCATAAAGAGTCCAACATAGAAAGGTAATATAGCTACCACATCTATTATGCTCATTAGATCTCGAGCGAACTTGAATCGGTTAGGAGCTGCATACAAACGCGCCATATACTCAACAGTAAACACTATAACACAAGCTGTTTCCATCGAGAAAAAAATCTGTTGATTGGCCTCCCCAAAAGTTTTCCCATCGTCTGTTGGAAGAGTTTCTACCACCGTGCTGATCACACTAACAGCAATAAAGAAACCTGTTATGTAGTATGCCAAAGTGGCTGGCCGCGAGCTTTGCGGATTTTGAAAAGCGGTCCACATCTTCTCGCGAATTGTAGAATCAGTGTTTTCTTCCCCATTCTGTGAACCATCTTCCAGTTTATCAGGTTCGAAAATTCTTTCTTCACACTCTTTCTTCCTTTCACGAAAATCCTCCCAACAACAATCGTGTACCACATCTTCAGAAATGCCGAAGAAACAAAGTTCGTCTTCAAAGGAAGACACACATTCTCCCCGCGGGTAGTGCAGCTTTCCATTGCGATAATAATTCAAGACATGGCGGAACAGGTCCGGATCTCGATCGAAGAAGTATTCTTTTGTTTCCGAATCGAAAAAATAGTCCTTTTCGTCACTTCCAAGCAGAGTTTCCGGGAATCGCGCCAACGTATTTTGCCATGTTTCAAACCGCCTCCCACTAACATTGATGGTAACTCGCTCGTCGTTTTTTGGCGATTCTGGCGGAGGTGGCATCGTAGACGTTGCTAAAGGAGCCAAACCGACAGCGGCCGCCCTCGCGAATGGCAGCCATGCTCCTAAATCGGTGGCCATGATTGATTGCGACGGCCTTACATCGAAGGAAGTGATCCAAGCTCACTTGTGAGTCGCGCATCTACTCTGAGCTTAAGAGACAGGTGTATAATGTTGTCGCTCTGCTGACAAACAACCACTTTAATTTATGCCAGCGCATCCACGGATTGATTGAGACTTCGATCTATTTGCACCATTTGTTCGAACGCTACCTCGATTATTCACCTGGGACGCGTTTGGGTTCAGGTTGACAGATGAATGGTAATTTCGATCAAATCTTCGATTTCTCGGGTGCTTCGAAATGTGGAAACAAATCGCCTTTAAAATCAATCAAATGTTGCAGCACACCGGGCTCAAATTGCGGCACAGTATTGAGAACCAAGAACCATGAAATTAGTCTTAATCCCCATCTTTTGTTCAGAAGTGAAGTACATAGAGCATTAAATTGAAATAGCTTTAGCACTCGAAGCCTTTGTACTTGTCTAACATCCCTCGCCAGAAAACAAAGTGAAGCACGCTAAAAACACAATTTTTCATCACATACAGATTGATGTGGTACTAAATTCCTCTTATATGTTTCAGAGAAGAGATACCTAATTGTAAAGGATATCGTTAATTAGCATTGGATTAAACAAATTTAAAGTCAGTAGCCAATGAATTTCGAGAAAGATGACTGTTTGATTGATAGTTTATCAAACATCAACAGGGCATCTATTGTTCGCCTGTCAAACGTTCGCGCCAAATTTGCAAACGGTGCAGGCAAAAATTCTTTATTTTAAAATTTTTTTCCTCGTTACGGTAATAAATTGCGGGAAAAATATAATATCTCGTGAGAAGAGAAGAATATAAGTTTAGAGGATACTTGTAAAGGGGCCTCACCGAAAAATTGACACAAAACCCCGCTTTTGTAATTTTATTTCGATTCGTTTTCGCTTTCGAAGACGCCGTCCTGGTTTTCTGTACTTATAAATAATGGAGAAACCTAAAAACCCAACTATGTCGTATATGAATTTTAAAATAAAGGAAGCATTACATGTAAAGCTTTTTATTTTTTAGTCTCCCCTTTTTCGGCAAAATACTGAAACGGCTCTGAAACGCATTTTCTTATCAACTCTAAAGGAAGCCACCGAAAACATGTAGTGACTTATTGTTCAAAATTATATTATTTTTAAGACACTCTTCGGTTTCGTCGAAAAATACTCATCGCTTTGGTTTCAATTTGTCTCTTTTTGCGATGTCATTAGACAATACCCTGGACTTTCCAACAGTTAAGGTACACAACGTTATCGGAGACTGTAATTGTCTACTACGACTTCACAGTAATTTGGTTCCATTACCGACAATGTTTAGTTACCCGGCAAACCAACATTAGCAGCTTGTTCACTTCTGATAGTTTATGGCCCGTGATAAATTTGCTTTGCAAATAGCAACAAGAATTGGGGCTACGTACATTAACTTCTTCATCCTTTCAAATTACTACCAGATCACCATATTGCGCATTTATTGGCGCATGAAAAGTTTCATCTTTTAATGTTCGCATAAAATGAAAAATATAATTTAAATGGTTCTGGAACGACCTGGATGGTCAATGTCTGTCTAGGTGCCCAACCGTTCTGGGTGACACTTTCAAGATACAAGTCGATTTGAAAATTTTAAAACAAAGGAAATCCACTCGAAAAAAAGTCTTTATGGCTATCGTTGTTAAAACTGCTCTCTTTCATACGACAACGGCATCTGTATGGGTGTTTTTACGATATATGTGGTTAACTTCATGTTCTTACTATCAATATACAGAATGTAAAGAAAGAAAGAGCCTTAGTTTATGAGAAAGAATCATTGTAAATTTTTTTCTCGTAGACCCGTTTTTGAATTGGTTTAATGCCAGAGACGCTGGTACAAAAAGCTTGTGTACTGACCGGAAATGAAATGTCACACCTGCTCTCCATAGACTTTTAGATGTATTTAGCATAAGAATCTTTAAACAAAACGAAAGGTGTTAATCGGTTTTGCAAATATGCCACAACAAAGACTTATGTGGCGAAAGACCTGAGATAATAAGAACCAGGAGCTATTCAACTCTAACGGTGAATCCTTACCACCAAAGATGACATTAGAATTTTTTATTTTTATTTTACCGAATTCAGTTCCCGTGTTCCTCATTTCCAAAGTTAGCAGAATCGTCATGTTCCTGTTTTAGGAATTCAGCGTTCATTATAAAGATGAAATCTTGAAACTTTTGCTTATTAATTAAGCCGGGACATTTCTGTCGTTGCTCAGAAAAGATATGCTCAGGGAAGTTTTCGTAATCTTCACATCGAAACACCAGGTGGGTACGCCGGCAATTTCTGTCAGTGCAGGAGTGTGAATATACATCAAAAGAAACATATCGCCTTTTGCTAAGGTGCTGCGTAAAGCTTTGGATTTTTATGGAAACAGGTATAAATTACGATCCGCAAGCATCAAATATTTCAATTTCGACTTTCGCAGTTTATTTCACCACGCCCTATATTTTTAGTTTCTTACAAACCCTCAAGGGCAAATTTAGATCACAATAGACGAGACTGAGTTAGACACTAACGGACGCTTTTACTTTCGTCGCTATCTCCTAATGAGCTGCTTAATGATTAGCACCTGAAATCGATCCTTTGGAAAAAAGAAGAAGTTAACAAAAGTTGGAAATTCTACAATTTACTCTTTTGTAATTTAATACTCTTGTTTAAAAATACTGATGTGAGATTCCTAAAAATTCGCCTGACACATTTCTTATTTGGGAACATCGATGCATTTTCATGAGGGTTTTTATCATCTCGATAAAATTGGCATAATTAAGAGTCGCAATTTGTAGCTTTCAAAACTAATATGTGGTTCGAACGTGACCAAAGATGTTGAAGTCAGTCAACAAACAAAGCGATAATATATTAAGAGAAATTTGCATTAGTACGTGAATTGTTAGCGCATGACTGCCACTTTTAGTAACAAGTTATTTTTGCAGCAACCCTTACGACAGAAAAGAATTCTTCATGGTTAAAACTACAATTATTTCAAGTTATACCTGTTCCTGTTTTGTTTCATTTCTTTCCATTTTTTTTTTCTTTTTGTTTGTTATTTTAGTTATGACGTCAAGATGACGTTCAGCGTAGGAGTGAAATTAATGCAAGCAAAATGTGCGGTTTTTAATGGGGTTCTTTACCTTTGAAATTTGCATTAGAGATAATTAAACCCAAATTGAAGGTTTTACAGCTCGGCAGGTGGATAGGTAAGGACAATTAATAATCATATCATGCCTTGCCATGGTCGCATTTTGACTTTTCATTTCCTTAATTAAGAATTTAATTGATTCAACCCAGAAATGTTCTGATGCAAAGGTGTTGCGGTGCTACGAAATGAACAGGAACAATGGCGGTGTTATCGAGGCACGTACTTCATCTTGGATGATATACAAATTGTTTATTACATTTGATTAGAAGAGGATCTGTATGCAAGGAAGAAATACCAATTCTTTGATATAAAGGGAACAATTTTGCAATCCCTTCGAATGACGCTCTTGAGAATCCATAGCTTGGTCATGCTGTTTATAGGTGACGCTATTACCCCCTTCTCCTCCTTCACGCCATTCCCCCCTCGGATTTCCTCATTACTGCCATCCCCAGTTCCGTATGAGAATATTCAACTCGCCCACGTTAGGATGAGGGTATGGTAAATTAGTGGGTTCATTAGAACTTGTTTCAACTATTGTTCTCATTATGAATTTCAGGTGTTATTTCAAAACTTGTTGTCTATGCAATATAGTAAAACCAAGAGATAACAAACAGCTTATAATCTCTTGACCGATGATAAGTTGCTGTTGCTGTTTTTGATTTATAAGGAAAATGGAACTGAACTAAACTATGAAACTAATATAAAGTAAAGGAATGACGGAGAAAATAAATTATAGTTACCTCCTCTTGGTTCGCTTCTAAAGTAAATGAGTGTATAAACAAAGAAAGCAGACAAACAGCGAGTAATCAAAACATTGGTTGGGGAAACCCATTCGCTTCAAGAAAAATCGATCCGCGAATGCTTATAGTCTGTATAAAGCTCTGTAATAATCCATGAAACTCTCTCCAGTAATCACTCATTCCTTTCCCACTTTTTATCTGAAGAAATTGCGAAATGTGAAATACAACAGCGTTTAAACTCAACTGCTTATGTGAAGATCCAACAGTGATGTTGTTTAAAGACGAGACCTCAGTTGTCTTGATTCATCTTCAAGAGTGTTCAATCAACTTGTTACCTTGAATAGGATCCATGTCTAGAAAAGCGTAACATTTCGGATCTGTATGAAGCTGCCTGAACAGGCATTTCCAAGCACTCATGATGGTGTCGCGCGGGTGCACAATATTTTTCCCGCCCTGTTTCTAGGGCAAAAATAACAACAAAGAGGGAGGAGTGAGACAGTAGAAAGTCCCTGGTTTTTTTTTGTTGTTGTTTTTTTTTGTTTTGTTTTGAATTAATTACTATAAAATTTTGCCGGAGTTAGCGTATTTTAAAAGGGGCAATATCCATCCAGTTGTGTAGCTCTGAATCAAGGATAAAAGAATAAGAGAACTGGGCACATGGTGTACAAAGCTGGTCTGTGCCTGAAATAAAGAATAGATCTTGTTTCTTAGAAAGTGGTCCTAGCTTTGACCCCCCCCCCCAGTCCCTCTCACACAGTTTGACCTACTCTAGGTAGCCATGTATTAGCCCTTTACTCCATAAAACTAGTATTTATGTTCTCCACACAGCTCTCTCTACATTCAATATAATATCAACAAGAAGAATTTGTTTGAAAATCAGGAGTTTCTGTATAAAATTAGCAGTCATTCCTCTATCCTCATGAGCTTTATATTTAATTCAAGGGTGATCATTTAAGGAGAAGTTAGATTCAAGTCAGGGGTAATAAGGTAAAACTGAACAACACAGCAATTCAATCCAGCATTTAAGTCAGAATGCTCATGAAAAGGATTTGATCCAAATGTTCCTGAATCCTAAAGCTACTGGAATACCAGTCCTTACAGCTACACCCTTCATCTTAGCAAGGTTTTACTGACAAGTCACCACCATATTACTCTCAGTTAGGTGCTTAGAGGGCATCAAGCCAGACTTAAATGTTGAACCAAGACATCACATTGACCTTCTACACTTGGGAGGGTAAGTCACAGTAGTGAAAGTTCAAGCTGTCTAATCAAGTTTACCACATAAAATTGTCAACTGGGTTTAGATAGTGACTACTTTATTGAACAATAGCATTACAAATACATTATACATGCCAGGAAGCACTAGACAAGTTAAAAAAATAGAAAATTATTACAAAATTTATTAGATACCTGTGAGTTTGCAGCTGATAAATCCCAATAGGAACTAACTGAGAACTCAGTTCAGAATAAAATAAATATTACAATTGATGTTGCAAAGCTGAATAAATATAGTAAATTAAATTATACCTGCTTGGAGAGACCTGTCTACAAATTCAAATGCTAAAAGTTGTTTCGTCAGCTTACACTCATCTGGGCTAGTGATAAAATTTTTTGTTAGACTTCTCTTTCAGCATCACTGAATGATTTATCATATAAAACTGAGAGAAAATATGCCAAACTGTATAGACAGTCATCGAATTTTAGCCATAAGTTTTCATAAAAATTAAATACATGTTGAAATACCATAGGAAAGAGTCAGCAAAAATGTTGTTTTGGGTAAGTTGATGAAAAAGCTGATATTTGAGTTTGAACATCAAGTAAGATATCTAGACATTGCTCGTGTTTTCCATCCTCTTATAAATCGGTTATCACTAAATTGATGAGTCTAAATTTGTTAAAGATCTTATTCAGTTAGCCTTATAACTTTGCATCCTTCCAGGAAAAAATAAACCATAAATTTGGTATGGAATCGTACACAAATCAAAGTTTTGCTTTATTGCTATGCGAAAATATAATCATGCTACCTGTTTTGGAAAGACCCCGTGATTAGGAATAAGGAAGCGACAATAATTCTCACCAGTCAGAAATAAAGTAATGGTAAAATCGTTTGTTCCATACTCTTTGTGTAAATATCACTAATTGATTTCGGCGAGCATCTTAGAGCAACGGAGATGTCCATTACATAAGTTTGTCTTTGCAGATATTGTGAATGGCATTTTCAGCTCGACATGATAACTAAAAATTCTCAAGCGTTAAGTTAGTTTTGCGCTGATCTAAGGATTTAGTGAGAAATATAGTACATAGGATTGGTATTCAAATGTCGACTTTACTGAGTGGATGGGACTTGTCCGTTAATAACATGAATAGTAGCGGTTGGAGGTACTGATATTGCAGCAGGACTTGATGGTTCATGCTTCTTTAAAAACTTTATAGCCTGTACTTTTTTTTCTGTTTTTCCTTTAGGACTTTCAAAAACCAACTGAAACGAGACAGAAACATAGACAAATTACATTGTTGCATAGAGCAAGGTCAAATAGACTTCCCGCGTAAACAACAACAAGCCTACCTCTCCTACGCCAGAAACTGCTCCGACATCTGACACATAATTGCCTTCAGGAATAGCCAAACTCACTATTTGAGCTGGTGGAGCATGAGTGCTAGCAACAGCAATTTCCGTCTGGTTTTCGGAGGGAAACTGATGATGGACTTTTGGTACGACTGCAGCGTTCACTGGAACTGCTGCCACCTCATTCCACGAATGTCCTGGAGAGAACGAATATGGCGTAGGCTGGAGATAAGAGTTTCCTAACACAGCTGTTGTTGTGTAGATCGGTTGAGAAGCTGAATGGGAAGGCTGAGGATACGGACTCTGCGACTGATAGTGCATCTGTGGGGAATAGGCCGGGACCAAAACAAAGTGAGGCTGTTGATTCATCTGAGAATAGTACATGCTTCCATCGGATGTCGAAAATGCATAATAGCTACCATGACTTGACGTGTCATGCACGTCTTGTCGATGGTAATAGTACTTCCCAAAACTTCTTTTGCTCTTTCTACGGACCGCTTTGCCAATGTTCAAGCTTTTCCCCTCAAATTCAAGGCTTTCTTGGTCGCGGACTTTGTCAGCCACCTCTTGCGATTCGAATGTAATGAAAGCGTATCCTTTGCTAAATCCGTTGCGGTCTCGAACGACTTTGCTTTCCTTGACCGCGCCAAATCTCTCAAAATAAGATCTGAGCTCGTTTTCGGTCGTTTCCGGAGAAAATCCTTTGACGAAAATTCGCTTTCCAATGTCAATGTCACTCATAATGTCGCTCAACATAAAGAACAGGAGAAAGGAGGGAAACTTACAGTTCAGTCAACAGCGGAAAATGGATTTGTGGAAAAGCGTGGTAAGGGCGTTTTCCTCTCTTTGCATCCTGGGAAACGAGATCACGTGCTACGTTCTGATCTAAATTTTCGCCTAATCTTTCTAGGTTGCTTTACCATCTTTCAGTTGTGAATATATTTGACGAGAAATTGTGATACATCCCGATCATTTTCACTAGCATTTTAGTCAGAGCAGTTGTTTGTTTATAAAGCTGCGGAGACACGCAGTCTGAAACCGTCAAACCTCTTCATATTTCAGTTGCCAATCAAGGGGAATTTCACTGGATTTCTACGCTGTGGTTTGTCTGTCAAGTGAAAGGTCTTTACGCCGATACGTGTAAAAGGTCTGTAACATGTGAAGCTGGCTGATTCTTTGAATTACTTCCCTGTTTGAGATAACTAACTTTAATAAAGAAAAGTGTTTTTACTTCTTGTGATATGGGGAACTTCCATTAACGAAAGAAGATTTAGCTTATGTTATGATGAGGAACTCATGAAAAGAAGCCAGCACAATTAATACTTTTTCGTATTTTGTTCCGCTCAGTCGATTTGCGTTAAAATGATTAGGAGCGTTCAGGCGTTTGGTTCTTTGTATCATAATCCGTTTTCGGCAATGTTTTCAAGCACATTTTCTGGCGACAGAATGTCAAGATTTAACCGTACAAGCTGATCAAGAGCTTAACTTGATAAGAAGATAACACTGAAGATTTGTTTGGTTGAAAACGAATCTAAACTTTTTGTGAAAGTTCTCGCAAGAATCTCTAATGCTATTATCTAGCCAAATTCTCAAGCAAATAAATGATGTATAGAATCATTCAATCTGATTCTACTAAGCTTGAGATTCGGTGAAGATCAGCGGCCCACAGTAATAAGTGAATTCACAATAAGAGGCCAGTTGATACGCTGATGTTGATTTTTTTTACTTCCTGTCACAGGAAAGCCGCAATACTTTGAGGGACTGACTGTGTAAGATTATCCTGAAAATAAATTCTGTATTAAACAAAGGCAGGTCACGATGTTGCTTACGAAACACAACGACAGAAAACAAGCAAATTCAAATAGGATATAAGTAGTTTACGATAGAACTCAGCACAGCGGTTTAAAAAGTTTTGAAGAGAGTATGAAATATTTAGAAACAGCATATTGTAATCAATGGCGATCTTTCATGTTGTGCAACTGAAAATCTACCTGTCGCTTTAAATGTGACAGTAAACTGGAAAGCCATTTTCTCGAGAGATAGTTTATACTCTTAACAACTGTCCCGCGTGATTGAATTGTTTTCTTAATGAAAATAGTACAGTACATGACAATTACAAGGTTTGCGATATTTCGTAATTGGAGTGTTAATGTCAATCTGCAGGAAGTCGAAGGAAGTGAAGCGAAGTGATTGAAGCGAGGCGGGAAGAAGCCGTGGAAAAAACCTACGAATTCCAATTGTGTAAGTACACTGAATAAAACGATTGTTTCTAAATTTGCAATTAGCTTAAGTGAAAGGAATAAAAAATGTTGGGATTTAGATAACGATCGCTTGTCGATTGCCTCGCTTTTTCAACGGCATATCTCGAGGACAGTGACGCAATCCTCCAACCATCACTTTTAATTTCACCAGTGAGAATCCTCGCTAAAGGTATTAAACGGCATGTACCTGGCTACCTTACTATAAAATAGTAAGACCTGTGTTTTTTGTCACTTTCTATAATTTTTTGTAGTAAATAATTTATCGTATATCTGTCGCCTATCGTCTTTATTAGAGACGACGAAAATTTTAAAAGCAGAGCAAACGCTGGTCTCTCCGTGTCAAATTCGATTGTTGGTAAACTCCACAGCCACTCTCCATGTCAAACTTCCTTGAATTCGATCGAGTAAAAGAACTGAGGAATAATAGGACTTTGTTACTTTCATTTTCTATATTAAGCCTTAGAATAATCAACACATTTGAAATTAAATTCAGGCTTAGTTCGACGCAGTCGTACTGTGGCTGCGCTATGAATGGCTATCAGATGTGAAGTGAGTAACCGCTGCCGCTGAGAAACACGCACTATTCTCGAATCTTCTAGTACAAACAAAGCATTGAACAAAATAGGATAATATTTGAAACTGCTCTTAATTTCATTATAACAATACGGTAATGGCTGACTCCTAAGCTGAGATCTCAGTCTTTCAATGAAAGTCATATAATTGATTGCCTTGATAGTAACACGAAAATAGTTTTTCTTAATCTTGTCATAAATTGCACTGAGTTTTTCACTGGCAGATACGATAATCAGACTGAAGGATACAAAAGCCAATCACACCGAGTTTTAGAAGACAAAGGCAAAAAAAAAGGAACATACAGCTTCCCAATGACATAAGGCGCTTTGTCGAAAGCGTGCAAAATACCTCAGATGTTCGGGAAGTGAAAGAGATGTTTTGAACCCTGGCAACGACAACTAACAAAGGAAAAGGAAAATTAAAGAGAAAACAGCTGAGAGATGTTTTCTCCTTAAGAAAGCTTTCTTTTCTCATCAACAAAGCTGACAAAACTTAACATTTCTGGCGTCCTATTGTCTTCATTTTGGTTTAGTTAATTTACTTCTATTTACCTTGGGCACCTTCAATGTCGATTTACTTGAGCGAATTTAATTTAACTTGTTAGCTGCTGTTAGTTTACTTATGTGACTAATAACCTCATTCGATCAATTTCATATTTTGTTCGCTTTTGGTTTAATGTGACTAGCATGAACTCTGTGCAGTTTTAGCTGTGTACAGAATAATTCCTGGAGTTCAGAGCGTGTGCTTTTTTTAATATCATATTTTGGGGAAAAACATCCTTTGCAATAAAATTTTTTTAAGGTGCTGGTTAGCGAAGAGCCACTTTTTTCATTCAGCTTAGTTAAGTCAGAATCAAATACAGTTCCAAGCTTGTTTTCTTTTCAACTTATTTCAATAACCAAGGGAAAAATATCTCATTTCCTCTTATATAAATCAAATCGCAAACCAGATTTTCTTCTGAGAAACCCCGAAAAATAAAATTTGTCAAGAGAGGGAATCAGAGGCAGAGTTGAACAGGTTGATGGTGTTTTGGGCAATTTCCTTTTTTTCAGTCGATATCTCGAGTCTTTTGATCAAACAGTGCACAGTACTACAAGCTGGCTAAACAAACGCTTTTATTAACTTACTTAACTTTATCTTTGCACGAGAATTAATGCAATCAGAGGGAGTAGATATGGCGGAGCCTGTCACGGTTAGGCATGAAAGCTTCGCCTCCCCTCACTGATACCTCCACAAACCATTAATTTTAGAAGGTTATCATGAATCTTTTTTTTTTTTTTTTTTTTTTTTTGAACTTACAGTCAAATTCATATTCTTTTGTGGGATTTAAAGGCGACTCTTTGTCTCATCAAGAAAATATTAATCTGCAATTGATATTTCCGCCCTTCCCCCTCCCTCCCTCTCTTAAACCCCTACAGTGGTAGATAATGCGAAATGGGATGAAATATGATTTTGTCATCTGGAAGCTTCTCATTTTATGTAACATTTTAGTGTAATTCTGTCGAAATGTTTTGGTTTCTCAATCACATGAGCTTAAAAGCCGCTTGAGGCCAAATAACCAAAATTAATCAATATTTCCCGAAAGCTTGTCATAAATTTAGTTGAATCTTTATTTCTGACATCTTTTACGTGATAAACACAGTATCAATAACTTTAATTCTTTTCAGTTTTAATTCTGATCAAGAAATTTCTCAAAATTGGCTTATTAATTTTTTATAATGCAAGGTAACTCCAAAACAAATAGAAAATTGTGTCATTTTTTCTCGGAGAAGACATTCACCTCTGTACGTGAGCTGACTTTCCACTCAACGATGGAGAGTGGTATGTTTATTAAAGGTAAGTCTTTCACACGAATAATTCTAAGGAGAATTGAATTATTTTATTCATTTATCTTCACAGCAAGGATTAAAAAAGTGTTTGACTTTTCATCTTCACTAAGGTCTACAATCTTTGCCGCTTGTTAATTAGTAATGTACAATAGAACTTGATGTTTCTCATTCTCTGACAACCTCTGTCAGGTAAAATAGGAAAAAAAACTGACTCAGTAATAAAACTGCAATCCGACGAAAACTGTGCTGACAGCTTGGAGCGATGAAAATCTTTAATTTTTTTGGTACTTTCATGCCAATTAACCCAGAGAAAGTAATACGGCTTATTTACATTTGATCAATCAAGACATCACAATAGGCTTAAGATTATTTTGTATCAGCCATTACTACATCTTAGCTTAAAAAAATCAGTATAAATTTTCCATCCCTGATAAGATGTTTTTTGCAGTTGTGACAAGTGTCGTGTTCTGCTTTGCCAAACAAAAGATGAATATCTTCTATAAAAAATATAAAAAACTGACCCCCTCCGGTTGAAAGGTTATCTGAAAAGTTATCAAAATATTTCCTCTTTGTATAGACGTGCTTTTGAATTACAATTATCCTTAATGTGTTTTCCTGTGAGGTAAAGCTTGGAAAGTCTAAAAAATTTGCATAACAGAATTTTTTTTCCGACTTCTTGGGTAAGGTGCCCTGCAGCCGAAAAACCTCAAGAGGAGGAAAGTCAAACTTGAATGTAATCCTGTTGTTTTACAGAAGTGGAAGGGAACAGAAGAAGCATTACTTACATTTTCACATTTCGGTTATATTCAGAATAAAAACTGCGTAGACAAACTTGATATCCGCTAAATGGGAAACACCGACTTTTTATTCTACGAGTACCATATCCTAAGTTGAGGTGAAAGCGTATGAGCTCAGTTCAGGAATTTTTAGCGGGCAGATCCCGACAAACTGAGCAACAAAGACACTGGGTAACAGAAAGTTTAAACCCTTCATTCAAATTTTTTTGCAACAAACTTGTAAAAAGCGGTGGCTACTATTTGTTATAGTTGGTTTTTTTTTTTAACTAAACCAAAATAAAAAAATCTGTTTTTGTGCACAGGTAAGACACGGAACTGTGATATAGTAAATATTTATGACGCTGGCATGAGGATTCACGAAACGATCATTAAGTAGTGGGATAGCCTGTTATGAGGTTACGTTCACTGATTACAAGGGAATCCAGCCGGCGTGTTTATCAGTGAAGGATGTTTGTTCACTGAAATCCAAATTTCAACGAAGGACGCATGAAAGAATGACGCAATATTTATTGAAAATCCACAACAAAACGATGCAATAAACTCTTAGAATGAACTTCACCGATTGAATCAAGACTTTGCTAAACAATGCATTTGAACGACTCAAATAAAAAAAATCATCTTCGAATTTTACGCTCGCAATAAGCAAACCATGAAACAGAAGACCTAAGATATTTCTCTTTCGGAGATGATTGACCCTCATCTCGTCAAAACAATTTTCAAAAATTAATGCTAATTTATATGAATATTACGTCTTCAATCTATCTCCCTCTTTTAGTGAGATACCAACAGAACTTCATAAATTTATAACTTAGATTTCGGACGAGATGTGGTATGGCTAAAAATTAATGGTGTTTTCACCATTTTGTGAATAAATACAAACAAAAGCCCAAATTTCGTCTCGAAAGGTACAGTGTGTGTGAGGTGGAGACTTCACACGGAGGTTAACACTCGACTGTCGTAAGCGTATAAGTAATGCATGGCTGCCTTGGTAACATTTGAATTTAAAGACACCCTCAGTGACACTCAGTGAAGAGTGTTCTATACAGACGTAGTATTTCAGTGATATTCCTGAATAGAGAGCCTTCCCAAGAAAAGTCTACATCGATAGTCATTAGGCAGTGTGCTCTGCATGCGTTATTCAATGACATACTCAATAGATAGTCTTTTTCAAAGTCTGTAGGGACAATTAGTAACAAGAGGAGACAATTCGACTTTCAATTCACCATTTACTGAAAAATGTGACGCATTTATCAGAACATTATCGATTATAACACTCTGCTTATTTAATTCATTTAGTCTTCTTGCGCCCGGAGTCGATAACTCAAACCAATATCTTTGTGAAACAATACACATAACAAAACAATTACCCTGCTTAACATAAATTTCTTTTAAAAACACAGCGCGAACGAGACCCTCAACCAAAAGATTTAAAAACTGATGTATTATTCCTCGTTCCTCGTGCTTTCATCATACGACCCATACGGCCCCGCACGCGTTTTGCTCATAAAAACATTAGAAAATATTTCCAGCATGACAGCTGTGCGCGATGGTGTGAACAGGGCCGCACAAAGCCGTACAGCACCGTGAACTACGAGCCAAAAGAAGAAGAGAAGAAAAAGAAAGAATTACGTTCATACGATTAAATACTTATTGACTGAGTTTGGTCGGCCGAACGGGAAAATATTTGGCTCTTGGTCATGACGCATGGACCTCGCAGCGCCCAGCAAACCGAGCGCAGCGAGGTCCGTGCCGAGGTCCGTGCTTAAGCCAAATATTCTCCCGTCCAGCCCTCCCTTTCAGTCAATAAGTATTTTATCGCATAAAAGAAGCAGAAATTATGAAAGAATTACTCACATCTATTGAAGATAACAGAAGGACGCTGTTATCTTTTCGAACTGTTAAAGAGGCTCATACCACTTATACCATTAGAACATTTAGGGCAAACAAAACAAGGGCATTGAAAAAAAAGCAACAACTCCGTGCCTTCGAAAAATATTGTCAAAAAGCTTGTTTTGTTTTACAGTCCATTTCATTAATGAAAATTTTTACACCGGAAATAATTAGTCGGTCCGTTTGAATCTCTTTTGAAACAGCGGATACAATGGTTTGGATGTCGTTTTAACGATATAGGAGTTCTCGGCAGGTGCAACTGATAATTTAATGGCACAATTTTGAATTTCTAATCAGCTTTGCGGGATGCTAGCTAATATATTTTTCACAAACCGCAAGTTTCCTTGGAATTAAATTCAACTTAGACCTCAAGCAGAAAGCAATAGTTTTGTAAACAAAAAGAACTCGAAATCACCAGCTAAGGTTTTGTAACCATGAGATAAAACAGTTTTTCTTCGAATGAATCAGAGATAGGACGGGGATTGCTGAAAACGCCAATGGAAACCTTGCTAGTTAACATTCATATCAAGTGAGACTATTGTGTTTTGCAATATTACAGGTGACTCCGCAATGGCCGTGAACGGGATTAGAGGAAACGGTCAGACTCAACCGAACGCTCGAAGAACAACCGTCCGACCACGAGTGACTTTCAAAAAGAATTGTAAAGGTGACTTCATAACTATCAATGTAAGCGGTCGGATATTTGAAGCAGACAATTCTATCTTCAAACAGCATCCAGGTAAAACACAGATTTCAGTTACTGAGAAAAAACGCTTAGTCGAACCGATTTACTTCTGTAACTTTCGATATGTTTCGTAGGAAGAAAGAAGAAAAAAACAGTCCTTCTTTTTATAATCGTACATTGTTTTACTTATTCATGTACTGGGGTATTTTTTAAGTATTTCCAAAACATCTACGAAAATTTACCACAAAAATATAAACAAAAATGACTAAATAAAAACCCGGCAATGACGTATTTCGGCACGAAAGTACACAATATTTCGCCTTGGCAAGAAATAATTGACCGATCGTTTTATAAATGCATATGAAAGATAAAACAAGTGATTTGCTTCTTGACAACAAAATTATGCTACCGAGCTCAACGTTATGATCCTCTGTTGATAACCGATGAGGCTTCATAAATTTAATAGATCAGTAGGTGACAACAAATTCAGTGTAAGATGTTTTGTAGTCAATACCATATTTCTTTTCTTGATTCAAATATCATCATAACATTAGTATGTTTTTTTGAGTTTTACAAAGAAAATGGGGCGCACTTTATTTAAGCTTTATAATGAGAGCTCATAAAATGTTTTTTTTGTAATTCCAATGTCTGACTAAATTTTCCATAAGGATCAAATAAGAATGAAATTAGCGGCGTTTTCAATACTAGGCCACCCAAAGGTTGTACTCGTGAAAAAAGAACCCTTCAATGGCACTTTAATGGAACTTTACCAAATGGTTGTTTATCTTCCAAGATTTTGAGTTCTAGTATCCTGAAATCGTATCATATTCATGCGATAAATTTACTGTTTCTTGTAAAGTCGGAGCGATTTATGCAGGATAAAGGTTATTACTCAACGGCTCAAAATAATGATAGGTCATTGTGCTCGTTCTCGACGGAAGGATTACTCATCTATCTGGTGTGTTCCGTCTGCTACGGCGTCTCAAAATGAGGCGCAACTGATTCATCGATGTGCTTGCGCAGCTAGCAGTGGACATGCGGCGTGAAGTAATATTTAAGAACTGATATATCGACATAATTAGTGGGACTTGAAAAGTGATAAAGACTTAAGGAACAATGTTTCACTCAGTAGTTGACTGTTAATAACCGTTAATGATGCAATGCTGGCTTACCTTCCGAACGGGCATCCTGGCGCTGAAGGAAACCATTTCACAAGCCTTAATAAGCCATAACAACGAGAAATTACTGAAAAGGTCTTCAGGCTGTAATTTGAATATCCTTTAGGAGACAATGCGTCGGTACTATTTTTCTCGCCGCATAAAATAAAGAAGTAAGCACATAAAAATAAAAATATCTCAGGCTGAGGCAACAGTTACATCGATCGGAAAACGTCTCAGATCATGACACTCGTGTCAATAATTTTCAACATTTTTTAGAATGACAACAATAATTTCAGGTGTGTTCAAGATGGTGATTCGTTGCTAACGGACATGTCTGGAACACCAAACACTGAAAATTGTTTCATTTTTTTATTCATTACCATTTAACTTTTTACGATTTGATCGGTTTTTTTCAAGACGGGATTGACCTGCCTATTTTCTCCGCATCTTAACACTCGCGCACGCTCCTCTGTTGGATTGATGGTGGAAATGTGACGCAAGAAAGTCTCAGAATTATGACAAAGCGTCAGCATCGTCGAAACTTTTTCGAACGCCGAACGCAAAATAATCGTAATTTTTTCATCATCTGCATGAAATTTTTTGGATTTAACCGCTTCCTTTATTCAGGGAATAAGGCTCCCTAATTTCTAAGTATCTCAACATTTCTACCCGTTCTTCTGTGAGACAGATGGTGGAGCAGTTACGCAAGTGAGTCTCTAACCAATTCATCAGCTATTCAATGAATAAAAGAACCCAAATTGGATCTCGTCCAGATGATTCAAAATTTATTTTTATGTTGAAGTAGAGGTACCGTTGCGTGTTAAAACTGACACATTTCGTGCTGTGCAGCTCTCCCGTTCAATTACTTATTGATGTTGGTCACCAAACGTTATAAACAGGAAAGCCACTGAATCATGAAGTAGCTTTATACGTTAATCATTCAGCAGTGACTGGTTGCAAACCATTAAAACACTGCATCTTTTAGACACCCCTTCGGTTATAGCGCTTTTTGTGAATCCGAATCTAAACTTATGGGCTCGTTATATGACAAAACTTGCCACAATTCGACCTCTTAAAGCAGAATAAGAGAAGTGGATCCCAACAACGCCGTGCAACATCACAAGGAGGCGATGAAAATGAGGAGTTTGGTAAAGGCTAAATGACATTAACGCCACCTGCAACTCATTTGCATACTCCCCTATTAAGCTCAATGAATTCAAAGATTGAAAACAGGAAGACTGTACTTGAGGATTAATTTCAGAGTTACTCTGACTCTTTGATTGAGCCTCTTATCTTAATGCGATTTTCTGAGGCAATTTTTCGAGAGGAATTTTGGGGAAAAATAATAAAGAATATGCAAAAAAAGACGCATTATAGTTGAGTCTATCTATTTAGAGTACATTGAGCCATCATTGCAGTGGTTTACTTCTCGTCATCAGTAGGGATTGGCTGATTGGACGTAAACCTCTCTCCCCACCCCGAGACTCTTTGAGCCTGATTCCAAGTAAGAATGTCTTTTACTTTTGTAAAACGATTGAAAAGAATGTCTCTCAACTGTCTTTATTTCAGACACTCTTCTTGGAAGCACAAGACGCGATATGTTTTTTGACAGGAGTAAGAATGAATACTTTTTCGATAGAGACCCTGATCTGTTCTCTTACATCATCCAGTTTTACCGTAAAGGAACTCTTCACTATCCTGAAGACGAATGCGCCTGCTGCTTTGCCGGAGAACTCGACTTCTTTGGAATTGTTAGAAATCACTTAAGCGACTGCTGCTATGAAGTGTTCCAAGAAAAACATGAAGAGTTCATAGACTATCAAAAGCGTCATGCAAAACCAGAAGAAGAGGAGTTCGTTCCCACTACGATAAGGCAAAAAATGTGGCAGTTATTTGAAGATCCAGCTCAAAATGTCTTTGGACTATTAATACATTATGTCTCCGCAATTTTGATCGTTGTAAGTGTTGCTGCATCAACTGTCGAGACTCTACCTTGTGGGGAAATCCCCTGTGGTGACAAATACTCTGAACAATTTTACATTGTGGAGTCTATGTGCGTCATAGCATTCACTGTGGAGTACTTGGCCAGATTGTTTGCTGCACCTGTCAGACTTCAGTTTATGAAACAATTCTTAAGCATTATTGACGTCGTGGCAATCATACCTTATTATGTAGCACTGATTTTTCCCGAGGCAGTGGGAGGCCCATTCACTGTTCTTCGTGTTTTCAGAATCTTTCGCATCGTTAAAATGTCTCGCCATAACACGAAGGTCCGGGAGGCTGGCTCGTCACTGTTAGCCAGTCTTTCTGAACTCAGTTTTGTGTTTGTTGTACTCATTACTCTCGTCATATTATTTTCAACCATTATATATTATGCTGAGATGGGAGACAAAAATACAAACTTCGTCAGCATTCCAGCTACGTTTTGGTATACTATCGTTACCATGACGACGCTAGGGTAAGTCTTTCTCCGTTGCTAACCCAATAGTAATAGAGAGTTTAAGGTGGGGATGGTGACTACAGAAATGGCCAAAATGAACTCGCCTAGCAATAAAATAGTAGAAAAATTATATTACCTACAATCTGATTGCAATCATAATTGTCTTGAACATGACAAAGTCCCTTAACAGTATAAGAAATATGGTAAATTTTGAGCTCGTTGGTGAAGTAAAAAATGTATTATACATTTTTGAAAAGGGTGTGGGACAAAAAAAAAAAGTGCACGCGATGAACCATACCCAATGATTTGTTACAGAGCTAAAAAGAATTCTTGGATCAGCTAGACCACATATTGTGTTCATGTGTTACATGGGACCTGCATAATGCTTGCTTGTATCAGTGATTTCGAAAGTTTCATGTGAGTAAATAAGATAAGAAAGGTGAAAAATTTTTTAGCTCTGTTTTGTCACGAGCGCGGCACAAACAAAAACATTGGGTCCTACATAAGGAATTGAGTCCCAATTTAGACCAATAGATTCCGCCCTTCTTTTCTCCACTAATGAGCAACAGGGAATCCAGTCACAAGTGTGATTTCAGACCAAAATTGCATGACACAAAATTCAATCACCACTTTATTACATCCACTTTGCAATCACAAAATTCAGTTACTCAACTACGGGATCTTTTAGTCTGTAAAAATGTTTTATTAATCCAGTACTAAGCTGGTGTGTAACAAGTTGCAAAGTTGTCTTCCATTTTCCTGCCATTTGGTCAGTTACTTCAAACAAGCCTTGAAATATGTTTGGTTGTAATGTTTTAGTAAAGCTTTCTCATTGGCCAGGAAAGAGGTGTGATTTAGAGCAATGTAATTCATATGTAAATCGCACAAGTGAGAACCAATCAGATTGCAGGGATCACTGAGGATTCTTTAATGTTTTGTCATTCTCACTTGTCCAATCATATTACACTTTATAGATATGGTGATATGACCCCATTGAGTATATTTGGACGCATAACAGGTGTCATTTGTTCTTTGAGTGGCATTATGGTGGTTGCTTTACCGGCTCCTGTCTTGGAAAAGAACTTTAGTCGGAAGAAGGAGGAAGGAAGACCAGATCATGATACCACAAATGAAAAAGCCCGTGCGAGAACCATAAGCCACAGTCACAGCCACAGTCACAAGAAGTCAACTGAAATCTGAAGCATGACATCAAGTAAAGTGTGAGGGGCTGGTCTATTTCGTAAATTGTCAAGCTAATGGAACAAACGAGATGCATAGTTATTGAATCTTTCAGAAAATGTTTGGTTGATAAGCAACTGATGTGATTGGCTCATCAGAGGACAAGACTTAAGACTAAAAGATCAACCCAAGATTCGGAGAAAAATCTGAAAACCAGGGGCTGCATGAAGAATATTTGATTAATTTAACACATCTTGACAACCATATAATTTCTTGTCAGAAGCTGGTTATCCTAGTTGCTTAGCCACAAAAGATGACTAAATCTCTCTGCAGTTGAAAGACAGCAGAAAAAGTTATGTGACTTCATAAGCTCACACATATGCAGTTCAAAAATCTTTTCCTTTCAAGGTTTCAGTTCATTTTCCACTTTCTCTGATTACATTGCATTTTACCCAGCTTACACTAAACATTGAAAACCAGTATATTTGTTTGTATGTCAGTACAGTTACAGCTCAAGGCAATTTGTTAAAAATGACTGTGAATAACTGTTATGGAAAAAACTTTAACTTCACTGCAAGTTAAAGGTTGACTACCCAAGAGAGAGCCATTTACAAAGCATTTCTGTGTGCAATTGTTCAAGTTGGATTTGAACCAGTTCGCTGAGTTGTTTCCAACACCATAGGCTTTTAATTTAGATAGCAATATAGAGTGATCAACGATGTCAAAAGCTTTCTTCAGATCTAGAAAAATCACTGCATAAACATTACCTTTATTATCTGTGGCTTCAAGTAAGGTGGTAGCAGTGGAGTGAAGGGAATAAAACCCTGACTGATTACAGGAAATTAGATTATTATCAGTTAAATATTCGTAATATTGATTGTATACAATTCTCTCAAAGACCTTAGCCACAACAGGAATTATAGAAATAGGGCAGTAATTATTTAAATCAGAATGTTCTCTCTGTATAAATACAGGAACTACTGTTATACTTATGCAGCATTAGAACTGTTCAATTTCATAATATCACTCATGATTGGGCAGAGAAATTTTAAAGTTGCCATTCCATATCATTGTTATCATTATTATTATTATCATTATTATTAAAAAGCTTCATTCAAAACTCAGTCAGACTACTTGTAGATGGATATAGAATAAAAACAAATTGTGCTTTATGTGCAAAAATGTATATTTCCTGCAAAAAACCTGCATAGCTAAAGCAAAATAAAGGTTCACTCGTAAAATTATCAAAATAAAAAGCAACTATTTAAAGTTCAACCTTTCAAATACCCATTCACGATAAATAGTCTAAAATTCAATATTTATTATTATTATTGTAACGTTATTATTATTATTATTATTATTATTATTATTATTATACCTTAGGATCATAGCTAGAAAAATACCCATATTTATAATACCATCTTAAACGAATTTTACAAGATTCAGATTACTTTAAAAATTACTTATCATTGAACTACTACAGAAATGTTCTAACCCAATACGTACAAAACACTTGGTTGATCAGATTAAAAGCTCTGTAACAAATTTTGGCGTTTTTTCAACCTCTTTCCTCTGCGCCTGCTTGGAGTCAAAATAGTCAATTGGTGTTATGCTTGTATTCTCCCAGTGCCTCTCTTCACCCAAGGAAATGAGCGAAGTATCAGGGAAATCTGAGAAAATTTGGGATTGGGAAGGGAAAACACAACCTAGGATAGAATGGCATTTTCAGCCTCACCTTCACAAACCCTACAAGCTCAGAAAGTCGCGAATTTCAGTTTCTCTCCGTGTCACATGGTTGATTTTCCATCCTGTTGCTTCGAGGCGATGTTTGCCTTGCTGCTTTTCTTTCATAGAGCAACCTCGAAAAACTCTGTACACCCCTAAAATTTTCGTCTTCGAAACACTGAAAATTGGAAAATGCATTCGATGAAACTAAAATGCGTCGGTTTTAAACGCCAGCCCCTTTCGCTGCGATTATCGCGTAATTATAAACTTCGCACGCTTGAGTTCGCGTTGTTGACCGCATACCTGTGACGTAGTATTTCCTTATTCAGCTCTGCTCTTGCGAGGACCTTTTGTGGCGTCGGTGAAGAAGACAACGTCTGAGACAGTGAATGACCCATTTGTCTTTTGGAATTCGCAGTAGAGGAGTGAAGGTAATATTCTTGTGGCTTTGATGTCTTCTAGAGAGTCAAAAAGGAGCATACTAAATCGAAACAAAGCGCAATATCGTGTTCAAGATTTGTGGAAGAACTATTCTACTGTTCGATGAAACCGTTGGCGACTTTTCCGCCTTATTTTGAGTCGATGGCAGTAGTGTAATAACTCCGCGAAATCCTTTTATTTCAAATTTTGATGTTATTTCTCGGAGAGTGTTAAGGGCTTAATCGACATCTGTCGACGTACGGATTGTTGTTAACTTCAAAGAGCTATTCGAGGAAAGGTATTTTCTCTTAGTCAATTCCTGACTCAACTACATAAGTTTTTTACTATTTTCTGCAGCTGAGTTGTGCAAATGAATGCTGAGGTTGAATTTTTTGCAACAACTTGACGAAATCAATCAACCAAACAGTCGGAAATACTGAAATCCGTTTGTAGCGCAGTGTCGTAAATTTGTGCGAACCAGATTCTATTGTTTTTTTTTTTTAAATTTCTCTTATTTGGGAAATCGTTGATCACGGGTGTATCTTTTTGTCAAGGCTTCGCTCACCTGATGTATTTTTTTTGTCTAAATTAATCTTTTGGCGAAACTTCTTCTTTTCTCCAAGCTCTCCTCAGAAGAAATATTCCTTTTACATCGCAATTGGCCAGCTTGTGGAAAAAGGCGTTGTTCTGATCATTGTATTAATTTGAGGCCGCCATTGTTGTTTATAACTCGCGCAGCGCAATATCGCGGGAGGATCGCGCGTGGGGTACAGAATTCAAAACAAGTCGATAAAGCTCAGAACCGTTTGAGACATAGTTAGAAGCTTATGTGTAGTCAACTTCAGAAAATCAGTATAATCAAAATCGAAAGTAACTACCCCTGATTTTTCCACTTGATCTTGTCATCATTTTGGGATTAAAAGAGGTGGTTGCTTAGCCATAGCTGATCAAGTAGAATTGCAATATATGGCTTTGCCACTAATGGAAAAAAACTATCGAAACAGTCTTATACTTTTCTACCATGTACTAGCCAGGCTGTGACTTGTCGATGAGTAAATTGTGCCTCTGATGCTTGAAGAGATAACTTCACACTTTCTTCCTGTACATATTTTACTTTGTCAGGCAGTGTTGTAAATGATCATTTGTCTTTGTTGGCTTTCCTTTGGGACTTGTGGGGCTCACTGAGTTTGAATTTGAGCTTCTTTATCTCTTTCTTTTGCATTTTGTACCAACAATTTCCTGTAAAAATCCTTCTAAAGACTTCATCAATTCCCTGGTTATCAGAGTATAGGAGGTCTGAGACCTTGTCTTTGGAATTTGATATGGCAAAAAAAGAGAGAAGAGCTGATTTAAAAGAAACGGAGCTCTGACCAGGGTTGACTCAGAGGTCTAGATAACTATAACTTGCTACACTCCTTCTTATATACCTTGGTTTCCTTCCCATGATGTACCACCATGGTACCTAGACCAAGCAGTGTCTGTGCTGACAAAATTTTTGTCAAATTACATCTTAATTCAGTTGTGAGGAGGCCTTTTGGTCATTCATAATAACTTAAGTAAGCTTTTATGGAGAAGACCCAAACATATAATTAAGAATCAAACCAGTTAGGTTATATTCTTTGTTTATTTTGGTGGTGTTTCAACTAGGCCTTATTTCACCACCCACTGTATCATTATCTTGAGTGTTTTTTCGGCTTTGATGTAAATTTTTGTGGATTTCCTGTTATTCTCTTGAGCTGTCAATGCTAAATCAAGAAGTTAACAACACTGCAATGAAAATTAAATGCTCCCACTTAATTTTAGACAAAATTATAAAGTTTTTAGAGAATTAATTACGTAAACAAGAAAACACCCTAACCAAAAGTGATGAATACATAGTGATTTATTTTTAATCGCGATATTTATTGTCAAGGATTTTGGTTGAAGTATTTTCAAACCTTGAGACAGATTTGTTGAATGTTTCAAAAAAAGAACAAACACAGTGTGAAACTGAACTCCAGTAAGAATTTATTCCGAAAAGTTTTTTCCAAAATGAGATTTTCCTTGTATGAATAATGGGTAGTTTTTCAGTTCACAAATATTGTGGATTTTGATATTCAAAATATCTGTTTTATTAACAGTTGGTGCATTATGGCCCAGTTACCACTCGTTTTGTACCCACAGTTGTTTTGTTTTGTACCCACAGTTGTTCCATACCCAGTCTTCTTGTACCCAGTTAGGTTGTTTTGCATCCATTCGAAGGCAGATTATGAAAGGGGCAAACTGAAACCTATTCTAGGCCAAGAATACATAAGTCAAGAGGAAATGTGAACCAGCTATTAAACCTATTGCTGATACAGCAAAGCAAAGAAATGATATGTCTCCTTCACTTGCAAGCTTGCTGGGTCATACTCCAACTAATTGTCATCAAGAAACACCAACCGAGATTGAAAACATTCTAAAGCTACAAAATGTCCAAGCCCCAGTGTAAGACATTTTGTGGAGGAAACCAAGAGCAAGGTTTTGTCTCAATGAAAGAACCCCAATTAACAGCAGAATGAAATAACCTTCATTTCTATCAAAACATGATAATACATAAACTCTGATTGATAAATATGTATGGAGAACAGTACAAAAAAAAATTGTTTATTAACACCTTTTGCAATGTTGAAAATCATCTAATTCAGATTATGTAAATAATCACATGAAAGGCAGTACTTTGTTTTCACCAAATGCCATGATCAGAGTAGTTACACAGTTTCATGTAATATTAACAAAGATGGAAATGATGACCCAGATGTGCAGAAGGAAATTTACAGTGACTGTACATAAACTTCATAATCATGATCACCCACAATAAAAGTTCCTGTTCATTGTTCATATCTTGTTTGAGTTCATTCACACACACAAAAAACAAAGAGGAAAATTTTTTTTTTTAAGAGAAAATTTCCATTCAAATTATTATACTTAATTTGAAGCACAGCCTTGACATCTTCATTAGAAACAAGTTTCATTTCTTCTCTGATCTCTGGAGATTCTCTATCATTTAGTGGCATTCTTGATGTCCTCCCCCTGAACTCTGTCTTTCACAGTTGTATACAAAGATTCTACATGAATTTCAGGTCTTGGCTTTCCTTCCACAAAGTCTGCAAGTAGCAAATCTTGTCTGTTTTCCACCAGTACAAAGGTGTTTGTCTTGCCCTTTGCCACTTGAGAAATTTGAAGGTGCTACACTGGGGCCTCCTGTGAAATATCTGCAAAGATGTATGTAGGATTTATGAAAATGAAACAATAGACTATCCAAAATAGACTAGACAATCCAAAACAGTAACATAATATGAAATAATATTATAACAAATCATATATAATGTTTTCAGTTAACTTTGAGACAGAAGTATGTACAACATAGTTGCTACAGCCCAATTACAATTTCCCAAATTAGCTCTAGCGATGACCTCCAACCAACCCCACAGCCATCTTCTTCCCAAATTATTTTTGCGTAACACTTGCATCTCATTTATTTTTATGAAATGATATTTAACAATTAATCCTACATATTTTTTGTCTGCTTTTCCTAAATTACAATTCAATTTGGAAATTTGATAGATGAGCTACTCTTCGTGGTAACCCAATTTATTTTACATTTCATGTTTATAAAAACCTACCGAAGTATCTGACATGATAAAAAAAATCCACTTTTTCCCTTACCTCTCTGAGAATCATAAATTTCCCCTACCTTGGAGAATCTTTTTTTTTTCCTTAAGAATTTTCCTGGCCTGGCAACCATGTAAAGTAAAATCTGTACTTGAGCTAACTGGCCCATCCAACAAACAGAAAGATTGAAAGCATCGTTGAAACCTCAAAATGGCGGTTGGCGACTGAATTAGACGTAAATCAAAACCACCCCATGCACTTTTTTCCTGCAGTTTGCATCACTATAGCAGTTGCATCAAAAGAAAATAGATTGAAGTTTAGTTCCATAATTTCTTTTGTCCGAAAATTTTATTTACAAACCTATACGTAAAGATTAAGTCGGAACACACCACAATCAAACGTGTTCATTCAACTGCCCAGTGACTGCTCTGCCCAAAATTTCGCCTCTATCACCCCTTCATGACCACCATCTTGAGTACGCGCAAAGAACGTTATCTTTTTTCTAATTTCCAATGTAATTGTTGGTACATACGGTGAGCGATAACGAATAAACGGCGAATATTTCGACGTGATTAGGAAAATCTTCGATTTCCGAAATGGTTGCCATGTGGTGACGTCACGTGGTTATCAAATTTGATATGGTTATGTTTTTTTAGAATAAAAGCACTTCATTAAACGATACAGTTTTTTCAATTACATTAATAAACCTTTTTTCAGCCCAAATTCGTTGCCAGCAAATCCCTGAGGAAGATTGTATTACCTTGACCCGTCGGAAGGAAATATAACGCAATAACAACCCCGAAGAATATCTGACGTTCATCTGACCTCATCTGGATGTTGTTTTGAGTTGATATCGACCTAGACTTCTTCAAAGTTGTCATTTTTCATTATTCAAGTGTGTGTGAGTCTCACAAAGCTTTTCGAGGTAACTTAAAAACCTTTTCTTTTGTTTTTCTTTTTGTCTTTTTTTTTTTTTTTAGAACTTCAAGTTTGCAGCACGATTGACGGTGAAAATCTCGTATTTTTGACAGTGGACGGTTGACGACAACCAGACCGTAATGTGCAGGAGCCGAATGTTGTTCAGATGAGTAACCATGTCTTTAAATCAAGGGGAACAAGGAGGTATATTATGAGAGTGAATATTGTTAATTTGAAAATACAAGAATATTCATAGTAAAGTTCGGATATACATGTAACGCGCGTTGTCATTGGTCGGAACAGCGTGTTCTATCAGAGTTTTTTATAATAAGCTCAGTTATGCACGTATTCTGATTGGTTCTCACTTATGGTCTATTGGAGGACAGACGTATAGATGACGTCATCATTAAAACCTTTTCTTCCGTATATTTTAATTCTTTATCATATGATACAAATAGATTCCAAGTTGCCGTGTGTCTGTTCAGTAATAGATCACAGAGAATGTCAAAACGTGTAAGATCAGTAACACACTCGGCTGCGCCTCGTGTGCCACATTTTGACGTCATCTGTGATCTATTTGTTAAACAGACGCACGGCAACTTGGAATCTTTTTGTTAAAAATAACAGAGAGCAAGAGAGCCAAACCTGTCACGCCAACTGCTAAATTCTACCTTTGACTGACCATTTCCCGGACTTTTCTCTAGCTTTTTTTCGTTAATTGAAAGTGAAATTTCGGAAAAAGGGAGACGGCAAATAGCAGCAGAAGAACTAAACAAAGGTTCTTAAACATGTCAAGCGCCGTAATTGACGTTATTATAACATGCGCAGAGACGAGAATCCTCAAAGAGAAAACGAAATGGACCGTCCGACTTTTGAAGGTTTTTACGCAGTTAGATAGCAAGCTTATGTATGATGAAAAAAGTCAAACACAGCTATTACTCGTATAGTATATATAGTTTCGTGTTCAAAAATAAAACCGGACAAAACAGGACTGATGAAAATATAGCCAAACTGACATACCGGTAATTTAAAACTCGTACTAATCATGACGGAATGAGAGCGACTGCAATCATACTGAGGTCCATCACGGCTAGCTTATCATGGCGATCTCCGGTCATCGCAGTGAAGCAAGCCTCAGAAGTTACATTGGCCACCCCTCGAGTGAACAACTAAGAGCTTGTTCTGAGGCCCTTTCCGATGCGTTTATTGGAAGGCTACATCAGTCTCGGCAGCCGAGTTTTACGGCACTGTCATCCCGAGCAATCTTTATATTCCTATGAATTCGGTTGTCGTTCATTCATAAAGCACACGCCTTGACCAGTTTGTGTTCTAATCGTCATGTGAACAAATTCTCGTGCTTTTATGAGCGTCAATTCGGCCACTAAAGAAGTGCGACAGTTCTCTCGTGCTTTAGCCGCTTCTTGCGTGCTTGACAACGGAAGAGAGTACAGTCAAGGCTTCCCTATTAGTTAAATATATGTTATTCGCCAGCCGGGAGATCCGTATTGGGAAAAACTGTGCCCGAGGTCTTGAGTACAAAGTTTTTCCCAATACGGATCGAGCTAGGCTGGTGAGAAACATTTTTTTTTTCCTAAAACTTCACGAAATTCCTGCCAAATGAACCCAAATGATTTATGGCTGTAATTACGGCAAGATTTTCCTTAAACTGAAAAATGTTTGAGCGAGTGAATGGCATTTAAAATAGAGGTAATGCAAATTAAAGAGAGAGACTTCATCGAAATATTTTCATTTGCGTAGCGATAAAGGTGATTAAAAAGGTTCCAAACAAGCGTTGAAACATTTTTTTTGTAAGTATCTGTCACAATCTGACACCTGTCAATTAGATACCATGTAAGAAAAAAAGCGCTGGTTTGGCAAACAAACTCAAGTTCAATGACTCTCACGACAATTTTTTTCTTCAAAACCATCTGATGACCTTACGGAAAGTATTATTCACTTCCATCGATGATTAGTGAACGAAGAATACCTCTGTACAATGCAGGGAAAGTAATTGTAAGTTAATTCAGATTATGTTTCGAAGTTGTGGGAGTTTGCTCGTTTGTTTGCTGCCATGGCGCGTGCAAATCTGCTCTTTTTCCACCAAATAACTTGAAGTCAAATGAGATACTTTAACAAGATCTAACTGGAATTTAACGCAAATTCATTCGGTTTTGTTGTGCAATTTAGGGTACAAATCGTCAAATTGAACAGTCTTGTATAGACTTACCGAAAGTGTATATTTAGTAGGACTGTAAACTTCGCCACAACGAAAAACTTGTTTGAGAGAATTCAGACATTAAATGAATGAAAGTTCCATCGATTAATTCAATTGTCAACAAATATCTAACAGTTTTAACTTTCTGAGTTACTTTTTTGTGAAGGATTAAAGTTATTCGAAAACTGTTTTTAAGCCGCATGTCAACCCATTTAATGACACATTTGCTACCACAAATTAATTTCGAAAACAACTATCTGCTGGCAACCAAAGTGATTTGAGAAAAGACACGACATTAAGTTATTAATCGGCTTGATTTGCTTAAAAATACTTTGCTCGAATATAACGCCCAGCCGGCAAAACAAAATTTATTTTTGGAAATTAAAAACGAAGCTAGGCATGATCTCGGTGACTCACGGAAGCGTTACCGTGCCCGTGGGCAGAAAAAAAATCTGGACCGCACTAGGAGCCAATCAGATTGCAGGATTCGTTACCGTGTCCTCTGAGAAAAAAAAATTATTTTTATCATTAGTTATGCAAATCCCTAAAAAGTACCCCAACAGAGGTATATGACGAGCAGGTTAGAAATGTGCGCATGGTTTCACTTTCCTACGAGGGTGTCTTTCATTTCCTCGCTGTTATGTCACGCTCCACGAATACAAAAATGTCATATTGCAACCCTTAAGTTGGAAAAATAAAATTCAAGTCACCTGGTCACATTGGGAAGCTTTCATACTCGGTAAAAAGCCGTGGCCTTAATGGGCCGGGTATTTAAACCAAGTTTAGCCTTTGTTTGACAAAATCGCGTCCTAAACAATCCTCAATTTAGCTGAACCTTTTATCTTACTTTTATTTATTTTGTGAAAAGTGTCAATAAGGCCGAAAGCCGAAAGCTAACATTTCTTAAGTGACTGATTGCGTGAAACCGTGGTTTGGGTTAGACCTCGTGTAAATAACCGTCCCCAAAAGGTTTTCAGTGACAATTCACAATTTCTTTTGTTGTTAGGCAATAAAACGTGCTCTTTGCCCTAGAAAGTGAAATTCCTCGTCATAATTGTAGTAGTTCCTTTGGCGCCTCTTTCAAAGACTTTTCATAGCATCTTACGCATTATGAAAATTTGACACAAGCAACTGATATCTGTCCTTTTTATTTTTCTGTTTCAGTTTCCGATATCAGGTTCTCGTGAAGTGGAGAAAATGACGGCTTGTGAAAACACATTACAGACAGGTGTACCTTTGCCGAGAGTTAAAATTTTCATTTTCGTCCGTAAATTAACTTAAATTCTGAAACAAGGAGTGACCGAGATCACAACTTAAGCTTTAGAGCAATCGAAAACAGTGGAAATTCAAACCGAGTCTTGAAATGATGAATTTTCTCAAGGAATTACTTGCGCCAAAAGCCTTCAACAAATCTAGTCATGTCCTAGTTTTAATTTGGTACGTGATGGGTGTAATTTTCCTTGGCATTTTTGGCGAAATAGGAAACAACGAGTCCACGCTTGATTTCCATTGTGGTGGAGTAACGAGTGAAAATATCGACCTCGTCCGGAAAAAATGTTTCGAGAAATACGATAAGCAGTACAACAAATACGGTCTTCCTATCTATGGCTTCATGCTCATCAATTTCTTCCTAATTGGAATTGTATGTGCTATTTACTCCAAACTAATGAGATCTACAGTCGATCAACTGACGCCAAGCACTCGTAACAGTGATCCCGAGAGAGAGCCGCTTGGCCAAGAGAACCCATCAACAAATGGAGAGAAGCTTTTCATCGCTTACTGCTGTCAACTATTCGCAAAAATGGTTGTAGAAGTCCTCTTTATGGTCCTACAAACTCAGTTGCTTTATCCAACTAAGTTTTCTTCTAAGTTTGACTGTTATTTAACCTTTGAAACCAATCCGCCAGAGAATTTTCACGAATGTCACAATCAACGAGCGGATAGGAAATCCTTCTGGATGCGCGCTGTCCTTGCAGTGAATGGAATTTTCGTTGCTGTCATTCTGATTGAAATCATCTACATGTTTGCACGGGCATGTAAAGAAAGGAGTTTCTTAAAAAACTCGAAGTTTCTAAAATCCCATCTTAATCCCAGTCATGAGAAGTTGCATCAGGAACCTCAAAAACGAGGAGGAAGAGTAGAACGCGGTCCACGACAGCCAAGAGTGCGTGAAGGCCGCCTGACCCAATTCGAGTTACACCGAGAACCTCAGAGGCAAAATGATTTTGTCCAACCACGAGACCAAGATTTAGGGTCAGATGACATTGACGGACATGGTAAGCCTGTACAGCTTCAACGATTCATCGCGCAAACAAAGAAGATAATTAAAGAAGACACCCATCGCCTCGTCGAACTCCTATCACCGTTTTTAGGTCCTCCAGGGGAACAAGCAGGAGCTAAATTTTTGACTCTGGATCAGATTTACACAAACTTTGTGGTCATCCCCAACAGGGTTATGTACGACTTTCCACCAGACAGACGAGAGCAACTCAAAGTTTATACAAGGTCGCGGGAGGAATCACGGCCGAAAATCATGGAAGATCTCCTCGATGGTAGAGCGAAAAAAGTTTTGATTGTTGGTCGACCCGGAATCGGCAAGACATTTGGTTTTACGAAATTTTTCAGAGACTGGGCACTTGACAAAGTTTTTAAAGAGACATCTGATGCCAAAATCCATTTTGATGCTGCTTTCCTCATGAAATTCAGGAGAATCAAATCGCTAAACGACCTTAGTCTCAGGGAACTACTCACTCACGCAGAACATTCCCCTTCAGATCACCTGGATGATGAGGTCTGGAAATACATCCAGCAGCACCCGGAACGTGTTCTCATAGTTTTTGAAGGATTCGACCGATTCAAATACGATGCAAAAATGGCCATGCCTTCTTTTCGTTCCACAAGCATTGAAGAGAAAATGCCGCTCCAAGTCCTTTATCAGTGGCTCGTGACCGGGAAACTTCTTAAAGATGCTACAGTTGTGACGACTACGAGGCCCAGGGCTTTATCAAGCATCGCACATCTTAAGTTCGACAAAATCTATGAAATCCTGGGGTTATCATCGGAACAAGTTAAAGAATATGTCTTCAAATACGCTGGAGATGACAAGCAAGTAGGCGAAACACTATGGCTACACATCAGCAGTAACACGAGCGTACTTTCGCTCTGTTATATCCCGGTGAACAGCTTCTTGATGTGCTCATGTTTATGGCAAATAATGCAGTTCCACAGGTCCACTGATATTGACTTTCCTTCCTATTTCACAAAGGTTTACAAGATTGCAGTGAAAGCGTTTTACCTTAAACACGCAAAAGGATTCCGCGATAAGCATTTCGGTCGCAAAGACTATGAATCAGATGATTTGCCCACAGAAGTGGAAGACCAATTCAGTATACTTGGAAGAGTAGCGTTTGAAGGAATCAAAGAAGGACAGCTGATCCTTGGAGAAAACGAAGCACATGGAGTGGAAGACAGCGTTCTTTTGCACCGTTTACCCGACCGTCTAACTGTTACGTCTGATCAAGAAGAACAATTCTGTTTTATTAATCTAACGATACAAGAGTTTTTCGCTGCACGGCACATAGCAAACACCATGAATGTACCAGAATTGAGGAACTTTGTGTCCGAGAACATGCAGAACGGCAGATGGCAACTGGTTTTTCATTTCCTATCAGGACTAATGTCTGAAAGTGAACGATAAAGATTATAGCTACCGAGCGCAATAATCACAAACCTTTTTCCTGTAGAAACTGCGTAGTTACTAAAAGAAGGAATGACCTAAAATGATCTACAATGACCTACAATGATCTAAATCATTAGAATAATTGAAATGGAGAAAATAGAGTTTTTCCTGGTATTCACACAATTACAGCAAGAGGTTGAGAAAACTTCCAAACGTTCACCAAAAACTAGTCTTTGGTTCGTCATCGGAAAGCTTTAAGAAACTACCATCGGTAATTTTCATCAACCGAAAGTCTTAAGAAACCTTCTACATTCATTTATTCGTGTTAAGTTCTCTCGGGAGTCAATTATCGTTACCATCAGAAATCCGATCGTTTATTTGAGTCGTCACGCCATGCTTCTGCCCAGAAACCCTTTATGACGACTGACAAACAACGGATGGTGGGAAGACAAACTTGCCTCTCAGGTTCCGCGTTGTTCATAGGGTGGGTAACCCTGTCCATTGAATAAATCTCTATCTGGTGGATAGCACAGTACGTTTTGTTACTACTTATCTGGCGCCGGATGGCGATTTATCCATTGGATAGCGTTACCCACCCTTAAATAACTGGGCGCTAGTGAGAATTCGTCCTATTGTAATTTGTAATTCGTGGTAGATTGCTGAGGGTAGATTTAATTGGGACCATCGTACTAAAGTTGGGTAATGTATTCAAGAACATTTGTCAAAAGTTTTACCCTTACATTTAGAATGCAGCAACACTAACGCTTTAGGTCGTAAACTACTGAGGATTCGAATAACTGCGTGGTAACCAGCTTAGATAGAACTACAACCTTACAGATAGACCATGAATGAAAGCAAACTAAATTTGTGAAACGCTTACAGAAGTAGGATAATTTGAACCGGCTCCAAAATTCGAAATGAAAAGTTAGCCAAGGAACATGTTTAGTAGGAGCATAGGATGTAAAACTTTTTAATTAAACTAAAATTGAAGAGAAAAAACAGCTGTTTTGTAGGGTATAGTTGAGATTGATCAGATATATCAATTTGAACATTTTTTTAGTTTTCTGCAGTTCTTGTAAGTATCAGTGTGTTTTTGCTAAGGGCCTGTTACTTGTATAATATAATAACATGTCAATAAGTTGCACTGAAAATCAGAAGATGAAGCAACCAGTACTTGTAAAAAGAGCTAGAACTTCTAAATAGATTATCGTAAAATAAATTTTCTAAACGGATGTGTACTTTTTGTTGTGATTGAGTTATTCCCTATGGAGAACAGCAAAGGCAGAAAGAACGAGTAGGGAGGGCAGGGAAACCTCACAAAGAATTTAAACCGCAATAAATTTTTTTATTGCAGCTTTAAAAAATACAAAACAGAACAATTGATTCACTTTCAATTTTTTCCACATTTTTTTCTAAATGTAAGATTTTTTGTTTTTAAATTTCCATAATTTTTTGACGAATGCGAAACTGTCTTAAGACTCAGTCTGAAAAACCAGTCGATTAAAATTCCTGTGTCCAATCACCTTCAGTCCACAAATCTCTTAATCCCATCAAAATGCATGTCACAGAATAGACGTGTGTACTTTAATTCTGGTGGTTACAAATTTCGTTTTGCACAGAACTTTTCCCCTCTCCTTCTCTTTCGCTACCAGAATTTATCAATAAGTAATTTCTCCTTACAATCTAATACTCTAAAAGCAGAAAGATACTGATTACATCACAGCTCTCACCTCTGCGCCACCCACAAACATTTTGGAAATCTAGAAACTGGTTTACCACTCTAAATATTCTTCCAAATCTAAACTGTTGTTAGCAAGCGGCTGAAATGGAGAGATTCTCGAAATCGTTTGTCGTTTAATATTGACGGTTGACAATAAAAAATCTATCCTTTTTGACGGCTGTCGGCACTAGTAGCCCAACAGGTAATTTAGTGTTAACAACTGAGTTGAAAACGTAAATTGACCACCGTGAAGAGTTTAAAGGCTGTTTCGTCAGAGCTATTGACGAAGGGCTAACCCTCGAAAAGTCAGCCTTTAAACTCTTCACGGTGGTCAATTTACGTTTTCAACTCAACTTTGAAACACTTATTTACCTGTTATACTCTCCCACCGACGCAGCACCAAAGTTTCGTTAGAAACTTGCTCTATTCACTAGTAGCCCAAGCTCGCAAAATGAGCTTCCGTGAATGTGCCAAAATGTTTGCGCTGGTTAATGTCTGAAATATAAGGATTTGTATGGGAACAACCAGTCGCAGTCTAGACCAAACTTACCTTGTTCAAGTGGATGTTCTTTTGTATCGTGTGAGTTTCTTGGGATAATTTAGGGCCGTTTAGCTCGGTTTAAGTTCAGGTGCTTTGCCCTCTATATAATCCTTTCCCAAAGGCCTAGCCCTGTGTGACGTCAACCGAACGAATCTATTGGAATCAAACCGCTGTAAATTCGCTCAGGACGCCCTGATCACGACGAAATTCCATATAACTGAATCCCGGATGGTACTTCACGCTCGTGTTCCTCTTTCGAGGGTCATTTACAATAAAGTGGAATTAAACGCCGCCAATGCCTGCCTAAAGGTTCTCTAAGAGCCTTCAGATGAGGCGTTACTCTGATACCGCGAGACTCATACCGAAGAAGCTTTCCAATTATGGTAAAATTATTTACGTTGGGGTGAATGGCTGCTAATTGCTCCAACCCTCAGGCCTGACTTCCCCTCTTACGCTGCAATTGCGCAACATGAACATAGCTGCTTATTTTGGGGAGGCTCGTTTTGCGAGCTTGGTATACTTGTGTTATCGGTTAAATTTTCAGCCCTTTGACGGGTAATAATTAAATCCCATACCCTCTTAACACGAGATATCGCCTCTCTAGGGAGAAATATAAACAAGCTGAATCAACGAAAACCAGCTTTCGCTGTTTTGTCAACTGTTATGGAAAATCGTGCGCTCAATTTAATATTCAGAAATATGAGTTCCACCTTCTTTGTCACGCTATTCTGAGCGAGCGATCACTTTGAATCCACTCGGTGACAAACAATGATTAAACCAAGTGCTGTTACTTACAGCCTTTACGTTGATGCTAATTGATTCCTCTACATATGGAAAGCAAAACACATTTTTTAATTCTGGGTACTAAGAGCATTCAATAGTTTTAAAAATCTATTTTACGAAGGAAACAAGGTGAAATTATCAATTCGTGGGGCCAACGAACACAGACTGATTTTATCGTAGTCTATCTTTTTCATTGAAAGAATACGCGCAGATACGCGAGATTTATATATGCAGAACTTTTCTTTTAATATGAGGTGATCTCCACATTCGTGAACGCAACTTTAAGCAGCTGTAACAATAAAGCTTGAGTTCATTGCTGCGAAGATCACTCACATATCAATCTGCAGTTCACTTAAACGGTTTTCACATGTTCACAGTCAGAGCTTTTCTTTGTTTACACAGCATCATCTGAACACAAGGGGTTTTGGCAGAAATCGAAACAGTTTTCCAAACCCAAGACACAGCGGGAGGTCGAGTTTGCCTTTAACTGAAGGAGCAGCGAAAAGAGTGATACTTTTTTCTCTCTCTCCAAAACTTTTAATGTACGAATGACTGCTTAAAACCACACTTTTTAAAGTTACACAACCCTCGCAAGCGTAAAATATAAATATAAGTCCCTTTACTCTACATCGCAGGGATTTGATGAAACATCAAGCGAGTCAATGGCGACTAAAAACAAACAAACGAATGAACTGGCAAATATTGACAGTCACATTGCTATAAGGTTTTTTTGTCAACACCAAAGAAAAAAGTATTCACGCTAAGCAACTCGAGAGCATTGCTATCATATTTACAAGAATGCAAAATAATGTTGGCTTCTCTATTCATTAAGCTGACACAAAAGAGCTGTCCCCTTCTCAATCCAGAAGTCTGAGGAAAGGTCTGTAGGAAGATATACCGCCACCACAAAATTTGTCGAATGACCTGCAAAAGAAATTGGGTTTTTCAATCAATGTTTTAAGCCCCTTTTCACAAATGCACAAGTAAATACTTTTTTCGTGGTATGTGCCTACCTGTAGTGGACAGCACACCAGCTCGAGCAGAAGTTTTGTACAGTGGAGATGTATACAGCGAAGGATCTGGTGTGTAGTTCATCCGGGGTTCCATGTGCAGAATAGGGCATGGCTGAATACAAACACATCGGGAATGCAGGTTTAAGTACATAAATTTTTACGTGTTGCACCCCGAGCAGAGAACTTTTCCAACCAGCATTGATAAAACGAATACTTACCGGGTTCATCTCGCCATCCAAGGCATCCCCCAGCATCATTTTGTCATCATCCCAGCGAGCGGCGTCTATGAATAAACCGTGTACCAGTACTCCGTCCTCGGGAGACTCTATCTCCTCATCCATTGGCAGAGTGTCGTCTGGGCCAAGTTTAGCGCGCGCCTCGCTGACTTCCTCTTGGCTGCGATAGTGAGGCAGAACGTTATAGTGGAAAGACAGCTGGTCAATTGGTTGATTGTACTTGCGAGCGTGGTTTTGAAGTGTTCCGGTCAGGAAACCTGGCAAAACAATATAATCAAGAACTGATTTCTTCATGTAACAACAGTAAGATTGTTAGCGATTAAAATTTGAGCTCATTCCAAAGACATTTTAACTACAATTATCTGAATCGTCTAATGCAATGTGAGTGACACTTAGATGTTTGGAAACTTGCTGATTCGTCTCTGAGCGGTGTTAAGCCACTTAAAATTATGCTTCCGTTTAAAAATTATGCTTACGTTTAAACCGCTTTGTGAGCGAATCACATTCGGAGCATCACCGACAGCTTTAGTAACGATTTGCCAAAAACGACTCAATGACGAAAGCAGAGAGCAATGAAAATAAAAAGTACAGAAAGAAATAAAGCACTCACCCTGAGGATAGAAAAAACCGGAGATCCAAAACGACTTGGGTACTCCTCGTTCAATCCATTGCTAGAATGGTAGAAATAAATAACACGCTAGTAAAATTGAGAGATTCAACCAAACTTTAGTATCTGGACAGTTTAGTTGAATAACTTCATGAAATAGAACTAGGGAAAAAAATAACAAACTATTAACATACAGTTTACCTTTCTCGCAGTTCAACCCCGGATTAAAAAAATTAAATTAAAAATACTGGGACACGCTCTCACAAAAATAAAAAGAGGTCACTTACTTCAATAAACATGCATCTGAGAAGCAAATCCTTCACCCACGAACCAAGGGGTTTCAATGATGGATAGGCAGCGTTCGCCCACATTGTTGGAACCTTGAAAACACAAATTTTACAGTTATCTGAGGAAAGACCATGTGAACTACAGTCATAACACCCTTAAACGGACTGACATCTTAACTCGTGGGAGGCAGGACAAAATGGGAGTGCAAGCGTCTTTTTGTCTTCAAGTCTACCCTTAAAAGTGACTAACACCTAATTTCTCTATAACAGTATCACCCCTATATCACACAGAAAGGTCACGAAATAGAGGAAATGATCACCAACTAAAGCTCTTGATTGTTGAACATATTCTCCTTGTCAGCACATTAGGAAATGTATAAAGAACAGCATTGAGAATATGCATATTCATATGAATAAAAGATGGAGGGGGACGAAAACGGGGGAAATCGAACCTGACTCACCTGATTGTTCAAAAAGTTTGTGTAAACTTTGTCCAACTCCAGTGACATTACTACCAAACCCTTAATGGCTTTCTGAAGCTGCTGTAGAGAAGTCTGAAAATAAAAAAAGATATCAAACAAGATGTCCAAACTTGGAAGTTTTACAGTGGACGGATACAACACTTGATTAGCACTCGCTTGAGACTCTCCGAATAGATCTACTAAATGTCCTTTAATACAACAAGTGAAAAGAAAAGTCGATATTGAGAAAATGGTCATTTCAGTTACATCAGTTGTAACCTAAATCCAGTTAAAACCCCCGAAACCACACACACACACACACACACAGTACCTCTTGGTGTGGCTCGCTCCCAAACGAGCGCCGGCTTCCACACACAATTAGTACTGTTTAAGGATAGACCCGAGTAACGGAAAGGAGATAAATTATTAGCTCACCTTGATAACTTTCAAAAGAGAGTTAAAACGATCCACTTCCTGTCCAAGCACAGTGGTGAGTGAGTTCACTCGACCTTTTTCATCAGTCTGAAATGTAACAAGGAGAAAATTAACAGGGGAAAGATGGCAAAGAATAAGAGCCTACGGCAGCGTAAATAGCATCATCGACAAAAACAGAAACATGTGGTTCAGTTCTACTTTTCTTTGTTCAGAACTCCTCTCCCTTCATACCATATCAAAACGTTAGGAAACGAAATGGCTTTTTGAGCTACCATATTACGATAAAGCAAGGTAAGACGAACATCCGATTAGTTTGAATTCTTACGTCAAATATTGCTTTATCTGCTTTCTCCATGTCCAACAGAACAGGCAGCTTGGAGAGAATACTGTCAGCTAGTTCATACACAATCTCGTCACTTGTTTTCCCACTTCCTCCGCTGGCCAAACGAGGCTGTACCTCTAACACTGTAGTAATCAGGGCATTGGTCTCTTGAGTCTGTCGAGTAATGTGTTATGCAAGTCACTTCAACGTTTAATAATTTCTTCCCTCGTGTGGAGATTCACACCCCTTACCGGGATGCAAGTTCAGGCTTCCCTAACGGATCAAAAAATCCATTCTATACTCCTTTGGATGAAGAGAGGCACTGTGGGAGGAAAATGTCTTTTCAAAGAACACAAGGGATCGAACCTAGACCTCTGATATGGAGAGAACTGCGTTAAACACCAGGCCACCCCGTTTAACTCCCAAAGGTGGAATGGGGGGGGGGGAAGGGAAGCAATGTTGCGGGTCCAGATAAGTTTCTGCCATCTAAACCACTACGCTCCTGTCCGTAAGTTTTTTTTTTAATGGTGTTTAAGTTTACCCGTCCAAAGCTAAATTAGTCTTACAAATACATGACCTGGAGCCAAAAAGACGCAACAATCTCTGATATGGACTTCTACGTCTTAAGCTACTCGAGAAAATGCATGAGGCTAAATCAAAAAATAAACTTTGTTCTTACCTGGAAAGCGATATTCGCATTGTTGTGCATTCCAAACACTTCAGGTTCATCAGCGATGGGAAGACTGTCGATGTAATCTCTGTACTCCGGTAAACCGTCAAATCCGGGTGGGAAGTAGATACCTGATGATATCATACATGAAAGGGTATAATGGTCAGTCATCGTGAAACATGAGAGAAGCTCAGCGTACCAAAGATTCGTTTTGAGATCTTATTATGATATATCTCATAACACCTAGGCCGTATGGCTTATGAATTGCCAGAAGTAACTGCTTCACATCATCATAACATAGTTCACGATCGGTGTTATGCTGTCTTGTAGTACCTGATTCAGAAAATTTGTACCCATCTTCCAATATTGCTGGCGCAAAGAATCTTCCGAGGATTGTGGTCAAACACCGTTGATCCCAAGCATCAGTGACTCGGCCTCCATAGGTTATCTGTGAATAATCAAAGCCACCTTGTCAAGTTTCCATAACTACTGGTGGGCAAAAGGATGGATATAGTAATAATTGGCGTATTTAACCCTTAAACTCCCATGATTGACCCTAACAGAATTTATCCTTACAATATCATTACAGTGTCACTCATATAAGTGATGAGAATAAAGAAATTGTCTATTATGGGATTATTGGTTGATCTAATACCAAATTCTCCGAACAAACATCAAAAGAATTGTATGGCAGACAGTAGGGAGAATTACTAAAGAGATCTGGGAGAGAAAGGGTTAACTATTCTTAGATGAAGTGCGCTCTCTAAATCCATGGTATATTAAGACAACACGAACGAGGCGAACAGGATAATAGCCACACTACGAAAGAGGCTTGTTGGCAAGCGAGTGCCATTTTGTAGTCAGGAAAGTGACGACAACAGCACGAGGAAAAGAGGAAAGAAAAAAACGTCCTTCACTTCCCTTCCCGCCCCTCCCCTCCCCTCCTCTCCCCTGTCCCTCTCCTTACTGATACTCTTCAAGCTGTTATGTACGAATTTCAGTCCACAAGCTATCTATCGAGATAAGTAATTAACACGTCACCTCTCCTGTGATAAAAGTAAGTGCATCCCATGGAATCTGTCCTTCTGCTAAGAACATCTTTAAATTGTCCAGCGCTGATTCACGATCAGAGTCGTTAAACTCATACTAGCGATGAAAGTTTTGACAATAAAAATTATCAAGTAGCGTAACAAACTAAACATGTACTTAAAAAATACTACAAACACATATAAATGTGCTTCAAATACTAATATTCTACCACTGAAATCTTTATCAAATTCATAAAAACAGAAACGAATAAAAAAAAAAACCACAAAGAAATTTGATACGTTAGCAACTTTTATGATTTAATATTTAAGACTTTAGATTCAAAAATCTGTTAGGAGTCTATCTCTTAATTTTCTTTTACGAAGAAAAACGGACTTGCAAAACTGAAAGAAGGCATCCAAACTGTTTCACGACTGAAGAGTCCCTTGTATAGTAGCGCTCATAAGGAACCTACAGTTTGTGTATCTCGAATGATATATCCCATTTTTGTGAGGATATTTGCATTAAAAACAGAAAAAAATCAATTCAAAATTCAGCATCCAGTCGCTTACTAGTTTAAGAGACGAATATAACACTAACCTTGATGTTCCAACCGAGTGGACCAAACTTCTTCCGTTCCTGAATGATGGCATGAAAGAAACAAATTCCAAACACCAGCTTCCGCCATGTTACGCCGAGAACTACGAGTTAAAAGAAATCGTATTTAAAGACAAGGCCACACATCACTCAGGAGAAAAAGACATAAGAAAGTCCTGTTAAGTAGCATGAAATTAACAGAGAACCTCTGAGTAGTTTACAACAGTGCAATTTGCGTGAAGTGATGTGAAACGGGCACAGCAAGGTTGAACAACTGAGTAAAATATAACTGGCCAGCGCTGAGCCATTTAATTTTTGTCTGCGCAAATTCGAAGAATGAGCAGGATGGCTGATTACGTAGACTAAGAAATTATTGATTTTAACATACTTATTAAACACCTGAACTGGAGAAAAACACTTTATGCAGATCACAAGAAAGAACCTTTCAGCATTCATGTAAGCTACACCCAAACGTAAATATGCATATTTTCCACGCTGTCATCTACAAATTCATTTTGGTACTAAAAGGGAGGAATTTTTTTAACGATCAAGAGCTTCTAAAGTTAGTGATCATTGTCTTTATTCTCATGACCTTCATGTTTGATTCAGGGGTGATACTATCAGGAGAAATTAGGTGCTTGTCACCCTCAGCAGTAAAAGCTTAAAGGAGCTATGGTGTGTTTTAAAATGAAGATATAGTATATTAGTATATTAGTAGATTAGTATATTTAGTCAAAAGCAGTATTATTAAGATTTTTATTCAATCGTTTTTGATTAGTCACGTTATTCTGTCAGAAAAAAGTGTTGCGCGACAGTCTCAATAACGAAAAGATGGGAGGTAGCTCTTACTATGGTTTTCAAAAGAGTCAGAGCTGAGTTCTCCAAATGCTCTCTTAGCATTGGCTCTGAGTCCTTTTGGAGGCTCATTCGTCACTTTGACACTGTTTTGTAAAACCGTTACTGGAAAACTTTTTGTTGGCATGGAGCTCAAGAACAACCGGAAGTCCTCGTGCACTTCCGCTTCTGGTGACGATAGATTCTTTATAAGGGTTTCCATTGCCAACATCCAGGAGGCGGCGAGATGACAATTCTAGAAAAATGAAACGACAAGTATAATAAGAGAACAAAACAAATAAAAACTTCAAGCAAGACAAAACACACTTGCAGGAGAATTGTAGGGGGAGAACTTGGAAATAGAGTGAGCTTTTTTGGATCTGCTTTTGTTCTCAAAACCAGACCGAGACCAACTGATCAAGTCACGCCTGGTAAAAAAAAACTCTTACCTGAAGGAAGATCCAGTCTCCTGTCTTGGTTGCATTAGCGATCATTTTCTCTGCTACGGGCCCTTGTCCTTGACCCAACGAGATCGCCTGTATCCTAGATAGAAAGTGCACAAATATGTTTATTAATAGTAGAGGCTAACCTTGTAAAACCCTTTTGTGTCATCCCTTAGAGATCATTCATAGTCAGTCACTTGTAAACCATTTGAATTGCTGAAGCAATAAACCGGAACAGATGTACAAATATGCCGTAACAAAGCAATTCGATTTTACCTCTCGCTGTAACTCATGTCTCTGGCGAATCTGAGGAAGGCGTTCATTGGATCGGAGCCAGTGGAAAGAATGAATATGAGAGGCGTGGTTGGCCCTACGTCAGAATATAGAGTATTAAGGTCTATGGACGGACTCTCCACAAATGTCTTGCCCAGGTTCTCACAAACGAAATCCACGGCAGCAAACACCACCTGCGGAATAATGAAACACAATGTGAAAAGTCGTCATTAAAACTAACTCTCCATGGCGCTGTTTCTCATCTTAGCAGCGAAAAACGAAATTTGTTATTGACGCGACACTCAACGAAGGAGTAGAATGCTGCAGACACCGTACATTTACATCTCCAACATTGAATAGTACATAGGAAAATTGACACTGATCAAGTTTAGGGATACCAAGAGAAAGTAGTAAATTGCTATACATAATTTTAAACATGGTTTTCAGAGCATGCTTCTCCTATAAGCAATGTGGTAAAAGAAAAACCTTATCATGTGTAGCTGAAACACCCCACTTCCCCCTCAATGCTATGTACTTTAAATGCGTTTCAAATTTTGCTGTCTACAATCTTGACAAGAGGGAACAGTAAAACGTTTCAACAATTTCAGGGTTGGATTTTTTTTCTGCAACACACACAAAAAAGACATTTACCTTCTCCTCCCTGAATGCTTTGATAAATACCAATTTTTGAAAACTCGAGAGGCGATCAACCAGACTGGATTGTTCCTCGGCCTCTTCAGTCGCCTCTGTACTTTCACTTGTTGCTGTTGATCTACCATCACTATCCTCTTTACCCGCCGTTAATAGTGGAGAGTTTGCGCATGCCTGATACAAGGGAAAACGGATATGACTGTTAAGACTTTATCTAGTGCAAATATATAGTATGTCCTGATTCAAGAACACATCTTCTTAAATATTTTCAGTCGTAGAAGAACAATGATCCTTTCACCCTTTTCACCCTAACATCAGTATGCATATTCTCCATACTGTTCTCTATACATTTCCTAAGGTGCTGACTGGGAGAATTTGTCGAACAATCAATAGCTTCTTTAGGTTAGTGATCATTTCCTTTATTCTTGCAACCTCGATAATTGATTCAGTGGTAATATTGTGAGGAGAAATTAGATGCTGGTTGCAGGGTCAGTGGGTAAATGGTTTGGTTAACAGATTGAAGAGTGGTAGTTGACGGCTTGATGGGTTCGTTTATTTAAGAGCCAGGAAGGTTATTTAACAACAAGTGTGAAGATAATTGAGCGTAATTATAAAACTGTGTTTACCTCAATCGAGCCAATCTTGACTATGACAGGTTTGCTGACTATTTCCTGTTTCAAGCCACCAAAGGCCGGTAGGGAATCCTAAAAGAAAGCAATTAAATAACAAAACAAAAAGAGAATTCAGCGTAAAGAGAAACAAACTGTTAAAAAAAGAAAAAGATAGATGGTCACGTGCTATAAAGATCTCGTCAATTTCATTGTAATGTTTACTGATTCAGAATAGCTATTTATTTTCAATCCTCACCGGTATATTAAGACCTGACCTAACTTAGCTTCATGGCTAAGTAAGTGAAAGCGCCACACCGGTATGACAGGAGGCTTATGGGCTCCAATTGGTTCAAGCCTCAATTTGTTTTGACAAAAGCCATGATGTGTACATAACTCTTACGATTTCTTGTTAGCCAGAAAAAAACTTCATTTTCTTCACATAAACTGTGATAATTTTTTATTTCGTAACATGTTTTAGCCTGTTTGTTTGGGCGCTTCGAATAAGTTGAAACGGTGCTGAAGCCAGTTCTTGTAGTGGAGTCTAAAAGTATTCCAAACGTACCTCTAGATCACAGCAAGTGTTCCAGGTTTGTTCTGTTAGCCAGGCAATATCAGGCTTCGGTGGACGTTCCTGTGATAAATGATACAAAAAAAAACCAATTTGATTCAGAAATGCTGCGGGTGTTACGAGAACCTCTTTAACATGCCAGATGTGCAGGACCCGTACACACGTGTCCTTTGACAAGTGCCTATGACTGACTTACCTTGTCTAAGCTTCCACTTCCTCTGAGGAAAAAATTCCATTCGTCGTCTGATATGTCTTCTCTTTGACGCATGATCTCACCGCACAACATGAACGAGAACACAAGCTTGTCTTTTTCAAACAAACCCCTGAAATACAAGGGCACGCCGGCCAAAAAAAACACATATCAGACATTAATATTTCAGCTTAAACTATAAAAGCAACGTAGCAAAGACTATGTTAAATTCTTTAAGGATGTATTAATTGGTGTAAAGCCATGGGAGTAGGGGTGGGTGTTTAGTCCCTTTAATCGTATAAGGGGCATGCATTGAAAGCTAGTTACTAAGACCCACAAAAACTGCAAATTTTCTGCGTAAACGATTGAAAATAAATCAAACGTGCGGCGCTCTTCTTTTAACAGAAAGCAGGAATTTGACAGTAATCAGAGAAAGACACCGCATAACCGCGAAAGAGGTCGAGGGTTCAAACCCCAGTATGGAGCAACTGACCCATTCTGACTGAAAACCTCAGAGACCTTTGATTGCTTCCAATAGCGGACTCCGACCACAGTCAGGTGAACTCTTCGGTTTTCTAACTCAGAGAGCAATGAGACAGTTATAACCTTGTGTTGGTCTTGGCGGGAGACTGACAACCCACTTTTAGGAACTTTTTTATCAAATGGCGCATCAATTCATATCAACTTTTATAATGAGTAGCATTCTTACCGTGCGACGTTGGTGTAAACAGAACTAGTGCAATTGGCGAGCAGAATTTGAAGTCGCTTGTCCAAGTCATCTGTCTTCTCGCTGTTCTCGATACAAGTGTTGAACAGCTTTAAAATAAATAAACAAATAAATAGAATAAATTTCTTCAATCAGAGCCAAAATGGCACAACTGGCTGTTACTCTTATGCTTAAAAACGAGGCGCACATCACACCTGCTTAAAGTACTTGAGGGAATATTGGTACATAGTGTCCACCTCGGCCATGCTCGCTACCACAAAGTACATGACAGAGCCGCGTGTAGCCACAGGGCGGTACTTCTCACGCGCTAATGTTATCTTCTCCTCAGTCGTCTCGGCCTCTTTCAGCCGAGTGCTAATCACACCAGAAGTGACCTAGTGATAAGGCAAAAAGGATGTCATAAATAACCTGTCAAACTGTCTAATAATGATCGTTGGAGGTGATGTACTCGTGTGCTCTCACCTTGGATTCATTGAGAGTGTTGATAAGCACTTCGTCATCAAGAATATTTCCTTCAGAGTGAAACAAAAGTTTAAGGATTCTGTCCTCGATGGCCTTAAGTTGGTTTTTGTCGGAGTTTATTCGTATAATAAGCTGATTTCTCTGATCTTCCAGATCTGGTCTTTCTAGACGAACAACATCACTGCAAAGGAAATTTGCGGAAATCAGCTTCGAGTAACAATCATACCATGAACGTTCAATTTCGCTTTATATCAAAATCAAACATTCAGCCCGAGAAATTCCAGCAATTACAAGTCAGAATACCTGAGCAGCTGATCTTCAAGGCCTGACTTAGTAACGGTGAAGTTAATAATGGTCACTTTGATGCACACTTCAGGTAGATAATGAGGATTGGCCAGTTTAGTTGTCATATAAAACCTGACGTCAAAAAAAACAGATAACAATTAATGTGTGACGTTTAACAATTTTTTATCACATTTAACCAATGTTGTTGAGCTTATTTTTGTGGAATGAAAAAGGTTTTTTATCTCCCTGAAAGTGAAAAATGTAATAGTTTAACGATGATAGCTATTGTAACAGAAGCCAAAAAACTATTCTCCAATATTTTAGTTAAATGTAAAGTAACAAATGAGTAACATACTTGAAGTTCTTGTCATAGTCAATATCACTATCACCCAGACGGATCAACAGACGTCCACCCTACACGAGAAAAGAAAATCTGCATCACAAAAGAAAACAATGAAGATAACAAAAGACAACCATATCACTATGTCTACAACACGACTGGTTGTGGCAGTCACGACAACATTTTTTCAATTTACCTGTGTAAAAGTCTGTTTCAATAAGATTGGTTCCAGAGCAGGGTCCAGTGTCTCGCCGACTTCCTCTAGTAACACAGGCATCCCGATACGGATACAGTTCTCAAGGGTACGCAAGAAGTTCTGGTCGGTAAGCTTGATCACTTTAAGACCATTCTTGGCTTCTTTTGCTCGGATCCAACGGTTGGCCTAAACAGTTCGTCAGAAAACAAAAAACATACTTGTCCTTATCGTTTTGACTCCGATAATCTGTCTGTCTGTCTACTCTGTGTTTGTCTGTCCAAGTCTGTCTGTCTGTCTGAATCAGTCTGTCCATGCCTGTTTGACTGAGTCAGTCTGTCTGTCTAAGTGTCTACCTGTCTATCTGTCTGTCTATCAGACTTACTGACTGATTTCTCTTCGCTCGCTAGCTTATTTATTTGTTTGTGGTTCTGTAAATCTTACTGAAACTAACCTGATCCTGGGGATCGATCATTAAAGGCCATCGCCGGCCCCTGGTCACCAAAATGGCGTTCTCGATTGACACCTACAGGAAAAATAATTTACAAAAGCTGACAAATAAGCTACTAAGGAAAAAAACAAGAGTGTAAGAAAAAAATTTCTCTGTTTCTTCGACGACAACAAAAGTAAGAAATGCAAAAAAAGTGTTGCGAGCTTTTTTTTAAGCAATACCTAAGGGGAAAAATCTGAATTGGGGCATGTATCACGACTTACTTTCGGAAGCCTATCCCAACTTACCGAATCCCTCGGAAGCCCATCTGCATTCCACTGTCTTATTTCAAAAGGATCGGCCAGCACATTGATGAGACTAAAGTCATCTGACACAGGAATTTCCAATTCTTTACAGCGTTGGATCCAAGATGAGATCAGCTCCTGGCGGTAGAGACTTGTAAACGCACCAAAGTAAGCCACACAAGCTGCTGCCACGAAAACATTTCCGACCACGTTACCAATCTCTAATTCAAATGCCTGACATTTGAAAAGGGAAGTAAGCATTAAATTTCGCTCAGTAATGTTCAGACAAATCTACCCTTCTCCCCACCCCTCTCTCAGAGGAGTTCACCTCCTTGCGAGCGATTCTCCAAAGAACAAACCAGATTATGAAAGAGTGCACTGAGTTCGAAAGTAAAATATAACGCTGTTCGAACTTTGTGAAACAGGGATGTGCCTTACAACAGACAAACCGTTAAATGAAAACATTCTGATTATCTATTGATGACATACCGCCACATTCTCTGTCCAGCGTCCCTGTTCATCTCCCAGGGCTGTTGTTAGCTTGGATGCCCTCTTCAAACGAGCCGCAGTTTGTGCGATGTTCTTTGTCAGCGTTTCCTTCTCAGCAATACTATTGTCATAGGCTGCTTGAAGCTCTGCAATCTTTGGTTGGAAATATGTAAGTATTAATAATCGAATGGAGCATACTTATTCAAAATATTGTCTTTGAGCGGCTTGTTTTGTGTACAATCAGTATCTGAAAGTTGCCCGACTCTTATCCATTAAATTAAATTTTATGTTAGGCAGGTCTCATTCGATGCTAATCGAAGCAGCGACTATTGACGCAGTTCGTAGATATTTTTTGTTTACAAAAATTATAGTCCAAATCACCACTGTAATTTTTATTAGACTCAAACTTTAAAGGAAATAAGATGGTCTGCGCAGAACAGCAGTTTTCAAAACCACGAAATGCTCCGATTACGCCGATAACACATTCAGCTACCTTAAAAAGAATCTCACTCAACGATTTTTTTTCCGTCCAGGTCCTGAAATTCAGTTGGCAAACTTCAGCCCTTTATTAAGAATGCAAGACTTAGCAAGAGCCCTACATCTCACTCTTAAATGTGTATTTGATGCTCAAATTTAAGGAGAAATTGACAGAAAATGAAAAGCAAGAACCACCACAACCGTCAACCACAAGTAATCTGAAGAGAGAATCTTTGTCTCGCACCCTATCGTTCTATATACGGGTACCTTTTCTTCCACCGCAGCCAGGCTATCTTGTTTTTCTTTTAATGTCGCCATAACAGCATCTAATTCCACTTGTGCAGCAGCAAGTCTGAAGAAAGGTAACTTGTGATTAAGGACGGCTCAAGGGTTGGTGTTTATTTATGCTCGTTAAAATGTCTGTACTTCCAACAGCCACCTTGATCAGTGACCAAACGCGCTAAAATTATTGACTGTCACAACATTAGCTGATAATCAAATTCGGAGTCGAATGATACAGACTTACGTTTGGAATATAACACTGAGAATGACATTCAGTTTTAATTATTAATACATACCTCTTTTTCTTTGGCTCCACCGTACGGAACACCCGAGCATACAAATCCATAGCGCGTACCCACATCACCATGGACCGACAAGCCTGAGGAAATAAAGTCCGTTGCACAGATTATTAAGAACTAAAACAATCACCGCTACATGTACCCGGCTATCTGAGATAACCTTGATCAACTACTGACTTTGAACCCTCTTACCAAACAATAATCTGGCAAATGTCCTACGAAAAAGCCTTGTAAAACGTCAGAAAAGCACGTGCGTAACTTTTCTGATACGAAGTTCCTTTACTCCCTCTCCCTCAAGTTGAATTAAAGGAGGTTCTAAAGGGTTTTTGACCGCGCGATATCTAGATGCAAACATAGCGCGAGCTTTAATAATATCAACAAGCGAAACAAACGTTGCGGCTCGAGACGATCGCACGACTTTTATCCAAAAGGTTTATTAAAACAGTATAAAACTACGTAGTGTTCATGTATTGAACTCGGGGTTTTTCCAGCAACTATACCCATAATATCTATAGGCCTTCTACACCTGAAAAAGAGGTCAACAGAAAAGAAAACACGGGGGGAAAAGATTGCTAAATGGCGACAGACTCAAAAGCTTTACGGTTTTTATCGTCTGCAAGCAACATCTTTTTCTGGCTGTTTCAGTCACTGGATACACGTTAATTTTTTTATTAAGACAATTATTCGCCGCAAAGACGGACTAATTATTGATATTTGGCTGATTAACACACCTTCGAAACTTTCTCCACATTTTCTGGCGTGAACTTTGGGTTGTCGATGTATTTTTTCAGTTTCTTCAGAGTAGAGTCAGGGATATTGTCCTGGAAACAAAACAAGCATAGAGGGTATATAATTCCTATATACAATTTGTTACAAATTCAAGTTCCTGCACAAATAGGGGAGCAGAACGTCATAAAAAGAATAGTTTAAAAGAATCAAAATTTTGCAAAGAAAAAACGAGGTGAAATCTTAATCGGATGGTAGGCACATATTTCTAAGCACACGAATACCAAGTAGATGTTGCATCACACATCTTAAACAATTAATCAGTAGTTTGTGGCGATTTGTAAAGCTTGGAAATACCTTACTAAACTAGCTAATGTGCTTATGAAAGAAATATCAAAAGCAAGAATTATAACTAATTTTATGGAGGAGGTGTGATGAAACACTCTGAGTAATAATAAATATTTAATTTGAAAAGAGTTACTTAGATATGAAGTATTCAGTACCTTATTATATTCCATAAGCCTGGTCAAAAACTTGGCGTCACCCAGCAGAGATTTTGCCGCTGCCCAGTCGGGCCTAAGGAGTACATTATTAAATGATCAACAAAATATCAAACGATGAAAAGCAACATTCCTATGAAAACATTCCACGAAAATCAATACGTTCCACTCAGATTCTTCAACACATTATGTCTTCGGAACGAGGAATGAAAATTTTTGCTCTAATGCCCAATTGCAAGTTAGTAATGTAGATTTCTACATCGAGCAAAGGAATGAGCCTGAAAAATTCGGATCAATATCAGTATCTGGGCAACTGCCCACCTACCCCTCCCCTAACCCAACATTAACCCTAACTTGTTATCAATAGACTGTTGTTGGGTTAGGGGAGGGGTAGGTGGGCAGTTGCCCAGATACTGATATTGATTCAAAAATTCAAGCTTCAACAGGAATTGAACCCACGCCTCCCTTCCAGATACTATAGTTGGGTGCTACTACCAACTGAGAAACGAAGCCACATTCCCCTTGGGAATTGAATAGTATCACAAAAACTCGCGTCTCTCCTACATAGGATGACGAATGCAGCTTGACAAAATTTGCAAATTCGGAAAAAAGGCCTTTGATTAATAATAACATCTATCAAAGACACCTTCGGTTGTTTTGCTAAAATGAACATCTTCTACAAACAGAATCAACTTACTTTGAGTTCAACAGAATACAGATGGACTCCATAACAGTCATGACGAGCTCAGGGGGACTGGTGAACACACGTAACTCAGATATATCAGACTTGTCCAAAGAGTCAAGGGCCTAAAAGTGACAGAGATAATCAGTTACCTTCAAACTTCAATGAACTTGCAGCTTTTTATCAGCATAACCAGAACAGGAAGCAAATAGAACTTAAATGGGCTTACGAGCAGTAAGGCTCAAACAGCAGGACTTTATTCCCACAGTAGTCGCAAGAAGCAACAATGCGTGGTGATATTTTCCACTGAACGAGCTACAAGTCCATTTCATTATTGTCAGTGAAGCACACCGACCTAAAAACCAGCAGTGCAATACTGTATCATTAATTTCATTATTTACAAAGCTTCAATTCTGCTTAACCTGGGGGCTAGTCTAGAAATATACCTTGTTAGCGGCGTCCAGAGCAGGTAAAGCCTCGTCCAAGTCTTTCTGAGCTTCCGCTGCAATAGCTTGGGTTTCATCTGCCTTTCCTTTGGCTACTTCCTCTTCCGCTGAAACGACTTTTCTCACCTGAAGAAGTGAATGGAAATTCTCCAATTGTCTAATTGGTAATAATATAATAAAAACTTATTTGAAAGAGACTCTAAGCCTTTTAATGGTTTAGTTAAAGAAGGGAAATTTTGCAGGTGTTTTATCAAAATACCATGGAGAGGAAATAAGGCACAACTACCTAGAGATGCTCACAAACAAAAGTGAGGTGTTCATAAATTGTGATGTCAGCATATTCTCAAATCCAAGAGCGGGCCATCATAATAAGCGCGAGGACAAAGGAACACAGCTTAAACATAAAGGTAGAGAACACATTCGTTTTTAATCGGACACAGACCTTGTCGGCTTCCTCTTGATCAGTCTGTAGTTTGTCCATCAGCTTTTCTACATCAAGTGATTTTTGTTTTAACTGCGGTTCTAAAGCCACTAACTCGACCTGCATGTTATCGACCAAGTCGTTAGTTTCCAGAAGCTTCTTCAAGCCATTCTTCACACGGTCACGTGCACCAATCAGCTGTCTGGAAAATACATGAGTGATACAGTAAATTAAAACACGACAGAGTGGTAGCTCTCAGACCTCTTCACAGATGCGAACAGAAAATGCGGGCGAGTAGCATCACTAATTCCCCCAGCATGGGATGCTAGTCCATGGCAAGGTTAGATCCCCCTCCCCCGGCATTTCATCAGGCTTCGCTGACAATTCGCCTAGACCCATGTATACCCCTGGGTCGAGAGAGGCACGGGGAGAGTTAAGTGTTTTGCCAAAGAACACATCGCTTTGAATTAGTAAAATCTCAAATCCGGACCTCTCGACCCGAAGTCCAGAGCGCTAGCAATTAAGCCACCGTGTCTCCCAAAATAAAAAAGACTTTGATCTTCTTAGGAGGAAGGTCGTGAGTAGTCGGTGATGTTCGCTATATTTTTGTCATCAAGGACAGTAAAAATATCATACCTTCGTTTGTCATCTAACATGGACAGATACAGGTTTATAAGCTCAAGGTAACTGGTTGGGGTTGTGTAATATCGACGACGCAGTTCGGCGTAAAACCTGTCCGCCATAGAGCTAACACTGGTGTGAATTTCAACACACATTTCGGCAACTCTCTCCTACCATAGAAAAATAAAGAAACAGTGTCAAAAGCATCTAAAAAGGAAGAGAAGTCCAAGAGCCAACAACTGGAAAGGCCTCAAGGGTCTCTAAGGATAGTTTGTCTTAACATCTCCAAAATGCTAAGCCAGGCCTATCCGTGATGACAAAACAACAGTTTTGGTGAGCAGTTGACCTTAAAAAATTGAAGGTGAACAAAATGTAGGACGTTCTGACCTTAACATCTCCTGCACCCAAGTCCACTTCTTCGAAAAAGTTCTTTGAGACAGACAATAAAGCTTCCCTGCCAAAACGAAAGGTGTTTCAAAACGGTCAGCCAGAGATAACACAACACAAATCAGTCGCCTTTTCAATGGCTTTCAAAACAAATCCATAGAAATTCGGCGATTAGTGATGGCAATAGGACTGATTGGATTCAAATGCAGGGATTAATCGGCAAGTAGCTACAAGCACGATTATTCCTTAATTGTAAGACACGAAGTCCTACTACAAATAAATGTATTAATAGCACAATGAGTGATAATCAGACATGAAATATTTTGTCAGAGCAAGCATCTTATTTGATACATCAGCTTTAAATTAATTTCCTCAATTCTCGGTTTACTAGCTGACCCTTGGCAACTTGCTCGCTAAAGATTTTCCTTGATTTTTATTGCCTAGCATTGGCGAGGAAGTTAAGTTTCTTCAACTATTAGCATTCGATTCCTAAATTTCATTTGCTGTTTTTCACAAAGCGCTTGTTTACGGAAAAACCACCAACCAAATAAAGTAACAAATACAGACTGTTAAGAACCAATCAAACTAAAACATTTGTTAGTACGCTAGCCGGACTGAGAGCATGTCTATGGTTAAGATCCACGTTTGTTATATACCTAGACTTTCACTCAACAAAATGAGCAACGTGATTGATTGATTCTTGGTCACGTGCCCCTGATCAAATTCAGATGCAACCCGACCGGGATACAATTGCGCAGTTGTTACCCGCGCGCCGAATACAATAGTATGTTTTTTCCATATGATTGTCTAAGGGAAAGTCTTAATGTATGATCCCTCGGGAAACTATTTAGTTTTGTTGCAGTGAACTGACCTTGGCCACTCGGTAAACCAGTCAATAGTACAACAATTAACCAGAGAAGGGAACATACGGCAGCGAGTACGGAATGCATCTCCCACAGGACTCATGCACAATACCACATGAAGGTTATTCCGAACACGGCTGATGAAGTGATTGAACACAGCATCCCTGACATTGAAGAAAACGACAAGAAATTTAAAAACCTACATAACAATAAAAAACAGCCATATATGTTAATGACAAATAGTAGAGAGCTGTGAGGTTCAGTATCAGAACCAATACTCACCTATCGCCTTCAGGAACACCAGCGTCCTTCGCATGCGGTCGGGTTCCATTCAGCACTTGTTCATACTCTTCTGGTTCAAAGAGGTTTGGAACCTGATGATAAACACAATGCAGACTGCTATTTTATCCACGTTGGTGCACTAACACATTTTGACAATTTCAAAAAACAAAATTCAGTGAAGCAAGGAGCATTTGATGGAACGGTCCAACTTTCAATTCATCAATTCTTTTTTTTATTTTTGCCTAGCCCGTGGAACTTAGAAGCAAGCCAAAAAAAAAAACCCTATCACAAATCTTCAGAAACATTCCTGAAGAGTCATTGGATAACGAAGGAAGAGAACAGTAGTCGTATAAACAAAAACATTATCAGTACCTCGCCAGAGTTCAAGATGTTATTGATGTCTTCCAGAAACTCCTCAACGACGATCTGCATAAAATTTAAATTGAAATAAAGATTTAATAATATGACCCTCATTCTAGGGCACTTAATATCGTTTAATGTTTCACTTTAAGAGTAATACCACGTCTTTATACAGCACCAAAGTGATCGTCTTAAAACAAACCCTGGTGTTGAATGTCCCTTCAAAAAAAAAACTTTGCATTATTAAAAAACCAGCGCCAACCTCTGAACAATCGAAAGCAAACCTTAAACCAATCGAGACTTGATTACGTGTCCTTTCCTGAGGTTCAGGCATTTTCATCGTCTTTCGTTGGCTCCTTAACCCTTAAACTCCCACATCAAATTTTTAATTCTCCTTACTGTCAACCATTACAATTCTTATAATGTTAGTACAGAGAATTTAGTATTGAATCAAGCAATTATTCCCAAATTGATATTTTTCTTTATTCTCATCACTTACCTGGTTGATATTGTATTGATATTGTAAGGAGAAATTTTGTCTTGGTCACTCATGGAAGTTAAAGGGTTAAGAAATTTTCCAATTTTTTTAATTTACAACCGCACTTACTTAGTTACAGCTCTCCTAGTGGCACTCAAAATATGCTTACATTAATAACCTTGACATTCAACAGACGTAAATACCTGAGTATCAGTGAATAAGAAAACTGTGTTTTTTCCTTCCACTCCAGCTGACGTGTACAGTTTCTTAAGATCTTCCCGGAAGGAGGAGTAATCGTAGCCACGAGTCAGTTCGATTTGAAAGCAAAGGTAACCAGACATATGACATGCCAACCTAAAGTAAAACGCCAGAAAATTAACTTTTTTTCAAATCTGTTCATCCAAATATTATGATTAGCCATCACGACCTAGATAAAATTTTTTTTGTCATGAATCGACATTTTGACTATCAAAAATTCCCCATTGTGAATCATGGAGAAGTTTAAAGAGAATGATTATGAGGCAAGTTACCTGGTAAGACTCTGTTTTCCTGTTCCTCCTACACCAACAAGCAGAGCATTCCCGCGAGGCTGGCGAACCATTCGGGCGATTCTACAAAAAACAAACAAACTCTCGCTCAGATAAACCCGTCGATTGCAAGGAAGGAGCTTTTAAAAAGCTTCACAGACAGTGTACGCACTAAAAGCTGACCTTGACACGTGTTCTATGGCATCCATAAAGAACACAAGCTTCATTTCTTTGGAAGAGTTCATATTGTAGTCATCAAGATACTAAATAAAGAGACAATCAGATCAGCTTCCTCAAAAACGGACAGTAGTCTGAGATTGTCTAAAAGAGCTAAGTCATATCTTGAGCCATTTCTATAACTATCACTCAACTTAAAACTGACAACAAGACATTACTTCGGTAAGATAGAGAAACACAAGATGCAACAATAAGCTGAGAAGACAGATAGATACTTGGGATGACGATTCAAAGAATGGCAAGTGATTCACTTCACAAATTTAGCCTCAAGACGTTGTGGTCGCTGTTATTATACGTGCACGAGAAGGAAATCTTTAAGATTCACCTTTTTGACCACAATCATTGCTAAAGGTTACCAAGAACATCAAAGAAAGATATGGGTGAACTTACATCAGCCAGAAGATTTTTCACTTTTGAGATATCTGCCAGCTCTTCGTAGATCCGGTCAGAGGGGTCTGCACCCATCTTCATAAAGTCTCCAAACAGAATAGGGGCCGTCTCAAATTTTTCAGCTTGCACATTCTGGTTACAGCATAAAAAGATACAAAAACATTATGTTATTGAAAATTGAAAACGCGTGTATTGTTTGCAGTTTATTATTTTTAAACTGCAGGACTGAAAACGATGGATTAATGTTTAAGGCGCTAGACTCTAAACCGTGAGGTCTTGGTTTTTAGTTCTGGCCGAGTAATTTTGATATGTCCTTAAGAAAGACACTTTATTCCCACAATGCCTTTCTCCACCTGGGAGTTAGAATGAGACTACCAAACTGCTGGAGACCATGCGAATTGCTGGGGGTAGCCTTTAATGGACCAACAGCCATCCATATGGTATGAAAATTGGGAATAGAACCGGCGTAGGTCGCTCAACTCCCGAGCAGAATTCACCTTACGCTTTCTCTTTACAGTTACGAGCTCCAAAACTGTAATTTGGTATAAAAAAGGATGGTTTTTCTTATCATAGGTTGCTAAAACTGTTTGGCTGTAGACAACATATTGTTCATACTTAGAAATATACCTGCGAGAAGTGTTTCTGTGCCATTTCAGACATAATGGCGTTAAAATAACGTTTGTCTTCTTTGTTAATGAGACGATCGTGAAAGACTCTTTGTGCCTCGTGACAGAACAGGCGAAAAATCTGTCCAGCGTCTCTAATAACTCCAGGATCTGCCTGAAGTACACCTAAGAGGAAATGGTAAAGGATAGATTAGCACAAAACGTGTTATAAAAATCTTTGATATGATTAACAAAGTCACTCATGTTAAAATGTTCGGAATTGTTCATGTAACTGAAATGGTAGATCAATCATTAATGTGTCAAAGCCATGTAACCGTATTATGACTGGCAGACTAACCTTGAATGCATTTGGACAAATCTCTCAAGTTGAACACATAGTGAGATTTAGCAGGAGTCGGCAACAGGTCTGTACTCATACGAACATAGATCTCAACACTAAAAGAGAGCAAACATGGACAAAATTAAGAAACAAAATATCATGCGACTGCAAGTAACGGCATCAACAGGTGGATCATCAGTCTTAGGGTTTTATTCTGTAACAGTCATGCTACAACATTTTGACAAACGTTTCCTAAGTTCATTATTGACTTAAGTATAAATAAAACTTTGCGATAAAGGCTCGTTGAGGTGAAAAGAAACACCAAAAGGGAAGCTCAAAACCAATAAAGAATACGAGTTTTAAAGGATCGACACAAATAACAAACAATAAATTAACCCTTGTATTCCCAAGACCTCATAAGTGATTCTCCTTACTGTCTGCCATACAATTCTTATGATGTTAGCTCAGAGAATTTCGTATTGGATCAACTAAAATCCCATGATTGGCATTTTTTCTTTCTTCTTCTCACTTGTCTGCTTGATATTATATGGATATTATGAAGAGAAATTCTGTCTCAGTCACTCGTGAGAGGTGAAGATTAAGAACCGAAACACAGAAACTGGAGACTACTGTTCATGAATAACCTTTTTTTTTTTTTTCAAGGAAAACAAGAAAGTAAACAAAACTTATACCTCGCCCCAACAATCGCATCTGCACATCCCCTGACATCTTGAGGAAAATCAACTAAAAAGCCGCTAACAATGGACTGAAAAAAGGAATGAAATAAATATTTGTTGATAATAATTTCAATAAAGGAAATCAATTTAATCCAAAGATTTGAACTAATATGATTTGCCTTACCTTGAAGATATGTTTCAGGGTGTGCTCGGCAGACGACGGAATACTGAACATACTGAAGTGACGTAAGAAACGAGGCGTGACCGGATTTCTACCCCCTCCAGGGGGAGCACAGGCTGCGCAGATGGTCATGTCCTGTCATAAAAATAATGGTTAAAATCTCCCACACCTGAATAAAAAAGTTAAGGACATAAGGTCTAGCGTAGTACAGACGTAGTGCACTTACATGAATTTCCTTCCAGAAAAGTTTCTCTCTATCGTAAAATCCACGAAAATCCTTCAAAAGGAAATAAAATTCACTTAATATAACAATAGTCCTAAGTATTGATATATACCCCATTCACACCAAAACTTAAACATGTTTTAAAAAGCAGCTTCCTAAACCGATGTTTGTCGACTTAAAATTTAGCACATTTGAAATTAAAAGTTGGTGACTACTTGAAACCAAAAGAAAATTCAGTTTTTCAATTCTCTGTTTCTGATTCTCATTCGGTGAAACCGGGTGTACCTAAACATGTTTTGCAGGTTTGAATGGGGTATATATAGATATGAATGCTTTTCTAATAAAAACACAAAAAGATTCAGATGTTCCACCCCCCTGAAAGAATTAAACTCTATCAAATAAATCCGAGGGTACCTGGTACTGCCTGAGTAACTCTATGGGAGGCTGGGCGCCATACGTGTCCAGCTTGGGCATGTTCAAGTCATCAACAAAAATGATCATTCTTTTTCCAGCCGGTGCACCTTTGAATATAAACAAAACCTTGTTTAAAAACCTCCTCATATGACTCTTTAAAGAAACAAGAGAATCGTGCAACTCACTATGACTTCCGATCGCCGATCAAAAGTCAAAGGATTCCATGTTACTTTCTTCAAATCAAATCTTCTCTTGCACACATCATAAAAGTCTGTGATGTTTATTCAGTAATCAGTTTCTTGAATCATAGGTTTCAAATGGTATTAAGTTTTATCAAGTCTAATCACATCAATGAATACAAACCTAAAATGTTTTTTCGTTTCTTTTCCAGTTTGACTTCAATCATTTCCTGAGTTCGTTGGCTGCTTGTCTGAGCAGAGAAGTTCATCATGATAGGAACATAGTTCGCCTTATCGCTTATGTCGGTCAGCAGTCCTTTCGCCACCACAGACTGTAAAATAATAAAAATTGAGTTCAGTTAGACGCCTTTTCTATTCGTCATCCTTAGTGATATTATGCGGTTGGTGTCAAACTTCTGTCTAACTAATTTTGTGTCATAACAATTTTTCGTCGTGTCAAATATTGTGAAAATGAAAACAAATTTTTCATGCGATAGCCCGTACCACTTGACCCAGGCTCCTTTGTCAAGGAAAGAGCGAATAATTGGCAACGGAACCAAAAAAAAGGCAAATTGTGGGAAGCTGGGGATTAGTTACTCCGCCTTGTTTGATTCCGTTTCCTAGATATCCTCGCTATCCCTAATCAAGGAGCATGGATCCAGACGACAATGTCAAATGGAACTCCACTATCTTACCTTGCCAACGCCTGTCGTACCAGTAAACATGACGGATCTGTTTACAACAAGCAGCTTCTCCATCAGGAATCCATATCTGACCGTGTCCACAGTGGGCACTAGTAGATCGAAGTATGGAATCTCCGAGCTGTACTTGAATGATGGAATAATCTTCTCCCATGGTTCAAGACGGCGTGTGTCAAAATCCACAAAGTAACTGAACAGATCACCTGAACCTGGAAGCTGTGCAAAGGGAAAAAGACATGTTTAAAACCATTGTGGGGAAACCATGGGAAGACTTGCAGAGAATTTCTGTTTTTATGTTTTGTTGTCTACAGTCAAAAATTGTCTCCGTATCATAAAATAATGAGAATAAACGGTAACTGACAGCCCGAAAAAAAAGCAACAACAATAACAACCTGAACAAGTTAAAGAGGCCTGGTTGCCAGTAATTGAATAACTTTCCAGTTAATGATCGGTGGTGGAAATAAAGAGTTTATAATGTAAGGATATGAATGCGCTCAATAATATTAGTTAAATAAACGTTGGGAAAAGAATAAATTACTTAAAGATAACTAAATGAGAACTTTTGGTAAGATGGTGCTCTAATTTTCGCTTGAGAGGGTTGACTGTAGTGGTTTTAGTTTGCGATCCAACAGCAATTCATTTATTAGCTTTATCATTTTCCCCTAACCTTCACATCCTGTGTATCTGAGAATAAATCCCTCGAAAACGTATCAAAAGCGTCCATAGAAGACTCTACTAAGTTGCCTCCAATACTCCACAGGAAAGAGAAGAGGAAGGCGGTGCAAATAAGCGAGTGCAACTTGTTGGCGTCCATGTTAAAATCTGGGCCTCCTTTCTCTGGGAAGAAAAAGCTCTCCAGAAGGCAGCACATAGTTGTCACTTTATTTATGTCCACCTGAAAAAAGAGAGGTATTCAGGGTTATAGTTGGGATACACCTATATCGTCCCGTTGCCTGTTACAAACTTTCCACAAATGTATGAAAGGACACGAGTCTCCTTACAAGACTTTAAATGTCTTCACTGGAAACTACAGAGCAATGGGAACTTTTCAAATTTCGTCCTGGAACTTGTAACAATTTCCAATCATCCAATGTTCCAATGTGGCCTATCTAACAATGATATTTGAGCCCAGTTTACCTGCTGCATGGCTTGTACACATTTCTTCCTTGCAAAGTTGAGTCCGTTATCCACGTAATTCTCAAACAAATTCATCAGATACTCCTGCAAACAAAAGTTGTAAGAAAAGGTGAGCAGAAATCAGAGTTATGATCACGGTACTCTATTACGGCTGCACTTATAAGACGTAATCACTCAATTTTGGCCGGAATAAAAGAAAATTCATGAAAAGTGTTTCGACCGGGGCCCCAAAGGTGCAAAAATGTTTTGTGTCCTCTTGTACTAGATACTGCCATTAAGATAGGGAATATGTTTCATATATATTTAATCAATTTTGTGAACCTTCCTTTTAGACTCAAGGTATCGTGCCTTGGACAGTGGGTTTATAAAAGCCGAGTATCAGATAAGGTCTTATATCTGGTAACTCAGTACAACCCACTCAATACTGTCAGCATCTTCAGCCGATAGAGAATTGTACGAAAAACGGTTGAAAATTTGAAAGACGTACAAGAGAGCAGCTGGAAACAAAACCCAGATTTGGTTAAGAATCGAATTTTGTAAGCTTCACTGCTTTAAAACCGAATGTCCAAATACAGACTTCTTACCTAAAAATTCTCGCGACAAATCCATGCCATTTTTTTTTCGATAATTGTGGATTTGTCCGCCTGTGTTTGAACAACAAACCGAATACGATATATTTCCTAACCTTCTGCGATTGATTTGACACCTATGGATGGTGAACTTACACGTATACACGGTAACAGGTAGATACCTTTGTTTCGTCTTTCATCTTTGTACACGTTCTTTGCATCCAGGACTTGACGTAAGGCCTCCAGCCCAATTCATAAGGGTCCATATATACCATACCACACCTGAAATAAACACACACAAATACCGTGAAGGACTGTACACGAGGATGCTGGCCACCAAATACGTCAATTGAGCCTGTACTCAAAAGTTTAGATGACAAATCATTTCCAAATAGCATTTTAAAATCAAAAACATTGTTAATCGGCGTAGGAGCCATACCTGCTGACTGTAGCTGGGGATGCAACAGCAAGATCCTGCACCTCAAACAACATGTGCATGGTGTTGTTGAGCTTTATTCTCTCACTGTTAGCCAAGCAAAGCATCTTGTTGTCATCCAAAACAGTGTTCATGTTTTCGATCCATAGAGCGTCCACAGGACCATCGCAGACAATCCACTTGTGATCCTCAGTAGTGTCCTGTGTTATACCGGAGCAATAAAACAGTTGTTAGTTTAAGGAGAAGATTAAAATGATCAGCTCATTTCAATACATGCAGCTAACATTACCACCAGCCATGTCACAGGCCATGACATTGCATCGTACCTGAACACAAACTCTAACAGTGACGGCCATGAGTCCGTCTCTCCACTCCATTGTAAGCTTGTTAATTTCCCCATACAGTTCTCCCATGCTAACAGCCTGTAGTAACAGATAAGAGTAACTGATAAATGTGCTAACAAAGCGCAATGACTCGCTTGGAAGAAGCATTGTTAACAACGGCAAAAGACGACCATACCTTGGGATTCAGCACGTATGTGCGAACTTTTTGGTAATAAGGATTTTCGTCTCCTTCCTCGTGTAACGTTGTCAGAGTGTCTTTGAGAACCTAAATGTTATGAAAGCAATGATAAGTGTGGCCTCCATCGAACAATTAACACACTTTTATAAAGAGAAGATTAGAAGTTTAATTCCGTACTAAGTCCACACACAGTTCATCTTATTCATTACAATTTGTCAGGGGTTACATTAAAAGCCAGATACTGACGGTCTACCGCTGGCCATAAGACCTCTCAACGAAGTCTACAAGCAAACTGTCGTGTTTCGGTTTCGCCTTACAGCCCCTTTTCTGGGCACAGTCGCATATTACACCATCGCCAGCCGCTTATGAAAAAGTAATCGAAACCCCTGCGTATGTGATCATTGAATGACGTACTATCTGCTCACCTCATAACTCGTTGTCTTTCCTCCTCCAGTGGGTCCTACAGTCATCACACCGTGCCGAACAATCATTGTCTCGTACAACTGGATCGTCTTTTTCACCATTGAAGGAACAACCTAGATGAATAAAAGCAAGTTATATGTGGAATTCCATAACCACCACGATTGACAAGCTTTGATTTGTGAGATGAGCAGCGTGGGATGCAAAATGATGAAATAGATTTGGCATAGCACTGTTATCATCCGTAACATATTTCAACGTTCTCTGGTGAAAAAGTCATCCCACACAAGCATCATTTACTTGACATCTTGACTGGTCATTCTGTCCGAAACAGCTGTACATGGCTGATAAAAATCCAGCTTTGACACTTTTTACGGTGGCCCATTTACCTTCTAAACTCAGTTGATAATACTAAATTACCCTGACGACAATAACTCACATTTCAAATCTTTTCAGTGCAAAAGACGTGGTGTCAGTGTCACAGACAATTTGGTGTAATTTCTGCCGCCTCAAAACACCACTACAACCATTTTACAAACCAAAAGATACTTATTTCCATTCACGCACGAGTCAAACCATATTGTTACACTACTCTAACGAACATTAATTCATTCAGATTCCACTTCACTTCGTTAACTGTCAATAAAGAGGATGCCGCACCTGACAACCTTTCTTGAGCAAGCATTCCTCTATAGTAGCTTGTAGCTTGCCGTAATCGTGATCTGGAATTTCTTTACCGGGGAAAAGATCTGATAGGATGGCCTTGAGAAAAAAGAATAACGGAACCAATCAGTTTACCCTTTCACTCACAAGATCTGTTTGTTAAATCTCCCCCCCTAGCTGCCATGCATTTCCTTTAACGTAGCCATGAGAACTTGGTGTTAGATCAAGATAACAACTGCTACCTGATGAGTTTGAGTATTCTCATCATTTCTTTACTGGATAATTTGTGGACATTATAGGGAGAAGTTACACGTTAATCACCTCTTAGAGTTATGGGGTTAAGAGCAACATTCAAACAGAACACAATTCGAATATATACGCGATCTTCGCAATACTGATTCGCAGAAATGACAATTCCTTAAAAAATATATTACAACTGTGTCCTGAAGTACTTACTCTGAAGAGCTCGGCGTCCTGCTTGAGAAATTTGGGCAAGTTGCTGTCCCTAAGAGCTCTGATCAGCACGATATCTTCATTCAGATTAGGATTTCCTCTCTTCAGCGCTCCGGCCATAACAAGCACAGATTTGACAGCTCTCATACCAAAGTCATAATGATCTTGTTGAGAAAGCTGTTCACTGCACAGTCGGTACATCTGCACCATCTTACGAGCCAGGTTTTTAGAGGATTCAAAGCCTTCGGAATACAGAATCACTTCCGCAATCAAGGCTACAATGAGAGAAATAATTGTTTTGACTCTCCTATCAAAAATAGTTTAAAGGTTCATTAATAGACATATCTTGGGCTTCAAATTTTTACTTGAATTGAAAACTTTTAAACCGAAGAAACATTTGAACCATGACACCAACGACAAAGCCACAGAACATCTAACTGGTAATGGTAACAAATATACTTCAATAAATAAATAAAGGGGAAAAATGGTTATTTTTTAGTTCAGTGATAAAATGAAGAAGAGATATGAGATGAAATGTAGTGTGAGAGAAAGGAAAAACTAAGTCCTCGGTAAGAACTAAGCCCCAGACCTCGTATTAAGCCAAAGAGAACTCTACGGAACACAGCGGTCAAAAGTCAGACATAGTCGGCCAATTCTGGCCGCCCGTGCACCAAATTCCTGCGCAAACTTTCGTAGGAAAAGACGAAACAACCGCTGTCTCGCAAAATAAACGAAAGAAAATTGAAACGTTCACAGAAATCAGTTAAGAGAAACAAAAGTAGGGAACTCGAGACTTTTGGAACACAACGTTTGTTCAGGTACGGGTATCCTGTTGATTTACCATATAATATTATATTACAAGCTCTTAACCCTTTACATCCCAACATCAGTATGCATATTCTCCATAGTGTTCTCTATACATTTCTTAAGGGTCTGAAAAGGAGAATTTGTTTAACAGTCAAGAGTTCTTTAGTTGTAGATCATTTCCCTTGGTCTCATTAACTTAATGTTTGATTCGTAGCTGATATTTGAAGGAGACATTAGATGCCAGTCATTTTCAGGGGTCACAGGGTTAAAACACCGTGACTTACTTTTTTTGTGTGGTTTTATGTAACTCGTGTAAGATCATGAAGTTCCGACAGCCTGAAAGCACACCACCTAGTCTCACAACCTTCGCACGTGTGAAGACGTTTGACCGCTATGTTACTCTATGGCAAGCTAGGTTAATACTCGAAAAAGGTTCCATGGTTACCGACCGACTAAGGAGTACGCTGTAATACTCGTTTACTCACCATAGTCTGGCACCATCATAGCCATCGGTCTGAACAAAGCTTTTAAGTTATCTGGTAATTCTGTTCGACCAGCATATCCAGGGTTCATTGTGATGAATGCTGCACAGCTTGGAACAAGTTTGATTTCACGCCCCTCAAACATGAAACGGGAAGCCTAAAGGAACAAAACATCTTCTCAAAGATTTTTACTTTAAAAATTTAAAAGAGCGTCAAGCTAACCAGCCGTGATACAAGTCCATAGGATGGTACAAAACTTTACCTTAGCCACTTTGGCGTTTCTTATGGTGAGAAGTTGCTGAGCAATAACAGACAACACTTCGATGTCAATTCTGTTAAACTCATCAAAACAACACCAAGCTCCTGACTGAGCCAAGCCAGAGAAGAACCGTCCCATCATCTTAAAGTCCAATCCTTCAGAGCAGTTGAACACCACGCATTGTTTAGCAAGGGCCTTGGCTAAGTCCTGCGTACAAAATCACACAAAAGATATTGAACTATGATTACAAAACAGAACACTTCTTGTACGGGACGAGGTCTATGAAATTTTCCATACATAAGTGACCAACTACCGAGAGCGAAATTTGACGAAGGCCCTTGATTCCGGAGGTGTTCGACTGACGAATTCTAGTTTACCGGGAAAGTTCGAAGGAAACCCGCGAATATACAGGATGATTACTGTCTTGGTTGAGGAAAACTTCCGGGTGATAAATTTCAAATAATTTCCAGCACAAATTTTGCTTAAAGCGTATTTTCTTACATTGAACTCTCATGATTTTCCCTGTACGACAAAATAAGTAATTGGCTGACAGCAACATCACTGTGACCTAGTGGAACTCAATACGAAACAGCAAATCCTCTAGTTGGAAGTGATTTGACCACAATTCTTAGACTATAAAAGGACAGTTTAAAAAACTGACTTCGAAGTTTCTTATATTCTCTCATCTCATTCAGTTCACGTTATCAACTGATCAAAGAAGATGTTCCACACAGTTGTTAGTTTAACGGATGCAACCAGAAATGCTAGAACTTTAGATTTCTCATAATATTCTTTTGCTACCTCTGACATAACATAACACCAAGAGTGAAACTATGGCTTATCAACAAATAAAACTTTGTTATGCAGGTCTGCAGGATTACCTTAGTAGTTTCTGTTTTTCCTGTCCCGGCAGGCCCTGCGGGTGCTCCTCCCAAGTCAAGCTGTAGCGCTCCCATCAAACACAAGTAGCACCGATCCTTCAAACAAAAAAAAGACACCTTTTGTTCTTCTCTGACTGAGTTGGTTCAAGTACGTCCCTGGTAAAATGCTTCTCTCTTTTGAAAGAAATTTATTTCAGGTTGGAGTTACGACGTTACATATGTGTCTTGTCACATGTTGAGGTAAACACAAATTAATCAACAAACTATTGCAATACGTCACAGCTGCTCTTTTTGTCAAAAAAATTGTTTCTACGACAGAATGTTGTGCTGCAATGAGTCGCACGAATTCAAACTGGTTTGAATCTGTGTAATTTCAGCTGTAAAATAAATTCAAGCAATTTGTTTGGTAAGCAATACCTACCTAGTGGTTTACCACAAAAACCTGTCGCACTGATCTGTCGCCGCGAGAGTCGCGATGTATTTAATGAAACATAAGCAACGTATACAAACGCAGTAAGGGCACCGAGCTAAGATATTTCCACGCGGCAGCGATACAAAATCCTTTTTAAAAATGTACACATAGGTACACAGATAAATCAATGAAGATTTGTTATTAAAGTATGTCTTACTGTAAGTGGTGTGATGACCAGACGAGGTGAGGCACCAAGGTACTCATAACCATAGATGTACAAGGAGTTAGACATGCGCACAACACAGTTGTCTAGGTCTGGATCCCAGTAATAACGTAGCTGTTTCACCCATTCAAAACTGTTCACATTATCAACCTAAAGTATTCAACAAACACTAGGGTCAATTCTATGTAAGACTGAAGGTTCGAGCCGTCTCTCAGAGAACTAACTTTGAGTGCAGAGGCTCGAAAGAAATGATGTAAACTTATTTTTATTCAAGCGGTATTCATTTCGATCAGAATTTAGGGGGCAGTAAAGAGACAGGTCAAGTGTAAACAAATTGTGGAAAAGTTTGATAGGCAGCGCAACTTTATAGGGATTCAATGCAATTTATTGTATCGCTCAGTTAGTGCGCGCCCTGTGATTGGTCAATTTAGCGGGCCGTATTTTACTGTAAGGCCTACTATATTCAAAAGTTTGCGCTGATTTATGACCCGCGCGCTTGACGAAAATTACAGACTTCGAACTCGGTTAGTAAGAGATATCTAATTGATGACTTTTCGCTCGCTAATGCAAAAATTCATCGTTATTGATGTATCATTTAATGAAAATGGAACACACAAAGCTGCACATACAATTTTCAGACTGTGTCTAACTTAATCGTATTAACAGCAAGGTAAAAAATGCAACATCGCCTATTTTATCATCAAGCATCAAGATAAAAATCAAGACAAGACGAGTTGAGATTTGCTCATGCAGCTGTATACAATTAAGAGGTTAATGACCTGATGTTCCACCATTCCTGTGACTATATCCCTTGCATGCACATCAATAGTGATCAAAGCACACAGAATGTTCCTGGTCAGTTTTGGAAGCTCTCCACGAACCAGTGCAGCAAGCTTGTTCAAATTCTAGGGGGAAGTTGGAAATAAAAAAAAAATTAGTAAAGCATCACAAAACTTTTGTATCTTATGAGTTAAAAAGATAAAGTGGTGACCTTCTCCCCTTTTTAACGCCTTGCTTCATATTTCTGTAGCATTTAAACAGAAGTTATGTTGTAATGTGCTCGATCAAAGGTCACAGCGCCCTTGCGAAATCTATGAAAATGTAAACCAATCATTGGTATCGAAAATAATAAAAGTTTGTTTTGTCTTACAGTGACACACATCTGTTCTGCTTCCTTCATGGCCTCTAGCCTGTCACCTTCTGTAACCAAACATTCCGTGATGTCACGACACCACATGGTCTGAGAAACGGTCAGAACAACCTACAACAGAAAAACAGTTGCGTAACAAATCAAACGTATTTCTAACCATTCCATGATACATTCCGTAAGTGAAAAAGCTTAACGGTTATGAATGGATAAAAGCTGTTTAGAGGAAAGAGTTAAACAATAACCTGTTAAAAAATAAGCGGAACTCTTAGTAAGTAAGAAAAAACATCAACTATAACGAAATAAATTAGCATGAAATTCATTGAAGAGCCTCTGAAACATTTTGCTCTCCAACAACCAAAATGTTTTCCTTTATATCGTATTGGTGATCATAGATAACCAGAACATATGGCTGCGTATTAAATAACAGAATTCAAATAACACACAGTGTAGACAAGTAAAGAAATAATACAGATATGATTTATTAGTAAATACCATACAAGTGAATAATGCTTTTCCCGCCCGCTGATCGGCTAGTCCGGAGGTAAATAGCAAGTACTATTCACCTCCGAGAAGCCGGTGAGACAAAATAGCACGTCAAGGGTTTAATTTTTGACCATTTTTTGGTATATTGAAACAAATAAACTACGTTTTTTGATATGTGTGTGGTATACACTAAAAAAATTATTCACCTCTGTGTCAATGAAAGTGGTGGATATTTACCTCCACTTAGATAAGAAATTGTTAATTATTGACTCAGTATAGCGTTGAGTTTACCTGACTAGGATGTAGTGTAACCCATTCTTCTCTCGGTCTGCTCTCATAGTCAGCTATGGACGCTTTGGCTAGTTTTCTGAGTGAAGAAACCATAGACTCTTCAACCTTACCAAGCCAGTCTTCCACATTACCACGAGCCTTCAAACCCTTGAACAGATAAAAAAAAAATTATAAGATTCTCTATGACCTCAGACGGAAACGACTTCACTGTGACGACCACTAGTCCTACAATTATGTAAGGAAACAAGGACAGGAATGAAATATTGTTTTTCACCTTTGTAAGACCAACTCTTTCTCCTTCAGGTGAGATCATTGCAAGGATATCATTGGTCTTTGTTTCAGCAGCCTTACCAGCTGAGGCGGCTGAAAACCAGACAATACAGCAAAGGTTAGAGAAACTTGAGACAAACGCTTGTCGCTTGAATACAAAGGACATAAAACTAAAATGTAATATCAGTTGCAAAGGAAGGATATCGCAAGGACCGGAGTGAGCCTTCCTGATTTTGTAGCTCGCTTGAACTAAGTCTGCAATCTTTTGTACATGTCAAGGAAGTATTCTGTGATCTATGACCAGAAATGACTAGGACTTCGTCCGAAAAGGTCTGGCCAAATCAGACAGTTAAGCAGCCAATATAACTCAACTACTCCGCCAATGCTGGCCAAATAAAATAAAGAAAATTTCTTACGTGAGCAGGTTGAGAGGTCCACATTGAAAACAAACATGGACGAAATAAAGCTGTTCAATGAATTTATTTCGTATATTCTCTTACATTAACTTTTTCATTCCTGAGTTCCCCGCACCTTGTTAACGACACAATTAATTGGTAACAGAACTGAGTGGAGTACAGTGCAACGGTAATTGTGATTTCAAATTACTCTTGCACTACGCCCTCGGCCAATTTGTGATCACTCGCCCGATTACTCCCTGAATTGTGCTTCACACAGACCTATTACTATTACGTAGTAAAACTTACGTCTCTCTCCTGTTGGTGTGACCGGTTTTTCAGCTGCTGATGGTGTGGGAGGTGGCTGAGCAGCACTACCAAACTCAAGTCTGAGAAAAGTTGAATAGGTTGGAAAAACATAAAGTGTTAAAGGGATTTTTCTTTCGACCTCTTTTATGATATATTGATAGTTGAAAGCTAAGAAGTACAAAAACTTACTTTGAAATAGCATCGAAACACTTTTGCAAGTGAGGCTGAACAGCATGCGGATTACGCGTCTGCGATAAGATTTCCAATAACTCGTCATTTGAAAGGAAATAGAACCTAAAATAACAAAGAATCGCGTTATTGACGATAAAACACCGAATCACCCAATGGCGGATCCGGACCTTGAGCTGAGTTGTGGGGCTGGTTTTTTGTCGCTTGCCCTGTCGGCTTTTCTTCCTTCTGCGATTTTCTTTTTTTTTTTTTTTTTTTAAACCAAAATAAGGGTGGGGAGCCCGGGCCCCCTGGGCCCCTCCCCTAGATCCGCCATTGTCACCACTCACACTAGAACTGAGCCGACAACAAAAGAAGAACCTTTCTGTTTTCATCTCATATCTACCTTGGAAAGATAACACACTTGGACTCCAGGTAGGCCTCAAGGCACTTCTGAATCTGATCTAAAAGGGCATTGTTATTTTGGAATATCTCGAGCAGTCCTGAAATAAATAAGAAAGCGTTTCAAATTTCATTTATCGGAAAAAAATTGAGCCACAAAGCCACAAAGAAACGTCAGCTTTAGAGAGTGGTCTAGAAACTCTCTATTGTGTTCAATTTACATCGTCAACTCAGTTGATAAAACCTAATTATTCTATTTTCATAATGAACTCTTTTTTTGTGTGATGTTTAGTCAGGAATAGATCAGAAACCTTCAATGGCGGCTGGCGGTTATAACACACTCTGGACATGAAAATATTAATATCCAGTTACCTCTACTAGAACACTCACCTGGTTGGGTGGCTGCTCGGAGAGCGTTGGGAAGCCTATGGACTTTTCTCATGACTTCTTTCCATGACTTGTCTACTGTCAGAAACATTTTGGCTTCAGCTGGTAGCTGACGCTGGATATCTGGAGCGCTAAAAATGCTCTCAAGGTATAACCAGTTACGCTGACAAGTCATCCACTCATCCTGGTAAAGTAACAACAATATGAAAGTCACGTCTTTGTCATTTGTTTCCTCTGATAATGATTTTCTTTTCCAAAACCCAGCAGGTGGACAAACACTGGTTGAAAGAGTGCGTTGCGTAGTTATGGGTTTTAAAATACTTCGCCTCTAAAAAATTATCGACATCTAATTAAACTTATCAGCACAGCTTAAAAATTTAGGAAGTATCTCTGAAAAATATGCATCAATATAAGCCTCACTGAAAAGTCGATCCACGCAGATACCTAACTTAAAAAATTGGTTTGTCTACTATGACTGCAAGTAACAATCATGATCATAACATAGCTTCACAGAAAAAAAAAAAAAAACTTTGATTCATTCCACTCCTCCATAGGACTGGTAAGTCTTGACATTTGAATCTTTTTGCGTTGTGTTCGCATGTTCACCCATCCAGTCAAACGAGCGCTTTATGAGTTTTGGTTTCCTTGACGAAGACTTCTTGTCTCAGACAAACTGGCAAATGCATGATTTCAAGGCATCATATGCAAGTAACAATAATTATGGAAAGTAGATATTAATCAAATCTTACCAGTGTTTCACTAAAGAGGTGAAGTTGCCTTTGCCAGTCATCCACTCTTGGTCTGATTGGGCCAACATGTCGAGAACCAGCAATAGTGGATATATTTATCTGTAGAGAAAGTGAAGAGAGTTAACACAAATGACCGATCATTCCCTTTCAGTTTAAAACAATGTTTCAAAAATTCTAATCACCATGCTGTCATCAAGCAGAGCCTGAATATCATCGATTCCACCCAAGATAAAAACATCTTTGGAGTCACGATGGGGTAACACAATGAATTCTGTTTGCTTCCATGAATCTTCAACCTGAACAACATTACAAGAAAAAAAAATATTATGTATCAGCTTTTTCCGTGACTACTTTAATTGCAGCCCACTTGCCAAGATTGTTATTTTAACTTCAGCGACATCTAAACATTACGTCATAAAATATATAACTTTGTCAAATTCGATATCTGAGCATGCGTAAACTTTGGATTTGCCTATTCGCGATCTTTCCCACGGTGGTTTCCTTTCTACCGATTTTTTTAAGCATAGGAGGCCTATGGATATTATGAACATCGTTGCAAGAACCCTGGAGTTCATTACAGAAAATCTTTATTATTTCATAAACCTTTTTAGCAAAAACTGTGCCATCGTTTCGAACGCCATATTTGTTTAGCTTGTTGGCATTTTTGAAGTTCGCGCTATGTTTGCGATCCAGATCTCGCGCGGTCAAAAACCCTATGGAGCCTCCTCAATTCAGCTTTATGATAAAAATACAAAACAAAGTCACTAGCAGGATTATTTGTCAAAACCTTTTTGAGGATTCCTTCAAGTGATGCTTCACTAGACGCCTGCCCGGAGACTTCTTCAATAGCTTCTGTATGATCAAATGCATCAATCTTGTTGAGTAATCCCAGAGTAAGTGGTTCTTCCTCAGTAAAGTGGTAACCAAAGATCTGTTGAATGTGCTCCCAGTGGCGAGGTTTCAGAGCTGGGTTACGCAGGTTGGTTATGACTGGTAACTATATTAAACCAAGTCAATAACACATATGCGTAAGTATGGAAAATGAACTTTTATACAGCATACCACTGACAAGCTCAAACCACTACTTCTCTTAATCACAACCTGACTGTTAAACAGTAAAAACTCAAGCTAATTTCACTTGTCATTTAGCTCGTGTTTTTTCGATGAAGCAAATATTTAAGTAAAAGCATTCACTGAAGGTTAATTAACCATTACAGCTGTGGTTCAATCACATCATGATGATTTTATTCAAATCTACTGGTCTAAATATAGATGCAGAGAAACAATTAGATTTAAAATTTCCTCTTCATTTCTGTATTTCATCAGCCTTTTCTTCACATTGAAATGCATTTTCATTTGTGATCATTGTTTTATGTCTCCTTTAAATTCAAATTCTTTCAAACTACTTTAAAGCCATGAGACTGCTCTAAAAATAATCAATATTCATATCTATACGATATAAGAATAAAAAATAAACTGATTTGAAGATGGAGTACAATTCAAAGAAAATGATACAACACGTAAATTTAGCCTTGCTGTCATGTCTTCACTTGAGTGGGTTCTATTGCTTTTATGAAAAAGAAAAAGTTATTAGTTTACCAGTAATTTTTAATCATAAAAATCTACCTTATGCCTCATCCCTTCCACTTTATCTTTCAGTATTGGCACCACTGAGTTGGGAGGCAAACCTTTCTCCAATTGCATAACTGTCTTAGCATACTTCATCACTTGGTTGCTCAGAGTTTCTGGGTTGAGCTCTTCAAAAGGAAGCTGAAACATTTTTCATGCACAGTTAACTTCTTCAGTTTGAGAAAATAGATTCAATTTCAATTAGCTGTCAAAGAAATTAAAATTTTTGTAAGGAAAAAAGAAAACAACAATGACAAGCCAACAGACAGACGACTAAAATTTCATTGAGATTAATAACAGTTGAACTTCAATCATCCAGACTCATTGGGACTACATGAAAAAGTCCAGATAACCAAGAATATGATTATTAGTGAGGAACAAAGCCTGATTAAATTTAGAAAGCGACATTTCATCATCAAACAAAACATTTAAAATCAAGGACACGATGATCATGAATAAATATTTGTGATGCTGTGTATCTTGTTTATCTTGCATACGACGCCAAACAAACCAATAGAGGGAAAAATCTCACTTAGCGACAAAGCAACTTTAAGCCAATCAGACCTCATTCAAACGTTCTTCATTATATTTACTTCAGGCACGCGAGTGCTGCTTTTGCTTTTTGAAAGCAAAACAAGCATGCATTTACTTCACTTTTCAACACTATAGTTTTAAAAAACATGGTTATGGATCTTAATCATGACTAATAAATATTCATAAAAAAATTGGGATCAGAGAAAATGTCTGGATTATCAAGAAATCCAGATAATTGAGGTCCAACTGTACCAGTACATGTATGTACTGAGGTTTGCCAACCACTGAAATACTTAATTGAACAAATGTGTAACAACTTTGCATGATAAAGTCTCAACTGGAAAGGATTTAAAGTGTTTCATAAGATGTTTTTCAATGACATTTCAACAAAAAGAATGCACGATAGTAACACCCACCTCAAGCCATTCATCAGTGACAACATCCCATTCCACAAGTGAGTTCCACAATGCCTGTTTGAGCTTGAGCTCTGCATGAACTTCTTCAAGTTCTTCAAACTTGGCCACCTCAACCTATGTGTAGTGCAGACTTGTTAGATTAAACCTCATTCTTGCATTCTTTAAATGACAGCATCAGTACAAGATTATGTTTTTATTAGCTCTAATCTAATGCCAGACAAGGAGAAGCTCAAATGAAAAATGCATTATTGAGGAAGTTTTCCGGTAAATTCATGAAGCCATTGCCAGAAGGTCAAAAGAATCTATAAACAAAAAGCTGTTTGCATATAAATATGTCTATAAAAAAAATATGCATTTCAAGGACTGAAAAAAGGAACCCTTAAGCTAATTTGCAACTCAGAAAAGTCCCTAATAATCTGGTTATGTTGTATAGGCCAGTGAAAGCTATTAGTTCATGATCCTTGTTAAATACCTTGAAGTTCTTCTGGTGTGATTTGTATGTGAGTGCCAGGTTGTTGAGGCTATCCATTTTCTCTATGAGAACTTCAAGGTAGTGGATAATGTCCTGTGACTGTGAACTGGAATCCAAAATCTTGGGGTCCTGTAACAGAAATAAGTCTTGTAGTATCATCATGAAAACAAAGAAATACTAGCCAAGACACTAAACACTGACTTCCTTCTTGGTTACTTCCATTTTAAAAGATAACTAGAGATAGAAAACATATCTTAAGCTTAAATGGTATTAAATTTTCCTCCAGTAATTTTAATCTGAGTTCTAAATTTTTCCTACAGAGGCCAGAAACTTTTAGGTCTTCCAAAAGCAGGATTTGATCACAAAATAGGAAGAGAGGATAATGAAGACTTCCATCTTCACCTCAGAGAAGGAAAGGTACCACTACCATACACATGAGGGATCATTCATTGTTTGCAAAGGCAAAGTGACAGCCTTCAGTCATTTTCAGAAATAACAGCTTTCAACCCTTAAGTGAGATGTTTATCTTGGCTTTCATTACTCCATTTGAAATGACAAATGATTAAAACAAATCTAATTGTACAGTACAAATATTTTTCATAAGTGCTGAGTGTATTTAGTGTTAACTCAATAACCTTTGTAAACAATAATTTGCTACACCAACCTGTGCTTTTTGTTTCACCTCTTTCACCTCCTTACCCAGTACCACGATATCTTTGTCAATGTGTGTACACATCTTGTCAATATTGGCATCCCTCTCAGCTAATGATTTGTCAATTACATTACGCACTGCTGTAACTGTGGGCCTCAGAGTCTACATGGATCATGGAATTTATTCAGTTTTTTTAACTGTTCAAGGACTTCTGGTACTTAATATTAGCAACATGTAAAATCCAACTTTGACGAAGTAACCAGCCACTATAAAAAAAATGGTTTACAAAAGCATTCCAAATTTCTCAATACATGTAGTTTTGACAGGTGATGATGATCACCTTATCTTGAGGTCACTGACACATAGAAAAACACTTTGATAATTAAACTGTGATCAATGTGTGTGCTTTGATGCCAAGGCCAGGATCTCTGATTTGGACACTCACACTACAGTTCTATTTGCCACTTTAAATCTTAATTCTACAGACAGAACCAATACCTGGTACACAGCAAGATCCTCAGGTGGCGTTGGTACTTTGTATGTCTCAATCAAGTCATACAGCTCTTTTACAACAGTAGCATCTCTTTCAATATCATCAACCTAAAAAAAAAGTAATAACTCACATTGATTCACTAGGTGGAACACAGGTTAGATCCTGAAAATGTTAGGACTGACAAGACCTACTTGTAGTACAGCTTACCATTTTATTTTCAGTATTCTTTACAGATTAGATTTAACAGTGTTTCAGAAAAGTACAGAGCACTTCCTGAGAGATTTGACAGCAATGACACCCGACTACTCACATGATTGACAGGCTGTACAGCTAGCTATGCAGTGTGTAATACTAGCACACAAATACCGCATTACTTTTGTAGTGCTGTATTTACATTTACAACTAAACTTCAGCACATGAACAAATTAGCATAATATCATGATTTCACCTTGCTCTACATGTAGGTAATATCAAAGTAACACACCCTGATAAAGAATGAGGATAATCAGTTTGATGCTATTTGTGGTATGTAAATAAAGACTACTGAAAAGACACTACCTTCTCTTGAATGGTGTCAAGAAATGAAAGGCTCTCAACATATTCTGTGGTGCTACTAGGCACAGCTTCTAGTTTAAACTGAGCATCTTGACAGAATTCCATCAATGTATCTGTTCGCATCTTGGCCAACTTAGGCAATATATCATTTATCACCTACAATAAGAGAAAGAGTGCTTACATTATGTACATGTACATCTACCAACAAAATAGCACATGATGCTTAGTTGAACAAGTTACCTATCACTGAAAAGTTACATGTACTTAAGAACAACTACTTCCATATTGCAACAAGGAAAATGGAAACAATACAATATTTTGTCAAGATCATTAATAATTGTTTGTCATAAAACCATACACAAAGAATCTCCAAACCCAGCTGATGAAATATCCAGGGAGATGGGCAATGGAACAAATTTGGACCACACTTACCTCTAAACATTTCAGTGGTGATGGAATAAGGACTTCTTTCAACTTCTTACAATCAACAAGGATCATGCCAATTGGTCTGTGTTCCAAAATGCTGACTGCTTGTTCATGTTCACTATTGTATTTGTCCAGTGAGTTTGAGAAGAAGTGAACATCTGATTTACAAAATAAAAAAAATTTATTCCTTTAGATAACCACTTCTTAGGTTAGAATTATCTGTCAAAACACAAACATAAAAAGGGTATTTGTCATCATTATTACCATGCTCTTCTTGTCTAATTCCTTCAAGATCCAAACTCTCATTCTCTTGGTAAAACTGGCGATAAGGTTCAAATGTATTGGCATACTGCCATGCAGAGTCAAATGCTGAGGAAATTGCATCCTAAATAAAAAGAAAACACCCATTAATTGAACAAATCTTTGCATTTCATAATAAGAAAAATAGTGCAGATGTAAAGTATGTACACAAAAGCAAACTTTTGAATAACATCTGATTAGAATTGTTCAAATCATGAAAAAGTGAAAAAGCAGATTAACTTGATTTTCATAAAGGCTACGTCATGAGACACATTTTCCCAGATAGATGAGGCACACCTTCAAAAATAATAATTGCTAATCATATGACCTTCAGCACTGCTTACACAATACTATAGAAAATCATGATGAAAGCTGTGTAGCCCTGCTCTGTCACATCATCTGAGATTGTGAACTCTAATTGGGTGTGCAAAGAAATTAAGTGAAAGCTTTTATTGTAGAATCTTGCTTGTATTTGTGAAGTGTGTGCCCTTCTAATAATTCTTATCACATCCTATCTATGTTCAAACATGATTTCAAAAATTATAAGACTTAGCAGTTAACATATGATAAAAATCTGACTGTGTTTTGAGCAACAGACATGAAAATATTTTACTTTCGGTCATGATGCACAGACCTCACAGCCATCAGTCTGTAAGTCATGACCTTATGCCAAATATCTTTCTGTCTGGTCCTCCCACTCAGTCAATAGCCACATATCATCATTCAGATGAAACCCTAAACCATTTACAAAATACTTTGAAGTTTGACTCAACCCCTTTATTTCTCATCTAAATATCATGTGCTAAAATTTCCATTTTTTTTTCACCACTCATAAATATTAAAACCACGTACCTTGATACTCTGTATAATTCCCTGAAGATGTCTATCATCCTCAAACATGGTGGCCAGACTAGGACCATCACCAGCTGTTTTCTCCTCAACTTTACCATTGATGAAAGGTCTATGTTGCAACAAAAATTAGAAGTCAAAATAATGTATTTTTCACAGATTTAAAACGTTACTCTGTCTTCAGTTTATAAGGTTTATATGAGCTTAAACAGCACTGTATTTACTGTAAGTTTTCCATGACTGAAGATAATGGAGAACATCAAAGAATAGACATATCTGGCTTTCGGCTTCCAGCTACATGTTATTCTTACTAGACCTTGAAACTTTCAAACATGTCCAATACACCCAATCTCACTCAATTTGTCTATGGTAGTTGATGAATAGACTCACTGGAAGTCGAATGGTGGGTTAATACACATGGTGGGTTACTGTAACACGAGATGACTAAATCCCAGTTGATTCAAAGACAGCCTTAGTTGAATTGACTCCTTTTAGATTTATTGGACAACCCTTAAAACTTACTGCGTGAAAGCATCAAAATATGGGTCTGGCACCAGGTTTTGAACACTTAGGACAGCATCTTGAAACTTTTTGATGACTTCCCCTAGTCCATCCTGAAAGTCATCTAATCCAGGGGAGAAAAGCAGCATTTGAGGCTCAAGAAGCAGCTCTGTGGTATACAATGGATGGAGTTCCCCTTGTTCATCCTGCAATAAAAAAGGAGCATGATGTTATCCTAGGATCTACCAGGGTCACATTAACATGAAAATTGAGCCCTTCTTACTCACCCAATTAATCACAATTTGTGGTTAATTGGGTGACACAAATAATTTAAGAATCACTACCACCCAGAGATATCTTGAGTAGGATATCCTTCCAGCATAACAATAAATTGTTTAGATTCACCCAAAACATGTATAGTAATATTCTGCAGTCAGAGAAAAGAGTTAGGTAACAACGAATATTGGCCCCAAGCACTTTCATACATCTGCACATTTAGTGTACTCTTAAGTTTTAGTTAAGAACTAACTGCTACTATAGTAAGTAAATTATAAAATCATAAACTGTGAATTGAGGCAACACCTTTTGCTCTATACCCTCCCCTTCTGGTTTCTCTTCTTCTTGCTCCATTTCTTCACTTGTTCCCTGGATTTGTGCAGGGGTGGGTGTGTGCTGTAGTTGTTCCTCCAAATAGTTTAGCAGAGTTGCTACAGAGTTTGCTGCAAGGACATGCATGGTATTCACAATGAGGTAGTCAGCAAGCCGGATAAAGCTGAAAACAAATTCATAGCAACATAAATAAAAATTATTCAATTTTGAGGCCAATCTGTTTTCAGATTGCAAGGCTGCAAAATTACCTGACACCCTCCTTACCCACTTTTTGAGAGTAGCAATTAGTCAAGTAGCGCCATAATTGTGTACAGTGTTGAAAAAGCATACTAGAATATACTTTTAAGTAACATTCTATGGTTAGCTCTGCTCAAAAAAAGTTCCCAAAAAGTTACAATACACATACTTGAAAATGTTTATTTCAGATCTTGTACAATCTATTGTCATAACAATGATTGGAATGCTATTATTAGCTAGGCTTTTCCAAGTACATAGTAAAACATAATAGAAAGTCTGTATTTATGCAAGTATCTTAAAAGACATTACTGTAAATTCATCTTGAAATAACAGGTCTTTCATCTCAATTCATTTTTTCTTTCCTGAGGAACTGCCAGTCTTGATCCATTTATAGAGCAACTCTGACACAACTAATGTTTACCTTGTAAGTCTTTTACAGTGGCTTCTTTTGTTAGCCTGCTCTGTGTAAGTCATCTTGTCTGGTGCATCACCATACATATCCATCTCATACCCACTTGGCATAAGATAGGAGGACATTGAATGTGCAGGGCCTCCATATTCATCTGTCCAAAGAATCATTAAAAATTTACAAGAAATAACTCCAGAACATGTATAATTTGTTAAGTGTTGACATGTAAACTAAAATGCTTCGAAGACTAAGCATTCTTACAACAAAGAAGATGTACAACAAACCTCTACTGGATAGAGAAAAAGTATGTAAAATGACCTGTTGCTGATGATTCAAATTTTCTTTGGGATGAAACATTTTGTGTTAAATATTTTGCATTTTAAACTGTTCAAAATAACATTGCATGCATTTTGATATATATGAAGGAACTACCAGGGTATTAAATAGCTGAACTCATTTCCATGCTGAGGTGTTAAAATTATTAATATAAAGATTAAGCCAAGCCTAAAAGCAGAGCTCCCATTTTTTTTGTCCCGCACGTCTCAAGGGCACAACGTCTTGGCCAGGACTAGAACCCAGGTCGTCTGACTCGGAGCCCTGTGCACTGACCACTGAACTACTGAATAAAGCTGTGGTGATGGCATGCCCACGGTACAGTTGATCACGCATGTTAAAAGTAGCACCTTGTACGGTTGTATGGTTGTTCAGTCATACATCCAAATTTTTTCAGCTTGATGGGTTACTACTATTTTGTATTATTATGGGGCTACGCTAAGCAAGCTCTGCTATAATTCAATCATCTTAGAGAGTGGCACCTCAGTCTATAAATGAGACGTCAATAATCATAATTTCATACTAACCTGCATACATGCCCATAGGACTTTCCATATCCATGAAATAATCATCAGGTGTGAACCCAGCCTCTAGCAGAGCTGTTCGACATGCACTTCTGACAACTTCTTTGACAAGGTCACGGAACTCTGCTAATCTTCCAGCCACCTGCCAATACAAAAATATCCACATTTCAGCGACTGAAAAATATTTTTGCAATATTTGACTTTATCAATTTGATAAAATGATTAATTTTACGTAAGGCAACTAAAAGAGCCAAGTGAAACATGATTTATTCAGGCATAAAAGTCACAATGAGGCATGAGTAAGGTCAAACATTACAAGACAGCTTAATCTCATATCTCACACTGAGGATATAAATGTAAAACTAGACCCAAAATCAGTCCCAAGACTCAGGATGCAACCCAAAAATCACTTCAGTCTCTACCTACATGTATAATTGAAATGATCATAATAAATAAGAAAATTAAGTGCACTAATGTATGCAATTGTGCTGCTGAAAATATGCCAATTACCAGTGCTGTAGTTGTGAGAAACTGTAACTGTATAAAGTAACACCAGCTGGTCTGTGGTTGGTGGTTTACTTACATGTCTTGCTTTTTCAAGGGTTGGGTGTTAAAACAAGGCACTCCACATGCATTCCATGTGTTCATGGTTTAACAAGTTTGGAAGTAATTAACAAGTCTTATTTTGTGTTACAATAATGAAATGGCTCATGGTGACAAGGATTAATTTGCTTACAAATGTAAATATCACACTATTAGAGCTCTAGACAGAGAGTTATAAAACATATCATTGATTAATTAATAGTAATTTCTTCTACATACTTCTTCAAGCTGCTCAAACTGAGCATTCCTGAACTCATCCAATGTGTAAGTGTGCCCTTTCTCTACTCTGCACAGGCCCATGTCACTGATGCGGTAACACATCTCTCGCACATTCAACAAAGCTGGGCGTAATGACTGACAAAAGATAAATTCTCATATTCATTGTTTAGGACTCTACATCAAAATATCTAAGAAAAAATTCCAAAAAGTGTACTAAATTAGTATTACATGTACTTACAGCATTTACAATGAAGAGATTCTCTTGTAGTTGATTTTTACACTGGGTCACTTTTCTGTGTTTGTGAGAAAGAGGAGATACGTTATTAAGTCCTCCAGTAAAAAAGGGAAACATTCATTAAAGAACTTGTCAAAGTCCACTTCTTCCTGGTTCATAAAACAGTACTCAACAGATCTCAAAAACTACAGGGTGTAGCTCTGTCAGTTAAGAGCTTGATGGATGTAAAATTGAAGTCAGACTGAAAACAACAATCATTAAACAATATAACTGGATTGCAACAAACTGAGAGTTGTCATTTCTTGGTATTCATGTGTAAGTATACTCTAAATATATGTTTTCTATTTGATAATAGCATTGTGCAATGCCATTACCACAACATCCATTAACAATTTTAGTAAAATAAATCATATATGTTTTTTCACTTGTGGATCAAATTTCAGTAAATAAATGCTGCTTGCAGGTGGGCTGCAATTTAAGTAATTGCAGAAAAGAAGCCTGAAGAAAGAATTCAAGCTTCAAAGGGATTTGAAACTGAGCTTCCAAGAAACATGTACTGTAGCAGTTGGCCACTACTACCAAGTGAGCAACTAAGCCGCACATTGGGAATGAGACAGATTCTAGTAAGGCTTTAGTTTCTGCAGAGGAATGTGATCATAATTTTAATTAAATAAATTGTGAAGAACCCAAGAACTTTGCCTTACTCCCAAACTGTGGCTTAGTAGCTCAGTCCATAGTATTGCTCAACCAGTATCTGGGAGGCATGAGCTCAAAACCCGTTCAAGCAATAATTTTTTTCAGGCTTCTTTACTCCAACTTTTTAATAACAAACCCCCTGCAAGGATCTTTTATTGACTTGAACATCCATTAACCATTTAACCCCCTAATAGGGGCTAATATCCAATTTCTCCTTATAGTACGACTCCTTGAATTAGACATCAAGGTAATGAGAATAATGGCAACGATCAATAACTACAGAAACTCTGGATTGTTAAGCAAATTCTCCTTGTCAGCACCTTTGGAGATGCACAGAGAACAGTATGGAGAACATGCATACTGATGTTAGGGTGTAAATAGTTAACTTTGCAAGGTTATAAGGGGATACAAGACACACAAAGACATCAGCTTGCCTCAACACTTACACATGTGATGCACATCTACTAGTTTCTTTGTTTAGTTTACAGATTTTGTTAATGACTTACTTTGTCTTGACATTCTTTCTCCAGACAACAAATGCCTTCCACATCCTAAAGTTAGCAAATGTTGGAATTTTGACAAGTCTTTTGTAGTCCTTGTATTCCTTCTCCCAGCGTTCAAGACCAGTAAACTCTGCTTCATTGTCACAAGTGTGAGTTACTCCTTTAAAACTTATGGTGTAGTAATCTGAATGGTCAATTTCTGAATGCTTTACAATTCTGTTAATTAAAGGAAAACATAAACTTTCAGTTGTATGAAAAAACCTTTCATTAAACAGATCAGTTGAATGTCACTGACTCATAAATCTTAAAATCAAACACTGTAAAGTGGTAATAATTTTAAAAAATAATTAATAATACACTATAGTATGAGATACGTCCAACATCACAATAGTCTTCTTAAATTACATGTACATACAATGTACATGAAATATTTTGATTCCTGCATCTTCAATTAAATGGATAAAGATTTGCAATCCAGGTACTTGTATGATGCAATTATTATGTTTAGAAAAGAGAGAACTAAAAATATCAGGACATCTCATCCTGAAAGATGTCAAGGTTTAGATGCTGCCCCCTGCCTCAACACGAAAAAATATTTTACAGGTCACGGGCACACAAGGTGATTCAAATGTGAGGGACATTTGTGTATGATCCTCTTTTTTATCTGCTAGGGTGTCAATGTGAGTGATAAGATATGTTTCTTGAAGAAAGTGTTAGACAAAAAAAAATTAAATTCTATGAGGAATCAGATGAAAGACCATAGGATTTCATGTGTCATAATTTGCTCTATCTCTGAGCAACAGAGAACCCTGTGGTGGGCAAGGCCGTTGCTAGGTTCGTGACATGCATTCTGCTTCAGGCTAGAATCAGCAATGTTGATAGTATAGTGTGAATGAACAGAACACTGTGAATTTTGTGTCCAGTTGTCAAAAGAGATTTTACTTATCATTTGCTTTTCCAACAAGGAATAAGGTCATAAACAATTTGTAAGTAACTGACACACTCAGTTGTCTTATGATGAGAGAACTGAACCTAGAAACATTCCTATACTTACAAAAATATATGCATTGTTAAATACTTACTTAAGGTTGTATGGGTTGTATTCTATTGATGACCTATCAACAGCAGGTGTCATGTAAAGAAACCCCAGTTTAGAGTTCTCCTTGATCAAACTGATGATCTGAAGTGGATCTCTCAATCCCTCTGGTATAACATCAGTCTTCTCCACTACAGCTCCTCCATTTGCAAAAGCATGACCATTTGTTTTCTGCTTTGGTGAACCCTTTCTTTGAGGGGTCCTAGCATTAACCTGAGCTACTGAGTCAATTTTGTCTTGTTTATTCTTTAGATCATCTGGTAGGCTTGGTAATGGAGATGTCACTCGCTCAAGAGGTTCTACCACATCCCTTCGGCATGCCTTCTTCTTTTCTGGTTCAGAAGAGGAGGGTGGTGTTGGGGTTTTTGTCTTCCCTGAAGTAGGAGTGTAGGGAAGACTTTTTTGCCTTTCTTGATATCTAGCAAGGTTTGGCTGAAAGAAAAAAAAATTCCATTATTGTTTGTATTTGTTATTTACAACCACTGATAAATTAACTGCAAAGTTATGGTTCAGTTAGTACTTGAATCGACCTTGAAAGGAAAACAATATTTTTCTCTAACAATAAGAAGCATTTTGCAAAAGTTTAGGAAAGCAATAAATTTAGTAACTATTTAGTGACCTTTATATGGCTGGGCACAATTTTTCCAAGGGCAGATAAAGTGATTTGACAGATAAATCACTATCCAGGAGATAAGTGTCAACTAAAAAACCTAGTAACTGCACTATTGAGTGGAGATAAATTTATCCTGAGTGAATAGTGTTATCTGCCCTTTGAAAAATTGAACATTGCCTAATAATTTTTCATCACTTCTTAACTATGGTACTGGTGAGATTACTGCTACATTTTATCTCAATTAATTAGTTTTTCAACTTACCAAGGGCTCAAGTCTTGGTGCTGTTGGTATATTCTGAAGAATAACAACAGAAAATAAATCATAGTGTAGGAAAACTAACCAGTATATGATTTAACTGTAAGTCAGCCATCAATCAAAGTCTACCAAACATGTTGTAGGCAGTTAAAATTGTACCTTAGTGTACACAGGACCCACACACGCAGCATTAGTTCGCAAAATTGCCAAAATGTTGCACAAGAGACGAACACGCAGAAATAAGTAAACCTAAACTACAGTATCATTAACAAAACTTGAAAGACGTGTCACAGGTCATTATTATAGCTTGCGCATAAAGTTAACTGTAGCTGTGTAGGCATTCATCTTCTTTTCTTAATATGACAAAGAGAGTTGAGAAATGAATCACAAAATTGTTTAACTTTCGGGGTTGAGACTCAATTTTCTGGAGGGAAGGGTCATTTCTTGTATATTTTGATGACGATTTTTCAAAGCTATGTAAGCTCTGCTGAAAAAATGTTCGTGTTTAAACTTCTCTAAAGAATATTATGTTACTCCGCACGTCCATAATTAGGAAAAAATAGCTACATGAAGTAGGTATTTCACACTCGAGCTTACCTTTTTGAGCTGCACCGGGGTCGGACCACTGAATCTAAGAGCCTTTGGATTTGGTTTTAATTGTGGTTTTGCATAAATACGAGCGCGAAGCTCATTTTCGTCAATCCCTGGCAAAGAAAATGCATCGGATCTTGGTTTGTTAGAGGGTTTCCTACCGCCATTCGCGAAGGTACTTGCACCGTTTTGAGCCATTTTCTCCAAGAAGACTTTTTCTTTGATATTTACACAAACAAAAATCTGTTGTGCATCTTAGTGAACCACACAAAGGAGCATAAATGTCCTAATTAATCGCGGAAAACCTCCATACTTGACTTTGTTTTCCAAACTTTCCGCCATTTTGTTTCTGGAGAAAGTTGCTACGTAACGAGATTGTCAACTACCGGAGCCTCGGTATCATGCGGGAAAGCTCTTTTCACTCAAGAACTTGTCTCGACGTTTTTTCCCGTGTCGCCTTTGTAATAACAAGATAATTTCTAAATTTAAGAGATGAACTACAAATCGAGCCAAAAACTCAGAAACTATATTTACAATAGAGTAAAAATGCCAAGCAAAAGAAATGAGGGGGAGAGGGCATTCACGAAGTTTGGGTGTGCTGCCAAAACCCTAACGCGGATTGAGACAAAGTTCGGTCGTATTCCATCCTTGTTAGAGATAGTAATTTAAGAAATTGTAGCTTACCGACCTCATGAATTCATCTGGTACATATCCAGAAAGACATCACTTTTATTCGTGGCCGTTTGCGACATATACATTTCACCAAAAAAAATAAATTGCAAGGCTGTCACACTCACGAAAGGCACAGGCCAATATTGTAGATGTGACTATGAGGTCCGATGATGTTGGTTGAAATAAAATTATTTCCCGAAAATACTAATCAATATGATAATCTCATGATAAAAAAAAATTATTCTACACGGTTAACGAAGTTTGTCAGTTTCTACTCTTGGCAAATAACTGAGCTCCTCTTCACTGACAAATCACCGTTGCTCCAGGCTAATTGTTTCATAAATACCGTGCATCTGTCGCATGGATGCAGTGATGTCGAGGGACACGGATTCAACTTCAAACCACGGGAAGCTCAAGATATCCAAGTTTCCTGACAAACGAAGCCCTTCTAATGTCAATTTTAATTTAGTGAACTAACCGAATAGTTCAAAGTAAGCTGGAGTGGACGCAAACCGGAATCTTGTTTTGCATCAGGCTTAATTTCCGTTTCTCGGTCCTCCCATATGAAGAAGGAGCGTGGGCTCATTTTCCGAACAGCGGCTTGTAAACAAGCCCATCGATTACCCCGCTCAAGCTTCAGTGACTGTTCAGTTTGGTGATTTCACGCATGAACGGAAATTTGAGTTAGGTGCTGAATATTTTAAGACCTTACTTCGAATTCAAAACAATCCCTGTTCATTTTGCCTGCGGAATGAAAGTTATAGTCTGCAAATCTTCCCCTGAAGTAAATTGCTTAAAAGGTAGAAGATGAAACCATTTCGCAAATGTTCAACGTCGTTCAATTTTCTTTTTTTGTAGCCTATTAGTAATAAAGCCCGTCGATATATTTAATAAAGTATTAGTTCTTTAGTAATCCTCACCGATTGGCTTTGCATGATTTGTTGATACCATTAAAATGACAGTGATAATCTGACAGATGTGGGAAGTGGTTGTTATCGCCATTTTGAAACAAAATCCGAAAAATAATTGAGAATGATAAAGGATTAACGAGTTCTTACCCTCTCATTTTGAAAAATGTTCTTCATTTTATCAACTAACAATTCTTACCTTTTCGTCATACTTAACATTATCTAATCGAAGAAAATAGAAAAATTCAACACACTTCACTGAATTTATGATTTTAACGCTCAAAGGGCGGAATGACCTAGTACCTTTTGCGTCAGAAATGACAGGATTAACTCAGGCAAATCAATCCATAAACAAGATTCAATGGTTTAGCAAAGATTGGTAAATTCTTTTTGGGCTACATAACTTCTAATAATCACGGAGGAGAGTTCGATTTTCAAACTTATGTCACGTTTGTATTTTGTTTAGTTGAACAGGAAGTAGAGTTGAATCCTCTTCTTGTGGAGCTTTCTCCTGGACCGAGTTCCGTTGCAGTCACAAATGAGCAACGTCAATAACCCATTTCTAGAGGTAAAGTGACAGTTTCAAGAAATGCGACATGCTGTGAATTTGATTATCTGTTGATTTTGTGATAAACTCTTGGATTGTTTTGTCCTTGACTGAACTGAAATAATGATAAGAAGAGTACTTGGAGATGTGCATAATACTGCTAAATTCTTTAATCTTTTGAATAGAGATATAGTCTGGAACACTATCGATGTTTACCGACACGTTTTGACGAGAGATATGGATGAGGGGAAGCATGAACAGGTCAGAACAGAAACTCTCCTTGACTCAGTCGTGCGGCAGCTGTCGGTGTATGCAGTCGCCGCTATGGGTTTATTTCTCATAGTAAAAGAACACTTTATCGGTAAGTACATTTCGAAGTCTCTCAACTTACCATATAGCTTGAAATCTGGTGCTTTCGTCAAGTATTCAATAATAGTTAACTTGCGTACCTTATTCTTAGAGTTTAGTCAGTCAGTCCTTTAATTTCCCGGGATGAAACAGTTTTTTTCAGTTCGCCAGGGTTTATTATTTATCATTTACAAACTTTTCTCGTGTTCATCCAACACCTCGCGTGAGTCATTACGCCGCTAAGCTAATAGAAAATATTAATATTACAATGGGTTTACCATTGCAATAAATGATAGGTTTTTGACCGAACAACACGAGCTGTACCTCGATTACTTCATAAAATTTGTTAAAACCTAAAGATAGAAAACGCTCGACAAACCCGTACCAAACATCTTTTCCGCATCAGTTTACTACTTATTTAATAAGAAACAAGCACCGGGAAGCAGAAGCAGAAGATGTAGACATTGATGTCGCTGCTATAAAAGCAGATCGAACGTGGCTTTTGCTTCAAGTCTTGGCTCGTGATACCTTTTCTGTGTGTGGCTCGCTTAGCTTCTACCCACACGTTTCAACATGAACAGTCGGTCTATTTCGTTATCTTGTAATGGTCCTCGTGCCTTATCGCCATGACTAGGTTTCTAAATCTGAAATTTAAAATGAAAGGATTTCCTCCTATTAATAATTTTTTATTCTCCAATAATACGACAATGCGGCCGCTTGTGACAAGCTATAAACACATCTAAAGAACGCCTCTAAATGCCGATATTCTAACCCTTTGCTATTCTTATGCTGGACATTACAAAGATATCTTAAGGATATGGGGAGACCTTGTGGATGTTACTTTAGTATTATTCCCATTAACTCTTTAACTCCCAGCCGTGATTTATATTAACTTCTCCCTGTTACATCCATACATTACACTGAAAAAAGGTATTGAGAATACTCAAACTCATCAGGTAAAGGTTGTTGTCTTGACGTAACACTAAATGCTCGTGACTAATTTTCAAGGAAATGTGTAGCAGCTAGAGGGGAGAATTAACAATCAGATCTTGGGAATTGACCATAAAACTTGCTTCTGCGACTTAGTTTTGAGATTTTTCGAGAAGCAAAACTGAAGGGTTTTTGTGAAATGTAGCTTCGATGTCTTCTTCTAGAAATCTGTTTGATAAACATGGTTTACAACATGGTTTCTTTTCGTTAAAGGTTCGCTCATTGTCTGCCAACCAATCAACAGGGGTGTTAAAGAGAACCTGTCCTACAGCCAATCACAGGCAGATTACGATAAAGCTTATTGCTTAATGTCAATGACAGATACCCGGGAAAACCTGATCGTCGCATCAGGAGGTGAGCCTAACACAATCCCTGGGGTCACCATAATGGGGATCAAATCTGAAGAAGGACGTGACATTTATCAGAATTATCTTCCATTTGCTTTGGTCATTCAAGCTGCTCTTTCTTGCATTCCAACGATTTTATGGAACACTTGGGCTTCCGATATTCTTCGTACCTGTATAAGATTCGTGGCTGACAGCTCAAGTAAAATTTGCCCTGTTCGAGTTGATTCGAGCCATTCACCAGTCAAAAGAGACCAAAGTTTTGAAATTCTTACTGAGTATCTAAGCAATCAAGTTGAACGCTGGGAAGGAAGGAAATTCCTTATAAGAGTTTACACCACAAAGCTTATGTTAAGTCTTGGTATCTTCATCTTTATGGTGACCTTTTATGTAGCATATCCTGTACTGAACTATGTTGAATTCCAAGGGTCTTTTGTTTGTCACGTGCACAAGCAAACCTTGGTCACGTGTGTATTTCCTGATGTAGACCTATTCAAGTTAGCGTGGATTGTGAATATCGTGCTTGTCGACATATCTATTGCGATCGTAGTTCTCCAATTGTTAAACGTTGCTTTCTGTCTGCAACGAAAGACAACTTTTTTCTCCTATTTCATGGGAGTCGAAGAAAGAAAAATATCACGAATACCCAACGATTCGCATTTGATCTCTCATTTTTGTTATGAAAACGCTGCTGTAATGTGTCCAAGTTTGATGAACAGGTCTTCCAGTCCCGGAAAGACAATGCACACCCCGCTTATTTCACTGGGAAGTTCCGAGGAGGAGTTACACTCTCCCAGCTCAAGTTCATCACTTTCATACAGCACGGCACCACAGCTTTTCAGACGACAAACTGCCGACTGAGAAAAGGGATTTTCCAGTGACAATAAAAACAAACTTTAATTTGAGAGCTTAATAACAATTAATCACTAGTTTTGCGATAGATAGTTCCTGATTTATCTAATGGAAAGGTAACGAACGATGCACATATCCGTTAGGTAACTTGTGATTTATCCGTACAACAGCTTATGATCTACCTTCCGTGTAATGGCTAATGCTTTACCCGCCGGAGTGCTGGTGGTTTACCCGTCGGACACCTAATAAAGAAACCGTCGCATTGATAGTAGGGAGTTTAAGAAAACCACGACGGCAATGGCAACGGGAACGTCACTAAACAAAAGGTTTAATGAGCAGAACAATAGCTAGGCAAGTGCCTAGTAAAGCTTTGTGAATTTCTTTGCGTCCTCTGCAAAACAACAACGTGAAATAACCAAACTTTGCGTCGTCTGGGGAACTTGAACGGCGACGATTCTAATTTACCACCGTGTTCCATATTCAGTTCGAGATAGTTTTGAAAGCAAGAAACAAGATAAATGACCTAAGAGTATCGCAAGGTTCGAAGGTGAAATATAAGTTCATTTTTTAACCGACGTTGTCCACGGCGTCGTCGTTTCTTAAACTCCCTAATAATTTGTCCGACGGATAACTGGTAGTTTATCCGTCGAATATCTAATTATTTATTCGCGGGACGGCTGATGATCGTTCTGTCAGGTGGCTGTTGATTATTCGTCGCATTGCTAATGGAGATATTAAAAGAAAATAGTAATTCATAATTATTCACCGAAGTGGAGGTGAATAGTCCATTTTACTGTTGTGTGCTTGGTTGCCAAGCCTTTGAACAGGAGTGAGGCTGAGGGTGACCTTGTTATGATACAAACCTTGCTGCTTTTGAAATGCAAATTGATTTGTTATCATGCTAACTAGATTCTGGTTCTAACACAACCGAACCAACTGTAAAATGGCCTATTGTGGTGGATATTTACCGAGCCGCAAGGCGACGAGGTAATTATTCACCACTTTTATCGACACCTGAGTGAATAATCGTTTTAGTATTCAGTATAGCACAGTGATACCAGAAAATTAGTTTTCTTCTTTCAATATACCAAAAAATGATGGGAAATAATACTCTTGATGCGCGATTTTGTCTCATCGGCTGCTCGGAAGTGAACAGTACTTGCTATTTACTTCCGAACTTGCCAATCAGCGCGTGCAAAAAGCACCATTCACCTGTGTGGTATATACTAAAAGTCTTTATTCACCACAAGATAACGATATATTACTTATGTTGTAAAAGCTACGAATGAATAAACCCGGATCCTGATATATATACAAACAGGAGTCATGATAAGAAATAAATAGGTCTATTTAGACCCCAAATGTGATGGTGGTTTTACTCGCTAATTTAATTTGAACAAGTGTAGTCAATCAGCCTTTTTCACAACATATGTCCATGCACGAACGAATGCTCTTGAGGAAGAGAAAAAGAAGGCTGAAAGGACGGAGGAAAAAGTGAGACCGACTATGGTTCTGATGAGCTTTTCTCTGCCCGAGTCAGGGTTGAGTTCCTGTTTATTCAGAATTTCAACTTCCCCATACTATGTGTGACAATTTAAGAAGATTCTAGATAGCCTGTCGATTCCCTTTCTCTATATAGAGATTATTCACCACAAGATAACGATACATTACTTATGTTGTAAAAGCTACGAATGAATAAACCCGGATCCTGATATATATACAAATAGACATAGAATCTACTCAACTAAGGCCACAACGCGGTAATTACAACTGAATCATTTCAAGTCTTTTCAAAAGTTTGAAGGCTCAAAACTGCTCCTTGGAAACATGAATTGACACTTGAGAACTTCTGTATTTCGATTCTAATCCCCACAGCGCTGAGAATGCATTTGAAATTAATATGAAACAAAAGCAAAGAATCGTCATGGTAATGTCTTCATACCTTGTAAAATGTCCGTACCTAATGAATTTTATATCGCGACTTGTTCACTCCAGGGTACGTAACAACGAACAGATGCTTTTGGCATTAACAATATTTCCGATCCGATCTAAATAGAAAATGGCCGTAATTACAAAGCAAAATAATTATAAAAACGAACTAAACTTAGTACTAGTTTAAGCACCGACGCCATTACGATTTTAAAAATGTTCCATAAAACGTTAATTATCACTTTTTTTTACATTTTTTGCTGATATTTTATGTTGCAACTTTGCAGTTATGATACATCAGTGGAAATAAAAAAAGGGATTACATCTACATTATAATTAATATGACATAGCTGAAAATTTAGCATGGGGCGAAAAAACCCGTAGGGAAACCAAGAGGCTTATGCGAGCTACAGGCTCCTCATATTTTACCAAAGTGAGGTATCATTTTTATGGCGTGATTTAAGTACAAAATATTTTAGGTTACACGCAACATGAAACTAATAGAATCTCAAGTTTATTCCATTTTCAAAATATTCGTTCGTCAAACATTAAAACTTCACACCAGGAGTAGAGAATCAAGGTTGACATGTTACTTATAACTTTCAGAGTTTCATTTCACTCCTACATCAACTCGGATGATATATAAGGCCCCCTGAAGTCATATCAAGACTACTTTAAACGTTTTTTACGTGACTTTCTAAAAAAGCTTCACGCTTAAGAGTAACAAACAAAGAAACTGAATAAATTACCACAGGCGATAAACCAAGAGAGATGGAGATGTGTTTTCAATTGCCTCTAAACAATAAGTATAATACCACGGGGACCACATTAATTTGCTTGCTGAAGGCTACACTCAAAATTAATCAAAGTTGGTTGGTATGTTCATAACTTCTCGTCCAGAATTTGTGTCTGACGTAAGATTCACCTCTACTCAAACTTGCGGCAAACAAATTGAAAAGGCCAGTTTAACTAAAACATAAATAAACATTAAGCAGTTCCCTTAGCAATATGTCTTTCACCACATGAACGCTCAACAATTAGCTGATTTCAACGAATAAATTGACGCTGGTGAATTATTTCAAGATACAAGAAGGACCAGTACGTCGGACACCTGAGGCAAAACCAGAGTAGAAAAGGTAATTATCTCTATAAATTTTTATTTACACTCACGCTTCTTTTCCCAAACCACAATTGAGCCTGCGAGTCTATCGAAACAGGTTGCTCAGAGTCCGAGATATAACCTGACTTTTCTCACTTACCCTCAAAAAAGAAACCTTAGATGCGTTAAAAAGAGAAAAATAGCTTGAATCTTCCCACATAAATATTATAGTCAGTTTTAACGGATGACATTTGAAGTAATGCATCTTGTTTATTTCGGTAAGCGATCTGAAATGTCTCGTTTGAAGACATTTCTTGTAGTCATCTCAACTCCTGATTCTGGCTAAATTTCTCATATGAAATTAGGGACAAAATTCATATAGCTCACCGGATCCATTGATTATTGCTTATGTTGATGTTCTCGTGATAAGAAAATCAACATAAGCAATAATGAAAGCGTAATAAAGTCTTAGTGACCTCGTGACCATTGCTCAATTTCATGTACAGATGTCAGTGCTTTATTGTTAATTTTATTTTGTACGTTATCTTTTATTGTAAATTTTCTAACTTTTCGGGTTGTATGGGTTTAACCATAAAGATCATTTTATCTCTCAAAAAGGAAAGTTTGAATTCAGGTAACAGCTTGAAAATGATTAAAAGGAAACTCAATTCAATTGCAAAATACACATAAAATCATTTCGATTGCGTGCGCGCGAGGAATTATGCGCCGATCAATAGGCCATTTTCGAGTTACCTTTGACCTCATTTTCAAAGCGAGTCCTAGTGCTGATCCTTTCATATGATTATAAGTTTCATCCACATGTAAATTAAACTCATTTTCATAGCAATGGTTGAGCACCAGGCCTCGTTTTGAAAAAGAGGCTAAAGGTAATTCGGAAATGGCCTCTTCGAAGCTTCAACATACCCCCTGGAAATTCCCCCACGGGCATTTCACCGTCGTCTGTGCCCGGGGGGGAAGGTGAACCTTGCCTAGGTGGGGTGGGGCGTTTGAACTGGATGTGTCAAGTCTTTCCGGCGTAATACACGTATTTTCATGGAGGAGTTTAAAGTTGAAGAGTCTGCCTTTGTGAGCGAATAGCTTAGAAGGACAATTTTCGCATACGTGACCATAACATTCGCTGTTGATCACAGAAAGAATCGTTCAATAATGGGTGAGGCATCTGAACGCAATTTTGGCCCGAGGGGGTGGAGGGGGAATTTAAACGAGCCAATCTTTGAAAGTAATCCCCGGGGAATTGGCTGCCGGGGGGGGGGGAATGTTGAAGCTTCGAATTAATCGACGCACCACTTGTTTACTTTTAAGCTGTTTTTCGGCAATGATTGGTCAGTTTCTCAATGATATCAAAGTATTTTTTAATCAAAGAGCAACTTATAGGCATCAATTTCGAGTGACAGAGAGTGAAAAATCTTCATCTCACTGAGATACATGGTGGCAAACAGAACTTTTTAAGGGTTTTTATGAGTAAATCAGTAAACTGGTTCTCATCAAAATCATTATTGTGCGAAACAGGTAGTGAAGATGCCCAGTTCCAGGGCCGCACGCGGAGTTCTTTTGGGTACAGTTATTGGCTTGGCATTGGCAGGACTTTTTATTGTGTGGAGCGACAAATACACTCACATAAAGTATCAGTCAGGACCCTTGGCGAGCTCTGGTATGGAAGATAGAATCACTGTTCCAATGATTATCGCCTGAAATTTTATCTCCCATCTGTGCTAAAAGATTCTTTAGTTAGCCATTCATTGCATGAAAATCGTTTCTATCGTCTAAAAAAATTGAGGTATAGCCTGAACAAAAGTGGACTAATTTTGCCAGTCACCTTTAGAATAGCGTACTTTTGTTTGTGGAAAGTTGTTAGTACATCAACTTGACATATTCATTCAAATATCTGCCACATGTCAGAAATGTACCACATTCAGTCATTGTACAGAATGTCTGTCTCAGTCTCTGTACATTGCTCTTGATAAGAAACGCCGTCGTGTTAACTGCAATGCTGTTAATATATTGTCTTGTTAACAGCTAACTTGAGAGCTTACTTTTTCTGTGATAAACACTTACTGTCGCTAAGACTATCGCCATAGTTCACCTTCGATTTTGTTTTCTTTACCCGCTGATCGCCCTGTCATCATATTCATTCAAAGGACAGTTATTATGGTATGGAGATCGTGATATCACGTCACTAAAACCGTCAACGGAAAATGAAAAGGATGAATTCGGAAGGGAGAAATTGGAAACACAGCAAACTACGGGAGAAACAAGAATAGACGGTAAGGAGTTGTTCAGGCATTTTCCTTTACCAAATTTGTCTTTGTTCCTGTCTTCCTGGCCGAAAATTGAGTATATTTTAGCTGATGTGGTTAGAGCAACTACGACATTCATGCTTTTTAATTTATTTGTGAGCATAATTCGTAGATGTTGCTCAGTAAATTTGTGTGAAATGAAATCCACGTACTCGGGAATTAATGAATTTTAAAAAACAGAGAGCCCTCGGCCGCGTAGCAGGCCAAATTTTGCGCTCAAAAATTTCGATTATTTTCTAACGTTTTTGTTGTGTTGAACGCTAACGCATCGAGGAATAGCTATTGAACTGCCCAGAAAGACGAAGTAGGCTACCATAAAACGATCCAAAACGCGAGTGGCGAAATGGAGAAAACATTTTACTGAGCGAGTCAGGAAGTAAGAGGAGGCTGGAATATCAATTGCGATGTCTATCACTGCAAACTTTCTGGCTAAGTAGCTGGTATCGCAGTCTGCAGTCACCTGGTCGTTGAGAGTGAAATAACTACAGTTTAGTCATTCATACCACCGTTAAAGCGGTTCCATGTCCCTTGGTACTTTGCGTATGAAACGAGTTTTTTACTTTCTTTGGTTGGGTCTTTGCTCATTTTCAGGACGCGTAAAAAAAGAAAGATTATATCGTGTGTTCAGCGAGACGATGTCTAGATTCAAGAGGGACTTAAAAATACTGTTATCGTAGTGTCAGGGGAAGAAAACATTGGCAAATGACATAATATGACATGAATAATGTCGCAAGTATTTCCATTAGTCAGGAAAGCTTTTGAATTGGAAATTGCAGCTGGCTCATAAAATTTTACACAACTTTTCAAGTTTGTGATCGCAAGAAGTTGCTTACTTTTTACTGATATACGTTACCAATTCATATTAAAGATCCAGGTCACAATGCAGATCATCCAGTTTCAACAAATGACTTGTACAAAGCTTATGGTCACGTGCACACCATCGTGTTTTTCATTGGTTATCCACGTAGTCGTCACAGTCTTCTAGGCTCGCTAATGGATGCCCATCCGCGCATGGTTGTATCTGACGAAAGAATGGCTTTCAACGCATGGAGAAGAAGTTCTGGCTCATTCATCGACAGCTCAATATACAAATTTTATGATATTATGTTCCACGCTTCAGAGAAATCAGTTTCCTCGGGAAGGCGGTCAAGAACCTTCGAAGGAAATGTCACGAACAAGGCTTCAAGATATGGATATATGGTACCAAACCAGTGGCAAGGAAGATTTGATCAATACATTGAGGTAAGCCACGGAACCTAAAATCTACCTGATGTAACTCAAATTCTGTCTTAATCCCTATCTTAGACGCCATAATTAATATCATTGACAACTAGGTCTAGTTCAAACGTCGAACTTCACTTGGCTAAACTGAGAGAAGTAAGTACATCTTAAGTTTCGACGTTAGAATCAGTTTAATTCTTCCAACTGAACTTTGGATTGACCAACACTTTTCGCTTAGGATGGATAAAACGTGTGAAGATCGACTGTGGGACAAACCTCGATCTTTTTCATGAAACAAACTTAATTCAAAACCTTATTTGAAATCCTGCTGATCGAGATATTCGTTTTTGCGGCTCTAAATTGGGTTCAAAGAATTGTGTTCGATGGTCGAACTTAACCCGGCAGTTAGGGTTTGACCAAAATTGCCATAGAGTTCGTCTCAAGAGGAGTTCGACGTCTGTACTGGGCCTCAGAGATGATTAAACTGGTTCCTTAGTAGACTAGCTCTGATCCTTTTCCAAGCGGGGTTGACCAACTTGTTTATCTCTCTGCCTATATGCGCAATTTTTTCCTCATCGCGCAGAATGCTGCCACACATCCGGGTACTTTTTTAGTCCACCGGCGGTAACTTTGAACGGTCTTCCGAGAAAAGAGAGCGGAACAATGCCTATAAAATGACTATAAATGCCTACTTGCGCCTAGTGATATGCATTTCATCCAGAACTCTATCAAGTTTCCTTTTCCGTACTAAGGTGATTGGAGACAAAGCAGGTGCATTTACGGCCTCCGCAATGCTTAACGACGATGCTATTGACGCTGTACGCCTGTTAGAGAAAACTGCCGCTGCTAAGGTGAAGTTCATTCATGTCGTAAGAAATCCATTTGACAATATTGCGACCATGGTTCTACAGCATAGAAAAATCAAACAGCGTGAAGGGAGCCACGAAGTCAAGGTGTGATAACATTTCAATTACTTTAATTCAACTTTCTTTGATGTACAGTGTTTGAAAATGACTATGACAGTCGTTTAAAGGTGGGTTCAGCAATCCGCGTTAAGATAAGGAACAAATTCACCAGTGAGCGATCACAACGACACTCCCTTAACGCAAGCTTTAGTTCTAACCATAATAATATACATGAAGAAATTACGCGCTTCTGATTTGCTGAAAACGAGTGCATTCTCATATAACACGAGTGCAGTTTTAACGCGAGTGCAAATACAAATAGCGCACGCTCTTTAAAATTTCGTCTGTCTTGACGTTCTGCGACGGTTTTTATGCACATTTTTTCGTGTCCATTTCATGAACAAGTAACAACATGATTTCTCCTATTTTTTCATATCAAAAATTCTTCGAAGGAAAAAAAAGATAAAACTAAAAGTGTGCACAAAGCCCGTTACTAGAGGATGCAAATTATGACCTTGAAGGGAACGACTTGAGGAATGTTTTGCGTCGATGTCGTTTAAATTTGCGTAATTTTCACAAAAATTATATATCAAATTGTTTCATATGCTCGAGACGTTCTACCTATAAAGACTGTTTCAAGTGTTACTTTGAAACCTTTGCTTCCAGCTGCAGCAAAATTTACCGAGAACAGATGAAATGAAGCGCGTGATTAGAGCCAGTACAGGCATAAATGGGGTAAGTTTGGCCCATTATATCTCCTAAACGAGCACGGTGACCTATGTTTTTTAATTGTATTTTTGGAAACAAACATTGGTAAGGAACATTTAGGGAAAGTTTTAAAAATATTTTTTTATTCAATCACCTTGGCTGTCTCTTTAAATGCCCTTTTACACTGTCCAATTACAAGCATGACGCGTATACTGTCCTATTAGTATAGGTAATCACATGATTTCGAGTGCAATTTGGAATAAATAAGCACAAGTAAATTTTTTTAAAGACTAACAAAATTGAACGAGCCCGTAGGGCGAGTGCAATTTGTGGTCTTTGAAAAAATTAACAAGTGCTTGTTTATTCCAAATTGCACGAGAAAAATCATGTGATTACGTGTTAATAATATACATGGAAAAATACGAGATGGCTAATCATAATTAAACATAAGCAAAGCGTGCGCATCAAGAGCAAAAATAATTTATTCAAACCGTGCGTTCGGTCAAAACAACCACATACGATCAAAACAATATGCAATGATACCTTCACATCTTTAAGGCGCAAAAAAGTTCAAAGTCCGCCCAAACAGTTCAAGGAATTGTCCAGTCTGTGTCCGAATCACTTTCGATGAAATAAAATCGTCGTTTCCGAGGTTTAACCATGTTTGTTCGGCTTTGGATCGCTCGAGCAAAGTGGTATGCTGGGTCGGCTCGTAATTTTCGATTTCCTTGGCAATTCCCTTCCCTAAACACCACTTTTTCCGAACCGACAACCAAAAAGCAGTGCTTTTTACAGTGTTTTCGTTGTTTGAACTATTTTTCAGCTGCGGTGGCGAAAGAAAACCTACTTAAAACGCCGGCCATTGTTTCGCTCGCAAACGTTCAAATTTCCAAATTTTGTTGCGACATCCAAGGCTTGCATTTGATTGGCTATCCGTGAGTTTCTTTAATTATTTACCAATCAGAATGTCTGATTTGTTACTTTCTTTGCGCTGAATTAACTCTCTTCTGCACTGAATTACCTGAAAACTGCATTTATCTTAACCAATCAGAACTGAGTAATTTTTCCATGTATATTATTAAAGGTCAAACCAGGCTGGTGATAATCAATCACAATCAAGAATTTTGTTATAGTTTTGATTGCTCGAGCAATTTGGTGTAAATAAGCACTTGCACATATTTCTAAGACTCCAAATTGCACTCGAAATCATGTTGTTACCTTACAAAGTTGTTTCCGATGTGATCGTGAGAGTTTGTAATAATTTTCGGTCATAGCCCTGTCGATCACAAACATGTTTTTGTTTCAATCCTAATTTTCTTAACGCGAAATATTTTTTGCGATAACTTTTCGTGTTCATGTGTTATAATTGGAGCTTTGCTTATTGGCAAGGAAGATATGATAAACACTGATAAGGTTTGCCAAATGGAAAAAGGTTGTGGAGGATCCACTAACTTCAAGTGAGATTTGGCCTTGTTCTTTCAAAGCTGATTGAAGTCTTTGCAGATGGCGTTTTGTGAGTCTTCTTTTTATCCCTCTATTCACAACAGCCCAGCAATGCGACGGTTTTACAACGCCCTCTCTGAAGGGTATTTTTAAAAAGGCACGTTATTAATGGCCGTATTCATATGTCGACACAAGGCCAAACTGGAGAGACAATCTCCGCTCAAAAATAAACAAAAGGATACTGAGAACAAGAACTGAATTCAGTTTAATGAGGTATTGCCCACAAAGCTTCCCAAACTCCTTACGGCGCAAAATGGGCAATCTATTGTTTGTGTGAAAAGAGGGAGCTAATGGAGACAGCGTATGCTGCAAGTTTGCCGGGAATCCAGGTTGAAAATTCTTCCACAAGCTTTTATAATCAGTATCCACGCTTTTTTTTGCTGAAACATTCGATTAGAAAAACTTGCCAAATTTTTGCAAGTCGCCAAATTTTCGCCAAACAAACATTTTGGCTAAACAAGCATTCATGTTAAAGTCCGGTTAGACTGGCGGCAATTTGGAAAAATATGTATTCAACGAGAAGTTCTTCTTCCGTAGCATGTATTGAAGCCAGCTTAAGTAGTGCAAGTGTCAACCAAAACGCAAAAGATCAGCAGGAAAAGAGGATCCGTTCCTCTGTAACAATTCGCGCGAGGTTTTTAATCTACTTCGCTTTAGAACGAGTTGGGTTAGTGATTGACGTATGTTCAATCAGTGAAGTTCTGGTCAAAGAATATTAGTTTGATGCGACTCCGCCAATTTTTGGTTTGCGAAAAAGTGGAAATTATGTGAATTTACTTCAGTGCGACCCGGCCCAAATAGAGGTTTTCTTGATCTGACACAAACCACTTGCCCTACTTTGTTGCTGGCGACTGCAGCGAAACTGAGAAATCATATCTAAGAATAATCTCACGACCTTAAGACGAGCTGATAATTAATTTAAAAGGTTGCAAGTGGTAATTTGCATAAATACTGATAGTGTGTGATGCATCAGGCTAATGAAATTACTCGCTAAGCTTAAGATAGTGGCCTCCCCATTCTCACTTTTACTAACATCTCTAAATAATCTAGGAAATTGCTTTTCGGGTTATTTATTTCAAGTTGAAACTACTTTTCCACTTGCCGCTTACAGAATGGAACATTTAGTGTAACTAAGCACACTAAAACTCCGTTTTGTTTTGCCAAATTAGTGGTTTTATGGCGATGCGTCTCAAATGAGATTACAACGGCTGAAAAATGAGAAATTGGCACGGGAGTAGTCTACTCCGTGGGTGTTTTTTTTCTGTTGATCAGCGCAACGAATAACTCTGAAAATTCTTACAATGCAGAACTGTCTCAAATTACTTTCAGCAGATTGAAGCTCCTGAAATACTTGATGACAAAATAGACGTTTATTTCAAGTGGGCCAAGGGAAGTAACAAAGCAAGAGAGGCTCTTCCTGGAAGCGTTCTTGATATTCCAAGCATAGAAATTGTTCTTCATCCCGCAGAGGTTCTGAGAAAGATCTGCAAGTTCCTAGGGATCATATGCACTGAGAAATATCTACAAGACTGTGCAGACACTGTGGACCCAACTCCTTCAATAACACGTGACTATGTAAAGTGGACTAACAAACAGAAGGGAAGAGTGTACACGGAAATGAAAAGATTCACGTTTCTACAGGGTTTTTCTTTCGATAAGACGGTTTAGTAGAGGAGAAAATGAGAGAAAAAACCCTACAGAAGAATGTTTATTAATTAAATTTATATCTCATTAATTCAGGAATTAAAGAAAAGAGATGGAGAGGATTTTAAAAATCTCGTCACCTCTACGAAGAGGAGAGTAGTCATCAATCAGCCTCGTTTCCAGTTTCTCTCTTCAATTTTTTAAAATGAGAGACCCTGGGAATGACGTGTTCACTTTTATTCAACCTAATGAAGTCGGCTTTTCTGATTGGTTGAATTTCTTCCGATAGCTAAAAAATTAAATTGTATTCGCAAGACCCTAAAAGAGTGTTATTCACAAGATAAGTGTAAAGTAGTCTGTTATCATTTTCTGCATCGTTCCTGTTCTCACTTATAACCACCTTGAAATAGACTAAGTCATAATAGGTGCCATAGCAACCGTTAAATGACTATGTCATAAGGACCTGTTCTTCTGGGGTGGCAGCTGTATCCATATCCGGGCCCTTGGTTCTTTCCTGAAGGAGAATGTTACTTCGAAAATTGAACTTATACGCAAACGTTCTCTTGGGATTGGATTACACATTTCAAGACCAGGACGGGATATTTTTCTTGGTTAGGTGAACAGTATTTGATCTTATAGGCGAGAATGAAAAAACAATCAGGACACTAACAAGTGCTAAGTCCTGGGCCTAGAAATTTAAATCCTCAAAATTTAATATCAATGCTTGTTCTTAGACCAAAAAGGCTCAAAGTAATACTCTTTATGTGCAGCACATACCTAGTTAGCTTATGCTGCGCAGTGTCTCTTCCTGAAACAAAGAAGAATAGTAATAGTGTTTGTAGGGGACGCTAGAATGATGAAGAATCAAAAGTGAGCTAAGGGGACATTAATCTAAATATCCATAGGTGACGCCAAATAATAAAAAATTGACACGATTGAAGCGGTTGTTGACGAAACTTAATCACCTGCTGCTGCTGTTGTTAGAGTCGTTAGAAAAATTGCCCAAGACTTCCATCGGACGTGTAAATGCCTCTCTTAGAAGATTTAGCAAACCGTTCAGGGGTAGGGTTCAATATCCGTTCATGTTGACCGAAGAAGGTAAATCTTCTAGTAGGTGTAATACAACGGGAGGCAGCGTCTCTTTCTGTCCATCTTTGAAAGATTTCTTTCCAACGCATTTGGTTTACAACGACGGTGTACTCTCCCCTTTTTTGCTCTCAGCAGGAGTACTTTCATTGTCAGAGTCAGCTTCCAAAAATTTGCTCTTTGAGTATAGTTATTTCAATGTGGTCAGTGCTCCTCCTCTCGGAGTAAAGCATCCTATCTTTCTTGTTATTCTGATCTCTTCTTCAATTGTTGTAACCCGCGTAACAAGGCCATCGCCTTTCGACTTTATGTTCCTTTGTTTTCACGCATAAGTAGGAAGTCGAACGTGGACTGTTATTCGTAGCCGAGGTAGCGTGATGACCTATAAAATCTCTTGCACAAATGTTGTCTTCCAATGAGAGTACTAGCATACAAAGGCTGGGCTGGGTGATAGTCATCCATTCGTCGACAGTTTAATTAGATTGGCAATTTTCAGTAGGGCAACTTTGGAATTTCCATGTTGCCTTCTGAATCTGATCGATATTATCGAGGCTTTCTCTATAAGGGGTGCGTGTTCGTTCATAACTCATTTTCGTTCGTTCATAAAGAGTTCCACATTCTGTTTGTTCAGCAGCAAAACTTCGGTTTGTCTGTACAGCTTTGTTAGAAATCCGGAGGTAATGCCCAGCGCAAAATCACCGTAAATTGCCAAGAACCTTCGATGCTAAAGCACTATCATTGCAAAGGCCAGAGCCGGGAGTTGCTGCATCAATGCCTTCTCGTTCAACACCAATATCAATATCCGTGAAGCAATTGTTTGCCTCTGACATATTCAATCCATCCAGTGAACCGACAGATTTTAAGTGAATATAAGCAGATGCTACCGCTAGGAAGGCCACAATATCAAATGCACAGATTTATACAAGGCGAGTGTGTGTGCGTGTGTGTTTGTGTGTTTTCATTTCATTCGCGTTATGGAAGGTGACTTTACAGAAAACTGAAAAAAACTGCTAACAAACTAAACATTTTCAGCAGAACCTCTCAGCCACGTTCGCATTATTCCCCCTTTGTTTGGCACATCGTAAGCATAAACTCTTTTGACCGGAAACGCGCGAGCTGGAGCAGAAAAGAAGGTTACGAAAGTATTTCTTCAACTTAGATCTTACCCTCAATGTAATCCGGAATTTTAAAGAGCATCTGTCTGAGCATCTAAAACCAATTTACAGTGATTTAGCACAGACATTTCTAGATATTCATCTGCAGTTCGTTTCTGTATCTCCTCTATGTTCCATCTTGATTTATTCACTGGCTCCTAAGTGTTTTCTATTCATTTGCAATCGGTATTAATCTTTTCCATCCTTACCCATCCTTTTCCCCTCTGGTTACTTGTCACCTCTTTTAATGTTTTCCTATCTTACCGAACTTATATTCTGTAGTCATTTGTAGTCTTCTCCAGTTTTGTCATCCATCTTTCTTCTTGGCTTATCATTAATTCTATTTTCTCGCACTATTATTCTGCAGTCATTTATAATCCTTGTCAATCTTTTTCAGCCTTGTTACTTTTGGACTTCATTGTTGCCTAGCTCTTTTGTGTTTGCGTGTCTTACTAAACAGAAGTTTGGTAGATTCCCTCGAATTAAAGAAAGTTTTTCGAGGCACAAAATCTGACATTGCATGTCACGATACAACTTCTTTGAGTTGCAAGAATTTTGCAACTCTGAAAAATGCGCTCTTGTAAACCTAACCTACACTCCTGAAAAAGGGCTGTGATAGATATCTACACTTAGGGAAGTTACCTTCACCGTTCTTGAAACAAAGGTACGGAAAATGCCAATTCCTCAGGCCGACAGCATAACCGATACATGACGCTATGAAATCATTTTTCGAGGTCCATTTTTCGCGCTCTTCATCATGACTCGCATCGGAGCTTTCGCCCACCGCTATAACAACAGGTTTACACCTTATTCGTCATTTGTTCATCTTCTTACGTTATTTTTTGAATCAGCTTCCCAAATTCAAGCTCACATCTCCTAATGAATCTGCTCCCTTGCTGACAGAAACCAAAGCGAGAAGTGATTATGATGTCATAGAAGGTAATGAAGCAATCTGGTGCTGACGTCATTGATCAACCGATTGTTATGGCGGGAAATTGAGTATAATTGACTGATAACCCGAGCTCTCTCTTGATTGAGCAGCTCTGTGATCAATCTGCTTCTTTATTTCATTAACGAGCTCAAAATGACTGATCTTCATTTCTTAATCTGTTCCCTCACACGACACTTTCGACATGGATATCTTAACAATTTACAGGACACGTCATAAATGAACCTAGTAATGGCCTGTTTCTGTGGCTCATTAGTAGATCACAAAAATTAAAAACCACCATTAAAATGGCATCACAGACACAAAATCCACATAATACGACCGTTCAACCGCAAACTCCAATTGGCTCACGTAATAATCGTATCCGCCAAACACAAAACAGTGTATGTGCGCGCGCCTTGCCACATCGTTTCACTGCGCATGCCACACCAGTTCAGTCGTCTTGGTTACAGCCCTATCCGCACGTCTCTGCTGTGCTGTAAGAGTCTTAAGCATTGAGCCACAATAGAAAAATTAAAATCCGAATAAACTAAGCCAGTCAAATAATCCATCTATTTTTAATAATTTCAATTTTACCTGCCAGGCATAACCCGATGACTTATCAAGTGTGGAAGCTTTTATAGTTTGCCAGGCGATTGTTAATATGCATGTGTCGGTGATTGAACTTTTGTCCATTCGCGCGATTTTACTAAAATATTAAAGAATATTAAAGAACTAGACCCATAGTAACCCCATCTTTTCAATTTAAAGCAGAAAACAACTGAGAACAGGATAAAGCGTAAACGGCCTCTTTAATTTTCATGTGATGAAAGAAATCTCTAAACAGTGGTATGATTCGTGAAGGATGCCTCTGCACGTATTGCACGCACATTTCCTGGCTTCGATTTGAATAACAACAGTTTGAGCAAGGGAGTCGATACACACGATCTTATCTCAGCTTGGCTGTTACTACGCTATGTGCATTAGCATCTTTTTCTTTGGTAGTTGTTTTTTCTTTCTTTGTTGTCGTTGGATGCACGGACTACCAAGCGTTAGGTCACAAGGGACCCTTAGACGCTCAAACATCCTTCATTATGCAGATTTTGTACCTGGCACGGTTAGTTTTAGTTCAGTTGGCTTCCAAGTTCAAGTCGTGCCGTTTCTTGTTTACGAAAAACGCCGATAAGGTTTGTATGTTTTGCTTCTAGATTTTGTACCTTCGGTTTTTGTATTCTATTGTATCTGCAACATTCGTTCTTTTTCGAAGCGCAGAACCGACTCGAAAGAAGAACGACTTTTTCTTTTTAAACCTGACAAAGATTGATTGCATCGTCGGTGGACTGTTCAAGAATAGGGTGAAATTCGTATCCGCGAATTCGTTTGTGTGCGGATCTTATGTCAGCTTAGGTACTTTTCTAACCAGGTTCCCACTGCACACAAACGTCGTTCCCTGTGAATTTCTTAAAGGAAGGCCAGAGAGCAAAGGAAGGAAAATTACTTAATTGTACGCACACACTACCGCTGAGGAAAACTTCCAAGAAAGGAACAGAAAAATGAAAATTATCAACAGTTGCTGCAAGTTCTAGCCAGATGAGTTAACCACGGTGTAATATTTTCCACAAAGAACGATCCACTTAAAACGGCTTTGGAATAACTCACACAATCTTAAAACCATACCCCCACGAGGTAAAATACCAAAATTAACTGTTTCAGATTTTTTGGCATGTAGCATTTCAACCTTCAGTGACCGCATGAACGCTACACAAGATTTTTTCAATTACGGCCCACTGAAAGGTCTGTTTTCGTCGTTGAATGGGAGTAATCGTCATTCTTTCGACTGTCAGACACTTAAATTAATAATCTATGCAGGTTTCTCGTCTCTGTTCACTTTTAAATGGCAAGGAAATTCACTGGGCTAAACTTCATAGTACCCCGCCACTTTGGTCCGCCTCACTTACATGTGTCGGGAGGCTTTGAAGATCGAGGCATAACACAATAGACGCTATTCTTATTCAATGACATGTAAATGAGTTGCGGGGTATTCTGAAGTTGCTCCATTCACTGTAAGTAAATTCAAATGAGTGTTCAAAACATTTAAAAAGTTGTGATAATTAAAATGTTTGTTCCCTTTAACGATGCATGAAAATCTTTTCTTTCTTCCGCCGTAAAACTGACGTTGAATGAGACAATTTCGCTGAATTCGAGGGAACTATTGCAGATTCTATTCACTGAATTTCTTTAGATTCTACAACGCAATTTATGGACTGAGATCAATACTATGACCAGTAGTAAAAAGCGAAGTAAAGAACAGGATAAAGGGACAGAGCAAAACTGGTTAAAAAGGAACTCAAAATGACATGACCTTTTGAATGTGTGTTTTTTTTAAGGATTACAGTGAATAAGGCATTCTTCCCTTGCAAGCTGTTATGTTTGCGTGCTGTCAACTTGCCTATTAAGCGCTCGAGAGGAAAAACATAACCCTTGGGAAATCGTCTTCGACAGGAGGTAAGGCTCTTAGATTTATCAAAACCCGCAGAAAACGCATCAGTCTCAACAGTACGAGGCTAAAACAACTTGTGATTGTCGGTTAGTACAACAACACACTCTACTTATTGTTGTGTAAGTAATGATAGCAGTAATTTATGTCGTCCAATTCGGTCTGCACAGCATGAAATAAAACAAGTGTGTTGTTTAACTCCAACATGGCGGTCGAGTGTTGATATGTCACATGGTGTCAGAATAGTGGGCTAGACATGACTGAAACAAATAAGTTAATTCGGAACGCCATCGCGAGTAAATCACTGGATGAACGAGTACGCCTGGAAAAAAGCAAAAACCTTGCTCTCGAAACAGCCATCAGCATCGGTCGAATGTTCGAGGCCACAAGGGATGGACTACAGATGATGTCAGGTGAAGACCCGAGAATTGAAGTTAGTAAAGTTACATGGAAGAAGGACTCTTCTAGGCAGCATAAAAAGGCGAGAAATTTCAAGAAACCGAAAGGTAACAATGAGCAGGCCCAGTAATGACAGACGTGGATACAATGCACACAAGCCACAAGAAAAGTGTCCAGCAAAGAATGAATCGTGTAATAAGTGCAGGAAAATTGGACACTTTGCCCAAGTGTGCAGAAGTCGGAAAAGTATTGTTAAGGTGTTGAATGAAATATTCCAGTGATGAGGAAGATGCTGACAGGGACTTACAACTACTACATGAAACAAGTCTAGAAATAAACAGGATCAACGACAACCAGGACCCAGGTGAAAAGGACGAATGGTGTGAATTCCTGAAAGTGGGCAATAGCACCCTGTTTTGTCAGCTCGACACTGGTGCCTATGCAAGTGTGATTAACACCACCCAGCTCAGACAAATAGCACCGATAGACCGTATTAAGAAAACCAAGAAGACTTTGGTTTCCCATAGCCAACATCAGATCAAACCAAAGGGCTACGTCACCCTTCCAGCGCGATTTAAAGACAAGGAGTTAAATGTAAACTTCTATGTTGTAGATAGCAAGAAGAAACCAATACTGTCAGGCAAAGTCTGTCAAGCCCTTGACTTGGTCCAGCGAGTTCGTAAAATAGATGTTAGCCTTAAGAAGTTGTTGAATCAACACCCTGATCTGCAAAATGCATCTGGAGTCATGCCGGGAACCTATTCAATCAAAATTGACCCCACAGCAGCGCCAGTACTACATGGTCCTCGCAGACAACCCGCTGCACTCCTTCCCAATATCGTTTCCAAGCTTAAAGAAATGGAGAAGGAAGGGTATCTAGCCAAAGTCACAGCCCACTGATTGGGTCAATTCTATGGTGGTTTCAAGTCGAGGTGACAAGATCAGGATCTGTTTAGACCCAGGAGACCTGAACAAAGCCGTTAAGCGGGAACATTATCCAATACCTACAGTTGAAGAAATCTCAGCCAAAATACCTGATGCCAAAGTGTTCACAGTCCGTGACGCAAAGAGTGGGTATCTCCAAATGAAACTTGACTACGAGTCCAGCCTACTAACAACTATGAACACTCCTATAGGCTGATACAGATGGTTGAAGCTGCCTTTTGGAATCAAATCAGCTCCAGAGATGTATCAAAGGACCATGAATGAAATGTTGGAAGGTATCGATCATGCATATGCCATTATGGATGACATATTAATCACAGGTCGTAACGTTGCTCATTATGACACGGTGCTAGAGGTAGTGCTCCAGCAAGCCAAAAGCTACAACCTCAGATTGAATTTTGACAAGGTTAAAGTGCGCAAGCCTGAAGTCCAATATGTGGGCCACATTATCTCAGCAAAAGGACTCAAACCTAATCCAGAAAAAGTGAAAGCCATGAAGGATATGCTACCTCAAGAAACAAGAGGAGATGTACACTGATTCCTGGGATCCATACAATATTTGGCCAAGTTCGTCCTAATGCTTGCAGATGTTGAAATCCCGTTGCGAGAGCTCACTAGAAAAGAAGTAATTTTCCACTGGGATAAGCTACAGGCAGGTGCATTCCAAAAAATCAAAGATATGTGCTGTAAAGCCCCTGTGCTAGCCTACTATGATGTCAATAAGGGAGTGACTATACAGTGTGATGGCAGCAAGGAAGCAGTGGGTGCGGTCCTACTCCAAGAAGGAAGGCCAGTAGCTTACGCGTCTCGCAAGCTTCGAGAATCTGAAATGAACTGAGCCGCAATGGAGAAAGAAATGCTGGCAACTGTGTTCAGTACACAGAAATTTAGAGAGCACTTTCTAGGCAAAACGACTGTGGTTCAGACCGACCATAAGCCCCTAGAGACAATTCTCCGCAAACCAATAGTAACGGCACCATTAAGATTACAAGCAATGATGTGGAAAGTAAGCGTTTATGGCCTGAAAGTGGGGTATCTTCCAGGCAAGAAGCAAGTTCTCACTGATACCCTTAGCCAAGCAAGTCTGAATGAACTACAAGCGGATAAAGACGAGATACAAGTAAACATGCTGGAAAGAATATCCATTTCAGAGCCAGAGTATACAGAACTCCAACAAAAACTGCAAATGAGTTCCACGAGCTGTACGCTATGATTCAAGCAGGATGGCCAGAAACAAAATGGCAGGTTCTACACAGTATACGAGAATGCTGGGAGTCGCGTGATGAACTTGCAGTCTTAGATGGTGTAATCTACAGAGGGATGAAGATTGTGGTACCCCCGTCCATGAGACCAGCCATGCTCGCCTTAATACACGGAACACATCTTGGAATTGTGAAGTTTAAACAGAGGGCCAGGGAAGGCTTAAGCGGGGGCAACTCTTTGGCCTGGAATGAGCACTCAAATAGAAGACAAAGTAAAGCAGAAACAGGATGTCCCATGCTGCCAAGTCCTGTCTCGAATCTGCCGTGGACGATGGCTGCTTCAGACATCTTCGCCTTTGAAGGTCATCATTACCTGGTACTGGCTGATTATTACTCCAAGTACATTGAAGTAACTAAACTAAATGCCCTTACTTCCCAGGATACCATCGAAGCACTGAAGGAACATTTCAGCAGACATGGCATTCCAGCAGAACTGGTGACTGACTGTGGTGTCCAATACACAAGCAAAGAATTTGAGACCTTTGCCAGAAGCTACAACTTTGAACATGTCCTAGTGAGTCCCAAGTATCCCTGTGCAAATGGAGAAGCAGAAGCAGTAGTCAAAACAGTAAAATCACTATGGAGGAAAAACAATGATAAGAACAAAGCACTTCTAGAGTACAGAGCAACCCCAATCCAAGGGATCAACCTCTCTCCGTCTCAACTCTCCATGGGACGTAGGCTAAGGACAACGCTACCAATAGCTTGTGGTCTGCTAGAGCCTGAGGCACACAACGTCAAAGAGATAAGAGCAAGAATGAAGTATGGCAAAGAGAAACTGAAATACTACCATGATCGCCGAGGTACTAAAGAGTTACCCCCGCTTAAGCCTGGTGATTTTGTTAGAGTGAAACCCGAAACGGGATCAAAGGACTGGAAAGCAGCGACAGTTGTGCAACAACATACATCACCCAGATCTTTGATAGTCGATGTAGGGGACCGAAGAATCAGACGAAATAGAGTAGCACTGAGAACAGACTCCTCCAAGTCACATGCAGGGTATCAGAGCTGTCATGCAAACATCGAGGAGGCAGAGACAGATCCTGAGAAACCATGTGTAGTGCCGCATGCAGTGCCACCACCCATGCCAGACACACGTATGGAGAAGCTACCATTAGATTACCAGTCAGACCAGTCAGTCGCAAGGAAAAGCCCAGCAAGAAAGATACCGCCTTCACCTGAAGTAGCAGCGACTAAGGGCTTGACCCTGTACACAACTCTATGTGGCAGACAAGTCAAGAAGCCAGTGAAACTAGACCTGTAATTAATTTTCAGAGTTGGACAGGCATTGAAAACGTAGCAATAACAGACACTGTTAATTGTTTAAACACTTTCTGCTTCTGTTCAGTTACTATATATAAATTTGTTGTTGTTGATATTATCAAGAGAGAGAATGGGGGATGTTATGTATACCGCTGACCTCATGTAGGCACAGCATGATATAAATCACGTGTGTTGTTTAACTCCAACATGGCGGTCGAGTATTGATATGTAACAGTGACTGACTGACTTGATTTGAGATGGTGGGATGTTTGAGCCAACTGGGATTCCACTGTATTCAGCTATCCTTTCGCTTCCTTCCAACTTTGAATGTGTTTGGAAATCAACACCATAGTTTCATTTAGTATGGTGCAAGTGCATTGGATCGTTCAAAGCTCTGTTACCGAGCAATTCAATGATAGAACGAAACAGCTGACAGACCTGAATAGCAGACCTGGCAGATTGTACCGGACCCAAGGTTGTTTCAGAGCCACCTCAGTCACATGTATATAGCATGCATTTAAATTTTGGATTATGGTAATTTAATAGATTTATTTTAATTTAATATTTTTACTTATTATTTTTACACGGTTGTTAACTAGTCATAGCTGGCATTTGTGCTGGGTTTGAGTCCAATTGGTGATTGGAGCATTACCTCTAGCAGGGGTGTCGATAGTTTTTCAAGTAAGCTGGGAAATGAAGAAAGTAGCTGGGGTTTTAAGAATCTGCTTGGGGAAGAAGTGGGAAGGGGTAGGAATAGAAATTTTGGGAACGAAAATCCTTGCTGTAGATAAGGACAACAAAACTTGGAAAAGGTTTTGAAAATCAATCATAATTTTATTCTGACAAAACATTTTAGGTTGACATTGATAACACCCTCGTGCTGTGCTAATTGCTCAAAGCAAAGCTTGTAAGAAATTAATGAAAGGCTTATAAGATATTACTTAAAGAAAACTGTTTACGCTGATGTGTACTAGGCAGGCTGACAAGATCTTTGTAAGACGAAGTCTTCCACCAATTGGGACCAAGCACATTCAAGCTGTCCCAGCTGAGTTATTTGTGTTGACATGTGATTTATTGGAGAGAAAGACCAATGGTTAACACTTAATACCATTTGTGAAAGTGAAGGATGTTGCTGATCTCTGGGAGAAATTTTCAGCTTGCGTGCCGCATACCTTTTGAGAAAAAACAAGGTGAGATTGTTTTCGATTTTGGTTTTATCTAAGAGATAGTGCAGTGTCTTGCAGTATTTTTTAATGTACTTGCATGTTAAAATTTTTTAACAAACTTGTTTGAATATAGATTTGATTAATTGTATCCCAATAAAGTTTTTTGGGTTGGACAGTTTGAGGGATGATTTATGAGCATTTATCTACTTGTCAATAAAACACATAATGTAACAAAAGCAGTGACCATATGCCAAAGAGTTGTGTTAGGAGATTGGACACTAGTAAAGTATTAGGGGATGTATGTTGGGACCACGAGGTGAACATTAAAGATGTTGAGTTGAGCTTATGTGTGGCTGTCTCTTCCCCGCAATAACATGGTACCAGGAGCGAAGAAAATAATGAAGTTACTACTGACCTACTTCTATTCTACTGTGAACCCTGTGAGGATCCAGGCAGGAAATCTGTGAACATTTCTGTGAAAACAGTCTCCGACCCAGTTCGCACCAAAGTTTTCTGAAACTGACATAGTGAGGTAAACATCGATTATTCCGAGCGAATTTTCATTGTCTACTTTTGGCTAGAGCGATGAATTCTGATAATTTCCACATCTATTCATTAGTGCTGTTGTGAAAGATGGTTGACAAAGAAGCTGAGGGTGC